AGTAGTAGTAGTAGTTGTTGTTGTTGTTGTTGTTGTTGTTGTGGTGGTGGTGGTGATAACGGTGGTGATAAGGGTGAGGGTGAAGGTGAGGGTGAAGGTGTAGCCAGCCCAGGTAAGGCGGACGAAGATGAGAGGGCTGAGGAAGCAGGAAGCAGGAAGCAGGACCGAGACTGAGATCGCCCTTGGCTCCTCTGGAGTCGGTAGTGTTCGTTCATCTTCGTTGAGTTGCCTGCGTGATCCTCCTAGTCCTCTGCCTTGCGGCGAGAATCGAGCGTCTGAGTCTCCTCGAGCGAGCGATAATCGTAGCTCTACGCCTCCGTGTAGCACGCCCGCTCCCCAAGCGTAAGTAAGTACTATCGGCGCCCGGTTGAGTGGTCTGGTAAGTGTAGTTAACCCTATCTGACTCTGAATATAGCTATGATCATGCCTTTCGGAATACAAAAACTGCCCATGTTCTTCCGGCGTCTACCCACAACCAATCATGATACTGTGCAGTGACCGTCTCGGCTTATCTATAATACTCATATCCTTATATTGACTGCGCTAACATGTCAGCACTACTGTCTAGCTTCGAGCTTAGCCGAATCCCATCTCAAGTATGACTCAGTCGCCAGCGACAGCTGTATAGGATCCCAGAAGTGTTGCTTTATATAATAGTACATCCGAGAAATATTTCCCCTTGCCCCTTCATAGTCGTTTAATCACACTTGTACCTTACACTCTCGATAATCATAATAATGGCAAGAGAAACAGTCATAAAAGACCCAACATTTCGCACTTACACCCCCGCCCAAGCCACCTTCTACGCCCTCGCCCGCGCCTCTTCCTACCCCCCCTTCCTGTACAACACCATCCTCACACACCATTCAAACACAGGGGGTCAATTCCACCGCCTCTTAGACGTCGGCTGTGGTCCCGGCAACGCGACCCGGGACCTGGCGCCGTCTTTCGAGGATGCAGTTGGCGTTGATCCGGGGCAGGCGATGATCGAGACTGCCAGAGCGTTGAGTAAAGATGTGCGGACCGGCGCTGGGAGCGAGATGAGGTTTGTTGTTGGCGCAGCGGAGGAGTGTGCTGCTGTTATTGATGAGGCAAGCGGCGGGGAAGAAACGGTGGACTTGGTGGTCTGCGCCATGTCGGTTCGTTGTTTCATCCCGGTTGATAGATGAGATCGAATCCGGTTGGATGAGGTTGGCGTGGACACTAGTACTAATGCGGGTGACACCGAATAGGCGCATTGGTTCTCCATGCGGGGTTTCTGGGAGCAGATGAGGACAACAGTCAAGAAAGGAGGGACCGTGGCGATCTGGACTTGTGCGTCGCTCTATTGCCGTATGTTGCTTCGCCCGGTCGTGTATGTCTTTTGGTGGAAGCAGATCGAGCTGATGAGATCCCGTCCAGATCCTACCACGCCGAATGCGACGGCCGTCCAGAGAGCGCTCTTCCATCTCGAAGATGTGGTGCTCGCGCCGTTTGCACTCCCGGAGAATCGGCTGTCGAGGAACCTGTACGACAATCCTCCTTTGCCCTGGAGTGTGATTCCTCCTGTTGAGGGTTTCTCGGAAAGCCAATTCACGAGGCTAGCGTGGAATCGTGATGGAGCGGTAGCGGATGGCGAGGACTTTCTGGTGGGAAAGCCGCAGACACTGGAGGAGCTGGAAAGGAGTCTGGGGTCGGCGAGTATGGTCACTCGTTGGAGAGAGGCTAATCCTGACCTTGCTGAGACTGACAAAGATTGTGTGAAGATTGCAATGGACGAAGTGGGAAAAGCGCTAGAGGACGGGGGATGCGATGCTAGTCAAATTCTCAGAACAGGCGCGGCGGTAGCGTTGTTGTTGATCAAGAAAGATTAGATAGAAATTGCAGCAATTCGCAGTACCGTGGGTATCATGCTAGTAAAATCAAAGACAAAGAGTAAGCCTCCAACCATACAGTGTTATTTAGGCGCTCTGGCCTCGACTGCTCCGACGCGACTGTCGCAAATTCTGTTGCTCCGCCGTCTTCGTTTCACAAACTGTGGTGAGTTCAGATGCCACCTGTGTATGTTTCGTGCTCTCGTCGTTGTCCAACAACAGTCGCATGGTGAACGATCCCGGATCAAACCCAGGCATGACGGGCACAACGGTCTGATTCAGCTCCGTCTTTCCCGCCAGCCCAAAGGCAGCATTGCCAATAGCTGGAACTTTAGGCACGGCCCCGAGCGGATCTAGCATAGTCAAGTCTCGTGTCACGTCGCGTCGAATCTCGTTGTCGTCTTGGAATATCCCACCGTCCGGGGAGATCTAATCTGCTTAGCCGCTGATGCACACACTTTGCAGAGATACCTACACCAGACGCGAACTTCCTCCCCGGCATATGAACATAGTCATCGAAGGAACTTTCCAAAGCTGCGAAGTTGAACCCCTTTCGCGGAGTGACAGGCTCGAAGCGTTGGCCCACCTGCACGCGAAAGTCTACCGCGCGCCGTCGCACAGGCTTGTATCGAGGCAAGCCCAACAACAGCCCAGGATAACTGCACCACCAGGACTGCAGCACCGGCTCGATCTCCAGAGCGAAATGCACTCGACTCTCCGCGCGGGGTTTCTGGATCAACATCGCAAACGTGAACTCTCGAGGCAGACCCGATCGCTGCAGAGTGTTCTCCTCCAGAGACCAAACGATCTCACCGGCTTCGACGTCGTATTCCCGCCCCCGCGGGCTTTTCAGCGACCGGACAGAACCCTGTATCCGCATCATCTCGTACCGCTTATACCGTCCATTGATGCCCCCGCTCGGTGACAGACTGGCTATCAGCGGCAAGTCGGCAACGCCTAACGACCCGCTGAGACTATAGTTCCACTGCATGGTTTCCGGCGACACTGCTCCGTAAAGGAGATGCGGCGCGTGCATCAGGAACCGAGGCTTCCTGACCCGGGCCCCGGACGATGGTGACTCCCTGTGCCCGCTGACCGATGCGCGAATGGTGGCAGCCTTGAAGCGATGTGACAGGGTGTTAGGCGAATGAAAGACAAAAGTTATGCCTAAGAAATCCACATGGTCAACATCTTGGTTGGACACGGCGGGACTGGAGTAGTATCCGTGCTGTAGGCGCTGCACTCGCGCCGTGATATATGCGTCTCCGGGGAGATGTCGCTCATAAATACACGCTCCGTTTACGAGGAGGCGAGGATTGACGAGGTTAGGATCAGGAAGCACTGAGTCCGATGGCGTCGTGGTCTTGTCGGATGGTTGAGGGGCACGAGGGCCAGAGGCCGGCGGTGATGCCGCCCCAAGCGGCTGAGATGAAGCTGGAGAACGACCGATGGTTACCGTGGCCATCGTGGGAGACTTCATCGTAGAGTATGTGGTTCGTGTCCCGTCGCTACCGACTTGAACACCCATTGCGACGCCGTCTGTGTTTGATCTCCATGGACGAGATGTCAACCAGGGAAATATCCTGGGAAACCGGGGTTAAGATCGAGCGCATGAGGATCCGGGGTAAAATCAATCGTGTAGATCATGATGATTGATCGGAGTAAGGATGATCGATGACGATGATGCCTGGAGTTGATGGACGAGGCTTTATCAGGTGAGGGAGTGGAGGGAAGTCAGATGAGAAGATGCGATAACGGCAGGCGTCGGCTGCCAAGAAGGGACGGAATCAGTCGACGCTTAATTCCACCCCAAAGCATGTCACCTGCAGTTCCTGGAGATCCGTGAGTCTCGCGACCGAAGAGATTCTGTTTGGGGTTGGACAGTGTCTTACTGCTGGTGATTTATCTGGATGAGGCTGATCTTGTCACAATCCAAGCAACAACTAGTCAGTTCGATTCCTCGGTCTGATCAGCCTGGAAGTTACTTGACAATGCTTAGCCATGGCTCAAATAAGAAGAGATGATTTCATAATTAACCACATGTCTTGGTTGATCGGATCAACGGGGGGTCCGTTGATCTGGAGAGGGACACATCTTTTGCTTAAAGATATGCTCCTCTCATCACATGCTTGATATGGGAAAAACCGAGATGTTTCCGTACAACCACTGGAGTCTTACAAAGGGTGAGGCCAAGCAGAATGTTTGCAAATCTCTGGATTCAGTTGTCTTGGAGTTGGGATATTGGAATATGTATAGTACAAGTCGTCCGTCATGTGTCGGAGAATGGTGCCTTTGTTCCCCACTTCCCCACGGCTAAATGCCTGTTATGAATGATCACGAATACCTTCGGAATAGGGGGCCACATTGTCTAGGTCACTGTAGAGTGTTTTACTATACTCTGGAGAAACGTAACCAGAGTATAGACAAATCAATCTTTTTCAAAGCGTTGCGGAAGCACCCATAAGCATAACGCAGAATTCAAAAAAAGTGACCACCAGCCAGACCAGTTAGATCGCTCATCAAAACTTGGTCTTTACTTGTCACATGGGTTCCACCTAAATCACATAAAGCCATATATATTAGCCGGTTGTGCCTGATCTAGAAGGTGGCCAACATAACCTACTCCAAACCGTGGTAATCACGGGTTCAATATCCTTTCACAATGAATAACAGCTATCTTATAAGAATCACCTCATGCAAGTCCTATCACATACGCTCAGACCCATAATGCGTAAGAAATAGCTTACATGTCCACGGATGCGGTTCGCTGTTGTCGGTAAGTCCTTGACTATAACAGACATTTTATGCCAGACTAAATACCGAATTCACCGGCTCCACAAGAATTAGAGCGTTGAACGCATGGTGAGCACAACTTTGATGCTTTAGAAAAGAAACACTTGTCCAGCAGGTTGGCCTTGCTCTGGAGGTATTACCAACGTCCCGACTGCGACAAAGTAATCGAGCCGGTCGGCATCCAGCGTGGGAAGGCATGCTAGACAGAAAGGTATACAGGTTGGGCACAACACCTAGCTTGCCAATGGGAGAGAAATGAAGGTGTGTTGATGGCCACAGTTAGAGGTGGATTGACATACAACGGCTTTGTAAGGATGGAGTAGTTAAGTAGTCAACAGACCAACACCGGGTCTAGCGAGATTGACTTGCATAGCTGCCTGAAATGGCCGGATGGCCAGCGTGCGAATTCTTTGGCCTTTTGTGCTCTGCTATCTGTATCTTTTCGACAAACTCGGGATCACCTCCTACTGGTGGCTTCTCCAAGCTGCTGCGTGTCACCACCAGACGTGGGGCTCGTGAATAATATAGTTAGTTATTGATAGTGGTCGCAGGACTATTTTCTCCATCGCATCTGTATACGAGGCCAACCAAGAGCAGCGCGGTCGCGCAGTTGTATGCATGCAGTGCTGCAGGGATTGCGCATATACGGCGTTTTTTCACCGTGCAGGTCTAGTTGTCAGCTGGTCATCTTCGAACGACAAATGTCGATGTCGTTAGCATAGCATATGCCGAATCTCGGCCAACTGGTGACGGAAGGGACGATAACGATGTCTAGACCGGGGACCGGGGGGTTTGGGGGCCGGAGATAATCGGCCTTTGAGACTGGGCGTCATCACCGTCTCTTGACTCGGGAACCGGACAGCGACCCGCCTGCCGAGCGAGCTGCATTACTAATGTAAATGTAACCAATTGAAGATCTTCGCGAGGGTCAGGCGAAATCGACCGGAATCTCCGGCAGTCAGAGAAAGAGAAAGAGAGAAAGAATCATGATTGCCTCAGTTCCTGTCTGAAGTCAAAGAAAGGTCGCTGTATGGAAATCCATCGAAATGTGATACTACCCAGTTAGTTGAAACTGGGTCTCATATGGGGGCAGCTTGATTACTCCTCCTAATCCCTAGCCTTGATCCGTGCGCTGCGACGGTTTTTTAACCAGAAGACTAGCGGCTCGGCAGATCCCTGGCCGACGACACACGCTGGCAACTATCTAAGTAACTGGCTGCAGACGACCTATCTTCTACATAGTACGGAGTACAGTACAGTACACACTTACATGTCACCAGTTATCTATCTATCCAGCCATCCATCAGGAATGCCAGGTATGCGGTGTTCATGGCATTCGACATCAAGCACCACATCTTCCTCTATGCCCCGTGGTGAAGGGGTGCGCAGTACTGGCTAGGGTATAGGACTCATACTCGACAGCTAGAAAGAGGGCTAATCCCTGTTGGTCTGAGTACCGAGCACCGGGGATGTGAGGAAGGCTATCAGAAAGCCAAAGGAAGACCCTGTGTAGCCAAGAGGCACTGATTCAACCTTATCATCCAGCACGACTCCGAGGTGATTAACCACTTTCAGACCCCGCTCTGTGTTTGCGCTTACGTCGTCAGCAAGCATTAATAATAACAGGAAGGAATATGAATTCCGGTGAGATTGGCTTACTGATTGCAACCTCAATTAGTCCTAGTTAATCTAGTGAATTCCTTTTTGCCCAGCGACCAGGCACGGATGACCCAGCAAGACCAATGATGATCGAGGATGACTAAACCCCGAAGGTCCTTATCTCCGTTCTGGTTCATTTTCGCTTCCTCAAAACTTTTGCTTCATCCACTTTCCGCCTGTTCGGGTCCAGCCGATCCTGAATCAGATAGCTTCCCTCTACCCAATCACTGGCATCTCTGATGACACCCACCATGCTCATTCTGACTCATTTCGACTCTGGAACTTTCATTTTTCCTCTAATTTGGAACTCTGGCGAGCGTTGCTCGACTAAACTGTCCTTAGGTTCTCTGTTGCCGCGCTGCCATCGGCCGCCGTCGCCGCCCTTCGATCCACAGTTCGGTTGGTGTCTTCCTCCACCAAGTCCACCTCGTTTCACCTTCTGATTGATGCCTGGCCTCGCAGACCCTGTTCTTCTCCACGGCTAGAAGATTCTGACAAATCCACCAGAATTTTTTCCTTGTGAAAGGTGGCCCAGCGGAGTTAATCAGCCAAGACTGCCGGTCTTTAGCCATGATGCTAAGACCTACTTCATCAGCAGCCCCTCCTCGCTCTCTCCTATTTATTATGCTCCCCTCGTCTCCATTGCGTGGGTGATCTAGTTGTGTTTGCGTTTCTATAGACCCTCTCCCCTCTCCATAGGTGTGTGTCCGTGAGAGCTCCCGGAGCTCTCATACATTGCCAGCCTCTTATATTAATCTTTATAATCACCTTTTCCCTTCCTTGTCTCCTCACTTTCTGGCTGTCATTCCGGCTGTATATACCAATCTGCTCTTATCCTGAATTGATCGCATTCTATTACTACAACTCTCTAATCTCTACCGGCCGCGCAACTGTTGCATTCCAATTGACGTCACTGGTTTATCCACGGTTTCGGTCCGTTTTAACTTTGATACTCTCACTCTAGCGCATCAATTGCTCTTATTCCAGAACCACAGAGAGGTTTCGAAAACCCGCCTCGACCTGTCTGTTTGGTGGAAGCCAATCATGTCTAATACCACGGCCGACGGGAGTCGTATGCCGGGCGACCTGCACGAAATCCCGACATTGGCGCAAGAAGCTCAATCCGGAAGCCACCAAGCAAGCCACCATGCAGTCGCTCCCGACCCGACCTTAACCTCCCTTTCCACGAGCGACAGCGAGACCTCCACTGATGGCCACTGGGGGGAGCGGGGCACCGAACCCGTTTCCCGCCGGGGTGCGATGGAGGACTTGGAGGAGATGAGACGGGAGCTGACCCGGGTTAGTCTGCATCGTAGTCGTTCGGTCAAAGGCGATGCGCAGCGACGCCGCTCGAAAGCTTCTCGAGCCGACGAAGAGAAAGCCATTGAAGGAGACGGATTGTCTGGTTCTACCGAAGGTGACTATGGTGCATTCGACCTGGGTGAGTTCCTGATGGGTGGCCATCTCGAGCGTCGGACGACGGCCGGAGAGCCGGCGAAGAAAGTTGGTGTCGTGTTCAAGAACGTCACCGTTAAGGGTATTGAGACCGGCGCCTCCTTTGTCCGTACTCTCCCTGATGCTGTCATTGGAACCTTCGGTCCCGATCTATATAAGATCATATGCAGGTTCGTACCGCAGCTTCACTTCGGTCGCAAGCCCCCCGTGAGGGACTTACTTCACGATTTCACCGGCGCCGTTCGCGAAGGTGAGATGATGTTCATCCTGGGTAGACCAGGCGCGGGCTGCTCCACCTTTTTGAAGACGATCGCCAACGATCGGGACGCTTTTGCGGGCGTAGAGGGTGAAATCAGCTATGGTGGTATGTCGGCGGAAGAGCAGCACAAGCACTTCCGTGGCGAGGTCAACTACAACCAGGAAGATGATCAACACTTTCCGAACTTGACAGTGTGGCAGACATTGAAGTTCTCGCTGATCAACAAAACGAAGAAACACGACAAGGACAGCATCCCTGTCATCATCGATGCCCTGTTGAAGATGTTTGGCATCTCTCACACGAAGAACACCGTTGTTGGTAATGAATACGTTCGCGGTGTCTCTGGTGGTGAGCGCAAACGTGTCAGTATCGCAGAGACTTTGGCAACGAAATCTTCGGTCGTTTGCTGGGACAACTCAACCCGTGGCTTGGATGCCAGCACTGCCCTGGATTACGCCAAATCACTCCGAATTATGACCGATGTCAGCAAGCGGACAACTTTTGTCACCCTGTACCAAGCTGGAGAGAGCATCTACGAATTGATGGACAAAGTACTAGTGATCGATTCAGGACGCATGCTCTATCAGGGTCCCGCTAGCGAAGCAAGAGAGTACTTCGAAAATCTCGGTTTCGCGTGTCCTGACGGATCGACCACGGCTGATTTCCTCACGTCTCTGTGCGATGTCAATGCCCGTCAATTCCAGCCAGGCCGCGAAGCGTCCACCCCCAAAACTGCCGAGGAGCTTGAAGCGGTCTTCCGACAGAGCAGCGCTTACCGACGGATCTTGGATGATGTCGCCGGCTATGAGAAGCAGCTTCAGGACACCAACCTTGAGAGCACTCGTCGCTTCCAGAAATCTGTCGCCCAATCCAAGAGTAAGACCGTCTCGAAAAAGTCCCCTTACACTGTGTCTCTTATCCGACAGGTTGCCGCATGTGTGCAGCGTGAGTTCTGGCTGTTGTGGGGCGACAAAACATCTCTCTACACCAAGTACTTCATCATCTTGTCCAACGCCCTCATCGTCTCGTCCTTGTTCTACGGAGAATCATTGAACACCAGCGGCGCTTTTGCGCGCGGTGGTGCTCTGTTCTTCTCCATCCTGTTCCTTGGTTGGTTGCAGTTGACGGAATTGATGCCTGCGGTCAGTGGACGTGCTATTGTCGCGCGCCATAAAGACTACGCATTCTACCGCCCTTCTGCTGTGTCGATTGCTCGTGTTGTTGTGGACTTCCCAGCAATCTTCTGTATGGTTGTTCCTTTTACAATCATTGTCTATTTTATGGCAGGGCTCGACGTGGATGCGTCCAAGTTCTGGATCTACTTCCTCTTCGTATACACAACCACGTTCTGCATTACCTCAATGTACCGCATGTTCGCGGCGCTTTCCCCGTCAATCGACGATGCGGTTCGCTTCAGTGGTATTGCTCTCAACGTGTTGGTTCTGTTTGTTGGCTACGTTATTCCCAAACAATCCCTTATTAACGGCTCGATCTGGTTCGGATGGCTTTTCTATGTCAATCCACTCTCATACAGTTACGAAGCTGTGCTTTCCAACGAGTTCGCCAATCGTGTCATGGACTGTGCCCCTTCAATGCTGGTACCGCAAGGTCCGGGCATTGACTCTAGGTACCAGGGATGCGCTCTGACTGGTTCTGAGCTGGGTTCAACAACCGTCGCGGGAAGCAGTTACCTATCAACGACTTATCAGTTTACTCGCCACCATCTGTGGCGGAATTTTGGTGTAGTCATCGCTTTCACCGTTCTTTACATCCTGGTTACCGTGTTTGCAGCCGAAACCCTTTCTTTTGTGGGTGGTGGAGGTGGTGCGCTGATTTTCAAGCGCTCCCGCCGTGCTAAACAGCTCAAAGCACAGACTAGGAAAGGCAACGACGAAGAGAAGATGCAAATGCCGGGCCAAGGACAGTCTCAAACGGGCGCAAACAGTGAGACGTTTAACCGCATTTCGTCTAGCGACCGGGTATTTACCTGGTCTAATGTCGAATACACTGTGCCTTATGGTAATGGAACTCGGAAGCTACTGAATGGTGTCAATGGCTACGCTAAGCCCGGACTTATGATCGCCCTTATGGGCGCCTCTGGCGCTGGTAAGACGACGCTCCTCAACACTCTGGCTCAACGTCAGAAGATGGGTGTTGTGACAGGTGATATGCTCGTTGATGGCCATCCTCTGGGCACGGATTTTCAACGTGGCACTGGTTTCTGTGAGCAGATGGATCTTCATGATAACACAGCTACTATTCGCGAGGCTCTTGAATTTTCCGCTCTCCTTCGTCAAGATCGGAACACTCCTCGGCAAGAGAAACTCGATTATGTCAATCAGATCATCGACCTTCTTGAGCTGGAGGAGATCCAAGATGCCATTATTGGCTCTCTCAATGTTGAGCAGAAGAAGCGGGTGACCATCGGCGTGGAGCTGGCTGCAAAGCCTAGCCTACTACTCTTCCTTGATGAGCCCACTAGTGGTCTGGACAGTCAAGCAGCGTATTCCATTGTGCGATTCCTGAAGAAGCTCTCGCAAGCAGGACAGGCCATTGTTTGCACGATCCATCAACCTTCCTCCATGCTGATCCAGCAGTTCGACATGATCCTAGCTTTGAATCCTGGTGGCAACACGTTCTACTTTGGTCCCGTTGGTCATGAGGGTCGCGATGTGAAGAACTACTTCGCTGATCGCGGGGTCGTTTGCCCCCCGTCCAAGAACGTTGCGGAGTTCATTCTTGAAACGGCTGCGAAGGCTACCAAGAAGGATGGTAAGACGTACGATTGGAATGAGGAATGGTTGAATTCAGAACAAAACCGGAAGATTATGGACGAGATCAAGACTATCCGAGAGGAGCGCAGCAAGATCCCTCTACCTGAGCAGGGCACGCAGTACGAATTCGCAGCTCCTGCCACGACGCAGACATACCATCTCATGATGAGAATTTTCCGCCAGTACTGGAGAGATCCCTCATACTATTACGGAAAGCTGTTCGTCAGTGTCATTATCGGTATCTTCAACGGTTTTACCTTCTGGATGCTGGGCAACACCATCTCTAGCATGCAGGACCGCATGTTCTCGACCTTCCTGATCATTCTTCTCCCACCTATCGTTCTGAACAGTTTGGTCCCGAAGTTCTACATCAACCGTGCCCTGTGGGAAGCGCGTGAATACCCCAGCCGTATCTACGGTTGGTTCGCCTTCTGTACCGCCAACATTATCTGCGAGATTCCGATGGCGATCGTGTCTGCCCTGGTCTACTGGCTTCTCTGGTACTACCCTGCCGGATTCCCCACGGATTCGAGTAACGCGGGCTACGTCTTCCTCATGTCAATGCTTTTCTTTCTCTTCCAAGCCAGCTGGGGTCAATGGATCTGTGCCTTTGCCCCCTCCTTCACCGTTATCTCCAACGTAAGCTTCGCTCCTTTTCTCCCTGAAAACTCAAGTGTTGGGACTAACATTGTCCAACCAGGTCCTCCCCTTCTTCTTCGTCATGACCAGTCTGTTCAACGGTATCGTCCGCCCGTACTCCAACTACCCCGTCTTCTGGAAGTACTGGATGTACTACGTCAACCCGGTGACCTGGTGGCTCCGCGGCGTCCTTTCGGCCGTCTTCCCCACCGTCACCATCGAATGCGCCTCCGAGGAGACGACCCACTTCAACCCTCCTCCCGGCCAGACCTGCTCCAGTTACGCTGGCGACTGGGTCACCAGCGTGGGCAACGGCTACCTGGCCAACCCTTCGGCCACTTCCGATTGCCAATACTGCCCCTACGCCAACGGCACCCAGTACATGCACCTCCTGAACGTGCACGACGGCGACAAGTGGCGCTGCTTCGGCATTTTTCTGGCGTACGTGATCATTAACTGGGGTCTCGTGTATTTCATGATCTACTGTGTGCGCGTCAGGGGGTGGTCTTTTGGCCTCGGTTATGTGTTTTCCGCCCTGGGCAAGGTGATCGGTGGTATCAAGGGATTGTTCACGAAGAAGAACAAGGAAGAGAAGCAGTGAAGAGGGAGAAGTTCGGGAGCTGATTAGAGGACGCTGGGTATATGGCTGTTATGGTGATATATATGACGTTACGTGCCACACGCCGATACCTGCGAGGTACGAACGGAAGTTCTACATTACATACTATTTAGAGGTACATATTCTGTGTAAACAATATCTGCACTGTCATTTATGCATTAGCGTGTGTGTTTGTGTTTGCAGGAAATGATTTTTCATGTTGTTCCTGGGATCGGAAAAGTCAGCTTAGAAATTAGAAAGAAATTACAGATTTCGCCATGCCATGCCATCATTCTTATTCAAATTTCAACCATAACCCCTAAACCCCCTTCCCAAGTCAGGAACCAGTGAATCCGTGATACAAGCAAATAACTCCCTGAGGGAGAAGAGTAAAACTAAAACTCGCCCAGGCAAATTCCCCCAACCCTTCTACTAAGACCCTACGATACCAGAGATGTGTCAACGAGTATCCTCCGAAAAGAACCACGGCCTCCTCGCCCCTTCAAACTGACGCCCAGGCACACGCATGGGCACGGGCACCGTCCCCGCAAACAACTCAGGTAAACTCTTCGCCTGCTCGCGACCGGTTCCTGTCTGTGCTTGCCCCTGGGGTGGAGATGCGCTGCCCGTCGCTGTCGAGGAAGAGGCACGACTGCTAGTACCACTTCCACCACCGCCGTCCTGCTCGCCGTTGGCTTGTCCGCGTTTCTTGAGCACACGGACCAGGACCCCGCATTCCCAGTTGCGGCAGTTGAGCTTGGGTTGTTTGGTTGTTCGGTCTATCACGAGGCGGCCCCTGATAGGAAATCTTCTGTGTTAGTATTCTCGCGTTGGTTGGGGTGGAACGACCGAGGGCTAGGGGAGGTTGTTCTGGATAGATGGATGGATTGGTAGGTGGGTGAGTAGGCTCAAAAAAACGTACCATGCGCTCTCGGACAGATTCGCACTCCCGACATACGCCCACGCTGGGCAGACTGTATCCTTGTCTTGCGCAAGGGGAATGGGTTCATCGGGGCGGACGTAGAGGATCTATACAGTCTCAGATTACTGGGTTGCGTTTGAGAAGAGGTTGGGGTTGGGGGGGGTAGGGGGGAAAGAGGGGGGTGTGTTACCTTGTTGTGCATCAATAGTCCCGGGCGTTGGCTTTGGCAGTCCCGGAGGACGTTGCGCGGGAACCGGGGCCCATCGTACCATTTCGATTGAAAACAAACCGTTCCTGCGCATCCGGCACCTCCCTTGGATGCGGCGACGGTTGTTTTGGACGGGAAGTACGCGCGGAAGCGATCGTTCTTCCATTCTGATGCTGTGGTTTGGGGGAGAAGCTTCGCGGGGTTGGTGAGGTGTTTGACCGGGAAGGTTTTGGAGCTGCGGAGGGTTAGGTCGGTGATGCCGTTGTCGCCTGTTTGGGTCTCGTATTAGTCTTGATATGGTCTGTAGGGGTGGATGGTGTACGAACCTTGGGATGCGAGGTATATGGATCTGAGGAAGTCATCGGAGAGAGAACCGAGGGAGGACGACTGTTTAGGCGATGGGGTTAGGTGATTTAGATGCTGGGTGGGAGGTTGAGTACTTACGACGAAGTCAAGGTTTAGTGGTTGGGACGTACGCAAGCCCATGCTTCTGACTGCGCGACCAAGACCGCAGTAGCCCGTGCGCTCCCATGCAGTTCCTGTGTGTGCGCCTCCGCTAAGGGCTCAGTTAGACACGGCTGGAGCACTTTCTTACGAGTAGTGCGCTTACATAGTGTGAACAAATGCATATTTGGCAGTTTTGGCGAAATCAAATCTCTTCAGCCTCGCGATGATTGCTTCGTCGAGCGTGCTGGCTCTGAGGAAATAGACCAATTCCTCATAGAATGCCGTCCTTGGGCATTCAGTCTGCACATCGCCGAGTTTTGGTAGGTCGATGAGAAAGACACTCTATTATTCCCAGTTAGCTGCATTCCAAAACCCATGCTATGCAACACACGTTTTCCATGACTCCATTCATCTCACCCCAGTCAAAATCTGTCAGATTGGCGGTCGGTACTGCAATTCGGACGTATGATGGATGGAAAAGCAGCATCAGCTTCGAATGCATGCAATTCACCTGACCGTCCATGGGTGGAAAACAAAGTCGGACATTTCGCAGAGAAGCTGCCTCTGATTCATATTGTCGTTTCTTTGTTGAAGTCAGTTTGTATTTGACACAAGTTGACATTGCGTAGACATGGGCTAAAAGTACTTACCAGCGCGTCCTCCTTGGCTTGCATGATCAAGAGGAAACGAGTATTTCTCGTGTCGGTTTTGGAAAACAGCCAGTCCATGGACCACATGAACGAGCTTAGAACTGCAAGTTCTAGATCAGATTTCTGCAAGACCTCTTCGATCTTGATATCGTCGCCTTGTCGCGGATAGCCGAACGCCCATGTCTTCTTCACCACTCCTCCCGGATACTGAAGAGATGGAGTTTTCGGAGGGCTGACGCCGGTATTGCTTGCACGTGGGCTGTCTTGAGGGAGCTTGGTCTGATCAGTTCGAGAATATTTGGGCGTACGCTCATTGAGTGACGTGCTGTCGTCAGCTTTTCGTTTGGCAAGTCTGGCAAGACGTTCTTGCTCCATCTGCTTCCGGTCAAGTCCAAGTATACCAGTCGGCTTGACTGGTCCGTCCGGATCGACCTTACTCCGGGGATTTGTGGCCGAGGCAGAAGTAGAAGTCCCGCTCGAGCTGACTGGCTCTGTGGGTGACTCAAGAGATCCTGAATGATGCACCGGCTTGCTCGTTTCACTTAATTTGGACAACGCAATAGCTTTTTTCAAATCCTCGTCATCGTCTTCTAAGTCAATTGGCAAAGAAGGATTGGGGATCTGATCAGTGCCGGTGCTCTCGACTGTAGGCTGGGACGCAGAAGAGGGCCCCTGAGCCTCTTGGAATTCCTGCAAGGACAGCGCCATCGCTCTTTTCATTCCTTCATCTTCCTCGTTGTCTGTATCAGACCCAATAACAGACCTTGATTTGGGATAGATACTCATCACATCTTCAGACTCGGAACCAGTGTCACCAGTCAGATCGACAACAGGCGGTTGTTGACGGCGTTGTGGCCGCCGTTCAGCCGGGGTACCTGTCATATCAGCTAAAGACGCGGCCATGGCTGCTCGGAGCTCAGCATCGTCACCGTCTTCTGATGACATCTTAAATTGTTGTGAAGTGGAACACAGATCACGTTCTGAAGTGGTTGACAATAACAAGCTTTACTTCTGCGGTTGGATTACCGAATCGAGGGTTGTAGTTAGTGTTGTTTATTAAAGGTGGGTGTTACTTGAGGAGTGGATCCCGCGAAAGTCGGGCTGATGATCCGCTCTGTGGCAGTGAATATGCTTATAAACTCTCTGAGGAGATTCCCATTCGAAATACTGAGTTTCGAGACAGTAGTTGAAAACAGCAGAAGTCTGTGAAAGTTGATGAGCGTTTGACAAACGCTGATCTCTGTCCGCTAACACGTGACCCTGCTGACAGACGCCCTGAGACAATGTCATCCCACTTTACTTTACTTCGCTTCATCTTATCACCACCCGCATGCTGTATCCTATAAGCAATCTACTCAGTGCTGTGCCTTAGTTCACAATGATTAATTCATTATGAGGTCTATTCAATTCAAGACTATAGAATATGCAAGCCGAAGTCCCATAATGTCCTTGTTAAGCTGCACCGAGAACGCAGGCACAATCGCTTCAGAATATCGATATCACTACACCCAATGTCAAACCATACTGCTTCCTCAGCAGTATGACAAATGCTTCCTCAGAGTCGATATCTGTAGCTCGTTCCTCCAGGAATATACTATCTTATTAGATCGACCACCAATCGCGGGCCATTCTGCGAATTCAGACTTCCCTTAGCACCTCAAGGACCAGACTCGCGAGCTCGGTTATCGTACGTATGCTGGCCCAAGCCCTTTGATGGTCCATTGACCCTGACCAGCTCTAGCTGCTGGGTGTCGAATGAATCACAGTTCAAGATGCTTGATAAAGTGACCATATTCACAGCTTGTTCTCCACCCGAGATTCCAAGGCACCTTGGTAGGTATAAGCCATGTGGGACGGTCATAGGTTCAGTTTGGCTTAGCAGATGCCGCCGTCGACCTGCTTCTTCTCTTCACCGTTCAGACGCATTGAAGCACCAAATCAATGATAGCAAAGAAGACATCCCGATCAGCGTTGGTAGTCTCGAGCCCAAGGCCAAGAACAAGCAACCGCTTCTCATCCGGCGTCTTGGTGACAATGGCACTCGCGATCTGACGAGCGTACAACTGACCAACAATCTCGTGGCCCGGAGCTCGACCTCCTAGGATTGACGTAGCGGTCAAGTTGCTAATCGGAAGAAGACTGTCATCGGATGAATCAGGGATGCTGTGGAAACCTTCTGTTCCGGGATTCTTGTTCTCCAATGGGACGTGAAGCTGTGCTAGATTAGTGGATAATTCAATAAAATGATTGAACGAACTACGAACCCAGTGACCGAGTCGGCCTTTCTGAGAGATAGTCACCATAATCTTGTCACTGAATTTGACAAGCATGACATCAGTGGGGATACCGTTGACAACTCCAGCGGCTTGTTTTGTGACTGCGGGGAAGGGTAGGTTCATTGGTTCCTGGAGGAAGTCGAGATTGGGAGTTTCAGCCATGTCAAAAGCTAGCAAAGTGTATTTGGATTATACTTCAAGGTAGCGCGAGAAGTCTAATTTGCAAGAGTCCAAACAAATAGCGTTATGTAGAGAAGCTGACAAAGTGAACCATGTAAAGACTGTAAAGACAATAGAGCTGCGTGCCATTCCCCTCCGCCGATAACATCAAAGGCGGTAAGCCTATTTCTCACCGCTTTCGGGGCAGAATGTCTCCGCCGCCTAATTTTTTCTCTTGTCCTGGAATGAGCTTCATTATCAAAACTCAAACTACTCGAATCTTGTGGTAAGTTGATCCTGGGGAATCGAGTAGGAGCAAGAGCTTCTCCGTCCAGGCACCATGCCCAAGTTTGTTCCCCGTCAGCGGAAGCAAAAGCACCGGCAGCAGGCGGAGGCAACCACCGGGGTCGATACCAATGCTGCCGAAATTTTGCCCGTCTCCAAAAGTGAGAAGGAAGCGAAGCGACAGCAGCTGAAGGAGGAATTGAAATCCCAGAACCCGGCTATTTCCTCCAAGAAACAGAAGCGCCTGGATAAGTATATTGTACGTATACCGCAGTGTTATCGCTTGTAATCTACTCTAATTTTGCGCACAGGAAACCAAATTGAAGAAGGAAGAGAACATTGAATTGTTGAAGAAGCTCGCGCAATCCAAGATCGACACATCCGCTCTCCAAAGCTCGAAAGAACTCGGAAAACGCAAAAGACCAGATGAAAGGCCGCCAAGGCCAACGACCACGGACAACAATGTTCGTCCCAACTACGATTCCTCCGGCGACGAGACTGATGATTCGCTACCTCCGGCCAAATCCATTGCCGTCGCAACCTTGCCTGATGAATCCGCGAATACACCTGCAGCGCCACAGGTAGTGGGCAGTGGCTTGAAGCGCCCGCTTGAATTAGGGCCTGATGGGTTTCCCATCATAAAGAAGCGGAAGCGCGCGCCCAAAAAACCGATGATCACGATAACTATGCCCGAAGTCCCTTGGGATGGTTTTGGCTCGGATGATGATGCTCAGAGCGAGGAGGATGAGGATCAAGAAGAGAAAAATGAGGATGATGAAGCACATTCTGAAGGAGACTCCGATGAGACATCGGAGGATGGTACGAGCGATGATGGCAGCGACAGTGAGAGCGGCGAGGAGGATGAGGATGAAGACGATGAAGATGAAGATGAAAACGAAGAAGATGAAGAGGAAGAGACCGGCACTCTAAACAAGGGCAAGCCCCGACAGTCCGCATTCAAGGATTGGGCGAGGCAGCAGATCAATGAAGCGGTGGGATTCAAGCCTGCCACTGTTCCAGTTGTGTCCGAGCCAATGCCGTTCATCCCTGAACGTAAGAAGCCTGTGAGGAATACTGTCTACGAGGAAGAGCCGCTACCTCGAGAGCTCCAGGTCACCACTGGAGATCCTAACCGCAAAGCGTTCAGTGTTCAAGTCAACCGCTCTGAGGAGATACAGAAAGCACGTCTGGGCTTGCCTGTGGTCGGAGAGGAGCAGAAGATCATGGAAGCTATTTACAACAACTCTTCCATCGTGATTTGGGGTGCTACAGGTAGCGGAAAAACCACCCAGCTACCCCAATTCCTTTTTGAGGCCGGCTATGGTCATCCTGACAGTCCTAACCCTGGAATGATTGCCGTTACCCAGCCACGCCGAGTAGCTGCTGTCAGTATGGCGAAACGTGTCGGCGATGAGTTGGGCCAGTATTCTGACCGTGTCTCTTACCAAATTCGATTCGAAAGTACGGCAACCAGCAAAACTGCCGTCAAATTTATGACCGACGGTATCCTTATCCGAGAGATTGCCGAAGACTTCTCGTTGAGCAAGTATTCGGTCATTGTCATTGACGAAGCTCACGAGCGCAGTGTCAACACTGATATCCTCATCGGCATGGTGAGCAGAATCGTTGACCTTCGGAAATCCATGAGCGCGGAAGACCCATCCGTCAAGCCCCTGAAACTGGTGATCATGTCTGCCACTCTGCGCATTTCCGATTTCACACAAAATCCCAGTCTGTTCCGCGAGGGACCACCACCATTGGTCCAGGCTGAAGGTCGTCAATATCCCGTCACCGTTCACTTCTCCAGACGTACCCACCGCGACTACGTTGAGGAGTCTTTCCGCAAAGTATCTCGAGGCCATCGCAAGTTGCCCCCAGGCGGTATCCTAGTATTCTTGACTGGACAGAACGAAATCCGTCAGCTTTCCAAGCGTTTGAAGCAGGCCTTCAAGCCTACTCAGCGAGGAGACACTACCCAGGTCAAGGTCCAGATCTCGGCTAACGATGCGCCATTGGAGGTGGAAGATTTGGAGATCGGCGGTGCCGATTTGTCTGTTCCCGGCGGCGAAGGAGATGATGAAAGCGATTATGAGATTACTGGGCTGGATGAGCCCGATGAGGAAGACGAAGAGTTTGACCTCGGTGAAGAGGCCATGAGCTCATCTACCCGGGTCCACGTGTTGCCACTGTATTCTCAACTTCCCACCAAAGAGCAGCTGAAAGTCTTCGAGGAACCACCAGAGGGCTCGCGTCTTATCGTTCTGGCGACCAACGTGGCAGAGACAAGTTTGACTATCCCTGGCATCAAGTACGTTTTCGACTGCGGTAGAGCCAAGGAGAAGCAGTATGATTTATCTACGGGAGTGCAGAAGTTCCAAATTGAATGGATCAGCAAGGCTAGCGCAAACCAGCGAGCCGGTCGTGCTGGTAGAACTGGACCGGGTCACTGCTATCGCCTTTACTCTTCGGCAGTCTACGAGAACGAGTTTGCCGAATACACTGATCCGGAGATTTTGCGCACGCCGATCGAAGGCGTTGTGCTGCAGATGAAGAGCATGGGTCTGCACAATGTTATCAACTTCCCCTTCCCCACGCCCCCTAGCCGTCAAGGACTGGCCAAGGCCGAAAAGCTGCTCAAAAACCTGGGAGCTCTGACGTCAGAGGGCAAGATCACACAGATCGGAAACCGCTTGTCTACGTATCCATTATCTCCTCGATTTGGCAAGATGTTGTATGTCGGCCACCAGCACGGCTGCATGCCGTACGTAATTGCCCTCGTTGCCGCTTTGGCTGTGGGAGACCTCTTTGTTCCCCAGAACCAGATCGATCCCGTGCCATCTAAGAGCGATGACAACAATGGAGTGTACACCAACGCGGACCGGCTCGAGGATACGGCTCGTGAGCAACGCCACAAAGATTACGCCCGGGCTCAACGTCTTTTCAGCAAGCACGACGATACCTCCGATGCAATGAAATTCCTGTCGGCGATCTGCGCCTACGGCTATGCCTCCGACAGCGAGTCGTTCTGTGAGAAGATGTTCCTGCGCGCCAAGGCATTCAAGGAGGCCACCCAGCTCCGTCGCCAACTAACGGATATCGTGCGAACCAACAACCCCGGTCTCGTCCCTGCATACCAGGCGCGCCTGCCAGAGCCCTCCGAGAAACAGGTCAAGGCTCTCAAACAGATTGTCACCGCAGGGTTCATCGACAATGTCGCTCTTCGTGCGGATCTCGCGCCTGTACCTCCTGAGATGGCCCGGACGCCGAAGCGAGCAATCGACGTCCCGTACTTCACGCTCATGAGGTCCCGCGAGGGTCCGGGCTTGGAACTGAACGACAAGTGTGTATATGTGCATCCGTCCTCGATCCTTGCGCAGATGTCGGCCAAGGAGATGCCACAGTACATCGTCTATTCCCACCTTCAACAATCTTCTCCGTCAGTAGTGGCGTCAGAGCAAACACCGAAGATCAGGATGTATCCACTTGCAACCCCCAGCGGGCTGCAGCTTTCTGCAATTGCACACAACACGCCGCTGATTGAGTACGGTAAGCCAATTGGAAAGGCAGATACGATTGAGGGTATTCCTGAACGGCGCTCATGCTGGGTGATTCCGTCGTTGGTGGGTGAGGCCGGCGGTTCGAGGTGGCCTTTACCTGCAAAGAAGGTCATCCAGAGGAAGGATCCCAAGGAGGGATGGGTGATTGAGAAGTTTACTAGTTGAAGTATATAGCGATGATGCTTGCAAGCAAAAGTTATGAGAATATAATGCACAGCCGTGTCCGATCACGAGACTTGTCCAGTAAAAATGCCTGCTACTGTAGAAGTAGTGAAAGAAAACCTAAGTGTTCACAACGCCCCGACGCCCATCAACCCACCTTATACCATTTGGGACCACCCAAGGCAGAAAAGCAAGAACAATGGAAAAGCAACTACAGTCAAATGGATCAATCAATCAATCCCTCCGCCTACCCCCGGAGATCTCCCCAGTCTCCCTATCCTCGCGAATCCCCAGCGCCCTCCTCAACCGCTCACTCTCCTCAATCTTAGCCTCAGCCAACTCATGAACCTGATACGACTTGAACTGTTTCCTCGAAGAAGAAGGAGGAGGCATATCCCTCTCCCTACCCCACCTCCTCCCACCATTATTGGATACCCTCCCACCATCGCGCTCCTTCCTCTCCGCAGCCCTCTTCTCCTCCTCCTCCAACTCCCTCAACAACCGAGCCCGCAGCTCCTCACACCGTTCATCGATCTCCTCCTCGGACAACACGCGTTTCTCGCCCTTCTTCTTCTGCTTCTTGGAAACCTCGCCATCATCCTCCTCCTCCTCCTCCTCCTCCTCTCCCTCCTCCGCCTCTCCCTCCTCCCGCTTATCCCCCTCCGCCTGCACCTCTACTTCCTCCTTCTTCCCCTTATTCGTCGTGGCCAACTCCTCCTCCAACCGCTCATTCTCCTCCTCCAACTCCTCCCGCAACTCCATAACCTTCACCTCGACCGCCCGCCGCCGATCATGCTCGAGGATCTGCCGATCGGGCATCCGCTGCTTGAAGGGCCGGCCGGCGGAGTCGGCGGAGTTGGCGCCGGAGACGGGCGGGTACGGCTGCCCGTAGCCAGTGGTGCGCGGCTTGATGAATGCGGCGTTGCGCTGCACGTAGCCCGAGGTGCCGCTGCCGCGCGGGGTGGAAAGGCCGACGTTGGAGGACATGTTTTTTTTTTTTTTTCTCTCTGAACTGTGGTTGGGGTGAAGGTTGAGGTGGTTCGTGTTGTTGGGTGGCAAGGACTAGGAATAAGTGCGCGAATTTGATTGAGGTGGAGTGTTTGCAGTTGGCTCGTAAGAGGGGGTCGTGTATGTGTTAATCAAGGTGATGGTCTTGTTAGAGATCTGATGGGTGGTCGTAGATCGTAGGTCGGTGCGTAAGTAACTGCTCGTTTCCGATGAAGGCAAGTTGCGATCGTTGATTACAGTAGGTGGCAAGGTTCAAGGGAAGAAAATCGAATCGCGATATATATTCAGCGACAGGACCGATCTGGTCGGACAATGGCTGAGGTTAGGGGTTTGTGGATGAGAGAGGTCTCGCAGCTGCCCTCCGTGGCATCCTCGAATGGTAAAGGTTTCTTTCTGAGATAACCGCCGCGGAGCTCTCGGTCACGTGATGATAACGGAGGAGAAGTAGATAACGTCACAAGACAAGCGCCGGCGAGGTCGAATCAAGTTGCAATTATTCAGACTACAAGAACAACCACAGACACAGATAAGACACATTTCACTTCGTTGTCTGTATACTAGAGAGGTAAGCCTCTACATGCTCTAGGCATCCCTTATGTTCTCCCTATTTCCAGGTCTCCCATTATGTCCAAGGTCCCATTTTGTTAACCCAGCGAAGGAATTCCAGCGCGATGCCCCATGATCCGTAATTCACCAATAACTGACGCCGACCCTTCAGGTTGTTAGGACACAGAGAAACAGAAAACATCGATAGATATGGAGGCGTGTCCTCATTTTCATCACACAGAACTTCAAAGGTAACAGAAGAAAGAAAGTACATCCACAAGCAATTAAAGAAGTAGAGAAATATGTTTCAAGAAGCAAAAGGGGTGGGGGAATAGTAGAAGCGAATAAGCAAATGACCTCAAATCCCCGCCGTGTCCCTGAATATTGCGCCGTTCAAGCCATGAAAATAGGGCGGGAAGGTGAGGAGCAGTCCATCCTTCAGGGCCCAGTATGTATACGCCCCGTTCAATAATAATGTGGAAGAACTCAGAACATCGGAAGAATAAAGCTATATGTCAGAGAAAGCAATGATAGGTATGAAGTCGTTGCAATCCTATGTCGCACCAGAAACTTCAGCGGAGGCGCTAGAGTCCGCCTCGGCTGATTCCGACTCAGCCAAAGGGGTCACGGTCGTTTTGGTGATAGTCTTATATTCGGAAGAGCTATCTGCGCCGCTTTGGCTGTCAGTAGGAGGGGGTGTGGGAGGCGCTGCTCCGACAACGGGGGCCCGACCGCTTTCGACGCCATTGACTGCGCGCTTCGACGGTTGAGGAGAAGATTTATGAGAATTTGGTGGAGTAGTGGATGTGGCAGGTTGAGGAACAGGACCACCGGAAGTGGGGTTTGTACCAGCGATCAGCTTTTCGATCGCGATAATTTGCTTGCCGTAACTGAACCTTTTTATCTGATCGAGTGACGACTGAATGCGCACTGAAAGGGCATATTTCTCCTCAGACGAGTCTTGAAGCTGACCGAGAACCTTCTCTGTGGATAGTTAGCAGCTGTGCTGTACTGCAAAGGTCAATTCTGACTTACGAATGACATAGTTTCCGTACTGGTCACGCATCATGGCGATCAGGGCAGTGTCACCCTTCTCGAAGGCGGTGAGAGTATTGATGATCTGTCGACGTTGAGATTCTTCACCAAACTCGATACTCTTTTCCACAACGTTGCTGGCAAACTTGTGCTTCGAATAGGTGAGCAAGTGGGAGATGACAACGTTGATCATGCGCGACCGATCTTTCTCTTCGCCATTCTCAATGACATGCTGAATCACATAATTACCAAACTGATCAGGAATAAGTTTGGCCGTGCAAGCGTGCAATTCAGCAAGGATCGACTCGCGGTCCTCTTCCTCACAATGCTCCAGCATACGCTGGATGACACGGCAGCCGTACGGATGGGCGGCCAATTTATCGACCTGCCCCTTGAAGGCATTGATGATGAATTGAACATATTCAGAGGGGACTCTTTCAATTGCCTTCTGAATAACATGATTGCCGTTCTGGTCCCGCACGCACCGAAGGACATGGTTTTCCAGCTCTTTGACCATGGACGCTTGTTGATCGGTCAAAATATGCTCGAGAGCCTGTGACAGGATATATTAACAAGAGTTCGTAGGTGATCGTGCCATGGGAAATGGCAAGTCTAACTCACCTTTTGTACTACCCGGCACCCATACATCTGCGTGGAAAGAGACAAAATATGCCCCTTCATTTGATTGGCGAGAATTTTTTTCTGAGTCTGATTGCCGTGCTCGAAGAGCTTCTGGACCACGTAATTACCAAACACATCAGTCATGAGCTGCAAGCTGTTCGACTGGATTTCCCGGAAGACCTGCTCCTTCTCATCACTGTTTGCAGTCTCAAGCTTCTGCTGGATGAAGCGCGACCCGTGCTGGTCACCGCTAAATTCAACTATATGGCCGTATATATCCTAGAACCACTTAGTAGATAGTCATATGTCAAAGGCAAGAGATGCAAACCTTTAGCTCATAACGTTTGTTGCCCTTGCTGTTTGCTCTGAAATCTTCCAGAACAGCGCTCCGAACGACCTGCGAAGAGGGGTCCTCACGATGTCCCCTCTGAACGAGAGCAGCTGCGCCAAGGTGGGCGGCAGGATGATAGAACCCAGACATGCCATTCAACCTCTGAGCTGTTTGATACCCGACGTTGAGGTCGTAGCCAGGACCAAAAGCGACACGCTGCAGGGAATTGGCGGACTGTTGGGCCAGCTCCTGATCGGCCCGGATCTTGCTCAACAGTGCGGCCTGGCTTTCTGACAGCGGACCCGTGGAAGAGTTTCGGTAATGAGCACCATTCTCATGTCCATAGAAGGGGCTTTCCATGCGGTTAAACTCAACCGGTGAGATAGTATTACCCTCCGCCACACGAGACCTAGCGGTTTGATAGGCAAGTGGCAAGTCTGCGGTCACGTTCTCGCTGCCGTAGCCAGAAGCAATCTGGTAGGTGAACTCATCACTAGCGCCCTGGTAATTCAGACGGTGGATGGCGTTGTCGTAGGATTGATGCGACATGAAACCGGGGCGGCTGTTCGGCTGCGCGGAAATGCTCCCCTCGTTCAGTTGTAATTTGCCAAGACTAGAATTGATGTCCACAGACCCCGATCTGCCCTCGAAACCCTGCGTCTCGGAGTGGAAAGATGGGTAGGACGAGTGGGCTGGTCTTTGCGGCGCGAAAGATGCAGAATTGTGCGAGACATGCGCATAAGAATTACGGCTAACGTGCTGTGGCATGAAGTCAGGGAGAGCTTGAGGAAAGCCTGACATAGCCATTGACGAAGACACCTCTTCCGCTCTGCTATTGTCGAGATTCGGAAATCCGGGCTTGATTGGGAAGCCCGAACCCACCGGACTGCTCCCAAATGTAGCCGTATTGGCATGCCTTCTGTTATCATTGTTGCGAAATCCGCCGAAGTTTGCAAGCGAGATACCATCGTTAGAAGGAGAAATGCCTTCGGCCCTCCCATTGAAATAAGGCTGGTGAGCTGCGCTACCTGAAGAGCCGCTGATTGCCGATTTCGTTGGGAGTGAAAAATACGAAGATGCCTCTGCTGCCTCGGATAAAGAGGCAGCGCTGCGGTCATTAGTACGAGTTTGGACAGGCGACGTGGTCATGCTGCTGTTGGGTCCCCTCGACAGCGCGCTGCCTGATGTATTGATCGTGCTCCAAGGGAGATTGGGTCGACTGTTCCAGCCGTCGGATTCTGATGACGACAACAAGGAGCTTGAACCAGCTTTGCCTTCGAAGGCAATTTCCGAGTTGGATTGTTCTAAGCGGTGGCTGTTAGTACGGCTTTCTGCGCGGGTTCGGGCATAGCTTACGATCGGCTCCTCTTCCCCAGATGTTAGTGTTCCAATGTCCATTGCTACTACCGAACCCTTTCCCCATGCTTCCGTGAGAGGGTCGTGACCTATCGCTACCCACATTTGCTGAGTTCATGTTGGACCCTCTGTTCGACCGTCCCTAGAATCTCGATTAGCCACGCTGTCCACGCCGTCACATACGGCTGTTACCTACATTGTGGCCTGTGCTCGGGTTGTTGGAAGTCATAGCGGGCACTCCACCATATACGTTCGCTGTTCAGTATAATTGATTGTATTGATAAAAACCCGTTGCTCAATGTTCAAGTCGAGGGCTTCCGTTTATTCCTTTTGTTTGTGGATTTCGATGCGTTCCAGGGTTCTGTCGATACAACAATCAAGATCGAACCGATACAGTCAGGTATAATCGCCCGGGTAGGGAGGAGAAGGTACGAGCTCTGTAAAGATATAGCGGACTGCACCAAAGTTAGCCATATGATCGCTCCGTGGCCATAAAAGTGTGAGAAATGAGAATTTACTCACAAGGAAGGCAAGAAGAAATGAAACGAGAAAAGAAAGGGATATGGACAAACGAGTAGACAGGTTCACGGAAGAATAAGATAATGTTTGTCCAGAATAGACACGGTCAAGCAAAAGCGAGAATTCACAGGGACCTCTCGAAGGGATGGGGTACGAAGGGGAGGAAGAGCGTGGCAGGCGAGAAATGCTTAACAGAGGAAGGAGGTAGGCCGGGCAAAAAAAAAATGCAAGGTGACCAGAAAGCTTCTTGGTTTGCCAGCGCGATGCTCAGCACGCAGCGGTTGATCGAAATCGCCAAAAAGATACTGCGATTTGACTATGCTCCGTGCATGCTCCAGGAACCTCGAACCTCACAGATCGTCCTCATGTGCTCTCCAGAGAAGAGAGGGATAGCCGACACGGGTCCAGTTTTAATCAGACAAACGTTAGGAGCTCGGATGATTCGCAGCGGCAAGGGGTGTGGGTAGGAGCGAAGGGTTGGAGGAGATTGCAGTTGGTATGGAAGGAGAATGTGCTTGTTGCGCAAGACGGCGTGATTTATTGGAGTGTCGAACGATGGGAATGTGGACGAGAGACGAAGCACGGCATTAATGTAATTCAGTTGTGACACAAGGCGAAAGCAAGCATGACACCCGAACTGGTCCCAAAGCAGATCAGTATTTTATCGCACCTCCGACTGAAACTTCCGCCGAGGGTCGAACTGGCGAAATCGGTTGGCGGTTATATAGGAAGAAGAGGGTTGGAAAAAATAAATAAAAATTGGCGGAAAAAAAGCGACCGAAGAGAGATGAAAGAATCACGTAGTGAGTGAGAGGAGTTGGTTGAGAGTTGGAGGTCGGAATTCCAGGGTAGGGGAAGAGAAAAGGTTATTTTAATAATAAAAAAAAATCGAACCCGAAAAAAAAGATCTGGGTTGACCCGCGACAAGTGAAAGTCGGTAGCACAAAAGAGGCACCAAAGAGGACCCGTCAAGAAACGAAAATGACGAATTGGGAAGGGAGAGGGGAGGGGAGGGGGGAGAGGAGAAGAAATTGAGGAAGAGGAGAGAGAATTGATGGATGAGAACAAAAAGGGAGGAAGAAAGGAAAAGAAAGGGCCTTACTCAGTCTGCAGCGGCAGCCAGGATGGGGGAGTTGATTGATTGATTGATTGATGGAGGATGAATTGGATGGATAGAGAATGATAGATAAGCAAGCAGCAGCAGTGACTAGCAGCAGTAGCAGAGTAACTACAGTCTGTACGTAGCGTAGCGTAGGTAAAGCAAGACCAGACAAGCTGGAAAAAAGATGCTGCGTGTCTCGCCATCAGAAAAGGTTCTTGGGAAGCAGTTGGTGGCTGTTACTGGTAACTTTACAGAGTGATGACAATACCAGACGATCTGTCGATCTTCGTAGTCTACTTTAGCAACGTATGGGCAACGCACTGGGCGAGCAGGTACCTCCGGGTCCCTCCTTCAGCCCTCCGCCTCCCGCCCCTTCTGGGCGCTTGTCCACCCAGTCCACCCACATTGTTCTGTCCGATACGGTTCCAAACCTTGAATCTGGGGCCGTTCAAAGTTGCTCCCGCCGCTTCTTTTTTAGGCTTCCATCTAGTACTAAGGCGGCCGGCCCCTCAATCCTGGAAGAGAGTCTTCGTTAACCTTGTCCCCTCCGATTTTAGTGAGTCTGGGCGTACCGCGTTCCTATCATCGTACACCTAGTTCTTTCCACCGGACTTCCTTTCACCCCATCAAAGTTGTCTGTTTCAGCAGTATTGCAGATGCAGACTTGTTCCTGAAGATGCTGAAACCCCCCGGGCCCTCTTCTTTTCTTTCCTGCTTTGGGTTAATGAGGGTTGCACAAACCAAGTTGGGGGGGAACTTCCAACCAAGGACAGCAGCATAATAGGCTGACCGCCGCAGTCAAAACTCATACCCATAACTAAAACTAACCATCATCATTGATGTGGTTGGCATCTCTCCCACCGTTGCGTAATGGATTATCCCTTCCGGTCCCCCACCGTATCATTTTTGACAGTCGGCGCAAGAGCACGATTGACTGCGAGAGATCCCGTGGGCTGAAAGCCTGGGGGTACTAAGTTGCGAACTTCGACGTCCGAGAAGGTGTCATTTCGGCATCTCGGACATCAGTTCCTGACCTACGTTTCCCGACCGCGACTTCTGGTCCCTTGTTTTTCACTTGAGGCTAGCCTGCTCGATGCTCAAGTCACAATCACCTCGCCACTTTCTTCCCCCTATCTCTATATCTATCTCAAAGCATGTGCCTCGCTCGACTAGATTTGAGACATTATCCATTATATCACCACCAACCTCATGGGGGGTTGGTTGATTGTAAGGAAGACTGACAGTAAAGGTTAAGTTGCGCTCCAGCCCGACCGATCGGATCCACTAAACTAGCTTGAATTTTTCTTGTTAAATCAGAGTTTAGTATTCTCGAGCCACCTTAGGACCCTTCGACAATGAATTCATGATGCCTTGATGATCCGGGCCGAACATTTCCTCCGATCATCGTTCCATCCCCGCGCTCAACACCTGCCGCTCAAATCCTATAGCCGATCTGGGCGCTCTCTTTCAACCGCCCTTCACGCATTATTCATCGAATGGACATGGCTCTATTCACAAAACCGCCTTTAATTGAGTGAAACGAGCAGTGTGGAACGATTATCACAAGATTGCGGGGGGTTTTACTTGGATACAGTGGTCAATGGCTCTCAAACAACCATGGAACAAACCACCAGCCATCCCAAATAGAAGGCCGTGTGCTGCTCACTGGCCTTGATCGCTCACCCGACCGACATCATTATCACGCCTTCCCACGAGTCAGGAGAAAGAAAGCCATCATCCTCGCGCAGAGATTCAACTTAATCAGCCTGTCCCTTCCGTGATGCATCGCTAGTCCCCGCAACATGATTGCTAGGGGCTAGCCGGAGTCTTGTCAGGAAACAACAATAATACCCCACGTTATCCCTATCCCCACTCCTTTCGCTGCGACTCAGGTAATTGCCAACAGTACATACCTTCCTCAGCTTATCTGGCTGACTTCCCCGCTATACTCCATTAACAGAGACACGCATCCATCGCCCTTGCGTTCAAACAGTAACATTGATTTAGGTTTCATCCGCCCTGCCGTTTTGACGGCCGAGGAACCAAGAAATCCAAACATAATGGGTCCTCCAGTACTTTGGTCGGGCTGTAGTTCCTCTGATCGTCATGTCCGCTATATTGAATTGCCCTCGCTAAGGTAGCTTAGCTCATTGGTGTGTTAGCATGTGTGTGTTCTTGTATGCAGTGTAGCTCTGTAGGTAGCCTTATTTTCTGACGCCGTGGGATCGATTGCAGAACATGGCCTGGCAACAGACACGACTCTTTCCGAGTCGAAGACTCGGGCAAGCACAAACGAAAGACCTCAAGCACGACCTTCTTGTCGCGCCTTGCATCTGCGCAGAAGCCCCCAACATCAATTCGCCTTATCGACATCTACTACCACCTCATAGATCCATGCAAGTGACTGAGAGAGGGGTTTTGTTTTGATGAAAAGAGAATGAGCGGCGACTACACCCACCCATTCTTCTGGCCCCTACGTAGGTATGTGTCCAAGCTCGCCCGCCGACCCGTGGACCGTCACTGGCGGTAGCACACCCATAGATTGTAGATCCATGCCATACCATAGACAAGCATGCTGTGGGCAAATTCTGACACGCATTCGCGAAGCTGCTCTGCGAACATGGTTCGGGTCTTTGAGTGACCATTATCACACGGCACGCCTTCCGACGGCAAGATACTGTTGTTGCCCCATGTCTAGAATTCCTTCGTAGGCTACCCCCGGTGGCATCGACTTTGGGTGATATGCTCACTGTTTGGTGGTTGGGTGGAAGGATCCTTTCTCCGAGGCTAGTCATGATCTCGAGTCGACCCATATTAATCCTATTGTGTCAGGTGTCCATGACGCAGCGTGGTATAGATATCGGTTTTCTCCGGAGTGAACTCATACTCATTTCACTTTGTCCGACTTCAGACTGGGTAGCTAATACCTTGGTCCGGTTAACGCGGCCACGAAGACTGCGGTAGTATTGGCTGAAGTCATAACCTGGGATTGCCTTCCTCACATTGGCAATGGTAAAATCATCCGTTCTATAATCAATAACGAATGATCCAGAACTATACTTTAGACTCTATCGCGCAGATATTCGCCTATAGGTCGTTCTAGCCACTTCTGGGCATACTAACCAAGGATTGATCACCGTCAATTCCTGGTCCTCTACGATGGCAGCTAGGGTGGTAATGATTATATTCTCTAGGCATACATGAGAAGACACCACATATTGATAGAGGGGAATTCTAGGTCCCAAAGTCAGAAGTAAGACGCTTAAGCTAAACTTGGTATCTGCCAAGCCCTCTCGATCCAACAGCAGAATACCTGGACCGCAGCGGAAATCCATTTTCAAATCGAGTCCGGAGGTTAGGTATCCCTGGACTCCTCAATCATATATCCTACTCTAAAATTTGACTTGCGGTTGAACAGCAATTGATTATAGTCCTGGACAATGAATGTGGGAATCTTCATTCGAGAGCATCCAGGAATTGAAGTTATTGTATATTGTGATTCTATGGAAACACAACCAAGCTATACGATATATAAACTTAGTTTGTAATCTCTACTAGTGTAATTATCTGAGAATTTCTCTTCCAAGTTCAAGTTCCTGTGTCACCCTGCACAGCATTCCTGTTTTCATTGTTCTACTAAGAACGTTGTTTCACTGCCAGCATCAATCCAAGTACCAGCATAGGCCTCTTCTCAGTGCCTTTCTGGTTTTGTAGACTCATTATTCCTCGCAGTAGACTTTCTCATCAACCCACAATACTGAAAGATAGACCAATCAAAATCTATATCAGGACAGCCCCTCCCATTCGTCTCGTCCAAGAATATTTCGAGATGTTGTCTCTTAAATGGCTCAAGGGATTTAGACACTGAATAGGTATGTGTTCCTCAATTGTGGGCTATAGTTAAGGTCTAATCTATGAGAGACGGAAGATAAGGACATGATAATTCAAATCGATCAGTGCAGCATCACGGCAGTTTCTTTAATAAGTAGTCCCGTCCAAGGCTAGTAATCCGAGCTCAATACAGTCAACCGGTACGCCATTTATTCTTCACTTCCAGACTACCACGACTCGCAAGCTCTCTGATGCCCAGGCCCGGCAAACAGCCACAATACAATATCGCCGGGGCTACTCGGTGGGCCACTCATAACAGTGGCTCAGAAGCAGGCCTTCCGAGAGGCTAATATCAAGAGTATGTCGACATTCAAGCTGCTATCAGTTGACGTTCCATATATCGTGGTCGTCAAGCCGGAGTTGGACCCTCTGCCATCATCGTGGTACGAAAGCTGCGTTTTGGAGCCTGAATTGGTGTTGGAAATGATTGTGAAATAGAATGCAACCCTTCGTGGTAACTCGGCTACGAATTTGGATTATATGAGCAGTATAGCCGTATGTCACCGATACTCTTCCATTTCCACCAGCAAAGTATGCTGAGAAACTACTTGTACACCAGAGAAAAATTACCACACTTTGCAAAGTCTATCATCAAAAACCACGGGCCTTTATCAGGCTTCATAGGGCCTTTTTTCCGACATTTTATAGCTGCAGTACATACCGGCCGATGAGTCGATAATCCATTCCTTTGATAGGCATCTGGCTAAGCTAGTCGCGATACCTTGTATCCTGGGCCCACGGCAGAGAAGCCATGGACGTTCCTGGAGCGGCGGGTAGGCGCAATCGCCTCCTCAGCCTCATCAACTCCAAGCCGCGCTCGCATTCGTCGTGCGTACGCTCGTTCCTCTTCATCGGAGGAGTCAAAGCTTGCGCGCCCCCGTCGCTGGTATGATCTTTCTACTATTGGTATTGAAGGACGGATCCAGCGCCTTGGTTCTGGACTCACCCCGGGGCTCTCGGTTGTTCTCGCCCGAAGCAGTTTCTCGCACAACAGGGCGATATCCCCGGAGCTGGACGCATCCGCGATGTCTGCCCAGTCTCGGACATTACTCTCGCTTGTACCTGCCTCCATGATCAGGGATCTCTTCCGGTGGTTCTTTATGGACTGGGTCACTTTCTTTTCCAGCCTTCTGGCGTCCTCTACCATGACGGCCGCACGGTCCGCGACGCCCAGGATCAGTTTCAATTTCATCGCTTGCTCAAGAGACATAATAGTTGTCAATGTGGGGACCGGGTACGAGAGGCCTCGTTTGGCTTTTACCGTGCGCGGGATGCCAAAAGAGAGGAAATGACTAGCCTTCGCGGACATTGATGCACGCAGCTCGAAATCTGTTTCGCATTGAACCACCAGAAGAAGGCGGACTATCTCGGGCAGTCCGCTCTTGCTACCAGGCTCCTCATACAAACGCCAGGAGGCATGCATCCGATCTTTGACTGTCCCGTGAATTATTCGGACTCCTTTGAACGTAGACTTTCTTCCCTTGGAACCTTCCATGCTGATATTGACGCTGGACGGTCCGCCGTTTCCGTTGGCTCCCACTGTGAACTTTTGTCCTGTCGTGATTTCCTGCTCCGAAACTTCGACTCTATCAGCCTGTGGCATGATAGTGCGAATATTAGGCAAAGCCCCCGAGCCTGTTGGATGGAGGGCCACGTCAACCTCCGCATACCGAATGCGGTGGCTCAAAGAATGGGGCTTCATGAAGTTAAGTTTTAGTTGAATAGCATGCATATCCCGTCCTTCGTGAGTTAATGCATGAATTGACTCCATCTTCGCGTCGCAATAAATATCATGACGATCGTACTTAGCCAGAATAAAGCCGTCACCATTATCCCGACATACACCATCCCAGTGATCCTGGCCCAGTTCGTTCCATGGAGGATCTGCCTCAAAGCCTGCCGCGTTGTCGACGTCAGCTGGATCCGACTCAACATGACTGTTTGCCCGTTCTTTCTCTCTAATCATCGGCATCTCATGGTTGGGCACAATTCCTGTCTCTATCTCCTCCGTCTCGGTATTATTGACCAGCTTCCTGGCACGCACTTCGCGTGAAAGAGATGTCGACCGTAACCGCGACCGTAACCGCGACCGTGACCGCGACCGTGACCGTGTCCGTAACCATGATCGTGACCATGACCGTGACCGTGACCGTGACCGTGACCGTGGCCGTGACCGTGACCGTGACTGTGGCCGTGATCGCGCTTGCGAAGAATTCTTGTTTTTGGCCTTTCCCTCAAAATGCTCTAGTAGGCGCACAATACTCCCCGATTGTTTTGTGCTTAAGGCTAATTGCAACGCTGTTAGTCCCTTCGCGTCCTTGACCTGTACGCTCGCGCCATAATGGAGCAAAAGCCACAGCACTTGCTTCCAGCCATTCGAGCAGGCTAGATGCAGTGCTGTATTCCCTTCAGCGTCTTTCGCATCCACATCTACATGATGCCGAAGCAGCGCACGCACTGGCTCTCTCCAGCCCGCCTCAGCAGCATAATGCAGTGGCGCCCTTCCCTCAGGGTCCGCCACATTGCCATCTACTCCATGCCGGAGCAGCGCCCTCAGCACCTCGGTTTGGTGGCTAGCTAATGCTAATTGTAAAGGTGTGCGGCCGAGATTGTCTCGAGAATCAGCCCGGGCCCTGGAGCTGAGCAGCAAGTCGACCATAGGTTCACATTCTTGGATGCAAGCATGATGCAGTGCCGTCCTTCCTTCGATGTCTGCAGCGTCGACATCGGCCCCCACTTCAAGAAGGCGCGACGCTATGGCGTAGTTTGAACGACTGCTAGCCAGAATCAGAGGCGTCATACCCTCGCTGCCGGGGTTGTTGACGTCTGCGCCTTGATCGATCAAGAATTGCACAAGATCATCCGTTTCTTTCAAGATCGCGATGTGAAGCGCAGTATTTCCGTTCAAGTCTCGAAGGCCGATAGCCGCTCCTTTACGGAGTAGCAACTTCGCCCCTTCAAGATTATCCTGGTAGGCTGCTTCGTGAAGAGTGCTTGGCTTTCGGACCCCTTCGAATTCCGGGTCGCTATCTGTGTCCATGTATATATCGCTGTTCAAGGCGAAGATCTCATAATCGATTATCCGCCTTGTCTGCGGCCTGCGCCTGCTATGCTCAGAATCGTCCCTTGAGCTTGAACCCATCGCTTGACTAAACCTCTCTGGTCTGACCTAAGAAGTTTGTCGATATCAAGCGGTTTACTACCGTCTAGGTAGGCAGAAGTTCGAGCCAGGCTGCTGTATGGTAACAGCATTAGGCTGAGAATCTCACATGATTCCAAGCAGGCATCCGTCAGGCTGGGGACTTGGCTTTCTAGCGGATGGCGGCGCTGCCTTGGACTACTAAGGACAAGGGCGTGTTTCATTTGATAGTCTGATTAGATAAGCGCCCCCAGTGGGAATAGTATGACTCGACATGACTCAACTGACCTACATGGTACTATGCTAAGAGACCTATAGTAGCTAGGGATCTCCTTCTGCAGAATCTTCGAAAAAGAAACGAGCAATTCAGCAAAACAAATCGCGGTGTACCCTGGAAGTGCAAGTCGTGGCCAACCCTGGAATCTACTTGTATCGGAAAGTGTTTCGAGATAAGATAAGTGCACGTGACTGCTCCGCCGTTCGGAGTCACTCAACTTTTTTTTCTGCCTCCTCCTTCCACCCCTCTTGCGGCATCGTTCACGTCTGTCGTCACCACAACTTTTTCGGTCGGTCGCTGCAAAGATGAAGTACGTTCTGGTCTCTGGAGGTAAGTATGATTCCATTGACTGTGCTTGTATCTTCCAAAGGCTAACGGAAAGTCTCAACTAGGTGTCATTTCCGGCGTGGGCAAGGGCATTATTGCCTCCAGCACCGGTCTGCTCCTCAAAACTACTGGTCTTACGGTCACCAGTATCAAGATCGACCCTTACATCAACATCGATGCGGGCACTATGGCACCTACCGAGTCAGTATCTTGAGATCCGGCTTTCTGGTGCTGACCCCGTTTATTGACATCACCCAGACACGGTGAGGTCTATGTCACTGATGACGGCGGTGAAATGGACCTTGACCTTGGCAACTACGAGCGCTACCTTCTCACATCGCTCACTCGGGACCACAACATCACCACGGGAAAGGTGTATCAGGATGTCATCAACCGCGAGCGCATCGGCCACTACCTCGGCAAGACCGTCCAGGTCGTGCCCCACATCACCGACGCTATCCAGGAGTGGATCGAGCGCGTTGCCAGGATTCCCGTGGACGAGTCTCGCGCTGAGCCAGACGTCTGTATCATCGAGCTGGGTGGTACCGTTGGAGACATTGAGAGTGCTCCCTTCATTCACGCACTGAGCCAGCTCCAGCGCAAGGCTGGCAAGGGCAACTTCGTTCAGATCCACGTCTCCTACGTGCCTGTCATCCCTCCGGGACCCGGCGGTGAGCAGAAGACGAAACCTACACAGAGAGCCATCAGCGATGTGCGGAGTGCCGGTCTTAGCCCGGATCTGATCGCCTGTCGCTGTGAGCAGCCCCTGGAGGCTAGCACGATCCAGAAGATCGCCAACATGTGCTCTGTCGAGCAACATCAGGTCATCGCTGTCCACAACGTGACTACAACGTATCACGTCCCGCTTCTGCTGGAGAAGCAGAAACTTATCAACACAATCACCCACATGCTCGACCTCACGCCGATTCAACCCACCCCCGAGCGGATTGAGCGAGGCAGCCGGATGTGGAAGGACTGGGTCGACCTCGCTCAGGGACAGGATTTCCTGCACGAGCCAGTGACCATTGCCCTGGTTGGCAAGTACACCTCTCTTCACGACGCCTACATCAGTGTGTCCAAGGCCCTCGAGCACGCTGCGATGTTCTGCCACAAGAAGGTACAGATCATCTGGGTGGACTCGTCGCATCTGGAGGATGGAACCGCTCCCGCCGACTACCACAAGGCGTGGCACGCCGTCTGCACTGCGGATGGTGTTTTGGTCCCTGGTGGCTTTGGTAACCGGGGTACCGAGGGTATGATGAAGGCGATCACCTGGGCGCGGACCAACAAGAAGCCCTTCCTGGGAGTCTGTCTGGGTATGCAGTTGGCAGTTCTGGAATACTGCCGCAACGTGGTTGGCATCGAGGACGTGGGCAGTGAGGAACTGCACCCGTCGGCCGAGAACCACGCTATCGTCTACATGCCCGAGGTCGACAAGGGCAAGCTTGGCGGCACGATGCGTCTTGGCAGACACCCCTGTATCTTCCAGGAGAACACTGAGTGGTCCCGTCTGCGGGGCCTGTACGGTCCCTCCGTCTCCCAGATTGAGGAGCGCCACCGTCACCGCTATGAGGTCAACCCTGCCATGATCGAACAGATCGAGAAGGCCGGCCTGACTTTCATCGGCAAGGACACCAAGGGCGAGCGTATGGAGATTGTCGAGATTAAGGACCACCCTTGGTTCGTCGGCGTGCAGTTCCACCCCGAGTACCTGAGCCGTGTCTTGAGCCCCAGTCGGGCTTTCCTCGGCTTCTTCGCTGCTGCCGCCGGCTGCCTGGACGAGGTGTCCAAGGCTGTCGTTCAGGGCCAGCGCAGCATTGCTCGCAAGCAATAGGTGATAGAGGACGAAGGGGAAGAGAGAAAACTTCTGGTTTACGAATGGGGAAGCGGTACGACTAGCCTTGCGGGAGTTCCATTGGGAGGGATTCTGATGATGGCAATCTTAACTTACTTTGCTTTCTGGGCGTTGAAAATATAAACTTGGTAGTTAGAAGGCAGTGTCAATGCAGTTTCTCGTGGCTTATGAGTCGCTGTGTATGGATTTAATACCGGGTAGCTGTTCTCCCGCCAGAATGGATGGACTTCCATTTGTCGAGTCGCAGCAAATTCACCTTGGACGTTTTTTTAGAAAGAAATCTTTGAAACCTAGCCCAGCGCCTGCACATTGAGTGTGGTCTTCGAAAGTGAAAGCGCTGCGTGGCGATCATAGACACAATGAAGCCCTATTGACACGAGACGACCCGCCAGCTTTCAGCTGTATTAGAGTTGGGGATGAAGAACCGATAAGGCATGTTTGTTGCTGCGGAAGATCGTGATGGGCATGCCGCATTTTAACAGGTTTGAGAATGTTGGATGTGGTTACTGGGTGACCTGGCATTCCTCGGGATTATCCAGCAGGGTGGTAACACGGACCGTGTGGAGTGATGCTACTGCATAACACATACGTACTGTTACTAAATATATTTACGGGGTTTCTAGAACAGGCTGAACTGCAGAACTGCAACCCATTAAAGGTGAAAACCCAACGACAACGTGCATGCTTGATCACACGTCAATACCTGTAACGTCGACAGGCAGTCGCGATGTATTTCCTTCCCCGCAACACGTAGTCCTGATATTGGGGGATGTGGCTGCTGTCAGGCTGTTGGGACAACGGTACGACGGGGTCTCTAACAGTCGTTGTGTTTCACCATTGGAGTGACAGATGGAGCTGCAAGTCACATCATTGGATTTGACAGGTGGTTCTGATGTCACATTGCCTTGGATGAATATCTTTAAGGCTGCTGACGGTCGGAATCAGTACAGCCTGAAAACAGAAGATAGACACGAACTATAGACAACGTCTGTGCCGTCCACGCTGTAGGTAGGGATGCTGTTTGCATGATGGTGGGTGTTTGTTGTGCGAGGAGCTGGCCAAACCCCACTCACTTCTGGATGGATCATCAGGTACGGGGCATTTTCCTGCTCGGTATCCGGACTTTCCGACATGTCTCTGAGAATGTCTCAGTAAGACGAGGAACGAAAGAGACAGAGTTTGTCTCCGTGCTGCCTGTTCATGCATGGTGACCTGCTTTTGTTGTCTTTCTATGGGTTCAGGGTCTGATCGGTGATCACCTCATCTCCTCCCTCTTGTCCTCTCTTCTTCTTCTGTCTTAGACAAAAAGATGGTTCAGGGGCGGGCCAGCTAAAAAAAGGAAAACGTGATGTGGTTCAGGGACAGTCTGGACCTGATAGGCGGAGGGCAAGAAATTACCAGTTGACCAGCAAACTTAAGTTAGCCCGACTAAACCACTTGCAGTCTTAGTTTCCCAATAGTCACCTTTGCCTTTCCCGACCGAGTGCAAGTCTGGACTGTGCCTAAGCGCCCTTGCGCCTCGTTCCTGCTGGCTGTCCACTGCCAGGCACTGTCTCTCTCTCTCTCTCTCTCTCTCGCTCTTGACGGCTTACACTCCCTCTCCCCTTCTCCCTCTCTTTCTTTCATACCCTTCTCCATCCGCTCTTTTCTTGTTTTCTTCCTTCCCCGTTCTTGTTGCTCTTCTTCATTCCCCCAGCGACAACTTCCATACCAACCCCTCCCCCCATTCTTCCTCCTTCCTCCTCCACTTCTTCGTTCATCACACCCCCCGTCACGTTCTCTTCCCACCCTTAGCAGGTGTCAGCTTCACTCTTTCAGCTGCTCACCTTGCTGTCCGTTCGTTCGTCTGACCCAGCCTGGTCGATTTCGATCTTCCCAGCGAGAAATCCCCGACCACACGCCAAACCACCCCACCAACCTCAACCAACCGACCCGATACATTCTCTCTTTTGTTAACGATCTCGAGTCCATAGATCAGCATCCCAGCTGACCCTCGTCGCCATTCTTTCGCCAGAAAATCACCTGCTGGAGTCTATTCTAGGTGATCACCCTCTATTCTACCACGAGCCGTCCATTGTCACAATACGACCGTCGTAGGACGATTTTGAATTCTTGAACCTTCTTAATCGCGAACATCACCTCGTTCGCGTACAAATTCAGACCGGACCGCTTTGGAAAGCCAACCCGGAGACACTCCCTCAAATCCGTTCAAAATGTTGAACACCTTCTCGAAGCTTGCTGCCCGCGGTGACAGTAGCGATGGGCTCTCTCCCGCCATGGTCGACCTTTTAATCTCTCTCCTGGTGCTCGTCCTGCTCGGTCTCGTCCTAGTCGGAGCCCTGCTTGTTCTCCGTCGTAAGCGAATTGGTCGCGGACACTCCGACCTTCCCGTCCACAATGGGCAATGTGTCCCTAGTCACCGCCGCTACACGGTGTCCGCTTCGCCCAATGCTAAGACGGAGTCGGTGCTGGTGTACGATGAGAAGCGCAGTCTCATTGAGAACTCCTCGAGCCCCCCATCCAGCCCGGTCCCCGAAATTCGCATCACTTTCCCAGAGGAGGAAGATGAGTCTGGAAAGCGCAAGTCCGGCCGTGTGGTGGTGGTGCGGATCAGTGATGCCGGCAGTGTTGGTCTGGAACCCTGCAACGACGAGTTGCCGCCTTATCAAACGAGCGATGCTGAACGGTTCCAATCTCTGGATATCGAGCGTATGGGTGGACTTAAAGAGAAAGAGGCCTCAGCCAGATGGTCTTAAACGACCTGCCGGTGCACAATCCCACGGCCATTTGTTACATCCGCTCACTACGGACCGATACCCTCGAATGACCGAAGACACCTGCTGTCGTCACTTCAAACCATCCTCGAAAATAGCATTACGATATCCCAGCATACGCTTGCTTCGTTTCCCTATCCATATTTAAAATAATCCGCTTCGTTGTCCTCCGGGACCTTGCACATATGCAGATTCCTCCATCCTGTCTTTGTCACCATGCCCAGCAACACTTCCTCTTCCCCACGGCAAATCTTCCAATCCTCTCCTAATCGATTGGGCGAGCGCAATTCCGATATTTGCCTGGAAACCTCGACTGAGCCAAATCGTGTACAGCAAAGGAGATGCTGGCTCTTTTCGATTCATGTTTCTTTTCTTTTATCTCCTCCTTTCATAAGGCGTTCGATTCTTTCGTGCTTGGACACTTTGGTGCTTCTCGCCCTGCCACGTCTCTAGGGTCGAGAAGCCGTTACGTATTTGGTTTTGTCGAAAGTCTCCTTGAGTCTTCTGCATACTGCTTCTTTGACCACTTTACCATTCTTCTACAACCAGCTTCAAGCCTTTTCTTGTCTCGGTTTGTTCCTCAGGGGTGACGCACAGCTGGGTAATGTATGTAACTAGTTTTGATGCATTGAGCAGCTCGCTACTCTACATTGGTAGTCGGCCCGTCTCGATGAGTATTTTCTCATACTCAGGTACATGAACTTTTCACCACAAAAACTCACCTGAAGACATTCTGTCAATTGATATCTCTTTAGCTGTAGTTGTGTTGGGTGGTAATTTGCAGCATACAGGATTGCAGCCCGTCCATATCAGAACAACAGGGTAAGCTCTCACCTTTAGCCGCCACTGCCCTGACTTCTTTAAGGTCTAGTCCTTGATTGCTACGCTGTGGATAATGGTATCATTGAACAAGCACATTGATACTGCAAATACCACGAGTGATTCCCAGCATCTCACCCAGCCCTTCCGCAAGTAACCCTCTTACATATACGCACCCAACCATTCTCGCTGAAAACCACTGAGCAGAAGATTAACCTACAGGATCTCACAACCCATGCTCGGCAGCGTTGTACGCTACCTGTTTGTCGCTGTCCATGCAGATGAAACGATGATCTCCTCGCGAATCTCATTCTTCGCCGCGACGTCTCGATTTGTTGCCTTCTCTCCGGGATGACCCCGGGAATTGAGTTCGGTAGATATATTACAGAGCACTGGAGCTTCTCGCGCAGGCTATGACGTCGAGCATCTCTGTTAGCCGTTTACGGATTATCTTTTCTGCCAATGGATGTCAGAGTATATGCGCGGTTGGCAGGTCAATGTCGGCCAAATGTATACTTTAGAAATAGCTTCAGAAGAATTAAGGTTATCCCCCTAACCTGCACCTTGGGCATTGGAGCGAGACGAACCGGCAGGTGCGAAGAAGCTCCGTCCCCGAATTTCAATTCGAAAGGGGGGCGACTATTGCCCGGAGTGCCTAAGTAGAAAAGGTAGGTAGTACGAGGAGAATCTCCTGTCGGATGCCAGGCGAGTATTCGAGTGCTTGAGTTCGGATCAAGGTGGCTCTAAGCCTCTACTCTGCCTTTGGAGATATACATAGTGTTTCAGGAGATCCGATAGTCAGCTGGTATTTGTAATTATGATTATGCTCATGCGTATGATTCCCTGGTCTCGGATCTGTTGCCCGCTCTGGGAAGTATTATCGTTTCTTGTACTGTAGAGCGGTGTCTCTGGGCTTCAATCATGGTTGCTGTGTCTAATAGGCATGAGTCATTCCGTGGCATGGGAATCGGCTGGGGTCGTACTGGTGTGCTTGTTCTGTGGTAGCGGTGCTTTGCGGCTGGCGTATGAGAGTCTCGTTGCAGGGACCACTCAGGTTAACGTGAACGTTCCCATATCAGATTGCGTGATGAGCCAACCTGGGAACTACTGGGTTCCTTCTCTCGAATGACATCCTGCTGCGCAATGGGAAAAGCAATAGATACTTCCTCCGTATCGGTATACCATTGGTTCTTGGAAACGTTGGACTGAATGGGACAGAGGCCGTAGGGAAAGTCGCAGGGTGAACGGTGAAAGGAGACGTGGACGGGAGAGGGGGTGGGAGATGGTGACGGCCGCTGGGGAACGGCACCGGCGGTGGAATGACCGTGAACGGACAGGCTTGGAGGCCCTTCACCTCACGGACTATAGGACCAGCTCCGTACTGCGGTGCCTACCACTCAGTACTGCGGCCAGGTCAAGGCCGCGCCTTCCTCTGGCGACCTCCGGGAGGTGCCTTCCTAAGCTGCGCAAGTCACCTGAGCGAGCGAAGAGAGTATAAACCCCCCCCTTCCTTTCCCCCTTTCCCCTCGTACGAGCTCGTTTCTTGCTTTTGCAAGCAGAGCAGCGAGCCAGATGGTGGATGTCCCTTTGTATCGATAATGCAGGCCGTCGTAGTGGCGGTTGAATTGGTTATTGTATGTCGCAGGAAGGGCTTGTATGTGGTGTCTCTAGAGATCACAGTATCTGGTACCAGAAACCGTTCCGTAGAAGTAGATGCAGGCGTCCAGCGCTCTGTCATCTTGGTTGCGCACCGGGGTGAGATATCCGGCTTGCGCCCACTCGATTGTTTAGACTCGGACTTCCAGACCTCGCCGAACCGAACGCCGTGCTTTTGTAGCATTGCCTATGAGCCTATGAGTTCCTGGTGTCATGGTTGACGTCGATTACCTCTGGGGTGGAGTACACTACAATCAGCCTCTGCTTATCGGTCTCTCGACTATCAATGGCAAGAATCTATTTGTACCCTTTGCATACTTCCTAGACAGAAGTATTATTACTGGCTGCTTCGGAAAACCTAGGAAGAACAATGCACCAGGAAGTTCCCGACGGGATGGACGCTTAGAGCAAAAGTACATATCCATGGCAAAGATGTAATCAAACATGCACCCTTGGTGCAAGCACGCAGTACAAAAGTGGTAGCTTGAGACACAAAACAGTAAAGGACAACTTTTCTGCACGCTGCATAGCAAAGGGGGTATTTACAAAAAACACCGCAGGACATAAATAGTAAGATATACATTCGTTCATCATGGCGGGAAGGGGAACAGAAAACACGCGAGAAAGATCATTATCACCAGATACCGGACAATGCCCCATCTCTCAGGTTAGATTAGAAAGACAATAGAAATGCGGGATGCTGTTGATATTTCTCATCATGTCTGGACCCATCGATGCTGATGCTTCTTCAGCGTCCCCAGCGCGAGAAGTCCAAGTTATGGATGAAGTTCGCATCCGTTGCTGCATTCCAGTCCGTGACGGGGGAATCGCTTTTAACAGCCTGAGGCGGAGTGGGGGTCGCAAGCTCCTCGGAGAAGATGTTGGCCTTCGTGTTGCGCCGCTGGCCCGGGTAAGTGGCTTCAGCGGCCTCAGCGTTTTGAGCCTGGAGGTCGAGTGTGCGTTCGCGGAGTCTCTTGATTTCACGCAGCCTGTTGCGCCAGGAGGAGACGTGCTCGCCGCCTTGGCTATTCCAGACAAGAGAAAGCACCGAGGCGTTTAGGGCAAGAATACGGACAAAAGCACCGAGGTTCTTGCCCGAGATGACTTTGGGCACAGCTGCAGGCGAAATTTCAGGGAACCCAGGTTTGCTCATCACCTTCACCTGATAGAATAGATTATCAAAGTTGTACCCCTTGAGATCTGAGGTCTCCGGCTCATCAGTAACGCGGCAAGTGGGATTGATGACAATGTTCACAAAGTTGAATTGGGATGGCACCGTATTGAAATTGAAAGGCGTATTTGATCGGTTGAATACGATATTGACAAAGTCATTTCCGAGATGACGCTTCTTGTTCACACAAGCCGGATCGTTGTCGAAATTCGTAGGCATCATGGTCGCGACGTGGAATACGATCTCAGTCACCCGATCTCTCCAGGCGTACGTGGAATCACCGTCAAAATCAGCATGCAGGCCCTGAGTATTGAAACGAGCCCCCCGGAGCGGAACCTTGGTTCCAAGCTTCGAGAGGAAGTACTCATAGTCTGGACTACCACCAGTATTAGATAGGATCTCAGCCTCTGCGGTTTGACCGTTCTCAATGTACAGAACGCCAATCTTATGCCCATCCACAATGTCATTGCGGTCGAAACTGCTGAGGGCCCGGCGGGTCATGTCATCATCGGGTAGTAGAATTGGTTGCATGACGGTTGGCATTGGGAAGGCCGTGGTTGTCAGCTGGAGCATAACATGGCTGGGTAGCACGGCAGTTCTCATGGCGTCAGAATGCAAATGGGCCTCAGGGGCCGGAGATACTTGGTGTGCCAAGACTGGAGCAGTTCGTTGTTGGTACATTGCATACGTGGTACCCGACGCTTGTCTTTTGGTCAACTGAGTCAATCCTGACACTCCAGCTGTCTCAACAGTCACGATGCTCATCCCGACAATCCATGATTTCTTGGATACCGGTCCATCTTCGGGAGAAGGTGGGAATGTTGAATAGGGGATGGTATCGCCGAGATCCGAAAAAGCAGCTCTCTGCATCAAATCAATGAACACCTGACTCTGTTCTTCGACCGAATCTTTCCCATTTTTATCCTTGAAGATGAGCCTGCTAGTGATCCAATTGACGTGCTTCGCTCGATCTTGCAGTTTCAGAGAAAGAAACCAAAACACCATAACATGATATGTCAATGTGTAAATGTACCTGGACATCCCATCCTCAGACTCTGGGAAAGAACTAAAAGATCCGATGCTTCCAAGCCTTGCAGCACCTGAAACAACCCTGGTTGGCGAGTCTGCTTTGAGTCGACTCTCTCTGGAAGTCTGCAAGAACCGCATACATATACCGAAGACCGTGCGGAGATCTTCATCGCGCAGGTTGACATAGACCTCAGGCAAGCGAGCGAGCAGGGCCAGGAATTCCAAAATATGAACAGCGAGATTAGACATTGTGGTCACTTTGGACATCTTGTCAAGAATCCCATTAAGTGACTTCGTGACCGATAAAGGAATTTCATGGCAACAGACAGACAGAGCATGAATACAGCCACGAGACGTACCGCCCCAAGAGCCAATAATACCCATCATGAAGGCACGTACGAGCTCATCTTCTTCGCTCTTGGCGAAATGCTCGTGGTAACTGATTAAAGCACATAGAAACTCGAATATGTAACCGGCAACATCGGTCTTCTTAGTGCCACTGGATGTTGGTGGTTCGCGGAAACTGTCATTTTTGACTTGATCGCATAGAACACTGCGCAATAATTTAATTTGAGGTACAGCGTTGCTGAACAAATCTTTGTTCTGCAGTTGAGCCACCAAGTGAGTAAGCACGTAGCTGTAAATGTCCCAGTTGGTCTCCCGTTGCAGCAACGAGATAACCGTCTCCAACCACATATTTGCCTTCAAAGCTACTTTCTGCGTCGGGTCCGACTCCACCGGACTGGATGCATTGGCACTCGCGTACGCATACACGTAAGGGCTTGCCTCAACTGGCGGTTCCTCCGGAAGGACTTGGGGGGTGGCAAATGTCCACACTGGAGGCGTCGGCTTGGAGGAACGAAAGGGAACGATCGAGTTTCGGCCCGTCGACCTGGACAAAATGCTGCTCGATGGCTCCCGGGGTAAATGTCGGCCGGTTGAGATTGTCCGCCCCTGGTCGTTGTCGACACTACAGTCACTAGTAGAATCTTCATATGGTTTGGAGCCCGCATCAAAGCTTCGACCAGACGTCTGCATCATAAAATCATCTTCAGGAGTCGAGGTAACGATGATAGAACCGGACGCATCACATCGCAGCCTGTAAAGCAGCTTGAGACACGCTAAACGTGAATCCGCCGGCCATTCAGCGGACTGCGCTATCTTTAGCAAAGCCTCAAACACCGATGTGGCCTTGTTCGCTGACATGTTAAGCGTCCGCAAGAAAATCTTCACAAGCCCAGCCGCGCAGACGTTGGCCAAGGAAGACTCTAATACACTAGTAAATGATTGACGGTCGGGAGATATAGCAGAAGATTCCGAAGCTGCGAGGCTTTCCTTCTCCAAATCCTTACTCATAGGAGAGCTGAGCGCATGGATCAGCTGATCGAATGTATCATTGTCGCTGACAGTGATGGCAATGTCAACAAGAAAAGCGACCAGCGATTCAAGCAGCAAGATGTCATCCTCTTCGTTGAATTTCTCAAGCACGATTTTGAGAAGACCCTTCTCTTGAAAATAGCCAAGTGACTCTTGGTTGCTGAAAGATTCCTTCAGTGTATCCAGCGCGAGTATTCGAATATCGGAGGGTTTGTTGCGCGAGCGTATGAAACAGCGAATCAGTCGTTGCGAATGTAGTAACCAGTTCTCACTTCCAGGAGAACAGAAGCGCTCCTGTCGCATGGTATCCAGAACGAGCTCAGCCTGTGGAGGCCCGATATAGCGACAGGCATTCATGAGGAACCGGGTCGAATTTAGCCGTTGCTGTTTGTTCAAACGGTCCCAAAGAGCTTCAAGGACAGATGCGATCTGAATAGCGTTGGCAAGAATGCTGGACTTGGCATCGTCTACAACGCTGCCTTTGGGGGTGTTTTGTTGAGAGTCAGGAGATGTGGGGTATGGTTGCTCAGGCTCATTCACAGCCCTGGCGGAACACACATTCATCACGTCGACGAAAGCGCCCCAGTCCTTTTCTAGGGCCACCCGCAGAAAGTCTCCCTCCAAGATATTCAAACACAGATCCAGAATGTCTGCCTCGAGCCGACCATCATCCTTCACTGTGGCGGCCTTCAGGCAGTCAATCAACTGTTCGAATTGCAATTCTGGAATGCCATCCTGACCGTGTGCACGGATTATATCAGTCAAAACGTATACAGTTCCTCGGACAACGTTGAGGTTGCGACTCTTTTCTTCAAACAATTCTGTCAGAAACGAGTAGAGCTCGCTGACCATGTCCACCTGCCTCTTTGACTTCACCAAACTTCGAACAACTCTTGACGTGGGACCCGATAGAGGTTTGACAGAGGCATGGATGCTGCACAAGACTTCAAGCATAGTAATAAAGCTTGCGTCAGGCACGTCTGCGTAGTTTATGACCGCATCAAACACACTGAGTGAGTTCTTGATATCTGCGGCAACGCTTGTTTTTCTGCAGATGATGAAAAGCTGTTCCAATAGTATTTGCACTTCTTCACCACTGGGAGGCTTCCGCTGCAGAGTGATAAGATCAACCACAAACTGCAGAACATCATCTAGAACGGCATCGTCATAGGCGAACCCATTTGTCTTTCCCGGCTTCGCCTTTCTCGCTTTCAGTCGAACGGAAGAAATTACCTCATAAAGAGGTACAAGACAGGCAGATATCACTGGAAAGACCGAAGAAGTGGTAAATTCCAGTCTCCTGCCATGATCTGATAGCGTTATGAGTGCTTGAACACGTGCTGGTATGACATCGCTGTTCGAGGGACTTAAGATCGACTCAAAAACTGTGCGTCGTGCTGCTGGGGATAGATCTTGTCGTGCCGCAACAGCTTCCAAAAACAGCGAACCACTTCGTCGAGCCTCTGGGGAGCTCTCATTGTGGATCAGATATGCTCCTGCTTCCCAGAGAGCAATGACTTGTTCCGGGGTGTACCACTGAACCGACTTCGCAACTTGTTCTGCCTCATCGATAGCATGCCCTAGATTATTCTGCTGGGCTAGAGTTCGCAGTGCTGCGTCAAAATCCCGCGCACCTGAGGTGTCGGAAGAACTGGAAACGACACTTCCACGATGCATTGGTATTGTCTCTCACCCGATTCGACTCTTATTGCGTTCATCCGTATTATAGTGTTGACGAAAATCACTGCTGTCTGCAAGTGACCCTAAAGAGCTGGTCTTCAGTTTAAAGGCCCTAGGGGCTGGGATACGTCGACGAAACTTGAAACTGTATGTTGAGTATAAGAGGAAAACGGAGCATCGTCAAATTGAATGCGTCCTTCTAGACGAGAGGGCTAAGATTGGCTCTTCAAGGCAACGGATCGTATAGCTGGCAGATGACTGGTTAGCAACGGGCCGTGATCAGAGGATACGGGTGCCATGGTCAGCTGAAGCAGGCAGAGTATACGTCCGTGTTCCACTCTGCACATGAACTCACATACCTTTGGTAGGTCACATGAAGGTCTAATTGACAGCAAGAAGGCCTGGGAAGGGATGTGAGAGTTAATCGGGCGTTACACTTAGAGAGCTGCCACTACCTCTTAAATCGATGGACAAGGTACCCCGCAGCAGGAAGCTAGGGTTCTTGTGATAGGCAGTGATTATATTCACACGTAAAGAGAGTGTACCCTTGCACAGGTACGGCTGAATAGACCTATAGAAAACAATTAAATGAAATTAGATTATATCCAGAGCAAGAGTGTGCCAAGCCACTTTTCCCCTCGGAGCATCGATGATGATGATCTGGCGGAGGTCGGGAAGGGTTTGATCCGCAAGATCACCTGATGGGCAAAACCACCCCGCGATTGTTTCTCACCGCCTAGATTTTGCAAAGCAACGACCGCCAAACAAACTGCCCGAACCAGAACTTTAGCTCCTCCGACTTTCACCAAACTACGTATCTTGCAAGACAGATACTACTTTGGCTATTAAAGGAGTTTTGCCTACTTCCCAAAGTGACATTTTCCTTCCAAAAGCTATCGTACACCCATAATACATTGACCAAGCTTCTTTCTCATCTCTTTCATTGCTTGAGCACCTCAACTTCTACCCCACTCCAAAATGGCTGACGGTCTTGGGGCTGTTGCGCAGCTCCTTGAGGCAAGTTTGGACCCAAGGCAAAACAAGCAAGGTTAGTCTCATTCAATTGATATACTTTACTTTGGTTCTTCGCGGGCATTGTGACAGCTTGTCATTTCTCTGCCTAACAAGCTCTCCATTGAACAATAGTCCAGTATCAATTACGGCAAATGGCTAACTTTTTTTTTCTCAGCCGAACTTGCCCTTCGCCAGGAGGAGAAAAAGCCGGGCTACTCTTTGCAGCTTCTTCAGATTACTGCCTCCGCCACCTACCCTTATAACACCCGCCTGGCCAGTGCGCTTTGCTTCAAGAACTTCATCAAGAGGAACTGGACCGATGAGGATGGAAATTACAAGCTTCAAGCGGACGAGGTCACCACGATCAAGCGGGAGCTGATCAGTCTGATGATCTCCGTGCCTGCAGGCATCCAAAGTCAGCTCGGCGAAGCTGTCAGCGTGATTGCTGATAGTGATTTCTGGGAGAGATGGGATACCCTAGTGGATGTAGGTTCTTACTGTCGCATACCTATTCCTGCGCTCTGCATTAACATCTGCAGGATCTTGTTTCCCGGCTCCAACCGACCAATCCAACTGTCAACAACGGCGTCTTGCAGGTTGCGCACTCAATTTTCAAGAGATGGAGGCCGTTGTTCCGGTCGGACGAGCTTTACAGTGAAATCAACCATGTCCTAGAGAGATTTGGTAGTCCCTTCTTGGCTCTATTCGAGGTAATTATGACTTGCGATGACCCGCTCATGTTTCGATAGCAGAGAAATGCAGTGACGTCTTGCTGACTGTTTACAGGGATTGGATGCCTTCCTTGAACAAAACAAAGCCAACAAAGACAACCTCATTCAAGGATTTACCCAGCTCAACTTGATGGTCAAGTTGATGTATGACCTCTCTTGCCACGATCTTCCACCGATGTTCGAAGAAAATATTTCAGGGATAGCTTCACTTTTACTCAAGTACCTCACATATGACAATCAACTGCTGCACACCGATGATGACACGGAGGCTGGACAATTGGAGTTCGCTCGCGCCGGGATTTTCCAAGTCTTGACCCTGTATGTCCAAAAGTACATGGACGAGTTCAAGCCTCATGTCGGCCAATTTGTCGAAAGTTCCTGGAACTTCCTGACCACGGTTGGGCAGGAAACCAAGTACGACATCTTGGTCAGCAGAGCACTACAATTCTTGACTTCCATTGCAGGCATGACTGAGCATGCAGTAGTCTTCCAAGCCGAAGGCACACTTGGCCAGATCATTGAAAAGGTCATTTTGCCTAACGTCAGCTTGCGTGAGTCCGACGAGGAGCTCTTCGAGGACGAACCCATCGAATTCATCCGCCGCGACCTCGAGGGCTCCGACAGCGATACCAGACGCCGTGCCGCTACCGACTTTTTGAGACGGCTGTCCGAGAGATTTGAAGAATCAGTCACCACGGTTGTTCTCAAATATACGGAGCACTATCTTGCGGAGTACGCCAAGGATCCTGCTTCGAATTGGAAGGCTAAGGATACCGCCACTTATCTTTACTCTGCTATCGCAGCCAAGGGCGTCGCTACTGCTAGCCACGGTGTAACCGCCACAAACTCGCTCATCAGCATTACCGACTATTTCCAGAAGCATCTTGCTGCCGATCTCGTGAACAGTGAGGGAGTACACCCCATCCTCAAGGTGGATGCCATCAAGTATCTGTACCTCTTCCGGAGCATAATCACCAAGGAACAATGGCAAGAGGTGCTTCCCATGCTGGTCAACCAGCTTGGTTCTTTGAACTTTGTCGTATACAGCTATGCAGCAATTGCTGTCGAGCGAGTACTGTACCTTGCCGACGGCCAGGGTCAGCCAATCATTGCTCCTGCTACGATTACTCCCTTGGCCAAGGATCTACTCGAACACATTTTCTCTCTAATCGAAAAGGACCCTGCCCCCGAGAAGGTTCAGGAGAATGAGTTTTTAATGAGATGTGCCATGAGAGTTCTTATTGTCATCAAGGAGGGCGTTGTCCCCCATACTGATAGTGTGCTTCAGCACCTAACCAATATCACGACAGTGATTAGCCGCAACCCCAGCAACCCAAGGTTCTACTACTTCCACTTTGAAGCTCTAGGTGCCTTTATTCGGTACGTGCGCTATCTCGTCATTGGAGCTTCAAGCACTGACGTTTTACTAGCTTTGCCGCCCCTGCCAACCCGGAGAAGCTGGAACAAGCTCTTTACACGCCTTTCGCCGAGATTCTCCAAGGCGACGTTCAAGGTGATTTGAACCCACGAGCAAGGCCCTGCGGACCGTGGCTAATAATATACAGAGTTCATGCCTTACATCTTCCAGCTTTTTGCCGCTTTGCTCGAGGCCAATCCTTCGGGAACCCTACCGAACTATTACCAGAACCTAATTGCTCCTATCCTCATGCCTGTCATGTGGGAGTCGAAGGGTAACATTCCGGCGCTTGTGCGCTTATTATCGAGCATGATTCCTCGTGGCGCTGAGTACATCATGCAAAATGACCAGGTTGCACCTATCCTTGGTATTTTCCAGAAGCTGCTCTCGACCAAGACAAACGAAGGTTATGGATTCGATCTGTTGGAGGCGGTCGTCACCGGATTCCCACCGTAAGTGGATTTGAGCAACAGTTCGCAATAAAATTTGTCACTGACACTTTACAGCGCGACACTTGAGCAGTATTTTGTCTCCATCATGCAGGTCATCCTCACCCGTCTCCAGAACTCGAAGACCGAGAACCTCACTATTCGATTTGTTCGTTTCTTCCACTTCGTCTCCGCTCAGGACGAGAAGGGCTACAGCGCCGATTTTTTCATTCAAGTGGTCGACAAGGTGCAGCCAGAGTAAGAATGCTTCTATCCCTGTCACTTGGTAAATCGCGTGCTAATCGAATATTTTAAAGCCTCTTTACACCTATTTACTTGAACATCATCCTACCAGAGACACAAAAGCTTGCCCGTCCATTGGACCGCAAGGCTGCTGTGCTGTCGTTCACCAAGACTCTGGCTAACTCAGAAGCATTTACCAGCCGCTACAAGAAGGGATGGGCTTTCACCTGCGAGGCTCTTCTCAAGCTCCTGGAGCTCCCCCCTCTCCCTGCGAGCAAGGATGACATCATTGCCGAGCACGACGTTGAGGACATGGCATTCGGCGTTGGCTTCACGGCACTGAACAGCATCCGGCCCGTGCCCCGTGACCCTTGGCCCGAAACCGGTGCCGATCTCAAGGTCTGGACTGGAAAGTACTTGAAGGAGGCCGACGCCAAGTACAACGGGCGGATATCTGGCTTCGTTCAAGAGCGTCTGGGAGATGATGCCAAACGTGTGCTCACCAGTTACATCGCATAAGTCAATCTACCTTACTCAACATTCCGAGTCTAGGTACTTTGCTGGAGTTACTTGATTTTTGCATATCTACCCTAAATAAACCGTGGAGAGGGATGTTGTGTGGATGCAAGCAGCCCTCTGTATGTCCTGATGAAATATAAATGAACATCTTAACCTGTTTGATGATTACATGTACTTAGTTCTGTATGTACAACGACGCGTATGTCTATCGAGTATGCGCCGTCTCGATGCGCGCTGACCGGAATTTGTGGGTAATATGACAATTGCAGTATTTGCTGCAGTTTCTGAGGATGGGTAGGCTCTAATAGAGGCTTAACCCCTCTGCCCAGAGCCTTGTGCTCCTTGAGGAACGCCTGTCTCTGCTGATTGTTGTGATGCGACAATCTCGTTCGCGCTGTTATCCGCATCCTCATAGTCATCCCCATCCTCAAGCTCTTCTGCTGTTCCTTCCGGGCCCTTCTCCAATTCACGATATTTGCGCCGAGCCTTCTTCATCTTACTTGCCTTCTTCTTCCGCGCGCGGTCGGCCTTTATGGCAGCACGACTCTTGTCCCCATTGAGGTGTACTTCGACTTTATCAGCCAGGATCTGACGAGCATATTTTTCGTTCTGCGACCTCGACCGGGTAGCTTGCGACTTGACCACAATACCGGTAGGCTTATGGATGATTTGAACAGCTGAGTTGGTTTTGTTCTGGGCGGACAATGGCAAATAGTTAGCGTGCAGAGCTTGCAAGACAGCCTCGACCGGCTCAAGTGGCGGTGGACATACAATCTTCTGACCACCAGGACCGGTGCCCTTGAGGTAAGACACGGTCAGGTCAGCATCTTCGAACTTGAGTCGAGGGGGGAGGGGTTTGTCGGCCAAAGAGAGGGCGGAGAGGGAAAACGATCTCCGAGTAAGGCTAGAGAGTGGTATGAAAGTGAGAGGATTAGTATGGCGTGTTAGGTGTAAGGTACGGGACATGATGACCGCAGGAGTTGTTGCAGTAGAAGGATGCTCATCATTGTCCTAGCGGGCACACAACGCTACCTAGCTACTCCTACAATGGATGATGGATGAATGGCTGAGATCGCGGTGGGTTCCCTGCGCAGAAGAAGAAGCTACGGTACTGTAAGGTACCTGATATAACTGGAACCTTACCATACTCATATTACCGGGCGGTACCGCAGGAATTTCACATGCTTTTGAATGGAGATAGCACTACACGAACTCTTCCTTCCAAGACTTCGCGAGCCTATCTACTTAATAGTGATTATTGTTTCGGGACTCTATACGGCATTGTATCCTAAAGAGGCTCCAGGGACTTTTTTGTTCTGCTCAGCCGTGGGAGCTCACAAATTTAGCGGAAAGGCTGACGTACGCTTTTCAGTGGGTTTGTGGGTTGACACGCCAATCATCAAGCCCAGTCCATTGAAACCGCCTAGGTTCATACACAATAGGTACGAGTACGAAAGCGAAACGGCGCTTCAGTCGGTGGTGAACCGATGGTTGAGAACTGCCAGACTGTCAGTGTGTCTGCCTGTTGCACGATTCGACTGGACCCTGAGTGGAACCTCTTTTGCGCTGCCGTGGCGGTGGACACTTTATCTGCTTAGTGTCTGCGGCCAATTTGAAACAGTGTCCAGATCCAGCATGGACTTGACGGGGGCTTTGACTTAGTCGTTCATTCGCTCCCTACTTTTTTTTGAAGCTATTAACGTATTTCCCAACCAATCCTCCAGCTTCTGTTCTTTCCTCCCTCCCCCAAGGAACACGAAAGGAATCTTGACCACTCTTACAAGGATCCTTCCTACTGGCTCTCTATCATCACAACTAAGCGCGCGAAGTTTTTGCAGTCCCTCCTGTCACTGATAGCCAGAGGAAAAACGAGTCGCCTCAACCCGCACTTTTCTCACCCGCTTCCCCCCTCAGCCATTTACTTGTCTGCCTAGACTAGAACTTCCACGGCCTGTCGCTTCAGCTGTCAGTTCTCTGTCTGTCAGATCATGGATGCTTGGTGAATCTTGGCACTGCTTGCTTTCATCCCTTCTTCGAGCACCGCTCAACAAATCGTCTCTTCCCCGCGAGCAGTTGTGACAAAACCCCTGGATCCGATTCTCCCCTCACTACCATCACCATCATCATCGTCGACCTGCTTGTTTCTTGCTCGCCATACCATATCACTCGACTAGCCCTTTCGTCTGGTCATCTCCTCTTCTCAGTAAACCCAATCGTGCTCGCAATTGGCAAATATAACAACAATGACATTTCTGCTTTGGCTTGTGACGAGTCTCGTGCGCTGGATTCGACTCAAGATCTATCAGTATGAGGTGACGTTCGCCGTGTACATGCTTACCCCTACAGAAAAGTTCATTTTTAGTATGTCACCCAGTGTCCAGTCAGAGTCACGCCCTCAATGGAATTGTTTCCATTCTTGAAACCTCACACTAACTCCGGAAATCCAAACAGACTCCCTCCTTCTCACCCTCGTCACAATGATCATTACCGGAATTTACGTTTATCTGCCCGATCATATCCGAGCCATTTACAGCCACTTATACTACTACTGGGTTGGTGAACGCCCGTTCATCTCCGGAAATCTTCCTACCATCAGTTCCGTGTTGCGCGAAGTCGGTACTCAGACTATGGATGTCCTATACGAGACAGCCAAAGGCCAGGCCGCTACGGTTACCGATTCGATCGCCGAACTCTGATAGGGGCTGTAATCATGACACGGACGAATCTTTCTTCTCTCCCTTCGGATTTCGGCTTTCGGAAGTTCGGAGTCCTCGACGTGGCTGTCGACTGAGGTGCATTCTCAGCTCTTATGCTTCGGGGCTTCCTTACCATTCTTCTGTTATCACTATTCGCATTACTACCGCTTCTTAATATATCCTCACGTCCGCACCGCAACTTCTCGTCCTCGATCATGGATCGCATCAGCATTGCACGATATAAAGCGCAACATTCTTACCTTTTGGTTCATGATGCCGTTGCAAAGTTGTTTCATGGCGTTTGAGCGACTCGATCCTGATAGGGCCGGCGCATTCTAGGCGTTCATCATTAGATTCCTCATTGTGACTTTTCTAGCCTATCCACCTCGACTCGCTCTCCTTGTCTATACTGTATCGAGGCCATTATTGTTACGATTGACTACCCTCAAAGAGTCAGTCCATTGCTGTTCATGTAACTGAGGCCACTTGGCCTATAATCGTTCTTTGGTGGTACCACGAGCTTGACTTCGTAACACGGATTGTAAATCTGAAATATTGTAGATATAGCGCAGAGAATCCGTGCGATTCGGACATGAAGAATCTATCACTCGACTTGGACATACTATACGTTAGCAAAGAGAGGCAAAAGATATTGTAAACAAGCACCCAGGTTCAATTTGGTACTGTAAAAAGAAACCCCCCAAGATAAAAGAGAAAATCGGCCTAATATAAAACTCCAGTCATGCTCAGAGAAGAGTGTTATACAATTAAAAAAGAGAAGTCAAGGGAACCCATCCAGACCTGGTCAATACGCGACGTAAGCCCAGCGACAAGACACAAGCATGTATGACACGCCATATACCACGACGAAGACAATATAGTGGAGTTGCGCGCTCAAATCAACCAGTCGCTTCGATTCACAAAGCCAAGACGATTCTGTTTCCGATTGACCAAAGCGACTCAAAGCTGGCTGCATCGAGCCCGAGGTCTGTACCCCCTGAACCAGTCGCCTCTTCACCACCGTATCATCGAGATGACAATCACTCCGCCCTCGACGCCTCCGTCTGAGCCTGAGCCTGGGCCTGCTGTGCCTCCGCCTCCGCTTCCGTCTGCCGCTGTCTCCGCTCACGCCGGACGGCGTCGGCCATGCGCATGCGGTTCAATTCGCGATCGATCTCCTCTTTTTCGAGCGGAATCTTGTGTGATTGTTCGGCGGTTGGCCAGAAGCCTTCCACGGTGAAGCGGTCGTCGAGGTTCGTGCCGAAGTAGTACATCCAGCCGATGGGGAAGAGGATGTAAGTTCCGAACTGGAAAGGTTGGAATTAATATCATCTAACCAGATTGATGGAGCAGGGACCTGATTTTTAGCTGAGAAGAGAGAACACTTACCTTGAAGACTTCGAGGTTGCCCCCCTGGAGTCTGCGAAGAATGGAAGACATTGTGGTATGTAGTGGTGGGATTTGGTGGCGGAGGGGGTTGCGGGACGAAGCTGTATAAACGCTTTTACTCAGTTGCTATGGGGACTTGAAGTGTTCGTAGCGCCCAGAGTAAGTCTAGAATGGTATGTTGATGTGTTGGTGTTGCAGTCACTGATCCGGTCTCAGGCCGGTCTCCGAGCGATAGATTATCCAAATGGTCTGATACGATTATTATCACGGAGCTTCTGGCAAGCCGAACCACCAAAGCCCGGGGCCGGTGCAAATAGGGCAAACACCCCACGTGCTTTACATGTACTCCTAAGTGTGAAAGTGCCGTGTCATGTGACCCAAATGCTCTGGCGGTTACTGTGAGCCTCGGCTTGATGTCGCTCGGCCCGTTGGAGTCGGTTGGACTCTCCCCGCAATGTCTGCAGCGAACGCCTGGCGGAGAACTAGGCCCGTCTAGCGTGATTAGACATGGGGACTATGCTGATTCCCCGGATAGATATAGCTGCGCTTTTCCTTGTTCCTTAGAGTTGACTCTTTATCGTCCAGCGGTTATTTGACCTAGTCTGAATTCTCCATACACATACTCCCTACACCGACCCCAGAATCGACCGACCTGTGCAACCTCAAACCCTCGACTTACTGTGAATGCTATCAAGATGGTCGACGAAAGCCTCATCACCATAACCTACCAAGGTCGAATCGCCATCATCACATTGAACCGACCCGAAAAGCTCAATGCCCTCGACCAAGATCTGTACTACCTCCTCGGCGAACGACTCCGCGAAGCCGACGCAAACGAGGACATCTATATCACGATACTTACGGGCAAGGGACGATTCTTCTCTGCGTAAGCTCCGTGCAACTCCCCCTCTGCCCCATTCCCAGTGTTTCTTTACCTTCCCTCCCCTAAAACCAATAATCCCAAACGCAACGCACCTCACCCGATCCATTTCCCTCGAGATGCAGCATGGATACCATCTAACCCGGTTTCCCGTAACCCACGCAGCGGCGCCGACGTAACGATCTCCCGCCCAAACGGCAGTCTCAACAGCAACGCGCGCCGCGACATCATCCGCGGCTTCGTGGCCAACAACTTGGACGTCACGCGTACGTTCGCGCACCACAGCAAGATCCTGATCGTGGCGCTGAACGGGCCGGCCGTGGGGCTCTCCGCGGCGCTGATCGCGCAGGCGGACTTCATCTACGCGGCGCCCCACACCTTCCTCCTGACGCCGTTCTCGTCGCTAGGGCTCGTCGCTGAGGGCGGCGCGTCGCACGCCTTCGTCGAGCGGCTGGGCGTCGCCAAGGCCAACGAGGCGCTGCTGATGAGTCGGCGCATTCCGTGCGAGGAGCTGGTCGCCGCGGGGTTCGTGAACGGGGTCTTCGAGGCCGAGTCGCGCCGGAAGGAGGACTCAGATGGTTTCCTGGCCAAGGTCTTGAGCGAGGTTGAGGACCGGTTGGCCACCCACTTGAACCAGGAGAGCCTGTTGCGGATTAAGGAGTTGGTGCGCAGGCCGGGCAGGGAGGTGCTGGATCGCCAGAATGGTTTGGAGGTCTTTGCTGGGCTGGACCGGTTCTTGAGTGGGGTGCCGCAGGAGGAATTCCGGAAGTTGGCCTCCGGGGAGAAGAAGCATAAGTTGTGATGAGGTTGTTGCGGATTCTAGGTTTTCCGCTGGGAGGCTAGTTAGATGGAGCAGGTGGCTTTGCGGGATATAATATATAGGACAGGACTACTATAGAGCGCTGGCGGGCAGTGGCTGGATTTTGGAGTCGGAGCCGAAGCCGAACGCTAGCTGTTACGTCCTACAGGCGCAAGATTCTAGATAAGAGTTATGAAGAATCTCAACAGGAGTCAATTGATAATATGTCTTATTTCACATCTAGTAGTCTAGTCGAAAACGCCGCCGAACCTGCCCAAAACACCAGCTCCCAATAACCTCGTAGTACATCACTCGTCCGAATCAGATTCCTGAGTCTGCTTCGCCAGGATATCTTGCCACTGCCCGAGGAACTCACTCATGCCTCCAGGCCCGGTAAGCGAGGCGTCAACCACCTCCTTCGGCAATTTGTGAGCCGAATACTGTGGCGTCGTGAAAGCGTACGCTTCAGGATCATCGCGTTTGACTAGCCGGAATTCTGGGAACAATGGGGCATCGTCCCCAACGTCATCTGATTCTGACTCGGACTCGGAGTCGGATTCCCCGGCCGATTCGGCGCCTGTACCACTGGCTCCATTCAGAGAGAGGCGGACGAATTGCTCTTCTGCACCATCGTCTTCCTCGAAGATACCGACAGGGTCTTTCATTGTCAGGATCTCGAGCCAGCTGAACAGCAACGAATCCGTCCTCTCGGCCCATGGATTGATGTCAATAAGCCAGACCTTCTCGTGCGGAGGCGGGATGTAGACATCGAACACGAAGCTCGGGTCGGGGAATGTGCCCTTGAGTTTCTCGTCGAAGAAAGCCTGGATCCGGGACCGGAGCGCATCGCGCATGGGGAAAAGGAAATCGAAGTGGTTCTGGTCGCGCTGGCAGATACATAGAAGCACACGGTCGCGCACCCAGCATCGGAATTCGAGGGATGGGTTAAAGTTGACGTATTTGCGGAGGATGAGGTGGTAAGGGACTTCGGGCGGAGTTGCGGAGCTTGCGGAAATTGCGGAGCCGGCCGTGTCAGCGGCAGCGTCGGCAACGCAGTCATCGAAGGGGTGTTCCAAGTCATGGGTAATGAAATCGCTGCTCTTCAGAAGCAGATAGATGTCGTTCGGCGTGCGGCACTGTAGGTCGTTTGTGGCAGACATCCAGGTCGCATCCTTTGGAGCACTCCAGTTCAGCTTCGGTGTTACCTTCCCTCCGTACTCGCTGATGGTAGACTTGATTTGAGAGTGAATCTCGGGCCACTCGACAGAGGGATCTGCCTCTTCATCTTCGCCATCATCTGAGAACGTATCCAAGTCATCGTCATCCGTGGGCGGGGCAGCCTCCGGCGGCAGGACGATACCGTCGGCACGCAGGTAGGAAACGAACTGCGCGCTGAGAGGGATCACTCGGGATTTGGGAACGAAAGTGCGGTACCTGCAAATTGAGAGTGTCTGTGTTAGTACATTCAAGTCATTAAAGTGGTTGTGGCATGGTCAAGCGTACCGAGGTTGCCAGCTGTGATATGAACAGTTTAAGATGTGGGAATAAGTGATCGGAGGAAAGGGCAGTCTTGTCAAAGGTTCAGTGGAAGTTGCCTCGGCCGCTGGTGCAGTAGCGGAGTCCACTGGCGGGTCGACGTGAGGCATAGCGGCTTGAAATGCAAGTAATGCAAGATAAGGTGCGAGAACGATGTCGCAGAAGAATGTCCCTCGTCGATCGCAAAAAGAGGCTGCGGGGCAGGAACTTTTTTGGAGTGAGTCAAGTTGTCGCTGGCTAATTGGGCTTAGTGGATACAAGTGGGATATGACCGTACCGTACGCATTGCCACGTGCTGCCTCAGGCACAGAAACTCGTCATCCAGTCGTTCTGGCCTGCGTAGCAACATCAAAGGCACCCCCCGGCCTTAGTTGGCGTCACCGTTGTTTGGCAGTCGTTGGCCAACTTTGCCAGGCACTCTGCTCATTCGTCATGGCATCGGATGGTCCGGACCCTCAGAGCCTGGAATCATGGCAGGATGCATTCCAGTATCCAATTCCAACTGTGCGCCGCGTGGAGCAGGAGCTCCGGCGGGACATTGCGAGCAATAAGGAGAAGCTTCGTGCTCTTGTTGGGTGTGTCATTGTCGCGTCTATAATTCCACGCTGGCTGACGACTAATTGTCATTGTTACCATACAGAACACGTTATAGAGAGCTCGTGGGGACCGCCGAGAAGATCGTATCTATGAATCGCGAAATGGGGGAAGTGGATTCGACATTGGCCGACATAGGACGAAGGTGTAACCCGCGGCTGATGGAAAAGACATACGCCCAGGTCCAAGCAGTTGCTTCAAATAAGGGTATATTTACTTTGCAGTGTGGATTCGGGCTTTTACTAATGATGGCTTGTGCCAGATCTCCCCGAACGAGCTCTCACAGGCCAGGTTGCCTTACTTCATCGCTCTGCGCTCTCCATCTCGAGGCTTCTTCGAAGACGAGGTCCGCTCCTACTCGTCGCAAAGCTCATGGTGATTTCTCGACTACTTCATAAGACTCTTTCACAACAAGCGACAGTGCCACCCTTCGTGGAGAACCTTCGCAATCAACTAGCTTCCCTACGACGAACTCTGCTGAGAAGAGTCGATAAGCGCCTTGCTCCTGCCAAGTCAACACCGGACGAGATTATTGAAGCTTTAGCTGCATATTGCCTAGCGACCAGCTCTTCCTCAGACGACGCTATACGGTACTTCCATCAAATACGACTAGACGCCATCGGGGGCCAGCTTGATCTTATCGACCCTTCAGGCGAGAATATTCTGAACAGCTTGCGCCTCTATATTCGAACCTTACAGACTTCCAAGATCCTGCTTTCGCGACGTCTGTCCGACGTTCTGAATAAGTTGAAGGCGCGGCCGCTTTTTACAGACCCAGAGATTTGCGGCTTGGACGATCTCGATCTCGGCGTCCTAGGGCGCTGGGTGACTTCAGACGTCAGCAATTTCACACCTTGGATCAAACTGAGCGAATTGTCTAAGACAGAAATCGATAACATCATCAAGCAATGGTCTAAACCGGCTTTCGAAAAGCTTATGCAAGGGTCACGTGAATCACTAAAGAACTGGTCGGATTTCACCAAACTCCTTGACCTGCGCCAACAAGTATTGGAATTCTGGCTAGGCTCTCGGAGCTCAACACCTGTGCACTCTTCTTTGCAGGTCTTGGAGGGCATCAGGTCCGTGTTCAACGACCAGCTGACAAGCATACTAGTAGACAAAGCTAAAGACTTGGATGAGTTCGGCCGAATCGTTGCGTCTACTATCTCGGGGTGGAGCGATCGGGATCACACACACTCTCAGTCACTTTGGGACGAAAATATCATATCAACTGACTACTCAGATGGCTCTGCTCTTTTCAAAAAAGCCGTTTTGGATAGGCTCTTGGGACGCGACGAGGACGTGGCTCTCTCTTTCGGGAAGTACCAAGCTTGGCTTCTGTCAGTGGATAAGTCCAAACATTCTATTGATGACTTACGCCAGATACGATGGTCTGATTCTCTCGATGAAGGCGAAGACCAAGATCTAGACGTGGGCATATCGGCTATCTTGACCGATGATGATCCACGGTTGCTGCGGGAGGCTCTCAAGACTGCCATCGAACAGGCATTCGAAAATCTCGATAAGTCATTCGGCCAAATCTTCAGAACGCTCGAAAGACCTGGTCTGAATGAGAAGACTGCATTCATGCTCAAGCTCATTAGGCTGACTCGGAGAGAGCTTCCAGTCGACTTTGTATCGGCGGACTACGCATTCGCCGATGGTATTATTTCTCAGTTGCAATTGATTCTTGCTTCCCAAATAGCGACGGATACACGGCCTTGGAAACCGCCAAGTGTTTCGGATGGCAAGCCTCGAAACGTTCCAGGCCGGTCACTATGGGAAGGTGACCCTGCCATCCCGATGCAACCATCACCGTCTGCGTTCAAATTCTTGCGCCGGCTAGTGAAGTCAATGAACCAATATGGACCTGGGCTTTGGGACGCTTCCACTGTTCAGTCCCTTAAGAGGACTTTGCAGACAGAAGTCGTCAATCCTATCGCTTCCACGTTTGACGGGTTGAAGTCGCCCCTCCATGCCGAAAACACTATTGACCCTCAAACCGAAGTCACCAAAGGCGAACCACCGGTCGAGAATGGGAATGGAAGCCAAGCGCAAAAGCCACAGACCGAGGCCAAGACGAATGATTCTGACTTAATTCAGCACACGCACGACCACATGGTTCAACTATATTTTGACGCCTTGTACTTCAAAACTGCGTTTGCAGTTGACGACTCGGAAACGAACCACTTGGATGGCGTGCTGGGCAGAATCCGCGAAGAACTTAAACCCCAAGTGCAAATTACCAAAAAGATTGATCAGGCGGTCCGTGAGCACTGGAAGCGGTCTCATCTTCTCTTCGGTCTTCTCACGGGTGTTATCGAGCAATAAGGTAGGAGCTTCGAATCTAGTATCCCTGTATATAGAACCATCACTTAGAAGCTGCACAAATGGCGAACCTATCACAATCCCTGTATAGCCACTTATCCATATCGAGTATAGTGTCCGCGGGGGAGCCTCACCGCTCACGTCACGTTTCCGCCGGTCACAATGACTTCGCCGCGGAAAAAGGTAATGCGTTCATCTCCTTCTGATCCTCATCTTGCTGGCTGTGCTCGCGGTGCTTTCTGGTTTCTTCTCCTGAGCCTGACTAGTCCTCCATCGATTTACCATGGCTACCCCGAGGCTCCCTTTTCTTTATCCGAACTTGATGCGAGCTGTTAGATCATGCGAACCCACCACCTATCGTTCCATCCGCGCTCCATACTCTAGCAGCCAGCAAGCCCCCTTTCACACCAGTCGAAGATACGCCCCGGAAACCTATCATCGACGATACGGACCTGCCGCAGAACCAAATCTTCCTCCTCCATCCAAGCCGAAAGATGGTTCTTCCCAGAAACAAGCTCCTGCACCCTCAGGACAAGAAGCCAGCGCTCCGAACCCTGCCCCGCAAGAACAGTCATCGCAGAAGGAGGAACCGGCCAAGCCTTCAGAAAGTTCTTCGTCCCGAACCAAAGACAGTGCCTCAGCCTCAGGAATATCTAGTGAAAGCAAGGGAACTGCCGACAAGGCGGAATTAGAATTCAAGCCCGAACCCAAGAAGGACATAGAGCCCACTATCTCCGACCACCAAGACGCCGCACCTACCAAAGAGGCAGTTCCGATATTCTCGAACAACAACAATAACAACAACGAGCGCCCCTCGTCAGAAGAACCACAATATAACCCCCACATCCTCAAGCAGAATCCTCTCGAGGGCGTCCTTCACATGCCATCTCCTTCATCCTACCTCACAACGGGAGGAGGTCCAGTCCCTGACCCCACGAGCAACCCCCCGAATCTATCCCCGGCTCCCTACGTGCACTACTTCGACACGTATTCTCTTGTTCGGGATCTCTCTAAAAGCGGCTTCTCCGACGAGCAATCCATAACGATCATGAAGGCCGTCCGCAGCATCCTCCAGAGCAACCTCGATCTCGCCAAACAGAGCCTGACCTCCAAGTCGGACGTGGAGAACGAATCCTATTTGTTCCAGGCGGCCTGTTCGGAGCTTCAGTCGTCGCTGCAGACGGCGCGGACCTCCGAGATGCAGCGGCAGCGTGCTTCGCGCACCCAGTTGCAACATGAAGCGGATATCTTGTCCCAGCGGTTGAACCAGGAACTCGCCGGCCTGAAGGACGATATCAAAGGCATGTTCAATGATCACAAGATGTCAACGCGGGAACAGCAACGCAATATCGATACCTCAGTTCAGGAACTCAACTATAAGATTACGGTATCGCTGAACAGTGACGGCAAGAGTGAGATCGAGGGCCTTCGATGGATCCTGACGAGAAGAGCAGCAATGGCCATTGCTACGAGTGCTTGTGAGTTTACCTTCCCTTCTTCTCCAGGGCGAAGTGTGGGATAATAATTGACACGCGCAGCAGTTATGATCATCCTCTTCCTCAAGTACTACTCCATTCGTAAAGGCGAGGAGAAGAGTAAGAAGAAGACCGAACAACCGGCCGCCGAGGCCAAGGCAAGCCGTGTCATTACCCCCGATCCGGCCCATCGGCCTAAGTCGACTACCCCCCCGACGGTTATTCATCTCGGCGAGTCTCTGGGTTGAGTGAAGAATTCCTTGTGCCATCATTACCACTAATTTTCTTCCTTCTTCTCGCATGTATAACCACCCTTTCCGATTTATAGAATTCGTTGCGGGTTTGACGGATGACTCAATCCGCGTTGCCCGTTTCCAAGAACCATTTAGAATTTTCCCTTTCGTCGTTCATCATACACATACATACTCACTCGTCCGCCTGATCCCTTTCGATCTACCACATCCTTACCATCTCTCTGACTCCTGTCGATACCCCTTTTGACTTTAAACCCATTATCCAGTGACCAATATAGCATATAGACAAAATAACTATCGCATTGTGTTTTAATATCAATATTCGCGCCTCTATAAAGCCCTGAGTCGGCTTAATCTTTATATCTCTCCATACATATATGCAAAGAAGAAACAGAGAGCAACGGCACTCGCATAATAGCTGTGCTATCATGATCTGCGTACAATCAGACAAGGAAGAAAGTCTCTTCCTCTTCCTCACTCAAACCATTTCATATCATATCGCCTCATGTCATGTAATGCATAAACAAATTCAACTGCGGGATAATACGTATACTTCACATTTCTTCCCAATCATCAAGGCACAAGGAAGTGACCAACATATGCAGAGGGTTTAAACAATAAGAAATGCACATAACATAAACATGAAACACGAAGAAGGGTGGGACAGCGAGAAAGAGATACACATCTTGGAGAAAAAGGAAGAAGATGAAGGGTTTCAATTAATGAACAAGAATGTGAAAAGGAAGAGGGTTGGGTTAAATGAAGAATTGAACGACGCTCGCGGTCTTCTAAAAATCCATCCGGAGCGCAATACTAGGCATACTCTGCTGCTCTTGGTCCGAGTATGTGCGTTCCCGGCCTGGTTTGGGGGCTCCGGAATTCACGTCCGCGCTGCGCAGGATATCTTCCAGTAGAATCTTCTGGTCTGGTTGCATAGTGGCCACCAGGGCGCGGAAGATGGCTTGATTGGCCTTTGCGAGCTCAAGCAAGTGGGCAGATGTTTCGGTGTACACGGCTGAGCCCTCGCGGTTGGCACGGGAGAGCAGGGTCGACATGACGAGGGACATGGCGGTTGGGGTTGCGTCAGCGGAGAAAATGGCGTTCGTGACGCAGGAAACAAGGGTGCGGGCGATAACGGTCTTGGAGTTCTCCGGGTCGCTTGCGACGTCGCCGTTCTCCTTGGGGCAGCCAATATAGAATCCAATGAGGCGGGGAGTGAGGTATCGTGCGATAGCCTCGCTAGTGGGAGATTTTGGTGACGGGGTTAGGAGGATTGACCGGATACAGCCCGCGGCAACATTGGCGAGACCGACATCCTGAAGGCAGTCCAGGAGTTCGTCCAGGACGAGAGTGATGACTGGGTCGTGCGGTGGGATGAGGTGGCCACCGGTTGTGAGAAGGATAGTGATTGCCAGAAGGGTATTCTTGGCACAGGGTAATGAAGACTCGGACTCCCGTCGTTGCGCGATGGTGAGCGTTGCGAGGAAGCGGGTGAGACAGCCCCGTAACTGGCGAGATACCACCGTAACGTTCTCGGGATCTTCCGGTCCAACGTCCCGGTTGTTGCTCACGCTGCTGATGAAGTGCTTGAAAGTGGGGAGGGCTTGGGGAACAACTTCTGCCTGGCACAACCCTGTCGCCAGAATTGTGCTAAAAATGTGTAGAATACACGCGTTGAGGTCATTGCGGATGATGGACGGGAAGATCGAGGCGACGTTAACAAGCGAGGAGAGCGAGAGCCTGATGAGCGACAAAGCGTCTTCTGATCCCACGCCGAATCGTGCAAGAGGCGTCGATTCGCGCAAATTGGGTAACAATCCCGCAAGGACGAGGATGATGCTTCTTGTCAACTCGAAAAGCTGTTCAATATCATCAGACAGATGATCATCTCGACCCTCGCTTCCCTTGGCTGACGGATGATCTAAAGAGAGGTTGCGTGCGATTTCCACAATAACATTCTGGATGGGGGTGCCCTCCGTCAAAGCAAGGCGATCAAGGGAGTCCATCGTCTCTGAGAAGATGGCGTCTTGATAGATAGCGTTTCCGGAGATCACCGGTCGTAGAATTCTTTTCAAAGCTTGAAGGATCTCTAATCTTTGTAACGGAGTTGTGAATTGGTCAACCAGAGCCTCGAAAGCGAGACCAAAAAGAACGAAGAAGAAAGCGACTGGTTCATCACGGTAGTTAATATCATGCCCTTTGCTTCCCACCTCTCCTTTGGATGCATCAGGCTCATTTTCATCAGGCCTAGCCTCGTCGAGCTCGGACTTGCCGTCTAGCGCGTCAAAGACAAAGTCAATGTCCCTTTCGACCAACCCAGCTATTGCATCAACAAGATTCAACCAAGAGTCTTGGTAGAACTGCAAAAGCAAAGTCAGTATACAGGAAATACATATGGTGTCATTCAATGGATGGCATACCTTCAGGAGTGTTTCCCGGTTCAGAGCAGCGTATACTTCGTCCAAGTCGCCACCTAACGGTCCTGTACCCAGGCTTCCAGAAATATCTGGCTCAAATCTCAAACGCGCGTACTCCTGAAGAGAAGAAAGCCATAGCGGAGTAAGCTTTGTAAGGTACGGCTGAACGACCTCATTGAGGTATTCTTGTTCGATACTCGCAATCTGGAGCCGTGCCCAGGCGGAATACAATGCCACTTTAACCATGACTCTGGCGTTCGAATTGAGCCCTTTCAGCTCCCCAATCTCTGTGGTATCCATATTATCTTAGGCCCGTTAGCTAACGTTCGGAAAGAGGCTTGGAAAGTACTCACTGGAGAAATTCTCGAGGCCAATGACCAGAAGTTTGAGAATTCTGCCCATTCTCTCCACATTCGTCACGATTCCTGTCGCAATGAATGTTGCAGAGACATTAATGGCCTCAGACGCTAGTTCTGCAGACGAATCAGCAGCAAACGCAGGGGTAAGAGCTGATCCAATCTGGGCCTGGTATTGCTCGAGGAGCGATGCCTCAGTAAAGTCCGGGTCGGGAGTTTTGCCGAACATCTGGTACATTAAGTCAGTTACCCTAAAATCAAGATAGAAATAATGGGACCATACTTTAAGAACCTGGTCAATAATCTTCAATCCCCAAATTCGAAGCTCTATCACATTTGCTGTAGAGGCCGAGAACGCCATGCGGACGATGTCCCCAACCTTCTGCTGCAAAACAAGTTCAGCGGGAATTGTTTGATCTGGTAGGATCGCTTCCTGTACGATGCACAAGAGCTCACTGAGACAGCTCATAACGAAATTACGAGTCTGCCATTTCAAAAGCTCTTGTCCCGATACTGTATCATTGGCACCGTCTGACTGCCCGGCCCCAGCAATCGCGGACGCGAAACCTGCAACCTCGTCGTCCGGCATATCGTTTGCTGAGGGTTTAACAGCAGATGTAAGGGGCAATTCCTCCACTTTGACACGCGTCTTAATCAAGGTATTGTGACAGCGCTGAATCCACAACTCTGTTTCTTCAAGAGCTGTTTGCTGCATCCAGTCCTGGATCATGCCTCTCAAAATCGGATGATCAGGTGTATCATCAAACGCGAGCCAGATGTCATCCTCAAGCGCCGGCGTAGCGGTGCGAATAACAGCTGCGGCGTCCCGTTTCATAAGATTACTGAGTCCTCGGATAGCCACGTCTCTCATTAGAGGGGTATCAGCGGAAAGCTCGACCTGCAAGCGTTTGACGTATCCAGGGAAGTCAACGTATGCTGGCGCATACAGTGAGAGATGATCCAGGCATTTTGAACTCTCTGTGACCAGGGCCGAGTTGTCCTCTAGTTGAAACTGCCTGAGCAGCGTGAGGATAAGATTCCGTGTCTTTGCGATGTCCTGGAGGTCAGGGCCCAACACATTGATAAGAGAGTCAACGCAGCGGCTGATTAAGACAGGAGTGAGGAAGGACATCTCGATATTGGATGTAGCCAAGGCTGCTGCCTCCTCGTTATGAGTGTCGGTATTGTATAGCTGAGCGAGCATACCGAGAGAACTAGAGACAAACGGCGAGAAGGTCAAACCGGCAGAGTTCGCAACGCGTTCTAGACCACCAAGGGCCCAGAAGTGAACCACGGGGTGAGGGTCGTTACATAGAGACATTAAGACGCCAACGATGGTCTTGAGATGCAGACCAGCTGCCATACCACCGACTTGTGAATGAATGCACCCTAAGGCTGCAGCACAGCCAGCACGAGCATTGGGTTCTCTATTAGCAACAATTGTATCCACGAGCCAATTAATCTGGGTATTTGTGAAGGTGTTGCCGGAGCTCTCGCAGAGCCGTCCAAGTGCCTCGGCACCGATTGTACGGACAATGAGGTCGGGGTCAGTAACGAATTTCTGGCTTGGTCAGTCTTCTGCCATCTTAATCCGCTGTTAGCAGTAGCCTCTTACCTGAACGAGCTCTTGAAGAACTTTATCAGTGGCGGGATTGAGTTTTCCAGCTCCATGGCCGAACTCTCCGACTGATACTTTGAGCGCGTGAAGAAGCGCCACGCCAACGTTGACAAGCATGGCAGCCTTGCGGCCAGGGTTCCGCTGCAAGCCTGGCGATGCAATAAACGTCGCAATCTGTTCGACGCTGCTTTCTTGAACCTTGGGCGCATGTAGTGGAACAGCCACAGAGAAGAGCTCGATGGCCGCGTTAACGACACCGGTTGCGTGCGGGTCAGCCAAGAGACAATCGCCTTGTCTTGACGAGTATAGAAGAACAGAATCGTGTTCACTTGCTTGGAAAATAGGGAAAGTCAACTATGTGTGTGAGTATCAAACCAGCAGCAGGAGAAACATTCTTTACTCACGGCATCATCAATACTTTGATCCGCCGAATCAACTGCAGACCATGACGGCCCGTTATCGTTCTCGTTCTTGCCATTAAGCGCCGCGCGAACGTAGTCACGAGTGATACCCGTCACTCCAAATCCATAATTGTCGCCAAGATCCCACAGAGTGTCAAATTGCGCTGTTGATGCTGCAATCGAGCTTTCTAGAGGGCCCGCTTGGGCAGCATCCGGATCTGCGAAGGATGAAATGGCCAAGCTCAAGAGACTAGATTGGGAGATGACATCACCACGGCTCAAGGGATGGACACGGAGTAACTTGGAGAAACATTGCAGGACACGTCGCCGAACCATAGTCTCAATATCGTGCAATTGCAACGATGGGTGAAGACGCTGAGATGAATCATTTACGGACTTCTGCCGTGGGAGGTCTTCCAGAAAATCAACTGTATTCTGAAGCATCCCTGCGATTCGCTTCGCACCATCGGCTGTGATCAATTTGCTATTGAACTCCATGAAAACCAGTAATGCACCCAGAGCACATTCTCTGACATGTGCAAGGAAGCTCATCTCCAAAACTCCACACTGAGCAGAATTTTCCTTGCTCAAATGTATCGGGAGCGCATTCTTCCATAACAACATCAGCTGCGATAAATGAATCTTCACAAAGCTTGGACCGAGTGGCATTAAGCCTCCGATCAGGATCCAAGCGACTTGAATCTGCGTACACGCCGCACGTAGCTCGGAGTTGCTACTGGTCTTCAGAAGGTCGGTTGCCTGAGTAAATACACGGGAAAATACATCAACAGACCCGTACAGGGGTTGCAGCCGAGAGGTACTTAGCATGGCCGAAAGACCATTAGCATAACCGACACACCGACGCGGGGATTGCCGAGGAGTGCCCAACTGGCCAACTTCCCTGTTCAAAGTATTCAGACAGATTGTAACACAAGACAACAACTGATGTGGGCAAGCGAGGACGAAGTTTCGCAAGCAGTGTGCTGCGTGGATCTGAACGGTGTAGCTGGGGTGAGACAGAACCAGAAGCAAAGCCTCGCGACAGGGTTCAGCGAGAGTAGCAAATGCAGAACCTAGAGATATGATCAAAGAAGACAGTGCGCTCAAAGTGCTAGTCAAAGAGTGCTTGCTTGGCTCGCGCCGTTCCTGAATAACCTGAGGGTAGTCTTTGAGTACATCATTGATCAACCATTTGGCGGCATTGAGCTGGCTGGTCTCTCGGAGCGATTCACGTCCAACCGTGTCCTCCAGAATACTTTTGACAAACTTTCTTGTCATAAGAAGCCGAAACCGGTTGTAGGTCACCGTGGGATGGTTTAGAAGATCGAACAGGAGGTGGGTAGCGATCTGGCTGTAACGGTCCTCAATTATCTTGTCGCCTAAAATTCGCAAAACGTGCTTGTAGCATACAGCAATGCCAGCGCGAGCTCGATTGGATGTTGTACTTTTGAGGTACTGCGTAGATAGTTGGCGAAGAAGATCCGGGAGGAGAAAGAATAGACGCGGCTCCGACTTTTTTGTAGTTGATGACTCTGAGACCTCAGCCTCCTCGTCATCTTCCGTCGGTTTCGCTGTGGGTTTCCTCGATAGTCTTTTGGATTTCTTAGGCTTCGGCACAGATACAATCCGGGTGTCCGAAGCATGCAACTTGGCTAGCGCGCGAGCAAGGCAGGCTGCAGCGGCGTGCCTAACGGGGGCCACAGGGCTGTCAATTGCCTTCCATACCACGGTCTTGAGGTGATCGAAGTCGTTCGTGTTGTCAAAGTATGGAGTCGTGTTCACCAATTGTTCCAGACAACGACATGCGTGGACTTGAACAAATGTCGACTTGTCCGTGGTTGCGGCATTGCGGGTTTGTTTCCAGATGTCTCGTGCTGTAGCTTCATCGAGGGGAACTCCAGACCCGACGGCCACCTTCCGCAGCACGGAAAACACCGACCCACGACATCCCGTATGATTACTAGAGGCTTTGAGTAGCTTCAGTAGGCTTGATGCTACAATACCGGACTGTGCAAAGACACTCTCTCCGGCGACCGCAAATACCTCGCCCATACAGTGGGCGGCCGCAAACTTGGTCTTGAGTTCCGCCTCATTTTTACTTGCAGTCAAGATCCCTAGCAAGTCGGTCACTGTCTCAAAGAGAACACCGCGATCACCCTTGCTGAAGATAGCACCGAAGCAGCGTCCCAGGTTATTGCGAATGACTCGTGTGATCGTCGGTGACGGTAGCGTAAGGATCTTGAACAACTCCTTTTTCAAGGACTTCTGTTGCGACGAGACCTGAGCCTTATCTAAGCCCGATATGTGTTGAACTAAGTCAGAGGTAAAGGTGAGGAGGTATAGGTCCTGTTGTTCGGAGGGAAGCGCATGAAGCTTGCTGATGTCGAGCTCCGCACGGGGAGCCGCATTGTCGGCGGCGGAAGTAGACGTAGCGTTCTCAGGTGCAGACATTAGGTTCGGTCGTCCCACCTAGGGTGTCACCCATACGGGCTTATTATTGTGTTGAAAAGCGAGATTGGAGATAAGAGTCGGAGGGTTACCTTGCGACTGAGAGCGCAGTCGAGTACTCACCGACCTTACGTAGTTCGATTCCGTCGATGGGCCGGCCCCTTAAGCGGGCACTTGGCCTCATTTCCGGGGGCGGTGGCGGAGAAACGGTCGGGCCGGCCCCGCTATCAGATCGAAGGTGCAGGGCCGATGATTGTAGATAATGCGTCTGCTCCATGCCCCGATAGAGATGGTGTTGTCTGCCATTCGATAGTCTCAGGGCTACAGAAACATGGTCTCCTTAGTGAGCAAGAGTCTGATGCAGCAGCGTGCTGTCCGAACCAACCAGCTGATGTGCAATGGCTGCCGTAGCTTCTCTAGCAGCACTCCGTGGTCTGCAGGACATAACCGCTGGTCTAAAATCAAGCACGATAAGGCCAAGGAAGACAAGGCAAAGAGCAAAGAGCGTCAGCTCATGAATAAAGAGATCAGCAATGCAATTCAGAGTGAGTTACAGCTCCGCCCCCTCCCTCCTCCATCTTGCTATGTGTCTATGCTAATCCAGCGCAGTGTGGGGACCTGATCCGCAGTACAATCCGCGCCTAACCCTTGCCCTCTCGAATGCGAAGCGAGCCGGAATTCCGAAGAATGTAATTGAAGCGGCTTTGGCCAGGGGGAAGGGCATAAGTTTGACTGGCGAAGCGCTGGAGCAAGTTACCGTTGAAGCTATCCTGCCACACAATGTCGCAGTCGTGATTGAATGTCAGACCGACTCAAAAGCCCGTCTTTTGCAGGACATTAGACATACGATCAAGAACGCCGGTGGGGCCGCCACCCCGACAATCTATCTATTTGAAAAGAAAGGTAGAATCGTTTTCGAGAAGAAGGATGGCGTGGATCCAGATGATTATTTAGATCAAGCAATTGAAGCGGGCGCCACTGATATCACCGCTGATGATGAAGGCCGTCTTGTCGTCTTTACTGAGCCCACAGAAACCAAGAGCGTGGGAGAGGCGCTGTCGAAAGTCATTGGACTTCCTGTCGAGGAACTTGAAGTCTTCTGGGACCCAAACAAAGACACCATGGTTGACCTCAAAGACGAGGAGCACGTCAGTGAGATTGAGAGTGTCATGAGCAAGCTGCGAGAGGAGTCGTGCGTCAATGAGATATATATAAATACGCGCCAGCTGTTTTGACGAGGTGCGGGGCCGATGATTTTGTCCTAGACCAAGGCAGTTAGAGTGTTGTATCATAGGTTTGGAAAGGCGTACTAGATGTATCATAATTAAAACCACCAAGAGAGCTTTGTAAACAAGATATCATTATTGCTACATGGGTTTTTAGAATCGCAATATTATTATTCCTTCCTCAATGCTTTCATTGTGCTACGCATCAAATTTCCAATTCCCACATTTCCTGTTGCATCCAACCAATCAAGCATTCGAACACGATAATCTTGCCAGGTCAGCTTCAAGCCGCCCTCTTTCTCAAGGGCGCTGAGTGCCTTTTGAGTCACAGGCCTTTGCAGCCTTGGTTTGCTTTCGTCGATACCGTTATCTTCTTCGATATCTGCAAAACACGCTGCAGACATGTTGCACAGGGCGACATGGTGACTCAGAGAGAATATGGAAGAGATGGTGTAGGAGAAATTGACCTCGCGCTTTTTGTCCCGTGTGCTGTCGTTGAGATTACGGATGAACCGCGTAAGCGCGTTCACGGTGGGTTGGGGAATCAAGCAACCCAGAGCATTAGGGTCTTCTGAATTAAGTCCGCGATTGCGCCAGAGCAAGTTGCAAATATCCATGATGTACCCGTTGAACTGACCCACAAGATCTGTCGGATATAGTGAGTCGGCAGAATGAGGAACTTGCAAGACTAAAGAAGTGAGAGAAGCTTCGAATGACGACTTGTAGCTAGCAAGTACTGAGCTCATGATCGATATAACAGAGCTTATCGGCGTAAAGACAAGGGTATAGACTGTGGGCGCTAGAGGGATCGTGAGACGAATGCTGCCATGCAAAGAGGCATACGAGAATAACTCAGCCAGAGTGCAGTAGAAATCGAGGACAGACAATATAGCCGGCTTTTGTCTTTCGCCCTCGATTATAGACTCCAGACTCGACAAAGCCAAAGACTCTGCATGAGAAACGAGGCGGCCAAGCGGCTTAAATTCGTGAGCGCTGAAGGGTTGAGAGCGCAGACGTACACCCCATTGACGAATCAACGATGAGTAGAAATCGAGCAGAGTCAATTGAGAGTGCGGCGTGCCGTCTAAGACCGATGCTTCCAGGTAGTTCAAGAAGTCTTTTCGCAAATCCTCATACTCCTGAAGTGGTAAATATGATAATAGACGGAGCACTTTGTCCTGATTGTCATGGCCGTTCCACGAGAGGACATATCGTGTCAGAAAATGAAATAACGCGTGTGGAATTTCCTGTAATCAAGTAAGCATCCATGATACACAAACTGGGGTCTCGATCCATACTTTCGTATACTGTGCGTAGTTGAGTGCGAGGTCTAGGATATACCCAAGTGATTCGAGCCCATTTGGGTCATCCTCCTGGACGCGCCCCAACTGATCATCAAGGAAGCCTTTCAACCAGTCGTTTAGACGGCGATGTGCAACATCAGACTGAGTCAGAAAGAGATACTTCTGAGCTAGAGCATCTCCCATCATGGATATGATTTGATTAGGTAGCTCAATTCGATCAATTCGGTCGACAAAGTGGTCCACGCTGCGCAGTTCTTCCAGCGCTGTATGTGATGATGAGACCCGTGATGTTTGCACATCTGGAACAATGACCTCCATCTTGGCTCGTTTGAAATGTTCACGATGCACTACCTGGAAGCTTGACGGCTGAGCAGCCTGGGACCTCTCCCAGTGCGTTTCTTGAATTTGTCTTACGTGGGCGGTCCATTCAGGATCTGGGTGCTTGAAGAACAATGCCTTTCTTCCTGAAGAAGCGATATCACCCACAATGACATCAGGACAGTAGTTCTTGAAGGCCCTGAGTAAAGTGAGAATTTCCTTGTCGTCTCCTCCCGAAGAACCGAGAAGCTCCATAAGAGACTGGATCCTAAACGGCTTGACGTGTTTGCGTCTCGTGATAAAGGAGAGTAGATGACACAGCGGTTTCCGCAAGCTGATCATATCGAGGTGGTTAAATAGCACCGCATAGAGCTTGGAAAGATGTGATCTATCATCAAGGAAGTCGTGTACAAGAATCAGCCATCGCAAAAGCAGAGCCTGCGTCGCCGGGGTGGGCTTCGTTTTGGAAGGTCCGAGGCAGCATACAACCTGGGTGATGACCCCGGAGGAAATTCTTTCTTGCGGATATAGATTTTTTACCAGAGTAGTAACTGTTCCTTGATCAAGGTGGTTACTCTTGGTGAGGACTTTTAGCAAGCGTTGGAGGCCAAATTGGGAAATTCCCCTTTCGTAGGCGCGCGTAGCTATTGTTTTGGCCAACTGGCCCGCATCCGTGTATCGCTGTTTGGAGGGAACAAATGCGACTGGAAGATGTTAGATAATGAGGAACCTCGGAGTGTTGTGCCGCCAACTGACCTGCTTCGAGGTGTTCAATCGCATCTTCTAGGCTAGTTGGCGCGACCTCGGAGCCTAAACGGATGATTAACATGGATAGTCAAAGGCTTGGTCTACAACAAACCTCTTTCTGAGTCAGACGACATTGCAGTCAAGTAGACTCCGAGTTGATTCGACCGAACAAATCAAGTGGTTCTTTTGCGATATCTCGTAGCGCATATCAGGCTGCACCGGCGCTTTGTCGCTTTGGGCCATCCAGATTTCGGGTCTTCACGCGTGAACTTGAACTAGTCGCGTCGACCGTACGCGAAAGGTCAATTATTATACCACAAGAACAACCAGCAACAAATGTTCTTACTGCTCTCAGCTAAGTTCACTTTTTATGAACACTTATGCAGAGGGCATGCTCTGGATTGTCAATAACTTTTGTCTAGCACACAGATTCTTGAAGACTCGCGGGCAGCTCGGAGATGGGCAAGCTTTACCAGATTTGGCAATCATCTGGCGACCGGGGGGGGGCCAATTATTTACACATCTCACGCACTCAGCTAAGAACAAAGGTCACTGAAGCCAAACAATACTGATTTGGGAAAGTGTTATTTACAATTTGATATTTCGACCTGAGTGAACATCTTTTACCTGAATTCATATTGTATTTCAAGAGTCACAACTGGAAGCTCAACCTACGCCGAACCAGATTGCTCCAGGCGCGTTCTCCGGATGAGATTTCTACATTCATTCAATTTACATAACAAGACATAGTCCATTGTCTAGAGTTTACTGAAGACATGTTAACCATGATCGAGTTCCCCGCAATGTGTCTGACTTTTTCCTCGCGAAATTCTTGGCATTACAACAGCCACAGAGTCATGAAAAGCATTGCCCTACTTCCTTTTCCTGGCCGCCTCCTTAGATTTTCCATTGCTAGATGCGGTCGCTGACGCCTCGACCTTGGCCTTTTCAGCTGGGTTAGTTGACATCTCGACCTTGTTCTTTTCACCTGGAATAGCTTCGTCCTCATCGTCACTGTCTCCTCCCTGGCCGAACTCATTGACACGGGTGTAGTCGACCTTGTACTTCCAGCCCTGGTAGAGCCAGACAAAGAAGATGACGTCATCTCTGAGCGTGGCAAGTCTGTGAAGCCAGGGCATCTTGACGGTAAATGCGAAAAGATCATCAATGAAGGTATTGAGGAACTTGTACATCAACGCCTTGCCGGGCATGTGAGCGACAGACTAAAGCGGTTTGTTAGCAGTGAAATAATTTGGAACCACAGACTGTTTACTGACCTTCAGTCGGTAGTTGATATACAAACTAGGGACCATCATCAGGAAGCCGTAGGCGTAGACACTTCCAACAAGTGTCTCAATCACGTAGGAATACCATGACTTGTGCGTGTTGTAGATGAGGCTGTAAGCTGCGTAAGCTGCGAGAAGAGGCACAGCGACGATGTACAGGTAACGGAACGCAATCTCATCGTATTCCTTCGTCTTCTGCTCTGTTTCGCTGAGCTTATGCTTGTCCTCGAAGACAATCACATAAGGCAGGAAGGAGAGGAAGGATCCGGCAGGGGGCGGACGCAGGCGCACATCTACAGTCTTCGTGATCTTCCACGCTTCAAGCAAAATACCGAATCCCTGGCTAGCAAGAATCATCCAGGATGTATTCTCACTGTTATCCATCAGGTAGAGGAAGATGACAGCTTGCATGAAAACATTGGCCAGGATGGTGCGAACGGAGGTTCCAACGACATCCTTCTTCTTACGCCAATGAGACTATCGAGATCCAACCGTTAGCGACGTTTCATCCCGGAAATGCGTCAAAGCACGGGTTTAAATGACTCACAATATCGTTCTTGAATGCGAGGGTCTCAAAAACCATGTGAAGAATGGTGACCACACCTGTGGTTCCCAATAACCAGATGTTCGTATCCAATAATACTTCCTTGATCATTTCGAACTCGGAGCCATCGCCTCCGCCCGGGGCAGCATTCCCAAAGGCAGCCTGTCTGGCGGTCTCCTTGGCATTTGCATCAAGACTCGCCATCATGTTGAACTTCCAATTTTGTAAATTGTTAAGGGTGATGCGCAGAGGGACAGTGTCAACAGTTGAGTTGAGTTCCATCATGTGGGTCTTGAGTTGCCAAAACGTGTTGAGAAAAACAATTGGATAGTACCATCCATTTTGCCCAGTGGCATCCCTCGCGCCGCTGGATTCCAGCTGCATGTGGTGTCTGATAGCAGGATGGACTTGTCGATACTTCTGAGCCCCAGAGTCGGGGATCAAAGAGACCGTGAAGTTGGGATGATAGAATGAGGCAATTGACACATTTGGAGTACCGTCATCCTCTTCCTCTGCAGCTTGTTCGTTCGAGGCAAGAAGGCTCTTGAGCTTCTTGGCCTTCTTCTTGGGGAGATACTGATTCAAAGGGCGAAAGAAGTGAACCGCACTATCAGTGCTATAATCCTTTGCTGTGGGATCCAACTGGTGTCCGCTCAGCCCGACGAAGAAGTGTGCCCAGAGTGTACCATTACGTTGAACTTCCTTCGGAACCTTGATGGTGGTATCGATTTCCCGGGTATCGCTGTAGTTACCAAGCGTAAAGTTTCTCTCTTCCAAGACAAGTGAACCAGATGGAAGAGATTTGAAGTTTGGGACAGCAATTGAAGGAGAAACATAGATGTTGAGATCAAGGGGACTATCGGTGGGCCAGATCGGAGTAACGATGTCAGGAATATGGCTGTAGTTGGGGATCTGGCTGCGAGGCGGACGAGTCGCAAAACTGGGTACATCACTTGGCTTGGCAACAGAGGCAGTGTTCTGTTGATTACCACCCATGAACTGGTTCATGATGAGCTTGGCTAACATGAAGAAAGCCAGGCCCTGGAGGACGCCTCTGAGGCCGGACTAGAGAGCAGAAACAAAGGTGTCAGCCAACTCGAAAGAGTCCAAGCAATGCAGAAAAAGGGCATACTCACGCCTTGCGCCTCCTCCTCCCTACGCTGTCTTTGTTCAGGCATTTTGTGGCCCGCAGTTATCGCACCTTGTCAGCAAGCTCGCGGTGGCGGTGGTAAGGGAGGAAGAAAAGGCCACGCCCGAAGGACGGAGGGAGCGATGGTCCAGAAAGGCCGGGTGTTTTTGCGGGTCCGTCTCATCGCCGGGCGGCGGCGGGCGCGGCAGGCTAACATGACATAAATCGGGGCTTGCGGACAAGCTGCGATCTCCATTTTATCACCAAGATCGTAACCCCGCGCAAAGAGGATTGTGCTCCACGTAACAACTTGCTTTGTCTGAGGTTGGGGTCTACGTGGTACTGCAGGGCGTCTCCTCGCGCAATCGACATGCTGGGCTCTCGAATGTCGGCATAAATCCAATGACGGACAACCATCCCTCTCCCGATTACTCCCGCCCACAGTTTCCTGCCCATCATGAGCCACGGGTATGGGTGATTACGGCTGGAGATTCGCCAATCGGGATATCGGTCATTCGCCAGATTCTCAAGCATGGTGACTGCGCTCTGGTCGGACGGACGTATTCTGATTCAGATCGAGATGAATGCCGTCGCGATGGGTTCGATGCTTTCCTGGCTGAGGTCGAAAGCCACAGCGACGAGGGTTGGGGACAGCGATTCATGGCTGTTCCCTTAGATATAAGGTGCGCAGAGGCCTCGCTTCTTATTACAAGATTAGGAGATGAAGTATGGCACATATTCACATGGAACTTGCAGAATGGTCGGTGAATGTCAAGCAGTCGTCGCGCAAGCGGTTGCGACATTCGGCAAAGTGGATATTCTCCTTTGCTGTACAAGTCAAGGTATATCAATCGATGCCCCAAAATCTGTTCCAAGTGCAACCCTTGCTAATCATTTACATAGCCCTCGTTGGTACGGTGGAAGAGCTAGCGGCTTCCCAGCAAACCCTGAACTTGGTTCGGGACCAATTCGAGATAAACTACTTCGGCCCCTTGAACATTATCAAGGCAACACTCCCTCATATGCGTCGACAGAAGTCAGGGCACATCATGATCCTTTCTGGTATAAGTAAGGCCCAGCACAGTCATTCAATGTTAATACCAGCACTGACAGGAGCCAGCTGCTCACATCGGCACGCCGGGGCTGGGAATGTACTGCGCTGCAGGCTGGGCTCTCGAGGGCTTCTGCGATGTAGGTGATATTCAGGGTACACATGACCACCCATCGCTAACTTTGCTGCTTAATTCCAGAGCCTTGCGTACGAGATAGCCCCTTTCAATGTCAAACTCACAATTTTCCAGTGCAGCATCGAAATCGGGATCCTCACCAATTTGGTAACCAGCGTACCTCCAATCGCACCAGTATATTCTTCTACAGTCAACCATGCACCGCTGTTTCGCGGAATTCTAAACCGTCTAGTTTCCCGCTTGCCTAACCATGATTCTCGAAACGCCGGGGCGTCGAACGGCTCGAGTAGCGCCAACCGAGGCAATCCTGTCGAAGATGGCCCATTCTCTGCATCTGAAGTTATCTCAACGTACCCTCCGCTCAGTTCTGCGCACATGGAAGTGTTGGTCACCGAGACTGTGTACGCTATTACGGCAATCGGTGGTCATGAAAACCCTCCCTCCCGACACATTGTGGGCCAGGAAGGTGTCGCTAGTGTGAAAGAGAAGTTAAAGACTGTTAGCGAGGAGTTAGAGGACTTCATTCAGTCAAGCTTCGCTGTTGATTATGCGGCTGATGATGCGAGCCGACTGCCTAAGGATGACGGCATGAGCACTGGTCATGATGCAGCCTGAGATCACTTAGTAATGGTGCAAAGGAGAACACGTCGACGTATTCTCGGCTACCAACCGATCTTTCTAATTGGAGCTATTCTAAACCTCAAACCAGTCCAAGAACAGAACATGTTTGTTTGGATTTCATCATCTCAGTCAGCACGACACTGGTCGGTTAGGCAGTTGTCCTCGACTTATTCTCGCGCACAAACCAGGCCTGCCTGAGCTCCCATAAGCTTCCCATATCCTGGTTGTGTCTGTAAGCTCGAAATTCCTTCCAAGAATTACCATTTGGCCTCTTCGTAATCCGTCCGTCAATTTCTGTTATCTTCGAGGCCAGCGCACCGAGTCCCTGTATATTGGGTAATATGATTTCCTCGACACCTTGGGGCTGGTCTAGAGTCAATGCAGTGATTTCCGGATCCAGATGGCAAGTTGCACTGTTCGCCTGCAGCTCCGAACACTGTCTCTTACTGTCAGGAAGCTCGACATCTGACTTGCGTTTCCTAGCGGAGCCAGCCTCTATCCCTTGAGCGTTCGGTCCTGGTCCTGACCCTAAGATAGTCTTCCCGTCCTCATGTTGCCCATTTGTGTTGGTAATTCCGGTAGTTTCTGTATTGTTGGTAGATCTTTCACAATCATTTGGGCTTGTGGCGTCTGTCGTTGGTGCTGGAGCAGTGGAGAGAAAGACACGCTGCCCAGGTGGAACAGCGAATGTCAAGTTCGCACCCTCAATCTTCACGATCTAGTGAGGTGTTAGCGAGCCATACTTTCTCTATGCGACGATGACCAAGCACCAAGCGGCGGAACATACTCTGGCTTCTTTCTCAACAAGGACCCTCTTGCTACCTTTTGCAAAAGCTCTGGAATACTTCAAAATATCGCCCTCACAGATTACACCATTATCAGTCAAGTCCATCAACTTGATTTGGGAGCTTTGTCCGGCCTGCAGACTTCGGTCCATTTTCTGCTTCTGACCCCAGAATTCCTCGAATTCTTCTTCCTTGAAACGGTCGAACTTGCCCGCTGCCCGCTCCCTGATAGCTATTTCCGCTTCACGTAGCCATTCCGGATCGTAGCGCCCCTGCTGGAGATCGAGCTGAAACTGACGGATGCCGTCGCGCCAGTTATTAGAATAACGTAGGAACGATTCTGGTGGCGGGGGGATTTTCGCCTCGGGGTCATCGGGTGAAGGGTAGGGATTCGGATGCGCGCCATTGGGAAGTAGCTTCAAGATCTCCTCCTTCTCGTTCTCCTCAAGGCATGTCCAGGCTTCAGGATGAGCAAGCAGTTTCTAGATGGGCATTAGCTTTGTCCGCGTACACCACGATATCAGTCACATCCTCTAGAAGTGTGAACGGCATACCACCAAGTCCAAATGGATTAGCTGCGACTTTGTGCTAGTCATCAGCTGCTCCTCGCTCCATTGCTTGTTGGCGGCCCGTCTTGGGTTCCGCTTCGGTCTGGCGTTTGTCAATGACATCGCGCTGCTAATAATAGGTCCGCCCGCGTTGCTCTGTTCCTCCGCCTTCGAAGATCGAGATAATTGGCTCCTGTAGCATTACGTTGATCAGCATTGCCATAAGAATGCAGCCTTCCGCCTCCAAACGTCAGCCGGTCACCGAATGGAGGCTCCTAGGCACGACTACAATCTTGGCGGACACCCCGGATCTCACCTCGTCACTCGCTGGCACTCCGAATTGCCGCTCCCGACCGCCTTGCACCTGCGGGCCATCGTTCCGCGGCCTGGCCAGATAAGTGGAGATGAACAACAGCGGGAGTTGGTGTTAGCAACACGATCACCGACGCATCAGCTCGCCTTGCCTTTGAAGACGACAGTGCTGAACTCCTCACTATCAAGATGGTCAGGTCAACGTTAATCGCCAGAATTGATGGTATGGTCACAACTCTGTTTTGGGTATGCAGAAGGAAGGTTTCGCAAGTTCGCTAACGTTTGGAGAGACAGGCCTGATGCTGGCGGCGTCGGTTGACGATGAACAGGTCAGTGACTTGCTGGAACTTTCACAAAGCGGTGTGTTCATGATTGATTGTCACTGACACAACGCACTTTTGAATCAACAGTCTGAAGGAGAACTGCAAGAGATCAAGTCACAAGCCAAGATGATATTCCGTCGTTTGAACCGCAACTCAGAGCCACAGGCGAGCATTGAATCCGGCCAGTTCAATCTACAGTAGGGACCAAGTGGATACCTAGCGCTTTCCTGCTTATGCTCATCGCTCAATATCTAGTTACATTATCAAAGATGATATCTGCTTCCTCTGCATATGCGATCGCTCCTATCCGCGCAAGCTTGCCTTTACCTACCTTGCCGATCTTGCGACAGAGTTCACCACCACATACTCCCCTGCACAGTACCAGTCCCCCACGCTGCGACCGTACGCCTTTGTGGAATTTGATACCTTCATCCAACGGACCAAGAAGCTGTACCAGGACAGTCGCGCTTCGGCGAACCTTGACCGCTTGAATGACGAGCTGCGGGATGTAACGAAAGTGATGACCAAGAATATCGAAGATCTGTTGTACCGTGGTGATAGCTTGGAACGTATGGGAGAGTTGTCTGGTCGTCTTCGGGAAGACAGCAAGAAGTACAGGAAAGCCGCTGTCCGCATCAACTGGGAGCTGCTGGTCAAGCAGGTAGGCACATTGCGTCCGTGACATGCAGACGTCCTGCTAACTAGTTCACAGTACGGCCCATTCGCAGGTGTCGGTTTCATCCTCCTTTTCATGATCTGGTGGCGCTTCTTCTAATTATGCTCTAAGCGGCCACAAATATGTACACCCACTAATATGAATGTATGCATAGTTAATGTCTCCGGTGGATGCAGGACACCATCTTCCTTGGCTCAGGATTTGAGAGGACTTCTGAAATAATCAGTGCCGGTCGTAGCACATGAGACCAGTGGCTTGCGTATGTGTAGGACATGTCTAACAGCATTCGAGTTCTTCTATATCATCATAAGTCGTCAAGATGATCATTTTTTGCGGCTAGAAAAAAGCATGCGAGCAGTTGGTCTGTTGAGCTTAAATCTCATCCTCTTCCTCGTCAAAGTCGTCTTCTTCTCCCATATCGTACAAAATCCGGCCTCCTTCGCCCGGACCGTCGCCCTGCTGCGCATCAAAGTATGGCAACACCACACCCTCACGATCCTTTCTTTGTCTTTCAGTAAGACGTAGCTCGAAGGTTGATTCGGGTTCTTCTTCTCCCGCGCCGTAATCCGGCTCCTGCGGCGGGCGATACAACGGGTGGTCGTCCAGCAGCGTCACAATCTCCTTTGCATACTGCGGAGGGTAGCGCGAAGCTGGTGGGAGGACGTACCATTCCAAAACGCCCCGACCGCTCTTTCTTCGGTGCTCCAATTCCAATACCACCCCTTGTGCAGATTCATTGCCAACCGGTCTATCCAGTCTGCCCAGAAGCACACCGTCTTGCTCCTCTTCCAGACCAAAAACAGGCGCGACCAAGCTCCGGTCACGAGCAGCCTTCTGAGCCAGGATGTGCGAGAACGAGTGGAGTCTGATGATGGTGGTTGCGAGGTAGGTCAACATGGAAAGAGGCGTCGGGATATAATGCGACAGAGGAGGTGGGCTGGGAACATCCTGGTGGAAGGTAACCACGAGCGAAACTTCAGCTTTCGATGCTGTGGGGCTTTGAGGCATGAGGAACAAGCTTAGGAATGACGATACGTTGAATTGCGCATCGTTTCGTTTCGCATGCAGGAGTGGGTTGATGGCATCGATGAGGATCAGTCGCCCTGGAGCTTTTTTAGTCGTGTCGCGGTTGACGATCGCCAGTGCTGGTTCAAGGATACGTACTGCGGGAGGGACTGCTGGCCGGAACATTTGTGTAGGTTGCATTGACAGCCTTGATTATCTCCAAGGGAGTCTTCCTCCGGCCTGCGACAAAGGCATCGACGCCCTCCGGCGGTTTCAAGGTCTCGAATGCGACAAATGTGATATGAACTTTGGACAACTAACAATGAGGTTAGTCACCATGCCACTAGAATCTATGAGGCCGGCTAGGTAGTCATCCAAAGTCGCAAAGACCAAACAACACGTCCCTCAAAGCCATATGTTGCCGGAGCCATCAATATGGGTCAAATTACCTTTGCGCGTCGAATGTATTCCTTGATTAGTGGGTTCGCGGGCTGCTCTAGTGAATCCAATACCAGGGCGAGCGGCGACGCTGTATCTCTAAGACTAAGCAGTTTCGAGATCAAGAGCAGGTTATGAGTCTGCCTGTGGGAAGTATTCATGGGAGCCATCTTGTAGGTTTGGCCGGGGAAGGACGGATAATGACTCGGGAAGAAAATGCGAAGGATATGCGGGGTCGGTTTTTGCATGCAAGCTATGGAGCTTGAGGGGTCGGCGGCGCACAGGAAAGGTTCCAATCAGCGAGCTTGCCGGGTTTAAGCTCAGCGCCTGCCTTTGTAGTTGGATCCACCGGCTTCATTTCCGCTTCCATCCAAGTTGAATAAGATCGAACTTTCATGTGTCAATAAACGGGCTCAAATGGTTTCTATCCAGTTCAGAGATACCTTCTTAGCTTGATCAACTGAAAGTACTTTTGGCGCATTTTCTTGAATTCTGCTCGAAAGTACATCCACGGTTTCATTTCTCGTATATACTCATGAAAGTGACCGGATGTTGACATGCCAACCGTAAGGCTCAAAGCAGCCAGTAAGTTACCAAACCCAAAGTACTGACCCCTGATGTAAGCCCCGGAGTAGTTGTGAAAATAACGATAGCTCTGTACAGTTACTGTCTCTTTTCCTGCATGTCATTCGATACATTTTTGCATGGCTTACAGGCATTACCTCTCATCAACGCATTAGAAAATTTTCGGTACTAGTATTACTATGACAGGAATAACAGCTATCGTTCTTTATCAGAGGCAAGAAGTCTTTGTTCTAAGAAGAGCTTCCACCATGGACCTGCATGGGCTTTGCACAGTTTTATCACTGCTTCGTCTTGTCGAGCGCCGCAAAATACATTATGGCACTGGCCCGCCACCATCATGATGCGAACTTCATATATACAAGGTGTCGCAATCGATACCGTGATTGAATGAGTATACGATCTGGTCTGTTTGACCTTCAATCGTCCAACGACGACAAGAAAGGAGAATTTAGCGCGAGCGGGCTCTAAGACAAGACGCATGAGCTCAGTAGCATTCGGAATTCTACCGGTTAGCAGTTGTACACATGGGCGTGCTGTTGACTGAAAAGCCTCTACTGACTAGGTAAATTGACTTGTATGGTGAGCCATGGATTTCTAAGAGAAGTTTCATTCTCAAAGTTGACTGGTAGTGGACATTAGTTAGACATTGTTCCGCAACATAAATCGGATTGCCTCCAACCTTCCGCGGCATGGAGCCGACCGCGCAACTGGCACAAACTGGCGACCGTAACAACTTCACGCCTTCAGCTTCGGTCTGGGGATCAATCACCAAAGCTGATTTTCAAACTCAGTCGTGCATGCTGGCAGCCCGCTCATCATCGCGCAATTACTAATAATCTCACAAGACGATGGTTATGATTTGATCTGTTTTCGTGTTTTACCATAGACGTATTTCTCACCCCCTAGCCGTTATCTTTCGCCGCGGAAACAAAACCTCACGCATCGACTTCGCAACGAAATTTATCGTCAGTGCAGCGCATACCTCCTACGAAAGCAAAATTTACAGACTGGCATAATGGCGGAGCCACCAGCGAAACGTGCACGGAGACCCGATAGCTCTACAATGTGGGATCAAGATGATACGAGAACACGTTCACCCGAGCCAGACTTAGATTACGCCAGAAGTCCGCGGCGGGAGCATGGAAAGGAGTATGGGCGGCGCGATGGACCCAGAGATGATCGAAGATATCGCTCGCGCTCGAGGGATAGGAGAGACAGGAGACGCGAAAGGAGCAGGTCAGGGGATCGTCGGGATCGCGATCGCAGGGACAGAGACAGAGACGGACGAAGTACGAGGGAGAGGACTATCAGCAGGGAGAGGCATCATGATAGACGAGGTATGTGGCTTGCTTGGACTTGTCAAACCCCTGCAGATTCTCAATTGTCATCCCGCAGGATACCCATCGAAAGGAGAAAGATATCGATCCCGATCCCCTATCCGGAACGGCAACAGAGTTAGATCCAGGACTCCACCTCCTAGAGGCCCACGAGGCGATCGCAACGTTGATCGCAGAGACCCTCGAACACAGCCGAATGGTGTAGCGGACATAAAACTGCGACACGACCGGCCCCGGGACGAAACCGAAATGGACCTTGACGATGCTGTCGGAGATGACGATTTCGAAGAGATGATGCGCCGGAGTATGGGCTTTACAAGGTTCAGGAGCACGAAGAACACTAAGGTTCCTGGAAACAATGTCTACGGCGTTCGGAAGGAGAAGAAGACGGAGTACAGACAGTACATGAACCGTATAGGAGGATTCAACCGACCGCTCAGTCCATCCAGGCAGTGATTTCGACACGGGTTCTCTCTGCCAAGACTTCGTGTCCCTTTCATTATATCCCAAGCCATTTTCTCCTTCATATCTTCTCTATCTTCTATTTCCATTGTTTTTCTTATTGGGTGATATCATTGTTTTTTCCTTTCACGGGTTCACCGCGAAATGCATTACTGGCGTAAGATTTCGGGTGGTTTTTGCTATTCCAAGCTCGAAAACCAGGCGAATGAAAGAATATTTAAATGTGCCTGGACAGTCAAAGATTGACCGAAATTCAAGTATTTTGAGAGCCTCTTATCAGCATCCAGTAAGCGCTCGGGAACACATGACCAGAGTGACGTAGGTGCATTTTAAAGGCCCCTCTACCCCTCTCCCCTGAACCACAGTCACCATTCTACGGAACATTTCTCATCGTGGCTTCGCTTATAACTATAGGCTCTCGACTTGCACCGTATTGCAAGATGTCCACCAGCAGCGAGCGCCGTGAGATCGTCATTGTGGGTAAGTCTATGGCTTCAGTAGATCTACCTCGCACGACAGAAATTGCCCTCGCTAACCGGTTGTCTCCAGGTGGTGGTATTATCGGATGCTGTTCGGCGTACTACCTGACGCGACATCCGTCCTTTGACCCATCGCGTCACTCCGTGATACTCATTGAAGCAACTGAGATTGCAGGAGGGGCGTCGGGCAAAGCCGGCGGTCTTCTGGCCCTATGGGCATATCCAAGCAGCATCGTGCCGCTGAGCTACAAGTTGCACGCAGAACTAGCCAAAGAGCACAATGGCAAAGACCGATGGGGTTACCGAGAGGTTAATTGTGGACAGCTTATTATCGATGGCCGACGGCTTCCTGACAAGAAAGAGACTAGTGGGGGCAATGGGCCAGAGTCTGTGTCGCTGCAGAAGCGAAGCGCTGCTGCCTTGGAGAAGCTGAAGTCTGCCAGAGTCCCGCAAGACCTGGATTGGATCGAACCCGAGCTCGTGAGAGGCTATGAGAGTATGAGTGATCCTGGAGAGACAGCCCAAGTCCATCCATACCTTTTTACTACTTCGATCGCCAAACTAGCCGAAGAGAGTGGTGCGAAAATCACGCTGGGATCTGTTACAGGTATCAACTACTCGGAGGACGCCGTTCAGTCGGTGACCTATACCGATAAGAAGAGCGGTGAGTCGCAAACGATTTCTGCGACTGATGTCGTTGTTGCTGCCGGTCCTTGGACAAGGACCGTCTTGCCAGAAGCACCTATCTCAGCGACTCGCGCCCATAGTGTTGTAATTCGTCCTCCACAGCCGGTCAGCGCCTACACGCTGTTCACCAACATAGCGTTACCGGCGAACTTCGATCCAACGAAGCGCTCTCGACCGGATGTGGCGAGTCCAGAAATCTACGCTCGGCCCGACGATACTGTCTATGCATGTGGCGAAGGTGATCAAACTGTCCCCCTGCCTCCGACGTCTGCCGAAGTTGAGGTGGATGACGTGCGATGCCAGGAGATCATCAACCAGGTTGGCAGTATATCTGACCACCTTCGCAATGGAGAGATTTGTGCACGACAGGCTTGTTACTTGCCGAATGTAGCCGCTGCACGTGGAGGCCCAATGATCGGCCACACGGGGACGAAAGGATTATACTTGGCCGCTGGCCACACTTGCTGGGGTATCCAAAATGCGCCTGGCACTGGCAAACTCATCAGCGAATTTGTCTTCGATGGGGAGGCCAAGAGCGCACGCATTAAAGCGCTCGACCCGAGGGACTATTTTTGAAGGGAGTGTATATACATAGAAACCGCATAGAGTAAATATCCATTGCTTGTGGCTACTAGCGCAGGTACCTTGGCTCAGTGGCCGCGGCACTGCGGAGCTTGGGCCACGTAAGTTGCGGAGCGGAAGAGCGGCCGAAGCTCCTGTGGATTAAATGACAGATGTTAATTCCTTCGTACAACTCCAACGGGGCAAGCTTCATTGATTCATGCCTCTTCCCATGATCAATTCCGATCAGTGAGGACCCTTTACTCACTTTGATGCTTCCGCTAGAAAATGCATCTCTCTAAGATCCCATTACTCCTAGCGCCGTTATTTAACGCGGCTACGGTCCTCTCCGATCAAGCCCCGCTAGATGATGTATCAGTCTTGACCAACGAGGTCGCAAGGGCCAACAACCAGTCTCTACTATGGGGTCCATACAAGCCCAATCTGTACTTTGGGGTTCGTCCTCGAATCCCAAACAGCTTGTTCGCCGGGTTGATGTGGGCTAATGTGGACAACTACGCCACAGCGCAGCAGAGTAAGTCGCGGAATCGTACCTTAATCAGTCGTAAAGGACGATTGGGATAGATTAATACTGACATGTCTAAAGACTTCAGGCACACATGTGAACAGAATGAGGGAATGGCTGGATACGGATGGGACGAGTACGACATTCGCAAGGGTGGCCGCCAGACGATTCACGACGAAGGCAATGCTCTCGACATGACAATCGACTTCATCAAGGTTCCAGGTGGTCAGCATGGAGGCAGCTGGGCTGCTCGTGTGAAGGGTGTACCCCGCGAGAACGGTTCTCCCGACCAGTCAACCACCGTCGTCTTCTACACCGGGCTGGAGGGACTTGGAAACCTGGGCGTGACAACTGAATCTGAGGATCCCCGCGGCTTCGAAGGTGACGTGAAAATTACGGGTTATACATCGGAACTTGGCGCTTTCTCAATTGGTATCACTGCTGGCCCTGAGAGCAATGACCACCCGGAGAACGACCATCCGTCCTACGACGAGAAACCCCTCGACCGCACGTTGGTTTCCAGCTTGGCTTTGCAGCCGGAACAGCTATGGCAGACGAAAGGTAGAAACACTCTTGATGGGAACTCTTGTGCCGGGCTGGAACGACGTGCTAATACAGCTGTAGTGATCCTGTTTTCCAAAATGAAGGAAGAAGTGGACGCTGCCATCGAGAAGCACGGGCAGGAGAACCCCCCTCCTGCCTCTCAGATCTTCACGATCAAGAACGAGCCTGGTGATGGCAATATCCATCTCGTGCAGAAGGTTTTCAAGGGGGCTTTTGAGGTAACATCCAGATCTACACATCTTTGGGTCAGTGCCTAACCTCAGCCAGTTCGATATTCTCTTCTCGTCTGGATCTTCACCGCTCCCGCTGACATGTGAGGTGACCCAACCTCATATTGACTTTGGCCATCAACTAACCACGCAAACTAGCGGACATTCTAACCGAGCAAATCAACACGGCATCTCTCGCTTTCTCTGATAGATTCGAGAAGATTCATCCTCCGCAGGCACCTTTTGACAATGCTGAGTATTTGCAGTTCTCCAAGTCAATGTTGTCTAACCTTGTCGGCGGAATTGGTTACTTCCATGGTACCGACATTGTTGATCGCTCTGAAGCGCCTGAGTATGACGAGGAGAATGAAGGTTTCTGGGAAGAGACCGCAGAAGCCAGAAGCCGGGCTCGACCTGTTCTCGAAGGACCAAAGACCCTCTTTACTAGCGTTCCTTCCCGTCCCTTCTTTCCTCGAGGCTTTCTTTGGGATGAAGGTTTCCACCTGATCCCTGTTGTTGATTGGGACATGGATCTAGCGTACGTCTTTATGGCCCCAAACGTTCCTCTCGGCTTCCATCTCTGAGACAATGATGCTAATATCATTCAGGCTCGAAATCGTTAAGAGCTGGTTCAATCTCATGGACGAGGATGGATGGATTGCTCGGGAGCAGATTCTTGGCTCGGAAGCTCGCAGCAAAGTTCCACCCGAGTTCACGATCCAATACCCTCATTATGCCAACCCTCCTACTCTTTTCATCATTCTAGAGGCTTTCATCGATAAGCTTGATGCTAAGAAGAACGCCTCAGCTCACCAGCCATCTGACCATGAAGTTATCGAGGGTCTCAACTCGGCTTTCGTAGAAACACCTGAGCTGGGCGACGCTTATATGCGCTCAATCTACCCACTGCTCAAGAAGCACTATTTCTGGTACCGAAAGACTCAATTTGGAGACATCAAATCCTATGACCGGGAAGCTTTCTCGACCAAGGAAGCATACCGCTGGCGAGGACGCTCTGTTCAGCATATTCTGACATCGGGCTTGGATGACTACCCTCGGCCTCAGCCTCCCCACCCCGGTGAGCTACACGTCGACTTGATCAGTTGGATGGGTATGATGACCCGGGCCATTCGTCGTATCGCCGAGGCGCTTGGAAACACAGAGGACGCCGAACAGTTCAAAAACTACGAGATCGCTATTGAGCGGAACATTGACGACTTGCATTGGGACGACGATGCGCAAACCTACTGCGATGCCACTATTGACGAATACGAGGAGAGTGTTCGCGTGTGCCACAAGGGTTACATCTCTATTTTCCCCTTCCTGACCGGCATGCTGGGCACTGACAGCCCTCGCCTGAAGGCGGTTTTGGATCTGATTGGAAATCCAGAAGAGCTCTGGAGTGACTATGGTATCCGCAGTCTGAGCAAGAAAGACGAATTCTATGGTACTGCTGAGAATTATTGGAGAAGTCCCATCTGGGTCAACATTAACTATCTGGTGGTCAAGAATCTCTACGTAAGTCATGAGCACCAGACTGGACTAACATACGGTACTGACTGTCCCTGCGCAGGATATTGCAATCAAACCCGGTCCTCACAGGGAGCAGGCCCGGGAGCTGTATTCCAACCTGCGGAAGAACTTGGTCGAGAATGTCTTTAGACAATGGAAGGAGACCGGTTTTGCTTGGGAGCAGTACAATCCCGAAACCGGCCAAGGACAGCGAACACAGCATTTCACTGGCTGGACAAGTATGGTTGTGAAGATCATGTCCATGCCTGATCTCCCCGCCCTCGAGGCGCAGGGCCATGATGAATTGTAAACATAGGCCGACGAAGGTTAAACAAAAGATAGCAAGATTTCGATAGAACTGTACAATGTTGCTTTCTTCCCGAACTCCTGACTCCATGCATGCAAGTAGATTGCAGGTTTAATAGCGGCGACGGTTAGAGAAACCCTTGTCCGACGGTTCTTCCCGATGACGATCGTCTCGGCGTCTTCTGTAATCATCACCTGCTCTTTCTTTACTTCGCGAGCGGGATAGTCTTCTTCTGTGATCCCGATCTCGGGACCTAGACCGCGATCTGTGTCGGTGACTCCGATGATGACGGTCGCCATCGTCACGGTGTCTGCGATGCCTACGCTCCCGTTCTCTATCCCTGTCCCTGTCCCTGTCCCTATCCCTATCAGTCGCCCAGTCTCGCCTCCGGTCTCTGTCTCTGTCAGGACTCCGGCTGTGTCCGCCTCTCCGTCTCCGACTGGAGCGCGGGTCAGCATCACTCCGAGAGGGCCCGGAACCGATTCCTTTGGCAGCCTCTTCACCTTTCTGATCCTCAGCTCCTTGCGGGCCACCGAGTGGGGTCAGGTTGGCGTTGTCCGAGGCCTTAGCGGGGATAGGTAGTCCCAAAGCTCGCGCCATTGCTTCTTCCTCGGCTTCTTTGACGCGTTGTTTCTCCTCACGATCTTTCCTTGCTTGGTCCTCATCATCAGCTTCGCCTTTAGCATACCATGTCAAATCTTTGCCTTGCTGCCAGCGACCGACGGGAGCCATGAGAGAGTGGCCCAGGTAGTTTTCGCGGTGTGAGGAGTCTTTGACATCGGACCATTTGAAATCGCCGCGGCCACCGCTGAAGAGAAGAGTTATCAGTATTGAGACCTTGCTGTCATGTTTCTAGAAATGGTACAAGGAGGTCTGAGAAGGGAAGCTCACCGGCTACCTTCCTTGCGAATACCTGCGACCAAATCCATTCTGGCGTAAGTTTGGCGGCAAGAAAAATGCCGACACCAAGGGTGAAAGGTTGTACGGAGTAACTTGTAAGGTGATCGACAAGATGTGGGCGAGGAAAGCTGCAGCAGACCGCAATCTGGCCCGTGCATAGTCGCCGCCTGAGGCGGCGAATCATGGGGTTGGGTTGGCTGACTTCATAATGGACTGGTAACATTAGAAATGCAAAACCACTTCCGGTGAGCAAACCGATACATGTACTTTTTAGTAATTTCAGATTTTCAGAAAGAGATTCATTCTCGACTCTCTGTATCCACCCCAGGTCACAGTATGCTGAAGCCTCATCACACGGAGTCGCATGAGCTGAAGCATCTATCCTCCGTGTGATGTCACTGGAGTCTCGATCCAAATACCCCTCGGCTTCTTTTTCTATGACTGACAGTCTCTGTCCGCACTTGTCACCCTCTTGCCCGGATCTCCTTGGCCTCTCTCTACCTGCCACGCGAATGGTGGATCGTCGCGGGACTCGCTTTGACGCTTACTTAGTGTCTGTTTCCAGCGGTCTCAGGTGTCACCACAATCTGTGTGTTTCCTCACCAGAATGGCGTTCAGTAGCGATGTCGGCAATAAACCGCTGAAGACCCGTTCGCGAGAAGGCCTGCAACTTAGACCCTTGAATGTCGAGAAAGGGACCAATAGAGTAAGTGGTTATCATTAGTCTCATACCTAAAACCTATCCTCCTCGTCGTGTCCTTGTCAACCTAATTGCTGACCCGTTTCCCAGTATTCTTCGTATGTATCTGACCACCATATTACGGACTGATGGAATAATATCCGCGACTGGGCCTCACTGAACCATCCTGTAGCGCAGACGAGAACTTCCCTCCTCAAACTGCGACATGGAGAAATAACCTGGTAAACCATTAAAGCTGTTTTATGGTGTGTTGTCTCACTAATAAATCTGCATAAGATCGCACTATCTCAGCGCCGAAATTTGCTCTTTGTCGCCTACAACCATCAAATCTATGTCTGGCAACCGGCGGGGTCTTACCAGACGTTAGGCAGCAAGCCCGAGATGATCATCACTCCGGTTATGCGAGATCCCAATGCTGAGGGCTACATCTCACCGTCGACGCCTCATGCAATCAATAACATTCTAGTCGATGACCTGGGCCGTGAAGAGGTGTTGCTCCTCGTCACTGACTCCGGAAATGTCTGTGGTTACCGGGTCGAGGCTGTATATTCTGCGCTGAAGCGAGCAGCGGAGAGTACGGAAAGTCGACCCCTCGATGGCGCTCAGGTAGAACCCTTTTTCGCCGAATACGTCGAAGCCAGTGCCTGGGGCTTGGCAATCCATAAATTCGCCCGTCTCATCGCAGTCACGGCGAATACGGGTCTGGTCACTGTCTTCGCATTTGCTCTGGTTGATTCTACCTCAGACAAAAGCAGCGAGTCTGATTGCGACCTGGAGGAAGAGGATGACCTTTCGGACTACGGTCAAACTTGGTTGCATATCAAAAGCGGAGAGCAATTGGCCCAGCTACGGCATTTAATGCCATACAAACATCGTACTCGGAACATCAAGTTGACATACACGGGCCATTTCGCCAATATACCTTCAGTTGCTTTCCTGAATTGTGACCTCGATCCCAATGGGATGTGGATGGTCAGTACGGATATCGACAACAAGCTTCTTGTATGGAAAATTTGGGAAAGTCTCGGCCCTTTCAATGTGTACCACTTCAATGACGTCTCGTTCAAGTCCTTTCCTGAATCTCTGCGCCCAGAGTAAGTGATCTACATGCTGGATTAGGGCTGTGACTGATTTCTGAAACAGAGAGCGTGGCTGGGCGGTACTAGCTTTGGACCCTCGGAGCTTTCATCTGCTCAAGTCTCCAGAAGAAGCGTGCGGCGGTCCCCCTCAACGGCGCGTCAAGAACGGTCAACCGGTCTACGATTTGACCCGACTCAATAGTAAAATCCCGAAGGCTTCTCAAATATACAATTATTTCCCGCCTGCGCCCAAGGTTGAACCGGAATCACCCCTTCTTCCTGATATCTTTGGGCCAGATTGTCGCATTAGCAAACCAGGCGATGTCTTTAACAACTGCATAAATGTTGGCTCACGAGGGACTCCCAGGAGGAATCAGAGCCGTGAGTCGAATGCAGAGCTCGGACGTTTTGATGTTACGTCTACAGCCATCCGCCCCTTAGACTCGGCTGATGCGTCCAGCCACCAAGCCGTGGACGGCTCTGTCTTCGAGGACAATGCCAGCCAAAACAGCATGTCTGACACCGAGATGAGTGCTGGGCCTCTCGACAACCAAGGTCAAGAGATTGATGGCGCGCCTCTTCCATCCGGTCAGGCCCCCTTAACAACGCCGGAATTCCTCCAATTCGCGCTTCTCGAAGCCCTCGGCGGCGACGCTCCTGGCGCCGAATATAGCGACGATGATATGGATGACTATTCCGAATCCGAAGATGACTGGCAAGGCGAGCGATACTACACTGCTTTGGATGATACCGAAGCAGACGAAGCGTCTCTAATGGGAGGTAGATACCAAGTTTCTGACCGTACGTTGGATTTTTTTCTAATGCCTAACCCGAATGAAATCGCTAACACTTCGTTAGCCCCGATGACCTCTAACTTTCCAATCCTCCATTTCTCGCAGACCGACATTCGTCTTATACCCCACCCATTTGCCACCCACGCCAAGGTTGTTTGCGGCGAACCTCTGCGACAACCCTTCACGCATCCCATCGTCTCCATCCGCTCCTGTGATCGCTTTAACATGATCAAATACATTCAAGAGCACGGAATTGTTGTCGCAGCATCACAAAAAGGCCGTGCGGCTATAATCGCTCTCACCGAGTCCGAAATAACAGGACAATCCTTCCGCGTCGATTGGATCGTTCCCTTCGAGCATCAAGAAAAATATGGCGATCGTCCCCTCATTCCCCTGTTAGGCATGGCCGTCGGTCCGGTGCAGGGATTTGAGACACCTCCCGACGTGCCCTATATCCCGCGTGACGTGAGGAACAACGACCTCACGTTTCGGTATAAGTACTCGAACCTCAACATGAGTCCTAATGAGCAGCCGGATCCCACTTCGGTGGTTGAGAGACGAGGAAGCGCTGCGCAGTCAGCCACATGCAACTCCACTTTCACCGCCCGGCCTTCACGCCATACCCAATCAACAAGGAATCGTCCCGCCACGGACCAGCATGATGCACGCCATTCTACATTGCGCGCCCGCGATGTCCATTCTGCGTATGAAGATTGTACTCCAAGCTCTACGTCAACTATACCCCGAGTCTCCATCCAAACCACCTCCATTGCAAATCGAGAATCATCTAAAGCGTCATTTACCACACCGTTTACTCTCCCAGAATGTCACGCCCTTGCCACTCGCGCCTATCATCCCGAGGAAAGCTGGCGAGGATGGAATCCCTCTCGCCGATATCGGCTAATGCTCATGTACGCCGACCATACGGTGATGAGCTACGAGTTCTGGTACAGCTGGGATACCGCAGGAGAGAACAGCGAAATGGGCGAAGATGACGAGGATGATGTTTTGTTTGTATAGTTTCAGTCTTTTTGCGATATATTTTCGTAACTTGCTTACATACTGGAGACATGAAGATACGAGCCAATGATGTATACCTGAGAAGCTAATTAAAGCCCAGTACAGAGGTAGACTTAGCATGTAGTGCATAGTCATAGATAGCGACATGTCAAGTGGGCGGGCACTGCCGGAGAATTAGGAGTATTAACGCTTCCGACTCTTCTTTAGCTCAAGTGTATAGACCACTATTACCCATAATCCACTCTTACTTTCAGTGTTGAAGCTGGCGGATGACGAGGTGGTGCCTTTATGGACGGTACTATAGACGTCAGCTCTAATCGCCGGTCACATCCCGTATCTCTGGACCTCATATTTCCGCATCAAGAAGCTTAAACCCGAGAAAGTCCTGAAGACACGAGCTAATATACTTGGCTCAAGATCTGGACAATGCAGCCTTATTCACAACCCTCATTAGACGACAACAATCCGATTGAATAAATAGATAGAGTTGACTTGGGGTTGAGCTTCGACTTCAAGCTCGCATCATTATCCGGAAACTATATGGGTGTATGCGTACTTGCATGTAGGTAGACCCATACCGTAGGCTCAGATGAGAGGGCGTACTGCTTGATTTGGTAACCATCAAGATTTGAACCCAGCACAGAATAACCCAACAGCGCGTGAACTACACTCTAGCAAGAAGTTTTTGCAACAGATCGTAGACTTGGCCTTACCTGGCTTGATGTTAAGTCATCTCACCGTTCTGTTTGTTGTGTCGTCAATCCCGATTCCACCGAACGGTGTTTTTCTGTCGCGGGACCTACAGTAAACATGCGACAACGTTCTGTATCTGGGGCATGCAACACACTCTCTTCTACTCTCCAAGATCCATTTACTTTGTTCTTTGAGAGGTCTTTGTGCTTTGTTCTCATGGTGACCAATTCTTGGCTGTGAATAGAAGAAATATGGATACGCCGCATCGGTGCGCAAAGAGAAATTATGCGGTTGGAGCCGTCCGACTCACGTGCCAAAGTATATTTCCTCTGCTTATTTTAGCAGCTTGGCGAAAACGGGGTTATCAGTGGGCAAAGACGATAATTTAAAAGCAATCGTTCTGGTATATACAGTTTCACAAGATCTTCCGGTTATTATCATATGCCGATCAAGAGTGTCAATTACTCCCCATATACACATAGGTGGGGAGTGGCTCTGTCCGTTAATTAACCTCTTTTCAAAGAATATAGCAATGTAAGACAGAACTTTCAATAGAGAATATAATCTTATAATATAGAAGATAGCGAGAAACGAGGATCAAGTCGTACACCTTGGCGGCTGAAAGTGTGGGAATTGCTTCATGCCGAGATTCGTCTGCGGCCACATGTAGGATACGAACTCGATGATGTTCATGATGGATACATGGAAATAGTTCTGGTCCTCAAGGCAACTTTCACAGCGAGATCAAGCACGTCGAGGGCTCATTTATCGAAAGGGGATAAGCGCCGCCCCCAAGGAAGTCACCATAGAGGTCTTTCATTCATCTCAGGACTGGGACAGCGACACAATGGCTTTATAATGAAGGTCAGTCGCCGTTAATTATGATCCTGACCAGAAGAAAATCATCCCGGGCGCATCCTCCGTGCACGGCCTTGTCGCAGGAATCGTAATCGATTGGACCTTCGGTTGAGCCATCAAGACCTGTGTAAGCAATTAGGGTTTTCATACTTTGCCCGCGCGTTGCCAATCTGTGCGTTCCAGTTGTGCCAGTCTTCCTTTCTAATGCAGGGTGCATTGAGCAGTATGGCCCAACATTTAATGATGGACCGCTCAAGGAAGATGGCTGTATCACTATGTTTGCGGATGAATAAGAATATTTACCTTTTTTACTTCATAAAGTCAAATAACGTCTTTCTGTCTTTCATATTTAGATTCTAAAACCCAAGCAGTTACTAGTAGTGGTCTTCTACTGTCGTGCAGAAAGCCTGGTGTTTCTACTATATATCTAGGTACCTGAATCTTCAGATTCAAGTTATATGGCAGCGGTGATACTAGCAGGTCAATGGCGGAGACTTATGACTCATTTTGAAGGTGTTAATAAGCATTTACCTTATTTCAATACAAATATCCCCCTCTATTTATCTACTATCTCTCTTTGTAAATCACGGCGAAAAGCGGCATGCCGAATGTTAGGGTAATTACACGGCTCGGGTCCCCCGGCAGGTCCCGAATTCAATTTCCGAGTCAAAGCTTATTTCAACATCCCAAGTTCGTACTGCCTCTCGAAATCGACTGCTTCCTTCCGACTTGAAGACATGTTAGTACAACACGATATGACATACCATACTGTAATTTTATCTATGTCATAAGCTGCGAATCTAGCCAAGAAGTATGAAGAATAGTGCCGAAAGGAGCTATCAACTACGCTGCACGCAAATTAGTTAAACAGGAGGTGGGATTCGATAGTAAAGAATGGCCGGAAAGCGGGTAAGCGCCGGCCTTTCACCCCTGCAGTAGGCTATCCAGATGATCATCTTCTGAAATCAAACACAATTATCAATCAAACTACCGTAATCAGCTGTGATTCCGTTGTCTCTGGCTTACATCTTCCCAAATATAACTTACACAACTCCGAATTGTGATCTGCTTCTGCCACCTACATTATCATGCGGCGTCGAACAGTCGCGTCGTCAGTTGGATGGACATGCACACCAAAGGTCTTTCAAAGCTCCGGGGTCGAGTTGCTCGACCCGTCCATTGCGCTGGACGAGGAGACACTGCCAACATACCAGCCGGAGAAATACTACCCCGTCAACCAGGGTGAGCTTTTGAATGATCGGTACCAAGCCCTGCCCAAAATCGGTTACGGAGTTACATCGACAGTCTGGCTTGCGAAAGACTTGACGTAGGTCACAACAATTGGCTCGCTCAACTCGATCGAGAGGATAGTTAACCTAATAGCATGCTATATCAAATAAACCAGTGCATCAACATACGTTGTTCTGAAAGTTCGCGTGACGGGTCGAACTCGGAACCACGAACGAGAGCTACGCATCTACAAACAAATGAACGTGAAACAATCCAAGCACCCAGGCAGAATCTTCGTCCGCAAACTGCTGGACCATTTCGATATCCAGGGACCCCATGGCCGGCACGTCTGTCTTGTTCACGAGTCTCTAGGAATGAGTGCAAATGTTCTCTTGAAGATGACTCCTGGACAGGTAATGACACTCGACGACATGAAAGCAGGTATCCGACAGCTACTTATCGCCTTGGACTTCCTGCACTCGGAATATCATATCATCCATACCGGTAATAGATCAATTAACCCAACCCTCCTCCCCACGGGCACCAGCACCCAAAAAGGCAATACCAGAGGTTCTGATTCGAGGTCACAGATCTTCAACTGCAGAATCTATTGCTGCCCGGACCAGACACGAAGTACCTTTCCCGGTTTGAAGAAGCCGAGATCGCAGACCCCATCGCCTAGAAAAGTTCTTCAAGACCGAACAATCTACAAGTCGTTGAGTTTTTGGCCAACAGACGGGCTGCCCGTTCTCATTGATTTCGGGGAAGCTTGATCGGGTGATATACCCCACAGTGACGATATCATGCCGAGTGCTTACAGGGCCCCTGATATGATGTTAAGGTCTAGCTGGGGTTATAAGGTCGATATTTGGAATATTGCCATGCCCGTGAGTGGAAAGACTACTTCCTCCGAGTTTCGCTTGACTAGGAAACTGATTATAGGAACCGATGATTTTTAGGCCTGGGATATCGTCAGTCCTCGCACCCTTATCAGTGGCCGAAACTCAGATGGTATCTTCGATGATCGGGTTCATATGGCAGAACTGGTTGCCTTGCTAGGCCCTCCTCCGCCGGATTTCCGAGAACAGAGGCCCCTCAGTTCGGCTTTTTGGGATGACCTGGGCAACTGGAAGGTAGTCGCCCGATTCCGGACATTACTCTCTCGAGATTGGCTGAGAGTATCAAAGGGGAAGACAAAGAAGGGTTTTTGCGTTGGCTCCGGATGGCGTTGCAGTGGAACCTTGAGCACAGACCGACGGCTTTGGGACTCTTATACGATGAGTGGCTGATGAAAGGCTTAGGGGAATGAGGAAGAAGAGGCACAAGAAAAGGCGATAACTACCGCAAGGAAGGAGGATTTCCGAGGGAAGGATCCACGATCACTAGATCCCGTAATCTAGTCAGGAAGTCATATCTTAACCTAGCTCTTTCTCGGGTGGGGCTTTGCCTCTCCGCGAATCTTACTCCGAAGCTTTGGTATGAAGCCGGGACTTTGTTAACAACAGCCAAGTCATTCTATTTGGTTGAGAGAAGGATGCCCGGAAGCGGACATAAAGCCTGACTCACATTTTAGTATTCAACATGGTACGTCGCGATACGGGGGATTGCACGGGCTTTCAGTGGCCTTTGAGTATACTATCAAGCTGGGCACTTCCGGTGTCATGTCCTACAGTCTCTGGTATTCGTAGTTTTAGACGCCACTAGACGGAATGTTGGGCTGTTGAACGGACAATAGGTGTGCAGGACGACTTCGTTAATGGGCCCTGTGGATGGTCGTCAGAGATACTACATCCGCCGCCAGGAACATCTCGATCAACAACTTCTGAAACCGTCACTTATTATAGTGGCTAGGTTGAATTAGCACGAACCAGGCCATTGAGGCTAGAAGGAGGACGGAGCTGGGAAAGGTCCGAGAAAAGAAATTCCATACATACTACGGAGTATGTCCGACAGTGATTGATAGACTTATCAGCCCCTATTCACCACTATCTCCCTTTGTTCCATGAATGAACCTATTGAAGAGTGTTCTCCCTAGTTCTCACTGATTATTTCTTGCTGGAACTATGCATACCTTCAACCTCCCACCTCTTTCATTGTTCTTGGAATTGGGAACAAGTACAAGAGAGGGATTGCTCGCGGCGGAGGAGAGTAATTTGACATTGAGTACAGTACATGTAAGTACGGATCTTGGGATGTGGGCCTAGTCTACTTCCAGTGGCTTGGTACAGTGCAGTGTATCGTATTGGACCATGTGGAATCAGAATCTAGTATGGCTCTTTGGGTTGCTCGGTCCGGGATCACAGTTTCGTCGCAAAATCTTCAGTTGCTATGCTGTTAAGAATTGCGGTACCATTTGTCTAGACAGCGCTTATGGGATGCAATTAGTAGTATACCGTCACTTATGGGTGGGCTTGTAATCGTTACAAAGGTTGCAGATGTTCCCTGGTGGTCATGCTGCGGTGAAAGTGAGCATTACAAGAAACCCAACGAGGAAGATGTGGCCATGGAAGGAGACATTGAGTATCCTGACGAACGTCAATGAGGCTACGGCTGTAATAGTTCCTACGTCAGGTGACGATTTCTCCGAAGACACCACGCCAGTCAGGCAGAAATTAACCGGGATATGTCCTTTGACTGTGGAAGCCATTTTACATGCTAAAGTGCTAAAGTGACGGTATCCCATTTCATTATGCTAGCATCCATTGATGAGCTTAATTGCTAACATCTAATCTTGATTCATAGATCTCGAGGTGAGTCCTCTCTCTGTTTCTTTTATCTGGTAATCATTATAACATGCATATGCACGCTTGGTAACATCATCATCGAACCATCAAGCTGAACACATACTAGCACAACCTCAAGGCCATACTATCAGACTCGTGAGACTTCCAAAAACCAACCCACTACTCAGACCTCCTGGGCGCAGGTGAGAACGCCTTCTTCCACCGGAAATGCACCAGATCACTGACCACCTCCTTGGTCTGAGCGAGGTTCTCCTTGACGATCTCCGAGGTGGGTCTCGAGAAGAGTTCGTCAATTTCCTCCAAAGACTTGTTCTTGGTTTCAGGCATGAATACGATCTGGTAGATCCAGCCGACGAAGGCGATACCTCCGTAGAAACCCAGGGTAAGACCGGTACGGGTCATCGCCTTCATCATGCGCGTGAAATTGTAGGTAACAATGAAAGAGCAGAGGAAAAGGTTGGCATCCGCGACTGTCATTCCGTAGTGACGGAGGTATGTGGGGAAAACCTCTGAGGGGATGACCCACGTGAGACAGGCGTAGGAGCCGAAGAAGCCCATGTACAAGACAATTCCGACAAGGTATACGCCTTCTGCGGCAGCCGGTTGGGTGTGATAGTTGAACTGGTAGCCGACGCCGACAAGGACTAGGCCGATGAAGAACCCGGGAAGCATAGCATTAGCCCAGTAACGTCGGCCAAATCGCTCCATGTATATAACCGCCGGAATTGTTCCGAGGAGCAAAGATCCGCCGCCAACTAAAGACATGAAAACACTTTTTCTATCGTCAAATCCAATATTTGACATCAGCGAACTCATGTAGTACATGACCGCGTTCACCCCCGTTAACTGGCCAAGAATGATCATAATATTGGCGTAAACAAGGGCGCGGCGGGCGCGGGGAACGGTAAAAAAGTCCAGCCAGGCATATTTCTTGATATTTGCCATGTCCCGAGTTTCGGCGAGCACAGCCTGGCGCATACCCAAGAACTCGTCCTTAGATTCGTAGTCGTTGAAGCCGCGGATGCGTTTCCACACTCCGTAAGCTTCAACAGGTCGGTTCTTAAGCATCAGGTAACGGGGACTTTCAGGCAGGAAAACCATGCCCACCAGAAGGATGGTGGAGAAGACCAAAGAGGAACCGAGGATGTAGCGCCAGTTGCCCTTGACATCGAGGAACATGGCGGCAACAGCGTAGCCGAGGACTTCGCCGAGGGCGATGTTCAGCTGGTACAAGGAAACGAGGTTGCCACGAATTCTTCCGGGAACTGGTTGAGATTAGCAATTGTCCGCAAGCGGAAGACGACAAACAACATGAGAACATACCACTCTCAGCGACGTAGACGGGAACAGTACCACCCTCCAGACCGACACCAGCTCCGAGGATGAAACGACCGGCGAAGATCATGCCGAAGTTCATGGCACCGGCCTCTAGAGCGGCACCGACAGTGTAGAGAATGCAAGAGACAATGATTGACATGCGACGGCCCAGGTATTCGTTGGATGGGGATAGAATGATTGCACCGGCCACCGCACCCAAGGGCATACCGGAGTCGACCAGACTATGTTGGTTGGAATTCAGATTCAGTGCACCGGGCAGGTAGAGGTTGGCACCACTGATTAACGACTGGTCCAAACCGGACAGCAGCCCTCCCATCGAGGCGAAGGCGACCAGCATGTAAGTGTATATAGCGGGGCTGGAGAAGGCAACCTCGAAGCGCGGCTTCTTCATCTCGCGCAATTGCTGCTCAAGCTGCTGCAACTCGGCATCCATGGCCGCTTCAGTGAGCTCCTCCATGGCCTTGGGATCCTTGTGGATGTCGTCCATCTCGACGGCGATGCCATCCTTGTGGTCATCATGGGCGGTGTCCAGATCGTGCATGGTGCCCATGATTGGTCAGGAAGGTGGCTGTGTGCCAGCTGCAGGTATAAGGAGATATTCTATGTACTGTACAGCAATGGGCGCTTATTAAGTGTGCCAGTCTGCACGACCAGGATTTGACCACAGCCCCGAGAGGGAAAAAGAGGACCGGGGGAACAGGGATGACAACCACGAGAGAGAGGAATGGGAAGCGGGGAAGCGTGCAGATCGAGTGCAACCATTCCAGGGAGAAGGGAATGCACGAGGCTTTTAAAGGCAACGCGCATCAGGCCAGAGACCCGGGTGATACTTGAGTAATCTGACGGTCTTGAGTTCTTGACCATCGTCATTGTTGAAAAATTCTCTTCTTTGGGGGGGGAACATTTTCCAGATTCAAGCAGGACTGGGGTCGGCAGGCATTACCGCGTCATCGGGCCGTTCGACCAGTCTTGGAAGCCGAAACGACCAGGGATTGCCATGAGCCCTGAGGAGAGACAGGCGGGATTGAACAAGACCGAATGACGATGCAGAGAAAGGTCGGGGAGTGGGGCGATCATGGTCACAGAACCTGAGAGAGACTAGCTGAATCCCGTAGACACGAGAATATTCGGGATGGGGAGAACTTGACGAGGGCGGAGGTGGGCCGAAGAAACACTGAGAGTGAAGGACGGACGGGGGATGAAGTTCAAGGTTGCAAATTGCAATTGCCTGTTCAATGCGGAGAATTTTAGAATGGGCCCGCGGCGACTGCGGTTCCCCGTGGGCAGTGGGCAGTGGGCAGTGGGCACAGAAAGTGGGAGCAATTTTAGCTAAGCCGAGCCGACTTTTCTAGTTTCTACCAATACCCGGCCCGGGACAATTTCGGAGTCTCTCCGGGACGAAACACTTGGTGGTTTTGACTTCTTCTTTCCTGCTGGTGCGCGTGACTCCAGACCCGAATCCGGGCCCCAATTGGAGTACAGAATATTGGCCATTGTCCCCATTCCCATCAGAATTCCCCATAATATCTTTCTCCTCGACCTTGCTCTTGCGCCATTTTTACCCGCTTTCTTTCCCCCACGAAGTCAACATGCCCATCAGTCCGGTCTTGGGCACCAGTCTCCCCATTAGGTAGTTCAGCATTAATACTTTAACCCCCCTTCCTCAACCTCTCTCACCCAATCCAGTTCTCTCATTTGACCCCCCCCCTGGCTGGCAAAGTAAAGCTTCCCGGCCATTCAACCACGGCTAAGACACGCCCTGATCCAAACTAAAACTCCCGACCAGGAGTTTAACCCCCACACACATTCTGCATCGCTCTGCCTTCGCCCGCGAGGAAGGTTTGCCCGGCTCTCTGGGGGGTGGGGGGTGGGGGTAGTAAGTTAGCGCGCGAGAAGCGATGGGGTAGAGAAAATAAATAAGAACGAGGAATCAGCCTGGTTGCATTATTATCATTTCCTTCCACTAATTAGACAAGACAATATAGCAGCAGCAGAAGCAGCAACAGATCAAATCGCATCGCTAATAGAGTACACAACACGACAAGAGGAGAATAATTTAAGCCATCGGGTGGGGAGGGATCAATTATGTAAACGGAAAAGCCATCCAACCTGCCCGTGGCCCTGATCACTCACTAATTTCTCACTTCTCTTCAACTCCAACTCACCGTCTCCATCAGCACCACCCGATGTGAAAGACAGACTAAAACCAGCAAGTCTCCATCTTTCCCTGCAGGCTGGGTGCCCACTAGACTAGTAGAGCCTGTCTCTACTCCCTTCTAGTCTTCTTATTCCGGACGATTCCCTTTTCTCGTCAGGACACTCCCCGACGTAATCATTGGTCATTCCCATTACCGTCGACCCGGCATCCCTACCGGTTTTCGTGCGCTAGGATCCGCTCCCCCTCCAACGTAGGGTGATCCCGGCCGACTACTCGGATTCTGGCCGGGGCTGGGCGACCGGCCCCCATGCAAGCGTGCCCGGAGTCGTTCCTGGGCCGACGCTGCTCGCTCCAGCGGTTGCGTCGAACCACCTGTGACGGGGCCCGAGATCGTCTGGTAGGACCCGGCTCGCTGGCTGGGCAGGGGACGGCCCCCGGCCGGGTGGTGCTGCTGCTGCATCGCCGACGGTGTCGGGGACAGACTGTTGTGGTGGTGGGCGACCGATCCTCCCGGGGCACTGGCCGTGGCTGACAGGGGGGCACCCATGTTGTTGCTGTTGTTTCCGGCAGTCATGCGACCCCGTCGCAGACTAGATGTTTGGGATGACGGAGGCGTGGTGGCCGAGCCCGCATCTCCCCACAGGTCGCCCAGGCCGCCACCGCCGCTGCCGCCGCGTCCGTATGCTGATGACGCTGGGGCGCTACCAGGTGCTCCGGGTTGGATCTGAGAGGTCGCGATGACCCGCGCCGGCGCCGGCGCGGGGGCTTTCGGGTCGGTGGGCAGCCAAGAAGGATACGGTCGCCCCTTTTCGGTGTAGTAGGCGCGCAGCACATTGGAGATGTGCGAGCAGTCCTCGTTGTCCGGGTCGTCGCGCTCGTCGCCGGACGTGATGGCCCGTTTCAAGGAATTGAGCCTGGTGCCCAAATTCGAGATGGCCGACGAGGACGTCAGTGACGAGAAGTATGAAGTCATCCTGCTGCTGCTGCCAATCTTCCGGTCTGCGACGGTCCTGTATGAGGGAAAAGGTTCGAGAATCAGCCAATGGTGGGGTATCGAGCGTTGAGACGAGGGGGAGGATGCGGAGAGGGCGGAAGAGAGCAGTCAGTCGCCCTGCGAGGCGAGCAAGCAGGGTCGAAAAGTAGCCGTTAAAGGCGAATTGAAGGGGTTTGGACACGGTATGCCGAAGATACCAGACACGAAGCGTAGCAGGAACAGGAGTAGAGCACACTCCTAAGGGGAGTTTGGTATTGATTGGGATTGACTCTGGCCATGTTGGCGATCCACTCCGTGTTTCACTGCGCCGCCGCAGCACGTGAGCGGAACTCACCGCCAACAGGTGGCCATCGGTCCCTGCAGGCCCGGGGACAGGATCGCCCTGCTTATCCAAAACTATATCCAAGATCTACGGTACGAATGGGACCAGCACCAGAACAACATCATTGAACAAGCTATATGCAATGGCTGGGTATGATATGCCCGATCGCAGCATAAGACGGTCAGAAAGTAGGTCAATAGATACATTAAAACAACTCGAACCAGGCAACGCCATACGAAACAGGAGGGGTAAGAAAAAAAAACCGAGCTTTTGTAGTGTTTCCCCGCATCACGCAACGATCCTAGTTGCTTTAAGCCAGAACCTTGCCAGCACCCTCAGTTTCATACTCGATCTCAATGCGGGCACCCTTCTTGCGGGGCTTAGCCTGAGGAGCAGGACGCTTGCGCTTGAAGCCAGGCGCGGGCTTCTTCTTGTCGCCCTCATCCTCACTATGCTGCGAGTCATCCTCATCGTCCTCACTGTCCTGGCCATCATCACTCTCATCATCCTCCTCACTGTAATCCTCACTATCGGCGCCGGAGTCCTCCCCGATCCAATCCTCCAGGTCCTCGAGATCACTCTCCTCGACATCACTGACATACTCGACCTGGCCGACGCCTTCCTCCTCTTCCTCCTCCATCTCATCCTCGATCTGCTCCCCATCATCCATGTCCTCATCCCTCTCGCCCTCGCCCGTCCGCTCCAGCCCGCGGAGCACCTTCTTCCAGATCCCCTCCTCGACGTTCAGCGGCCGGTCGCCGTAGGCGCCGCTCCGCAGCCGCTCGATCAGCTCGCGCTCGATGGCGCGCTCGATCTTGGCCGCGGACTCGGCCTTGCGCTCGCGGGTCGCCTCGCGCCGCCGCACCTTGGGCGCCAACCGCGGCACCACCGTCTCGCCGAGGCGCTCCTCCTCCTTGGCCAGCTTCCGCATGCGGATGGACACCTGCGTCAGCCGCGTCAGCCGCTGCTTGCACTTGTGCACCAGGAACTTGGGCCAGTAGATCAGCCGCTCGTCCAGCTGCTCCAGCGCCTTGGCGTAGTTGGAGGAAAGCCTGATCCGCTCCCACCACTTGGACGGCATGTGCGCCCGCTCGATCGTCTTCATGTACAGGTACATCGTGCCCGTCTCCGGGTCGGAGCGCACCGTCGCATAGCGCGAGTTGGCCAGCGGGCAGGATTGGCGGTTGCAGAGCCCCGAGACGTTGTATTCGTTGCGGCAGAAATTTTGGCCTTTAGTGGTTCTGTTCGCACATAGTGGATTAGTGAGGGGCTTGACAAGAATGAAATGCAGTATGATGAAACTAGAATTGGGCGTTCGTATTGAGGTTGATTGAGAGAGGGAGGGTGGCTGATTGACGCTGGCGTAGGGCTGAAGGGGATTTTTTTGAGGCCCCGGGGAAGGATGAGAGAGGAAAAAAAAAAAAGCAAAACTTACTTCAGTTTGTAAGAACAAAACTGCTGGTTGATAACCTGCCAAACAATCTCGTCGGACGACATCTTGGCTGCTTACTTATTGACAAGCAAGATTGAAACCTGTCAAAAAGCCGGATTGTCTGTGATGAGATTAAGGATGAAAAGAGGTCTTGTCCGAGCCCCAAAACTTTGCGATGGGAGGGAGAGGAAGATGAAAAAAGTTGCCGCAGTAATCAGTCACGTGGACATGGTTACTTGCTTATCGATAAGGCCACCCAACAGCTTCCTCCCATCAAACAACAACATAGGCACGGAATTGTCCGGACTGGCGGTTCGATTATTGACAATTTTATGTTCAGCGTCTTGGGAGCTATGACGTCTTTGATATGAGGTTCATTTAGAAGACATATGCTTATTTCTAAAATGAATTTCTATATCACCACCCAGATTCCATCTGCAGCGGAGCTCCATCCCACTCCGTCCCGTTCACCATAGGCCCACCGCCAGCGGCTGCTGCCGCCAACTCTGCCTCTTCGCTACTGCCATGGAATGCCTCGTCGACAGCCATACCCCACCCCATTGCCTCGAGCTCTCTGGTGAAAAAGTCCCGCTCTTCCTCCATGAGAGAGGCACCCTCTTCGCCGCCCATCACATCTCTGTACTGTCGGAGGTGCCACCAGTGGGTGAGTCCGCGTAGCGCTTGTTCGAGCGGCAACGCCTCTTCGACCTCCGCGTCAATGTCTGCGCCCGAGAGCCAATCATCCCGTAACTCCGGCCGACAGTAGAGGTAGATGGCGGTGATCACGCGCATGTTGCTCTGACGCCACTTGCGCCCGCAGAACGGTACTTGCGACTTGTAGAGCTTGAGCGTGTAGAAGCGCAGGTGAGGGTCGGGGATCTTGAGCCCCTTCCGGAGAATGGTGCTAGACTTGTACTGCACAAGCAAGAGACATCGATGAGCCTTGTCGCGAGTGATCTTCTGCATGATGTGTAGGTAGTTGATCGCCGAGAAGAAGTTGCGGAACGAGAACTCGGTAATCGGCTCCTTAGGCGGCGGCGCGATCGGGTATCCTAGCTCATCCACTTCTGGACGGTGAGTTCCCTCTACGAACTCGGGAAGCAGGGAGTCAGGCGACAGTCCTCGTACGGAAGAGTGGCCGGTCGTGTCCTGGCGTTGGCGGGTAATGGGCGGAGGAATGGCTTCGTCCTCGCTGGGGAGTGATTCGTCATCCAAGTCGGCTGGCGGGTGGTCGGACTTGAGATGGCAAAAATGGAAGAAGCTGCTCCGGTTAGCTCTTCCTTCTAGAAGTGATAGATAAACACTTACCCCAGCTCCTCCCGGTCATTCTTCTGTGCAACAGCTTGGTCAACATCCTGATGAGCGAACATCTTGAGAATCAGTGGTAGATAGTTGGAGTCTAGAAGGAGCTGCGTCATATACTCGAATTTGAGTATGTCTGGACATTATTAGATTCGTCCGCCATGATGACTCAAGATTACTCACGAGATCGCTTGAACCACTTGAGCAGCAGCAGGAAAGACCCTGATATCGCTTTAGACGTGATTTCTCGGAGCCGGACATTGTCCAACTCATCGATTGCTGCTTCGATACTCCGGTCTCCAGAGCCATGATTCAAGGCAGATGGATATCCATTCGCCTGACTATAGTTGTCTCTGATGCAAAATGACCATTAGTCTTCGTTTCCAAGCGAAAGACAACACAGAAGTACTTACCCCGTGCCTTGTCCATTCTGTCCATTGGCCTGATTGACCATAGCACTGACGTTTGTCAAAATTATCTTCAGGAAGACAATCGTCAACGACTGCAAATGCACAAGTGATTGTCTCTGGGGTAGCTGTTAGTCTGCTGTCATTGTTCAAGCACGCACAAACTCACGTAGAATGACTCAACAGCATCCAGGCGTTGTTGTATGTCCTGATTCTCTGTTTCTTGTTCCGCAGTATGGTCAACGCTCGATTTTCCCCCTCTTGGATCGAGTCCCAGATTCCCCATATCGCCCGCAATTTCTCCCACCTCCTCTGTTGATGTCGTATTGTACTCGTTCGGGCACCAGCCACGATCGTATTTCATGAAGCGCTCTCTTTCCTCCCAAAGTTGCTGCATCGCCCGAGTCGTTTTGACGTGCGTTGAAAACAGCTTTCCAGCCTCGATGATGGAGGCGGGAACATCACTGCCCTCCCACTTCTTGCCCACAAGAACGTCTTGCAGCTCAGTCGTCCCTTTTCCGCCGAGGTCATTGCTCGAATCATCGAGAGGAGGGTACATGAATGGGAAGTTTTGATTGGTCTGGTAGTTCTGTTTCTTTCCTGCCTTACCACCAGGCCCAATTGGAGATGGTGGTGGTGAGGGTGCTGGCGTTGCGATGTGAACGGACTGATGGATAATTGAACCGCTACCTCCCGCTATGGAGGGTCCCACGCCGGAGAATGGACCATTGGAAGTGTTGATTCGGCTCGGATGCTGAGGAAGAGGGGGTAGGATCGAGTTATTTTCCAGTTCCAAGGGCACGACTGGGGGTGGGGGGTTATAGGCTGGATATTTAGACGTGATCTCTTGCCTAAAGTTGTGATAATCGAGGGGCGAGGCAGTGAGGAAAGGGGTTCTGCGCGGTGAAGCATGCTCTCTTGCCTCAAAGGCGGGCTCTAGTGCCTTCTTAGCCTCTTTCAATCTGCTACTGCCTCCAAAGAATAAGAGCAAAGTCTTCCAAAACAGAAGGATGATCCGAGTCAGAGGGATATTGGCTGAGTCATCCCAGCGCAACCTTGCAATAATCTCAACCAGGAATACCAGCAAATGAGGTTCCAATTGCATGAGAGTGCCCCGTAGTGATGCATTCTTCGGTTCCAGAATTTCCTGCCGCCGACCGACTTCCACAATCAGATACAATGGCGTTAGGAGCAAGTTCGCCTCCCGTTCCATGTACGCTGAATTGCCAGCATCAGGCCCAAATCCCTCCTGTCCTTGGGTGGACGAGCCTCGGTGTCGTTCAAAGACTCGGCATAAGCAGTTCATCAGTGCCTGAACACCTCCGCACTCATGAAAGAGATGGACGCTATTCTCGATCCATTTAACCTGCAATGACTTGTTCTCCGGGATTTCGGCGCCAGGAAAAGAGACGCCTTCGGGATAATCGGGCGCAGCTTTCCCAGCAGTGACGCCCCAGATACCCGTCATAGCATAGCAAAGAGCCTCCGAAGCCTCGAAGCGCACCAGGCCTGTGCTTTCGCCTAGGCCGTCGATGATATGGCCCATGAACGCTTTCTGCAGGTCCCTGGGGGCGTTAAGCCAACTCTGCTGCGAAGGGTCTACCGAGCGATCCTCACAGAAGGTGTGCCACTTGTGCTCAAAGGACCACTTCATCCCGACCAACATGGCTCGGTCGTACTCATTGTACTGGAACCACTCTTCAATCTCCTCTACAAACGGTTGGGAGTCAGCATATTCGAATGCGTACGCAGGTTGCTCAACCTTGGGCATCTCCTGGACCAGCTGTCTCAGTTGAGCGAGACTCAGCGAGTCGGATAATTTGTGCTGATATTGTTGCCCTGGAGCAGGCGGTGGAGGCTGGAGAGGTGGCGGCGGAGCGGAAGAGTCGCGGCGTAGCTCTGGGCGACGGGGTACCTTCTCAGGCCCCCTTCGAGCGTCTTCTATGGTGGTGGATGCGGCTGGGAAGTCTTGCTGCTCCTGGCGTAGCCCTTCGGCAACCTCTTCCAGTAGTTGGTCATCGGATACGGTGCTGATGTCTGTTCCTGTCTGGTCGACTTCATCCGCTTTCACAATATGTTGCTCTTCCAAAGCAGCATCGGAAGAAACGGGAGGGTCGTCCATGCTCAACGTAGGCGCAGACTTTTCTATGTTCACCTCAAAAAGTCGATAGGAGGGGAAGAAGAGCAAAGAGATTGGATGAACAGAAGATCCAATGTCACAAACAGGGATGAATTCTGAGATGGAATAACGCTTTGTTAGGGTGAAATTAAGGATTAGTCGCTTAGCCTAGGCTAGTGATATAAGCAATTGAAAATAATGGCCTGCATGGCGTTCAGTCAAGCTAGAGACATAGCGCGTCTGCCAAAAGTCCAAGTTGGAAAGCGGCGTTCCGCAACATTCTTGATTGAATGACGGGCCACGCGATGTGTTTGGAGAAGCCGTCGATCCGCGGAAGTCACCGGTCACGTGTGAGGCACCGCTCAGCCAAGTGGAGTCTTGGGTCCGATGCTTAGATTTAACTAATTCTTGCGGTCACTGATGTTCCGGGTGTGAATGTCTACAGTGCAAATATAACTTTGTCGGTATCAGTAACGAGTCAGAACAAGCCGATGTGCAAAGTCTTGCTAGAAAAGCTGCGTTAGCATACAACTTGAACATCCTGTGGCCGAACTTGAGCTTTAGGAAGAACGGCAGGCCTAGATATATGTTACTAGTCAAATCCGATCACCGATCTATTTACCAGCGCGGATTGTGACACGACTTGATAATACTCCTGAAGGCTTCATATTTACACATGCTAGTAACCGGAACCACAGCTATGAATAAAATCACAAACAAGTTACTGCTTCGGGCAGGGAGGAACGTTATCGGTCTATGCATCCGAGTAAGACTCGTTCACTGAAATTCAAAGTGCCACATGGCATAGCTGGCGTAGCCGTGAGAAGTCTCGGCTACGCCTTCGCCGAGACTAGCCGCAGGTGTCAGGCACTGATTTCTGCTCGAAGTGTCTAAGCGGCAGGTGTCTAGCAGCACAAGCATGTTAATCAAACGGAGGGGCCACTAGAAGGCCCCATCTACCTAGCGCACCAAGCGCATACTCATTTCATTCAGTCTTCCTTGAATGATGCTCACTGGAATCTTTCCGCTTCGATTTCCGCTTGGCTTCCGAGTGCTGCCATCCAGCCTCAACAAGGTCCTCGCTTACCACTAGATCTCGAAGACGGAAGAACTTGGACACTTTCAAGTCCAGGACCCAGTCAACCCATCCGAGGATGCGGACTTGCCGCGTAACAAAGAACCACGCGATAGCGCACAAGACACCCGCACCACTACCCGCCAGGACTTGCTTGGGAGTGTGGTAGTTCAAGTAAACGCGACTGATTGCCACTGCACCAGCGCCGATACACAGCACCAGAGAGAGCAGTGCTCGTATCCCAAAATGTACCGTCGCTGCAGGACGCGCCAATACAGGAGAGTGCCGGAGAACCAAGAAGAGACCAGCATACACGGCGAAAAAGGCCATGAATTGGGCATGAGAAGATGGCATGCCATAACCTTTACCAAACATTTCTGCACTCTCTGTTAGCCTGAATTACATACTTTCTCCCTATAACAATCTATGAGCTGACTCACGTTTCGGTCTTTCCTCCTTAATGATGCGTTTTAGGATAAAGTTCAGGGCCTCGCAGCCCATTTGACCGGCGAACATTAGCACCACTTCGACTTCCCTGGATGCCCAGGCAAGGGTGACATAGGATATCACTAAAGCCTGAGGCACTAGAGCAAGCCAAGCCGACAGAAGAGAGAGTGGATCCTCGGGGTTCTATCGTTGGTAACATGCCTCGTGAGTCCTCGTACGCTATATCCCGGACGCGGAAAGAAGACTTACATAATGAACATGAGTCAGTGAGAGAGATGCTAGAGGTACGTCTGCCATTTTCCTGCAGGTACCGTCTAGTTCTTTTATGCGGAATAAATGGGGAGGCCAGAAAAGATAAGCCTCTGAAGTAAACAGATAGAATTGTAACTAGACGGGATCGACCAGCAGCAACTGTTCAGCGAAAGACAAATGAGGGACCAAGCGACGATTATCCAGCCCACATATCGTGCACTAGACAATACCTGCAGGTTCAAGTGGCAGACCGATAGCAGGCGTCTATACAATGAAGCCTTCCTCCCAGCCGGTGATGATATAATTAACAAATTAGAGCATCCAAGGAGAGGAAAAGAAAACGGGCGGAGTGGGTCTGCAAGTGAAGGCCAACTCAGTCACGGGGTGTAAAAGCGGCGGGGGAAAAGGAGGGGGAGGGGGAAAATCTCAGCCTCGTCGCCTCAGGCTGAAAGCATGATGAGACCAGGCCATTGCATGAGATTCTGATTCCTTCCCATCATTTTCGCCAGACTGGGCAGCAAAACCTGTCTTTAGTCTTTATGCCTGACTCTCTGACAAACCCGTGATGACCATCCTGTCAGGCAATAAATCGTTCTGTTTTCACACCTCCATTCTTCAACTCTTCTAGCTCCTCTGGCTATCCTCCATTGTTGCTGCTCCGCTGCTGCCGTTCCCATCCTCACTTCTTGCGACTAGTGACTCTTATCTCGGGCCAAACCATGACGCACTTCTCCTCATGTTCTCACTCCGATTCTTCTTCCTTCACAACATCTAGACTGCGAATAGTACAAGACTTTCTCCCTTCAATACATTCTCTATCCGTGTCTTACTCTTTCGACTCCCCGACGGTTCCACCGCCCCCATAGTACTAATTGTCTAGACCGCACGCACGTCTGCAGTACCTGAACGGTAACTCCCTCGGACCTCCGCCACCACCCTTGATAATCGCATTGTCTGATTGACTAATCCATGATTTAGCAACAGGATTTTTCCACCTCCGCCACCTTGTCGCTCACGTCTCAATCGTCAACGTCTTAATTCACAATGCATTTCATTGACGGCGGACGCTATTAAATCCAAGGGGGCTTGAATCGGACACTGCGCGTTTGTCTCGTTGACGAGCTCATTTGCCACTCGTCATTCCGCCGACCCAACGCACGTTCTACTTGAAAGAAGGTTCACAGACGAGGTTTATATCCTCTCGTTGGGCCTTGCCAAAGGCCATCTGCATCATGACGGAGTCTGTGTTGGATCTGGAAGATGACCGCTCGGTAGAGCTGTCGTCTATCGCCGCTATCTTCCCGGAAATTAAGATTGACCCCGCCACGCCTTACAAAGCCTCGTTGGACATACTCGTCAAACCATCTACGCCCGTACGTGTGTGCTTCCGACCACAGCAACAGCCCGAGGCCGAGTTTCCTGCAGTTTTGACCCCTCCCACGTCTGTCGACGCCAGCGAACCCGGGTTCCCATACAAGACCGAAGAACGAATCGCTCCAGCCGAACCTGAAACTGATGTCCATGTCATAGCGCACTTTCCTCCCCTCTGTCTCGAAATCGAGCTACCCCAAGGCTATCCAGCTGAAAGAGCGCCTCTATTCAATCTTGAAACTAATCCTTCATGGCTGCCCCCATCGATTTTATCCAAAATCTTAGATGATGGCAAGCGCCTCTGGGAGGAATGCGGGAGGGACTTGGTAGTTTACACCTATATTGACCATCTTCAACAGTTAGGTGACATGGGCTTCGGATTTGGAGACAGTGCCTGCGGCGAGATGATACTTTCTCGAGACTTGAAAATAGCGCTGTTGGATTTCAACAGTAAGGCTGAACAGGAGAAGTTTGAACAGGAGACGTTCGAATGTGGGGTCTGCCTGGAACCCAAGAAAGGTATAAATTGCCACCGTCTTCTCCGGTGTTCACACGTCTTTTGCGTCCCTTGTCTTCAGGACTTCTATAATACCTGCATCACGGAAGGGGATATAGAGAGTGTGAAATGCTTAGCTCCTGATTGCGGTAAAGAAATAACTACAACAGCCACTACAGAAAACTCACTAAAGAAGCGGAAGAAAATTGATCGGACTCTGAGTCCGAGCGAGCTGTTAGAGATTCCACTGGAGCAGGAGATAGTGCAGCGCTTCGTTTCTCTCAAACGCAAGAAAAAACTTGAAGCAGACAAGTCGACTGTGTATTGTCCTCGCGAATGGTGCCAAGGTGCCGCTCGTTCAAAAAAGCACCCAAAACCCATGGACCCAATGTCTGATGATCTCGACGCTTTCGATGATGATGACGATGAGGATGGGGCTATTATCTTTGATCCCCTTGGCGACGAGGCTCAGTTGCCCCCTATGGCTGAACGATTGGCGATCTGCGAGGATTGCAATTACGCATTCTGTAGCGTGTGTAAGAAAGGCTGGCATGGGGAACTTGTTCGTTGCTTCCCACGGCGTGCAGCGGAGTTGACAGCCGAAGAAAAAGCGACAGAAGAGTATTTGCGGCGGTATACATCTGCTTGTCCGACATGCAGTGCCCCCTGCCAGAAAAAAATGGGCTGCAACCATATGATCTGCTTCAAATGCGATACACACTTCTGCTACCTCTGCTCTTGTTGGCTGTTTGAGGAAAACCCTTACCGGCACTTCAACGACCCGGAGAGCCAATGCTACCAAAGACTCTGGGACTTGGAAGGTGGTGATGGCATTGATCCCGACGGAGCTGAAGCGTTGCATCAAGTACCCGCTCAGCTCTTAGAGATTGATGATGCCAGCGATGACGATGATCTTTTAGCCATGGAGATGGGCCGACATCCTCCACCCCCGGCTCCAGCGCCCCCGAGGGTCAACCACGGCGCTGGGGTAAATGGCGAACGCGGTAATGATGATGCTGCCGCTCGGGCCGCAGCTGCAGAAAGACAAGCCCAGGCACGGGCTATGGCCGAAGTCCGGCGTCGTCCGGAAGCCGAAGCCGCTGGAGAAGGTCAACCAGTCCGACATGCGCGACCTGGCCTGCAACGATTCCTAGAACTGGTCCAGAATGACCGAGAAGATGAATGGGACAGTGATGAACTCGATGATGATTTCTAGGGGCTCTCTCTGTCATCATGTTATTTGTTTTAATTAATGCGTCACTATATATACCAACGCATTTGAGTCAGTTGAACCGCTCATTTCTCCTGAGCGAACCTCGCCCATGCTGTTTTTGGGGAGAAAACCTACAGCATTATTCATGATTATGATGGACTGCATTTATGTCGTGCTTGCTCAGCGATTATCTCATTTACTTCGCATATTCTCTCAGATAGTACATACAGACACAACCTTCTCTACTTACTACATCTATTCAATCAGTTCGAGTATCGATATACAGTAACTCCGTTTCCCTCTCATTGCGCCCATACTGATTTAATAGTATTCATTTCTCTGGAATGCAGCCTTTTTAAAGCCGTAATCGCGAGAATACGAGATAAAAGAGTCTTAATTATAGTGGCACTGATTACAATGGATAAGAATATGAGAAGAAATTGTTATAGAAGGCGATGAGGGCGTAAGGCAGAATCCCAATGCTTCAATGCGGACTTATTCAGCCGCCCCGTGGAACGCACTCCACCTCCCAACCTCAATATCACAGTACATCGTGAAATTGTCTTATCGCTGAGAAATTGGACGCGACCTGGAGTTCGCTATCTTGTCAAGGATATTTCAACAAGTTAAAACCGGTCGGGCTTTTCCATGAACTTGGATTAATGACTTTATTTGAGCGGGGTGCGCGACTATCCACCTGGAGCGAAATGCTCCGCGCCTCTGCGCACACAGCCAACGCGGGCTCTCTGGCACGGACCATGGACCCCAAAGCTGGATGGCCGGTGTGGTAGCCTGTAATGCAACTGGAAAGGCATCAGATGTATAGGTGAGTTCGAACACTGTCCCTGTTGCAATGTTCGAACCAGCCGTACTAAAGAGTCATGTACAGTACATCAGATCGGGGCCTCCAAGGTGCTGGAGACAGGCGAGTTCGATCGTTGGCAGAGATACCGAGTCTTGTCTAACTTCTCATTTTTCTGGGCATCGCAGTATCATCGTGGCAATTCTAAATAGTAGGACCTCTCATTACAAACAAGTAGGTTGAACAGGACCCTCTCAACGGGAACTATCAGCTGTTCCTCCGAAGTTTGGGTAAAGTGTAGGCAATCAAGACGCTACTGTTGTCCTGGATCGCGATAGAAAGGCTCAGTGACGCCCTGGTCGTATGCGAAAATTCATGTTTCTGCTTACCATGCACCGCACTGAACGAGCTCTGTGAATCGGTAAGTGTGCTCTTCACTCAGCAGCCGAAAATACTCGGGGTCAAAACTAACTTATCTACTCGGGGTCAGAACTAGCTGTTTTTACTCGGACCATCTCATCAGGTGCGATCGCCCAAGTGATGTTATTGCCTTAGGGGTTTAATCAACCCCTAATGGAGGAATATAAAAGCAGGGCGTCTATGCCCTCTTCTTAACTCAGCGTATCTGTCCACTTCACATTCTACCGAGCTCATTAGATAGTCTTTTCTTTCGCTGCCCGTAATCATGGCTTCGTCTGACACTACAATCCCCCATCTCCGCTCCATTGAAAAAGGAAAACAGCTGGTCGTGCATGGCAAACCATCCCTGGTCTTGTCTGGACAGCTCCAAAATTCCTCCCTCACTGCGTCCGAATACCTGAATACCGTGTGGCAAAAGCTAGTCGGCTCACATGTCAACACGGTGCTAGAATGTGTGACCTGGGAGGAAATCGAGCCAATCGAAGGCCAGTTCTCTTTTGCCAAACTCGAAGAGGCCATCTTGGAAGCTCGCAAGGATGGCCTCCATCTTGTATTGCTCTGGTGTGGCTCCTTCAAGAATGGTAAGTTGCTTGAAATGCTCCACCTGCCTTCGCAAGACTCTGATAGATTTCTGACAAGGTATCTCGGACGCTACTCCATCATGGATCCAGAAAGATCCCAAGCGCTTTCCACACGCCAAGTTGCGCGAGGTCGGGGGTGCCCTGATTGCCTCGGATGCCCTCTCGCTTTTCCATGGAAAAGCACCTGCTTGCGACGCGAGAGCCTTCGCTCATCTCATGCGACACTTGAAGAAGGTCGACAGCTGACACTCTACTGTCATCATGGTCCAGGCAGAGAACGAGCCTGGACTGCTCGGAGATTCCCGCGATAGGTCGGATGCCGCCGAGGAGAGATTCGCTCAACCAGTTCCAGAAGCCCTTCTGCCATTTCTGACCAGCGACTGGGACCAGCTCAATGTGGACATCCAGCGCAACCTGGGCCACTTCAAGTCCCAGCTCCAGCCCCAGCCCCGCGGATCGTGGGCGGAAATCTTTGGCCCCGGACCGCACACCGACGAGCTCTTTATGGCATAGCACTACGCTCTGTACATCGACCAAGTTGCCAGCGCCGGCAAGAAGGAGTATCCACTCCCATTGTACACCAACGTCCGACTGAACTACGTTGGGAAGAGCGGGGATTCTGAGTCTGGCTCCGTGGCTGGCGGCTGATTCGTCGCTTGTCCGAGGCTCGCACATTTTCTCATTTCGGTTAGGATTACTTGGAACTCATCATTCCGTTCCTTCTGGCACGTAGTTTCAGTGGTGCTCCCGTCAGCCAGAATCTCCTTGCCCGCCTTGACGAGCTTGTATCCAATCTTGATAAATTCGATCGTGTTGGCCACCAAGCCGATGGCAACGACTTCGGCCATTGTAAAGAGAAGATTCATCGACGGTAGCAGAAGGGCTTTGCGATGGAGAAGAATGGTAACCAAAGGAAAGTGTGATGTCTGCTGCTGGAAGGTAGGAGAGATAGGAGGCGGAAGTAATGAGTTTCGGTCAGGGAGGGAATAGGGGCACGGTCAGCTGTGTGTGTCCTTAAGCGATGTGAAACATTTCTTTTTCTATTGGCTTGTTGAATACGAATCGGAAGACAGAGACATCGCGAGACTAGGAAAAGTATGTCTCGGTGCCGCACACTGCAGGGTTGGCTAATATCAAGCTATCGTCATTCCACCCCCATCAATGCATTGGTGAGATTCAAAGATATTGAGCTGTGAAAAATCAAATATGACAGTCCCATAGAGGTCTTGGATGCTGTCCGCCCCGCTTACCCCGGACTATGTCTGGCGATGCGGATGTGGTAGCGCCCAGCAGGTCCTGGCCGGCCAAGGAAGGTATTTTTACCAAGAAATCTGTCCAGCCAAGCACAGCTTCCGACATTTCATCGAACGCGTTTGCTAGGAATAGCATAGTGGAGATTCTAGAGCGTCTTGCCAACTTCACATGTAGTATCTCCATCAACTTACGATATGGCTTCTCAGCCAGACCGTGCAAGGCCGAGGTTCTTCAGAGTAAGACCACGGAAGCTAGACGAACATTGAGTTGTATTCGGGAATTTGAAGCCAACTCTAACATGAGGGAACTGCTTTGTCCGATCTACAGATAAGGGTGACAGCGTTGTGTTTTGTAGATCACTTCTCCACACTTGATCGGCACTAGCCGACTGCCAAGCCAGCTGAGCCAAGCCCTCGGGATAGCTTCTTATCGCACGCTGGGAACTGCCACTGTGCATCATGTGCTGCAGGCACAGTGACAAAGCGCCTTGCTGATATAAGTTGTAAGAATAAGAACAATGCCCTAGCAGAAAGGAACAGAGGTGTTTGGAACACTTGAAGGAAAGAAGGAAAGATGCATCCCGTTCAAGCTTGCTCTTCTTTCACCTACTATAATCCGTGTTTCTTAATAACTGTACTGGCGCTGCGTGGAGCCAAAGATGAAGTGTCTGATTTATTGTACCATTCAGTCAACCTTCAGAGCACAGTGAAAGCACACACTGAGATGGACAAATCCAGAGAGATGGACCAGATCCGTAACTTTCCCTTTATTTTCGATTTTCCAAGATTTGCAAATCTTTTGCAGCTGAGTCTTTGCCCAACTTGAGCCACACTGACTCCGAGGACGTATAGCCATAAATACAGCCATACATCTTCTGCGACTTCCACCTCATACTTACTACAACATCACAGATTCCATTCTTATCTCTTCAACAACAGCCCGAAACCAAAGATTGAACCACCCAGATTACACTATTTGGAGAACAATATTCGCCATGTATCCAGCTAAGTGTTCAGCAGAATACATCAAGTCCAGGATGTTGAAGGCAGATGAGGAGGTGGAGAACATCGACAGGATTGAGAAACTTAGTTCCAGTGTCGAGCCCCCGGCAAGCTACATTAAGAGGATTCCTCAGGCAATTGCAAATGCACTATAGGGCACAAATGATTCGATCTTCGGCAGCCCACCCCGATATGATAGCAGTTTATTTCGGTTCCCTAGGTGGCTGCTGGACATAAACTATGTAGATAAGATCTGTAAAGGTGACAGTGAGATGCGAAAGTGCATGCAGCACGTGGACGCTTTCAACAGCTGGCTTGAGCGTGAGCATAGAGACTATGCAATTCTCTATATATACGGAAACCGGGGATCAGGGAAATCACAATTTATGTACGAGATCTTTGCAATCAGATCCACCCCCTGGGCCGGCGAAGTCCAAACGCGCTTGCGGCAGACCTGGCGCCCGACAAAGCGCCTGGTGTTTGGGGGTGCTTGGTTTCGATATCCCACAGGATAATCTGGACAAGACAGGCTTAGAAGCATGATCAAAGGTATCCTCTGGGCTCTTATTCAAGAGGATCGGGAGCTGGGATGGCTTCTATTCCCATCCAAGGGAAATGCTCTAAAGTCCCCAGTACGGAAGAAGCTTGTCAGGTGCCTTTGAGGACGATTGCGTAAGTCAGAAACACAACACCCCTTGAACGGACAAGAGACAGGGCGAAGCCGCTCATGCAGCCGCCGAATGCACGCATGCAACGATCATGTTCGCCGCCACCGCCGTGGGTGATGCTCTCCTGGGGCCCATCGGCGCGGTCATCGCCTCAGCTACACCAGAACATATGTGAAAGCCGCCGGTGCACATCTCAGTCGAGACCCGAAGATGCGCACAAATGTCTGCACAATCATCGTGTATCAGGATCTGGTGGCCGGGCTGTTTGCTTTTACCGGGGCTAGGTTGGGCGAGCTCATAGCCTTGGGATTCGAGGGCTAGTTGGCCGACATGTCGGTTTGGCTCCGGAAGAAGCCCTTGAAGTCTCGTTTACCAATTAATATTTGCAGCTGTGAGTCTTATTCCATAACGATTTATGGTGCGAGGTGGGGCGTAATCACTGACGCGAATATATAACATTCTGTCAGGGGTCATCTAGAATCTACTCGATACCATTCAGAGCAGCAGGTCGAAGGATAAAATCAAGCATATGTTCGGTGCACATGACAATAACGGGGTAGACGCCTTGCATCCTCCACCTCCTCCACCTCCTCCGCCGCGACGTCCACCACGACGTCAGTTTCCGCCCTATGACAAGGAGGAGAATAGGGAAGTAAAAACAAGGTCACACGTCGCGACGGAGAGGGACACATTCTTGGCGACCACCGTCCCGATGATACGAAGACCCTCACGATTGAAGCTCGAGATGGAAGCACCGAAAAGAGCACGATAAGGACCCTTTTGGCTCTGACAAAGCGAAGCAGAAGAAGGAAAGGTGTCAACGGGTGGCCGAACATCAGACGACCTAAGCTGCAGCATCTCTCTCAACAGCGATGCCCTGTCCTCTGACTATAGCTTGAATTAATGCCAGGAGTGGCGATTCCGCTTGAACATGTTCTCAATTTTGCGAATTGTCGACAACTCTAACAGCGCGGATAACGCCAACACAAACTTGAACTTATACTCCGGACATGGGTACAAGCTGGACCTCCACATCTGTTTCAGGCCGTCGACGCGGGCTGTGCATGTCGCGAGTTGGCACGATAGATATTGACACACGGCGCGGTGGGCGACCTTCTCCCCGCACCCTCGTCAATATGCAGCATGAAAATGGCGGCTGGCTAATTGTTAGGATGGATCCGGCTGGGCTCGGGTATTGGTTCGAAACGTTCAATCTGAACAATTAAGGTGAACGCTTTCATAGCGGGGGTCGTGATTCGCCTGGTTTTCCCGAACCGTTTTCTACACAACAAGTCTTGTCAAGTATATTGGACGAGGAACCATTTAGCGACTCATGCAGGCGTGGAGCAATAGCCTCGCGCAGGTTGGTTTCTCTGGGTCTAGCGGCCGGCTTTTGCAGCTTCACCTCAAAGGTCTCGCCACAATTCGAAAGGCCCGTTGGTGACCTCGGATAATCTAGACCGTTTCTTTGTTACTGTACTCCGTACAGTACACGCAGTTAGCGCCATTGATCTTCAAAGCGGGCATATCGTGTTTGATGTTCTACTAGAATCCTGCGAGGAGAAGTGGGGAGACAGCTGCTGGCGTATGCTTTCTCTTCAAACAAGTGAAACTCCCATTTATCCCCATGCTAAGCCCTGATTTTTCGCAAAAACTCCTCATTGTTCTCCCATCCGTTTCCGGGCCCAGTACGCCATGAAATTCACCATCAGCCACCACTTCCTCCTCATTGTAGGCACGCTAACCAATGTCCTCGCCAACCCCATCCCTAGCACGCACTCCCCTAAAAGACTCCTAGCCACCCGTGATCTGTCCGCCTACACCGATGGTCTCGCTACCATTACTACGGATGTCAATGACCTCGACGCTCGGATTCTAACCTATCACGGTGATGACATTGCCAACATCACCACCGGCGCCGCTGCGCTCATCACTGCCCTCCTCGCCGAGACCAAAGCCATCCAGTCGTACTTCCTGAATGCCACCGAGGCCGCGACCTTGTTGGATCCCCTGGAGACGTTCGCCGGCCGATTCACGGTCGTCGTGGAGGAATACGTCGGCATCCACGACGCGGTTGCCGCTGCTGGGGAGGGTTGGTACCTCTACTCGCAGCTGCAGGAGGAGCACACGGCCGCGTTGACCTATACTGGAAACGTGGTAGCGCGGATCCCAGCCGGCGACATCAAAGTTGCGGCAGACGCTTGGGCGACGAATATTACTGACACATTGCAGGCTGGGGTCGTGGCCTACAAGGATATCGCGGTTCGCCCTACGGAGCTGCCTCGGGCGTGAGAGGGAATGGGTGGGAGTGAGGCTGTCTTGCGGTTTCCCCTTCTTGTGGGTACGCCGTCACCGTAGTCAACCATACCGGAAAAGTCCATCTCGTTGTCAATCACCCTTTATCATGACACTCGGGGTGTTTCCGCTACAGCTTTATGCGTGAACATGATAGCAATAGAACACAAAGATCTGGACTCCTACACTGGAGGAGCTGCATCCTTACGTATAAATTATGCTGCTAGAGCCACCCGCATTCACTAGCCAAACGACGACTACCAGTCGAACCCGCATTATGGCCTCTCCTTCGCTCGACAAGTTTCCACAAGAGTTACTCTGGCTCATCTTCGACCTGCTAGACGTAAAGACGCTGGGAATCCTGCGCGGCGTGTGTCAGGAACTGAAGACCAGGACCAATGTACTCTGGCAGTGCCACCAGCTGTCTCCACTGTTCGTGCGCCTAAACCCCGACAATCCAACGCGTGTGCACCTGCGTCCACTGCCTGAGTGGTTCAAGTGCCGAGCCCAAGTCCGGGAATACCAAGCCCTGCAGGCCAGCCGGCACCTGGTTTTCCAACTGCCTTGGGCCAAGTTTGTGTGCAATGGTGAGGAGCTGTATTACTTGAATTGCTCGATCATCGAGGCCGGCCTGCTGGCTTTGGGCCGGAATCTGATCGACCGCAACGACCACGTCGATCGGACCGCGCTGCATTCGCTGACGTTCTTTGCTTCGAGCCTGCAGGAGGCTACATAAGCCCTTTAGAATCTGCTCGGGGTCGGAGTCACCCCCCAAGCTGACGATGCGGGACTTCCCCCGCGACAAACTCTGCAATCTCTGGGGCCAGCTTACCCAGTTGATCTTCTACATCCCCAAGTTCCAATCCACGTTGATCCACTCTCTGCACGTGGCAGAGGACCTCGCCTGCCTCATCGTGGACCACGCCCCCGCGCTCGAGCACGTCCGCTACCTGTACGACGCACCCCCGGACCCCGCTGATCGGCCGTCGGGCACGCTGCTGCAACACCTGGGGTCCCTGGACCCGGGCCCGCCCCTCAAGCGCCTGGAGATCAACGTCTACTTTGACCGCTACAGCGACACCCTCGTCACCCTGCTCACCCGCTACGGCCGCGCCCTGGAGAACGTCTCCGTCATGTCGCCCTATCTGTACGGGTGGTTCGGCCACCACCCCCACCTAGCCCAGCTTAAGGCCCTCTGCCCCGTCCTGAATCAGCAGGTCCGGTATAATATGGGCCGGATGGCTCTGGTCGGGCCGTGGCTGTATGCGCGCCTGCCGCAGCATGAGGGCGATCTCGATGGATGGTGGACCCGCTGGGACAACGCGAGGGGTTGGGCGGAACCGGTGGAGGAATGCAGTCCGCTTTGATGCATCGTTATCGTTACCGTACTAAGCGACTGACTGGCGGGTGTGCTTTAGGAGGGTTGATTGTTCTGATCCCAGCACTTACTCTGCGGTGGTCCCATACATCACCACCACCACAGCCCGACTTCAATCCCAATAGAGAACCAACATTTTTTTACAATTAGAATATGAGGACCTGAGACTTCGGTGCCGAAAATGACCCATTTTGATACTGTACAACTAATAGTGTTTTGTTCGAGATTCAAGATCATATACGGAGGGAAGAGAGGGTCTGTGATATACTCGAGAAATTCAAAATGGTTCACATCGTGTGCGAAGTGGAGTTTCCTGTAGTTGATTTCAGATCTAGCAGCATCTATGATAAAATCGTTGGAGTTAATCGGGGAGGAGTAGGAGCACGATTTGGTCACCCGCGAATTGCGCGACGGACGGTGAGAATCCTGGGTGATTAAGCAGTCTTCCCATCCTCGCCTGCCGTCCAATTAACATAGCATGTGCGTGTATATAGCCATATCCCAACGCCTAATTTACTCGCTTCTTCCGGTCCTGCTTGATGAGGTCTGCCGCTCTTTCCGCGAATGCGTACACAGTGGCTTGCAGATTCGCTGTGCTTACAAGCGGGATAGCACTCGCATCCACAACCCTCAGGCCTTCTATACCATAGACTCTCAAATGGGAATCCACCACTCCGTCCTTCTCGCGAGGCAGCATGGAACAGGTCCCCGCAAAGTGCCACATGGAGACTAGATTGTCCCGAGCATACTTCTTTGCAGCATCTAAGTCTCCCTGGAAGTCCGCATCTGGGTCTCGGAACTTCAGTGGCTGTTCGAGCAGCTCCCCGAGCTGAGGTGACTCTGCTAATTTCTTGATACGGAGCAAGTGCCGTGCCATGACTTCCAGATCGAGAGGATTCGACAGGTAACCAGGATCAATGATTGGAGGCTTTTCAGGGTCGTTGCAGGTACTTGAATTCTTATCGTCAGATTTGATGGATATACGGTTTGCTGAGGGGGCGGCCGGAGAGTATGGGAAGGTAGCATGTGAAATGTGAAGAATCAGGAGTAAAGGATACCTCACAATCTCTAGCAGGGAAGAAAAAAACAACAGAGAAAAAATCACTTACATCTGAACGCTGCCGCGGGAAAGCGGTTGAGAGAGCATTACTCCAAGCGTGACGAACTTTCCAGGCGAAGCAGCTGGAATAGTCCCGTCTCTGAGGTCTTTGGAATAATTCGTCTGCCCTAAGGCGGACATGTACGCAGCTGATGGTTGCTTGGGATCAAGAACGGCGGTCTTGGCGATGTCATAATAGGCCTGTGTCGCCCTGTGCTGTGAATTCTCAGGGGCGTCGTTCGTAAACAATGCCTGGAGAGCACTTCTGTCCGGTTCAGGAAGAGGCAAATAGGCGTAGGTATGAACTCCGAGTGACGCTAGGGGCCCAGATTGGGTGGCAGCGTATTCCTGCATTGCCTGACCAATGGCTTCAGGCTCTTGTCTGACCAGAGCGTCCTTAGTCTCAAGTTCAGGCTTTGCTTGGAATGCGGTGTACGATATCATATGATCTAGTAGTAGTAGATGTTAGCTCTCATCCCAAGCGAGTATGCGTCAAAAAGAAAGATAAGCTGTTCACATACCCTGAAGATTCTGCCCAACACCTGGAAGGTCCATGACTATATCAATGCCATGCTGTTCAAGGAGTTCTGCTCTACCAACTCCTGAAAGCTGGAGGATTTTAGGGGATTGAAGAGCACCAGCAGCGAGTATAACTTCACTCTTTGCCTGAACAGTCTTTGAGACACCGTCGAGACTGTATTGGACTCCAATAGCTCTGGGAGGCTTGCTTTCATCAAACAGAACTCTCTCAACAAATGAGTTCGTCAGAACATGAAGATTGGGTCGAAGCTCAGCAGGCTTATAATAGGCCGAGGCAGAGTTGCTTCTCTTACCGTCCGAGTCAATACTAGCAAGACAACTGAATGAGCCTACAGAGCTGTGGATGAACGGATCCCCGTCATTGTATTGCCCACTGCTGCGGAACAATTCGGCCCATTGCCTGCGAATAGGGTGTGTCTCGTTACCAAAAGATGTTTGGATTGGACCTTTCGCTTCGTTCAATCCAGGCCAGTCCTCAATTGCCAGGTTTTCTTTAGCATCTTGTGCTACAGTCGGACTGTTATAGGCCTTAGAGAAATAGTCCTTTAACATAGTCCAATTCCATCCAGGATTACCGAGTTCCTCCCACGCGTCAACGGCTCCCCTGAAAGGAGGAACAAACACGTGCGCATTTAATGAACTGGATCCTCCGAGTGCTTTGCCCTGGTTGAGACCAAGCACTCTGCCATTGAGGCCCGGCTGAAAAAAGTAATGAATAAGCCCCCAGACACAGAGACGGAGACGGTTCCTACCTGAGGGGAAGATTGGAATTGCCAATCGGCTTCAGATCCAAGTAGTGCTGCATAGAAGATGGGGATGTTCACGCGAGGATCTGCTGTCATGTCCGCGCCTGCTTCAAGAACCAGGACGGAGATGCTTGGGTCCTCGCTGAGTCGAGAAGCAACCACCAGGCCAGCTGTACCGCCGCCAACAACAATAAAGTCATATGCAGTAGCCATTCCGTACTGTGTGCTGACTTAGTTAAAAGATTGGACGAGAGTATAAGAAGAAAAGGACTGCGAGCGTGGGAAGTAGTAGCTTGTTAAGAAGCAAAGAAACACCCGAAGACGGGAGATTTAAAATATTGGTACTAACTAAATGAACCCCCTAGTATCATATTGGTGAACAAAGAAATAGATTTTGTCAATACCACCTAACGATATACTATTAGAAATGGTACAATTAGCCCCACAAATGCCAGTTCTACCCCGCCCAAAAGTACTGGATCGATCAGCCTCTCAATGCGGTTTAGCATGTCTATGATTCTCATGGTATCCATTCTAACCGTTACTTACGTAACATGAAGCTGAAGTCTGAGATAATCATTGCGGGCTTATCTTCGCATTGCGATTATATGATTTTAGGGTTAGAATACGAAGACTTACAAGGCTAATGATCTGATAATGAGTTCTCAGTGTGAAGGTAACCTGAAATATCGGCGGCGAGATGTCGGTGCTGCTTGAGGGCATTCTATTGAAAAAGCTTTACTTAGCGAGTGGCAGTTAGAGCCCTATAATATTGGAATCTTTGTTCATTTCTGAGCTAGTGAGAATTAGTAGTTGTGCCGCCCAAAAGTGAGCTTACAAGACCTGAATTACTTCAAGGATAGTCTTGTTTAGGTAATTGTTTTCAGCCTCCAGTGTTCACACAGTCGCATGTATTCTCAGAATCCCAGCCTTGAGCAGATGCCTAGACTATCCCATGGCTTCCATCAATCACGGCTTCTTTTAGCGCCATGCATTTTGGCCCCTTGCATGAAACGTTTGATTACTTCCGAGTCGGGGCTCCTCCCGGCCGATTCAGCACAGACTCAGTAACTTCCTCTTCGATCATCGTACCTTGCTACTAAGCTATATTCGTGGCACTGCCGCACTCTAGTCCCATTTAGGCCTTAAACTAAATCTCCATAGGTAATACTAACAGCCAGTCATATAATTCTGTAAGCAAGTGATTTTCTAATCAGACAAATATACAGCTACTATCTGCCCTAACTCACCTAGTGCCCTCCCGAGTCCTCCAGAGCCCCAGGGGGGGGGGCCGCCTCCAGGAAAAGACCTCTAAAAGTAAGCAAAGACCTTTGCGGAAGAACTCCCGGGGCACTCCGGGAAGCCCCAGAAACAGGATTCCATTACTGGTAGAATTACTAGCATCAGGGGTAAGCACTTGAACAAGGAATCAAAACACTTACTAGTTCCCTTTTGAAATTTAATACTCAAGAGGGGTCTGCTAAGGTCAGCCGATCCGGGCTAAACCCTGACTAGATCTAGCAAAGGTACAGATATAGAAGGAGAGAGGTACTGTACAATTAATATGACTATTTTTATCTTTGATTCGAAAGGCCGAGGTTTTCCCAGTGTCGTTGGCACATGTACTGTACATGCAGCCGCATATCGGCCACGTCCAGGTCCCGTGTCTAGCGTTTCATGTCTATGGTTCCTGGCGTTGCTACATGTACTATACTGTACATCCACCGCCGCAGGGAGAGCAAGGTACACCGCCGGAGAAGCTCGCCATTCAAACTACGTGTAGAATTCTTTCTTGATGTCCGAGTAGCCCATCGCATTGCGAACACCGCCTCCTCTTACTTGCAGTCTTGCTCTGTGTCCGTGCCCGTGTCCGTGACTGTGTCCAGGCTGTCTAGTCGCGGGCTCAGATCCCCCAGCATCCGCGACGCGTACCCCTGCTGCTGGAACTCCGGATGCGAGTAGATGTTTGCAAAGGCGTATCTGAGAATCTCCCTGACGATGCTATTCCGGCCGAGCAAGGCGCGCTTCTGATATGTCAAGCAGGCGCAGGGGGTCGTCGTCCCGCGGAGCGTCAGGTGGACTAGGATCCAACATCTCAGTCTCCCGTCCGCTGCGAGTGGTTGGGAGAGGTGCCGGCGCTCGCGCGCGACGTAGGCTTCTGGACTGAGGAGCGCTTTCCACTCTGCGCTGTTGGGCTTGGTGGCTGTGATGTGCTCGGCCCGGGCAATGGAGAGAAGGAGCAGGGTGGCCTAGTCGGCCGGCACTAGGGGCGGCGGGACTCTTTCAAGTCTCTTAGGCATTGGGGATTGGAGTTCGGAAAAACTGGTATCTTGGATGGTTTGGATGGATGGGAAGAGTGGCAGTGATTTACAGGTTATGAAGGGGAGTGGGCATAGGCTTCTTTTCTGGGTGATTCTCAGCTTCCCGTGCCGTCCCCACGTGCTTAATCAAGCTCACGTGGCGCCGTCCAATTGACTGGCTGAATCAATATAAGAAGAGAAGATAAAGTAATATCAAGGTGACCCCGGGACATTTATCTTAAAAGGTATGACATGACTGTGGGGTGAGGGGTTATTTGATGATGACGGGCGGTTCGACAGTATTGGTGTTTATTCCGGCTCATGTCTATGAACGGAGGCTTGATTGTGCTAGCTATGAAACGGGTTTGTAAGACCCAAGCAAACCAACGGAATAATCTATCGATTAAGTTTTCTTGTAGTAGGTGAAAGGGGTTACGGTTGAAGAGTTGGATAGAGGGCACGAGTAAAAAGGCGAGCTGAAGCGTACAAGAGGGGCGTCCAGGTTGAACAAAGCTCAAGTCTAAGGTGAAGGGGAGATGGCAGGGAAATGGGCCTCCACGTATATACCACAATTTCACCCGCGAACCTTCCGGTAACTAGGCGGACTCCAGGACCGCATAATCAGCTTACCGGCCCAGACAGGGACGACAGCGACTGCGCTAACGGCGACCACGCGCCACAGCCAATCGAGGGTGATTATGTAGGCTAGATCGAAGTAGTCGCCAAGGAAGGGAACACTCGCGGCGTAGACAAGAGCGGTACCAATGATAGAGAAGATCATGAAGGGATGCCACGTGGTAATGGCGATGGCGACCATGAGAAGCTCGTTGATTACTAGCGCAGTGAAGGAGACGCTGATGAGGCGAGGGCCCGTGATGGAGTCGAGGAGGATCTGAGATAGGCCCTGAATGACCGCACCTTGGAAAACCGAGACGAAAACCCAGGTGAAGAAAGACCGGTAACTGAGGCTGCGGCCCGTTTTGAGTTCCTTGTACAGCTCCGGGTAGAGGTTGGCAAGTTCTTCATCGACATCGCGATCGAAAACGAGAGAGAAAACAGGCCCGCTGGTGTAAATCGTCGCGTAACCGACCATAAGCCAGTTGATGAACAGGCCCTTGGGGTCGAAATGGCTGGCGATGCTATACATGGTCTGGCAAGCGCTGATGATAATACCGCGATGCATAATGAACTGCGCCAGTTTGGCGGATCGTTTGTACGAGTTGCGGCCATGCCAAACAAGAAGCTTAGTAAGGTGGTGGAACTGAGTGATGCTAAAATCTGCAGCCAAAGAGGCCTGTCGGCCTTCTTTGCCGACAATACCGATACCGACATCTGCGGCTTGAATCATAGACACGTCGTTTCCGCCGTCGCCGATGCAGCAGACGCGTTTCTTGGTGTGGTGGCGGATGAGATCGGCGACTTCGGCCTTTTGAGTGGGAGAGCAGCGGCAGGCGATGACGGCGGGGAGGAGAACGGCAACGGATATGAACGATGTGCGGAATTGACTGAGCATAAGAGCAAGAGATTCTCCGTCAATAAGAAGGCAGCAATCAGTCTTGTTGCGAAGAAAATCCAGGGCTTCTTGAGCCGAAGACTTGTCTCTGATCTTAGCAACAGTGTGAATGTACTGTCCCCGAGCGACCAATTTGGCTGAAATTGCAACACAGCGAGCAGTCTCGACTTTGTCCCCCGTCAACATCCAGATCTTCACTCCGGCGTTGCGGAGGAGCTCCAAGGAGGGTTTGACGTCCCTTTGTAGACGGTCCTCCACACCAGTCACACCGAGAAGTTCCAGATCTCGTTCTAGGTAATCATCAATCACCTTGGCCATACCTGCATCTCTTCCTTGCAAGGCAAGCGAAGCTTGTCTGTACTTTGTTGTAAAGTCCGCGTATTGCTGCTCAGATAATCTCCTTCTTCCAACCACCAAAGTCCGCAGGCCCTCACGAGCCATGTTTGCGGTTTCTTCATCAAGCCAATCGTTGGCCGCGACGATTGTGGTCATGACAGTGTCCGCTCCCTTTTGGTAGAACCAAATTTCGCTTTCATTTTTGGACGAGTCCAGGATGCTTTCGTCTGTCTCGAACTGTACAATAATGCCCATCCGCTTACTTTCGGACGTGAATGGAAACAATTCGAGTATCCGAGCCCGCACAACAACATTACCAGTGTGGGTAGATTCCAGAACCATGGTCTTTCGATCGCGGTAAGCCAGTTTCAGTCCTACTTCCTCTGTATACTGAACAATGGCAATCTCATCCGGCGACGATGCCTGGTAATTGGTGACTTTGACACCATCCTCTTCATCGGTAGTGGGGGTGACATTGTGACAAAGCGCAAGAGCCAAGACGATATCTCGAACGCGGGAGCCAATCTCCCTTCTTGTGCGCGGAGCCGCTCCAGACCCAGCTTGCGTTCCGAAGACAGCTGATGGAGTAGTTAAAGAGTCTCCGGCGAAGCTTTGCTTGACATATGAGGCCACCTCCTCCATCGCTTCATTGGCGTACGAGACGGTCCCAACGTGAATTTTCTTGAGCTCCATCTCTACCGAGGGTTATCAGTCTGCTCATATTCATAGGGCAAAGTAGCTTACCATTCTGAGTCAAAGTGCCTGTCTTGTCGGAAAGAAGGTATTCGATTCTGCCAAGATCTTCGGGTATAGTGCTAGTCCTTACGACAGTCCCTGGTATATCCTTGTCCTTTTCAATGAATCGTCCGTACACCGATTTTGCCATATCTAGATTTACCCGCAAACTCATCGGGATGATCGTCGAGAATAGGATCAAATAAATCATGATGGCAACATACCAGACTTTGTCATTAGTAGGCTGGAACCCTTCAAGCGCAACTAGAACAATCGAAAGTGCTAAAGTTAGAATGCACAGGATCTTGGTCAGGTTGTTAATCTCGTATTCCAGTAATCCGACCTTCGACCGAGACGGAGACGTCGACAAAGCCGCGCGCGTTTGTGAACCGGTGTAGATGATTGCAGCGTAGGTGATAGTATTAGACGCAAGGACGGTATTTGCCCACGCGGTGTTATCAATCGTCAATGGAGCAGAATTAGGCTGTGAGTCCTGATCCTCCCGGTCTCGTTCGTGGTTGGATTTGTCCACATGCGGGTCGTAAGAAGACGATCCCAGCTCGATGGTACCAACAAACTCGTTGACCCGCTTATCAGGTGCGCTTGCAGTGACTTTAAGTCGAGTAAAATCGCGGGGAACTAAATTTTGAGACAAAGGTGAAGGCAAACGTAACTTCCAATCAGTCTCTCCATCTAATTGATCCGTACGGATGAATGTGTCGCAGGCCGAAGGGTTGTTGAGTTCATTTGTCGCGCCACTCGCGCTGGGCTCATCGCCATGGTCGTCAGGTAAGAGATTCAGGGGTCGATCCATAGAGGAGTTTCCGCGAGCAGAGATGTCATTGGAGAGACTTTGGAGAATCACTACATCTGCGGGCAGGCGTTGATTTTTGCGAACCTTCAAGACGTCGCCGACTTTCAAGTCGCGTGATCTCCTCGTTACTTCAAGAACACCCGTCGGTCTATCGAAACTCAAGACAGTGAATTCCTCCGCATTTGCCTCTGCATCTCTGCGCCGGCGACCAATGTCATCTAAAGCCTCCTTACCGAGCGAAATCGAAACAACAAATGCGAGAGGCGCGATATATGAAGACATGTAACCTATCCGGAGCACAGGGATGATCTGTGACAGGGCGACAAGGAGAAAATAGATGTTGAAAAAGAAAGAGAATTCGTTGTACAGGGTCCGGGGCAGAAAGCTCCAGGGCGTGTATTTTGCGTTCGATACAATGTTCGGTGGGTATCTTAACCGCTGCGTTTGGGCGACGAAAACATCGCGCGGGGGCTTTGTCTCGGTAGGATTGAGCTCCTCTGCCGCTGGACGATTAGAGGACCCGAACCAAGCGCTTGCAGTTTTGAGGCCGGGAATCCGGAGCCGAGAGCCCTTCTGCGACAGCCGCTCCGCATCTTTTAACGAGCGAGCAGAGCTACGCCGGCGTTCGTGGAGCAGAGGGGCATCATCATCGGTGTACGTGCGCGAACTGGCGTGAGACCTCCGCAGTCCGTCGTCATCGCGATCCTGGTCCTCAAGTAATTCGTCTGTATCTGCCAGCCCTCCATGTGTTCCAAATGTGTTTCGCTTCCACCGATTCCCAACTCCAACGCGAAGGTTTCGCAAAGCTATCCCCGGGCCACGGCTCCTTTGTTGGTTCTCTTCTTCTCTCGAAAGACGATGTGCTCCGTAGAGCTGAGTTGTGCTTGGGTCGAGCTCTTCTAGATCGAGGTCGTCGTCTGAGCCAGAATCGCCTGCGATGCTGGACCGGCCGTAAGGATGTGAATACTCGGATAATGAAGGCATGGCAAGGAGAATAGGGGTGAGGTTTATATTGGCGTTCCATGCGAAACTATCGGTCCTTGGGGTCCTGTAAGATCAAGAGTGTTGTCATGTCACGGTAGGTCGCATACGAATTTTCCCGAGCATAGCATTGCTATTGATGGGGCTTGAGGGACCGGGTGTATGTACTGTAGGTTTGACCGCGACTGCGACTGCGGATGCGACTGCGGATGCGCGCAACAGGTGAACAGGGTAGAAGCAATCGAGAAGAAGATTAAGTCGATGACTTGGTCAGCACGCTTCAGGCCACTCTTCAGATCGACACAGTTGCCCGTCGGGTGAAGAACCGCTTTCAGGGATTGGTTAATCATGGTGGCCTAAAGAGTCAAGAGGCTGTGATGGCAGGCGGAGCAAGGCCCGATCACATGACGGCGTACCGGAGCCGCCGACCCCACGGGTGTGGCGCATCAACCAATGGTGAAACATCGATGTCATCGGCGGAGATGTGGGTATATCCATGATTTAGACTTCCATGGACTTCAATTGTCATGGAAAATATGTATACATCCTGGGCTCAGCCCACTAGGTGGTTCGTCATGGCTAGAACACATTGTGCATTCCATTGCACTGAGACCACTCTAACAAATGGCTTCGACTTCGTGGGTTCTGCTACGCTAGTCTATACTCGCAATTTGCATCTGAAATAGTGGCACCACCTAGTCGTCAAACTAACAACTGGAAATGGTATGAACCTCGGTAGCATACGCTGTGAATTATAGCTTTCGTCTGCAAGGTAGCTTTGGTTGCTGGCGTCGTCATTCCATGACAGGATAGGTTGTGGTAATCACTGCAAGAGTCACCGTGGTCCATAATGTAGTGCGCTTATTAATCTGGCAATCGGGTCACAAAGTCCGCGCATGAGATGATGGTACGAACATCTGTGGTAAGGGCGGCTGGGGTGGTGTAATCCCCCTGGTGAGAAAAAGTACTAAGACTAACAGGGCCGATAGGACCACTTTGTCTAACAGCCCTAGGGCTCGAGACAGCAAACTGGGTAAAATGTCTTGTGCTTTCAGTACGAGATGTTGAGGCTGATGTTCGGAGGAGCATACTCGAACCTGCATTAGGCACAATGGTCGGAGCGGAAGCATCGTTATCTACGGGAGAATAGGAGTGTGCAGGTGAAGGACCAGGCTGCTGCGAGAGATTACCGAAGTAATACGGCCAACTTGCGCAGGTACAGACACTTCGGGTCATGAGATTAATGCAGCTATGCTGAATCATCACTTCACTAGATAATATATCATTGAAACTGCCAGATGAATGTAAAAATGAAGAGCTGGAAACTGGATTTGAGCAGGAGGCCGACGGGGTGATTGAAGTTCGGAACGATATCATCACTGAGGATCGCGGCAGATCAACAGGGACATGAGTGAACGGGGATCCAATCGCGAACGGTGTGGCAACTCCTGACAACGATGGGATCACAGATGACAGACTAGTAGATACCAGCGAAGACACTCCCATATTTCTAAATATGCAGAAGAAGATACGATCGTTACTGAGGGGACTAGAGACAATCGTCGCAAGACGCAGTCATGAGTGATGCTACTGCCGTAGAAGTAGAGGGTATTGTAGGTGATGATATGCGGATGGCTCTTAAGGTATAGAAGAAGTAGTGCTCCCTGAAGTGAGCATCGTGGTTGAGGGGGTCGTTGATATCTCCTCTGAAAGTAACGTCAACGGTAATGTTTTAGTGATAATGCAAGGGTTGGTAGTATAGCGTGAGACAGCCTGCATGCTAGAGGCAGCACAAACCGTAGAGAGATCGCCAGACATCATATAGCAACAGCGGGCCGAGGTCCTCTAGTTAGCACGGTCGCATGAACAAGATTGATAGCAGTATAGGTAGCAAGGATAAACCGATGCGATAGCGACAGATAGCCAGGTGCTGCCGCCAGTCAAGAAGACACCCGAACACCACTCTTGCCAGTAGTAGCCATACGTCGATCACAGCCAATGCGAGGATCAGAATGGGTTGGCGTATGTAGATGGAGTACAGGTCGTTGCGGTGGTGATCACCGCAGAGGTGCTGGTGACGGTCTTGGTCACAGTATCGATGCTAGATCTTGCTGAACCCATGCAGAGAGCAAAATCACCCATCCGGAACCGATCATCATGATGGCCGAGAAGGGAAGTGGGAAGGTTTGTTAACCTGAAAATCGAGTGGAAGGCAGAATTCTGCGCGGCAAAAGGGGCTCTGAAACCAAAGCCGTGAGAGATGATCATTTTTTAAAGCACGAGCGCTCACTCCCCATGTATTGGTATTTACGCAATGGCAATTGAGTCAAAATGCAGGTACAATAACAACCCAAGCATACGCGTCCCTGGCTGATGTGGGACCCTTAGAACCAGCAAGAGGGAAATATAGCCGACCATGGGCAATAAGCTCTCGTACTATAAGTAGCATTGAGCAAGAAGTTCAAGCCGAGCAACCAAAAAGACATCGAAGGTGTCGGGTTTTGCACATTTATATTGAGGATAAAAACCTAGTAAGGATCAGCCACATCGACTGTTTTTAGCCCAATGTATATCCTACCAAGCATAAAGCTTACTTTCAATATAAAGTTTTTTGATGGATGATAGGTAAAAGCTATATCACAGCGATATCTTCTAGCGAGCACTGGGTACTAGCCAGATGAAAGTTAACTTGGTTCAAAGTTCAAGATACCCATTGACTGAAATAAAGTCGTTCCGTTGAATTTCAAGGCCACAAGTGGTTCCAAGAAGATATATACTTGGAAATTGCCGTACCACTCTATGGAAAGGAGGGCGATAAATGCCATAGCTGTATTGATTAGTAGTCCATCCTGGCAGGACGAGTGGGGGCTGTAAAGAGCATCGACTCAACGCGCATCGATATGAATCTCATACTGAAAGGCCATTTACATCATAGCAAGACAAAATCGTGAAAAAGGTATCTATAGCGGTGCATTGATATCCCAGGCGGCTTGCAGCCACGTGATTAAAGGAAACAGTCTAGGTGGCACTTCCGCCCGGCAGAATAATGTTCCGCCCCGGATGACGGCCGCGCCCCAAGGACTGATGTTCATTAGTTAGTGAACCCGGAGCATCATCATAAGCAATCACGAACGGCCGCAGCTGTCCGGACTCGAGAAAGGTCCACGCAACCCCCTGAAGATGCAGTCATGATTTTACTGTCGCCTTTCGTACTATGACATCTATGCAACTGCATGGTTTTATTTTTTCCCCTTATTCATGTTCCATGCCGTATAATCTCTGAGCACCCTTACCATATCTATTTGCTCGTCAGCGATCGAAGTAAGTTCATTCCCTGCACATCATGGGAGGCGAAGATAAAGGCTTACATGCGCTCTTATCGTAGTATCTGAGCATTAGCAAGCGATCATGGCACACATGGATGCGGCGGCCGTATGGAACCCGGCTTTCAGGTCGAATGATGATATCCCTCCCGTGACGACTCCCACCAATGACCTCGAGATCGACACCGCGATAGAAGCCACTACCATACCTCTTGGCTCACCTATGGAAACTCCTCATGACGTGTCCTTTGGCGACGTACTTTCTCCGACAACCGACTATACTAACGGCACTCAGGAAGCGACAGCGTCAGATGTAGGCGGGCCCGGACCTTCCACGAGTGACGATCAAGAGCCAACCCAAGATATATTGGTCGCAGGGTCACATGTACACGACACACAAGAAGAACTGGTTACCGCAGATGGCAAAGTCATTGAACCAACGGAAGAGTCAGTCGGTGAAAATGGAGACGCGACCATGAACATACACAGTAACCCGGGCGGAGAACATGTCGCAGACGCCCAGCCAACGAAAACTGGTGAAGAAGAGACGCAAGTGCCTGAGGGAAATATCAATGAGACGGTAGAGTCAGGCAACATCACGCCCACAGGTCCCACTGGTGCATACCGTGGAGACGAGCTTCCGAGCACCAATGGCGGGATCCAGAGCAGCCATGATATCTGGGGAAGCCCTGCTCAAGAGGAACCTGACGAGGATGACTTCTTTAATCAGCTGAAGACGCAGACAAAGCCGATATATTTTTCGCCGGAGACCGAAACTAGGTTTGAAGAAGGCGTGCCGTTGTTGAATAGGGGTATTGATTCGTTGATCGGGCCCCCCCAGACCGTGGAGAGCCGAATTGATAACGTTTTAAAAGACGATGAAAATGATGAAGATGGGGTTTTTAAGTCTGTGCCAGATACGACTTCCCAACCGAGTCCTGAATCTCATATTACTCGCAAAAGCACGTTTCAAGTATTGGATTCGTTAGGTCTATCACAAGACTCCACGGTCAATGCTGTCGACCCGAGCGAGCAGGGATTCGAAAGTGTTTTTACCGCAGCAGACCCACAGGAGTCCTCATCTCAGGCTCCTGATCCGAACGAGCAGGAATTAGAGAGTGAATTGGCCGCACCAGGCTCACAAGAATTCGCAGCCAATGCAGATGATTTGAGCGAGCAGGAGTTCGAACATATTTTGTCTGCAACTGGCCCAGAGAAGTCTGGAAATGCTGCTGATAGAAGCCACCAGGAATTCGAAAGCGCTTTAGCTGCGGCAGGTCCACTGGAGGTTTCAACCAATCCTGTCGATCAGAGCAAGCAGGAGCTTCAGGGCGCTGTGGCTACAGCAAAGTCACAGTTCCCAGTTGATGCTGTTGATCCGAGTGAAAAGGAGTTTGAAAGTATTTTTGCTGCTGCAGGCTCACAGGACAACATAATCAGGAGCTCCTCGGACGATGATCTGGCCGCGCGCTGGCAGGCTGAGCTGTCTGAGTCTGACGAACCCGCCAAAGGCCTACCCTCGGAAGACGAGCTCGCAGCTCGATGGCAAGCAGAACTCGATGACGATGATGATGACTTGCTTTTCGGGGACGAATCGGCCGGAGGCTCTAAGCAACCGAGCTTTCAACAATTGCTTGGGAATCCTGCACCGTCTGCGCAACCGAGTCTGTCAAGTCCCTTTGGCACACCAGAGAACTCCGGTAGACCCAGAGTGCAGCAAAGCTCCTATGTGCCACATCAGCCATCCACTTCGGATTTGCTCGAAGGGATACCTGCAACGTCGATTGGCTACTTTGCGCAACAACAGCGCCCAACTGCTGGTACGAAGAAGGCCGAAAGTTTCGCTGAACGTGCGAAGGAAGGTTACAGGTCACCTTACGATCTCCCTGATGACCTCACTCGGCCTCGTCGACCTGTTGTTGCCAACAGGGCAGTCGTTACGCAACCTGGCGTCCCACCGCCGCCCCCGCGAAGCAATAGTCTTCCAGTCCCTCCACCGAAGGCATCAAGTTCAACACCTTCCATGCCCACACCTGGGACAGCGTCAACTACTACTGCCCCTGCAGCAAAGAATTTCTTTGAGGAGCTTCCTTTACCACCGCCTCGCGCACCTTCTCGCCCGGCAAGCACGGGGCGATATGCACCTGCTCCCATTGCAGGGCCAGCAGCTCCATCTTACTCAGCGCCTCCGCCACCAGTCAATCCGTATGCTGGCGCCCCCCCTCTTTCTCAGCCAAGCGCCGACTTTCCCCCCCAGTCCCAATTAGAACAACCTCAAAGAATAGACCCATATGCGAATCTTTTAACCCCAAGCGCTTCTAGTGGCACATCTGCCCCTCTCGCCGCATCGAGATACTCGCCGAAGCCACCGAACTTGCAAGATGGAGTCAAACCACCGGCCTCTCCAAAATACTCTCCAGCGCCTCCACCAGCCGGAGCTCCCCCGCCTGCTCGCAATCGCTATGCTTCACAGGCTCCTAGCAACCCTGGTCAAACCGTCACACTCCCGTTTCAGCCCCGTACTTCCAGCCCTCTGGCGTATCATGAGAAGGTCTCCTATCGACCCCAGCAAGGATTGGAAAAGCGGTCATCCTTGGATCATACGGCTTTCCCTCCCGCCATTAGTGTGCAATCTCAACCTGACCCTGCTCTCAACCCACTTTTCACACCTGGTGAAACTGCTATCGAAGCCACAATCACCGGCCTTGACGTAAGCGAAGAGAAAGCTAACATGCAATCAACGTCTCCCCCAAGAAATCAATACGCCCCAGCCGAATATGTCAACGAATTCACTCAGCGGATTAATCCAGCCGTTCAAGACAACGTACCGCCAATTTCTACACCCGCAGTCGACGAGCCTCCATTTATCCCGCCTCGTAGATCGATGACACAATCGCCTGGCCAACAAACACTTGGACCCCGTTTATCTGTGCCATCAGTTGACCCTCTCCAAAGGCCCGCCTCGGTTCATGGTTCTGGCTCACCTACTAGAGCCGTGAATCCCTACGCGCCAGCTCAAACTTCGCTACACAATCGCGTGCCCTCTCAGCAACTGGAATTTATCCCTCCCGTGGACGATCAGCAGTATGATCCCCTTGAACGCTGGAAAGGGGCACCGATAGTCAAATTCGGTTTTGGTGGCACAGTCTTGTCGTGTTTTCCCAAGCATATACCTCGGTATACTGCTGGCCAGGTGGCTCCCAGGATCAAGCCAAGCCCCGGGGAGGTGAAAACCTGCCAGCTCAATGATTGGATTCCGCCCTCGGAAAGCATTGTACGTCATCCAGGACCACTCAAGTCCAAATCCAAGAAGAAGGACCTTCTTGCTTGGCTTTCAAGTAAGATAGCCGCTTTCGAGAATGAAGGTATGCCGGAAAGTGCTCGACTGCTCCCTGATGGTCACAAGCGCTACGATGAGAAGGTGCTATTGTGGAAAGTTGTTCGTATCATGGTTGAGCACGATGGCGCTCTGGAAGGCTCGTCTGAGCTCCAGAAGTCCTTACGCAGTATCATCATCCCTTATCTACATATTAATGAGGCCGACGAAAGCTACGAAACAGGCTTTCGGCCAGTCAACGCTGCTCGTCCCATCGATGCGCCATCTCGTCCCGATGCTAGTGATTCTCAAGCCATTGAGTCGCTACGGAACAATCTTCTCATAGGAGAGCGCGAAAAGGCAGTCTGGGGTGCAGTGGATAGTCGCCTGTGGGGTCATGCAATGCTTTTAGCTTCGACTATGGATCGTTCCGTTTGGAAGCAGGTCATCCAGGAATTCGTACGACGTGAAGTCAGATCGACTTCTGGAACTACCGAGCCACTCGCGGCACTCTATGAGATTTTTGCTGGAAATGTCGAAGAGAGCGTCGATGAACTGGTTCCCCCGTCTGCAAGGGCTGGACTACAGATGATCAGCAAGGTAGACGGACATGGGTCTTCCAGAAACGCGCTAGAAGGCTTGGAAAGCTGGCGGGAGACACTCGGACTTGTCTTAAGCAACCGGAGTGCGGATGATCATCAAGCTCTTCTGGCTCTCGGGCGGCTGCTCTTGAACTACGGGCGTACAGAAGCTGCGCACATTTGCTTCATCTTCTCACGGGCGGCAGTATTTGGCGGCGTTGATGATCCTAAAACGAGCATAGTTCTCTTAGGGGTTGATCATCAGCGATCTTCTACTTCTGCGCTGCGAGATGAAGACTGCATCTTGCTCACCGAAGCCTATGACTTTGCCAACTCTGTTCTGTCGGCTTCTCCTAAGCCGCCGCTCCCCCATCTCTTGGCGTACAAGTTGACATATGCTTGGTCTCTCGCCGATCGTGGCCGTAAAGCAGAAGCTCAGCAATACTGTGATGCAATCGCGGCCACCGTGAAAGCAACAACCAAATCGTCACCGTATCACAACCAACACCTGTATTACGGAGTGGACGAGCTCTCAGCGCGTTTGAAGCAGTCAGCTAGCGATGGTGGGTCGTCTTGGATCTCAAAGCCCAGCATGGAGAAGGTTTCTGGCTCAATGTGGGCAAAATTCAACAGTTTCGTTGCCGGTGAAGACAGCGATGCTGCGTCCACTGATCCTGCGAAAGGTGGCGAGGCTGAAATAGGTCCGTTTGCCAAAATATCTGGCACACCTACCGTGAGCCGCTCGCCCTCCATGTCGGACATTTACGGAGTGCAACCAAGTCATGGCACTGTCCCGTCACGCTATCTGCCGAACAACCAACATGCCCCAACTTCTTCACCTGAGCAATTCCGTGGCAGGTCATCTCTCGACTCACAGAGATCCTCCTCTTACGGGTTTGGTCTTACACAGCGACGAGAATCGCAGGAGCCTTCAACGCCAGTCGACAATGGTCCATATCAGGCCGGAATGTTCTATAACTCTCCGCCGTCAACTGCAGGCTACCAGCATACACCCCCTCAATCTTCTTATATTCCTCTGGCACCGGTCGAGGAAGACCTGGTCTCTCAGCCCCAGACCAAGGCTTCGTTTGCTCCAGGCCCAGGTTCACCAAGTACCGTGTCTCCTTACCAACCCCCTGGGTATGGATCCTTTGGCCAGCCCCTCCATGAGACTCCATCTGTTGTCTCTAATGCGGATGAGGGTGGCTACATGCCTCCAGTTGGTGGTGGCGGCTATGAACCGCCCGCAGATTCCAATATTGCATCTGAATCGGAAATGCCCGAGGAACAGAATAATGAAGAGCCTGTGAAGAAGAAGTCTTTCATGGATGACGATGACGACGATGATATAGCTGCTCGGGCCGCTGCAATCCAGAAAGCGGAAAAGGCGCGGAAGGACCGTGAAGCAGATGAAGCCTTCCGGAAGGCCGCAGAGGCCGATGGTGAGTGGGCCTACCACTTCGTTGATTTCTCTTTGACCCTTATACTAACTTTGTTGTCGTAGCCAAGCGGGCTGCACCCGCCAAGAAGGGATGGTTCGGCGGTTGGTTCGGTGGGAAGAAAGAAGGCGAGAATGCCGGAGGGGGCCCTATCCGAGCGAAGCTTGGCGAGGAGAGTTCCTTCTACTATGATACTGAGTTGAAGAAATGGGTCAACAAGAAGGATCCCAACAGCGCAACTGCGGCTCGTGCCACGCCGCCGCCACCACGAGGATCGGCGCCCCCGAGCCGAACCGCCAGCGGCAGCAGCGGCGCACCACCGCCACCTGCGTCAAGCGCATCTCCGATGCTGTCCGGTGCTGGTAGCCGTCCCTCATCTGCTACAGGTGCCAATCCTCCGCCACTTACTGGCAGCCCAGCACCACCGTCCGCCCTGGGTGTTGCGCCTCCAATCCCGCGATCGATCTCTACTGGTGCCGCTGTTCCTACACCGCCCAGTGCTGGCCTAACCGCCCCTCCCCGGCCTGCGACCTCGTTGAGCAATGCTAGCTCCATCGACGACCTGCTGGGAGCACCACAAGCACGCAAAGGGCCTGCTGCCAAGGGGAAGAAGAAGGGGCGTTATGTCGATGTCATGGCTAAATGATCTCCTATTCTTTCGCCGCTTCACGTCCCGTACCTCAGCTTCGGACCTTATTTCTGGGACATTTTTCTTTTCATTTACCTAATACTTTTCTTTTCTCATAATGTCTAACGATTCCTCTTTGTCGGACCCATTCGCCAATTCATATTCATGCCATTGGACGCGTCCAAGCTTTGTCTAGTGAAAGTCGTCGTTCAGTTCGCTCAGGGGAAAAATAGCGTTGCATGCTGTCTTCTTCGAGAGTCAACATGGCCTTTTTTTTTTTCTTTCTTTCTTCATGGGACGGGACGCTCTTTCCTGCATGACTGGTTAATTCTCGTGTATATTAGACGTGTGCACATATGATTCTAGCTTCCGTCACCATGTTGTTTGCTACCAATTTACCATTTGATATGAGAATCGAACAACATGCCTTTTCCGTGCACATGTCTAGCACTTTCTTGGTTAAACGCTCGTCTAATCTTTGAAAGTAATGCATTATGTAGCGCCGGTCTAAATGCGTACTCAACAGTGACAAGCTTTATATTACAAAGCAGGTATAGATGAAAGCCGTATACAGATTCCAAGGAGATTCGTGATCAGATTTCGAGACATAGACCCTCGCCGGATAGTTTCAAGCCGCATATGAGTTGATATAGTACTGAAGAGGAATGATTAGCCACGCGTCGGCGCCACAGTCGATAGCCTTGAACCTACTGTTAGACAAGAGTCCTCTTCGTTGAAAGTCCCTGGGAGATAGACGTATAAAACAAGTGCCGTCTCATGGACGAAACCTAGAGACAGCCTTAAGTCAGTAAGCGGTTTCCCCGCTGGCTTCCTCACATACTCAGGAAAGTTTGATTGAAGAGAAGAGCACTCACAAGCAACTACCCTGGGACTCAACCTCCCAACACTCAAAACGCGGCCCCAATCCTTCCCATCGATCCGCACCCGCGCCCACCCGGCCTCATCATCACCGGGCACCGCCCGCATTCTCTCACTCGGCAACCGCTCCATCTCACCCTGGGACAATTGCCCCGGATCCAGCGACGGGTTGACGAGGTCGGTCCAGACGCTCGAGATGCGGAGTGCATCCGTCGCGATGGCAAGCCGGAGCGAGCCGTGCATGTTGGCGGAGAGCTCGAGTTTCGGGCCGGTGAGTGAGGCCTGTCGTTTCGTGTGGTCCGAGGACCCGGCCGAGGCGAGTTTCGTGAACCGCTCCGAGATGCCTTTCAGCTGCACCAGGCTGGGCAGGATGATGTGCACGTCTGGGTCGCGGCATCGCGGTTCTTGGAGACCCTCGACGGCGGACTCGTGGAAGACTTTCACGGGGATTTCTTGCGTGATCACGGTTTCGCGTTCCCGGCCGGGGCGCGTGGGGACTACTGATGATGATGATGATGATGATGTTGTTGTTGTCGTTGTTGGGTCGGGGTGTTTGAGTGTGGACGGGTCGTGCGGGATCGTGTTGGTTGTTGCGTGGTTACTGCTCACACTCGGGGCTGTTGTTGGTGCGGTGATGCCCAGTGCGTTGGAACCGGGGGCCCATGACAGCGTGCGGATGGTCAGTGCTAGTAGCGGCACTCGGCCCTTTTGCGTGAGGCGGAGTTGAGCGGACTTCGCGTCGACGGCGGAGCGGAGCGCACGGTGGAGCGCGCCGATCGGCACTTCTAGGTTGATGACGCCGGATTGGGATTCTAGGATGTAGGTTGATTCGTCGAATATGGCGTCCTGTGAGTGTTTTTTAGTTGTTTGGTAGGCTTATTTATGGGGAGAAGGGGGATCTGAAGGGAGGTTGATTGCTCAAGCGATTGGTTTGCTGGTGGTCTAGCTTACAATAGGTAATTGCGCCCATACTTGTGTGCCTTGGTCGGGGATGATGGTGAAGCGGATGTTTCCTTCCTCGAGACGCATCCAACAGGTCTTGCCCAGAGATGAAAGAGAAGCGGTCAGTTCTGTAATGTGTGGATGTAATATTAGCTCTTGGATAGGCGATTATTGCAGTGTTGTGCCTCGGTGGTCGGGTCTAGGCCCGGAGAGCTCAAGGCGATATATGGCCCCAAAAGCCAGAACGCGGTGAACGGAGTACGCGACATGGGGAACATACTGGAGAAAGTCTCCGCGTTGGTGAGTTTCGTCCGGAAGCGCATGTTGTGTTATTGCATGATCTGGTGGCAGGTGGTCGCAATCAAGAGGGATGCTTGATTTGGTCTGGAAGTGATATGATGTTATGATGCTCGGCCGGTCGCTGTGGGGAAACGCGAAGAGCAAACAGCGCAAAACCATTTGAGGCCGTCCGCGAACTATACAGCGCCTTGAGTCCCTACCGAGTGCTGCTGTTATCAATCTTCCGACCTTCTCACAAAGTCATTCTCTCATCCTCCTCAATTCTTGGACTCCACCGCCGGAAACTTTGACCGACGATACTATCGATGACAGCCATGAAGTGTGTACGAACAGCGGCGGATTCCCAAAAACATGTTGACGCTTATACCAGCTATCGATGTTTTCACCAATTTTCCTAATCGGCCATTGGGCTCGGACGTGGGTCTGCTTCTTGCAAATTCCTTCATGACACAACATGATACAGCTTCTTACCCTGAATAGATTCCCGGCAAATATCACCCACGTGGCTCGCGACACAATGGCACCGTTCAACGAATAGCTTGAATAGATTGAACACTTGTGAATGCATTCCTTGCTACTTCCCTTACAGGCCTCGGCTGCTCGAGTCCCAGATTACTTTCTCTTACTGGTAGGACATCTTGGCTACCTTACTGTGCTAAGGCGTGCCTTTCCTGGACCCCTCCAGAGAAGGGAGGACAGCTTTCGTGTTATTGGCCGGTCTGACGACTGGCTAGCATCCCTTCTATAAAGGGTTCGCGATCCCTAGGTCTAAAAGAGATGGAAGGCGAGTGACCTCAATATCCTTTGCCACGGCAAATCTTCTACTGTTCCGCAGCCTCTCCTTTTTTTTTCTTCTTTTTTTTTAATCCTTTCTTCCCTTCCCAGTATCCGGGTCAAAGATGATTCCAAACCAGTCAGTTTTGTCTTTGAGACTCCTTGCGCAGCGAATTTGGGCTCTGCAGATCAAAGTCAACATTACCTATTAAATTTGGGCTGTCAAGCATAGTAACTTATGGTCGCAAGCGTGGTAAAGTTTTAATGGATATGCAAAATGTGCCGAAGCAATCTCAAACGCGGTCCATAGGTTATACCCAAAGACTTCGACAAATGGAACAACCGCGAACAACAGCGGCAAAAGAGCTAGAACGGTCTCAGATATGAGATATGGTATGCAAGGGGTGTCGATCACCGAGCTACTTTCCGAGGGGTTTTCAAACCCCAAGTGGCCCTAGAGGAACGACAAGGGCAGCTTGCGGATAGCTTGGAACACATTGCGAGAGAGACGGTACCTAGCACGACCACTCCCAATCACTTTTCATGGAAGCTTATGCACAGGCTTCCACGCATTATGGAGTGGCCTTGGAAAGGGGAGAGGATCCATTCTCGTCCGCCCGGTTCCGAAGGCAGAGACCTGCATGGAGACGGAGCTCGTGCGTGAGACGGCAGTGATGTTCCTACAATAAATCTACCGAAGACTGTACGGATAAGTATGTCGTACAGAACAGTGTGCATTGATCTTGACAGATCCTATCAAACATAAAGGGAGGCAATTGATAAATGGAGGAGGTTGGAGTGGAGGACAGGAGAGACAGTATGGAGAAGGACATCAGACCCTAGACACACAAATATGATAAGAATGGAGCTGCTGTCTGCAGCTAGACTAGGGTTAGGAATGAGATATTTTTATTACATTATTAATAATAGGTATTAAAAGAGAGTGAAGTGACAGTGCAGTCAGTTGACAGTGAGCTCCATAATTAACACTCAGCAATAAAATGATCTGAAGTGAAGCCCCCTATTATTCCTGACGCGGCTCCACTCCAGCACTCCCGTGTCGCGCGGCCAACTGACGAGAGCTTCTCCATCTCTTCTTTCTTTCCCCCCCCATTCCCGCTGTCCACGCCAACACTCATTCTTACCAACTCACCTCTGCATAGCTCGCCCCATCTCCCGGTCTTCGAATCATCGTCGCCACCTTGTCATTCTCTTGGGTCAAGAGCTGGTCTCCTGAGATCGAAATCTGAATCATCATCCCAACTCTCGTTATCATTGCGCTTCCTGCAGCCGCCCAACTCTCCCTAACTTCCCTCTAAGCCTGTTTTTGGCTCCTGCAGTGTGATCTATCATCACCTTCACTCAGCATCATCCCACAAGATCTCAGAGACCCCCCCTCTTGTCCCTCCTCATTAATTTCCGCCCGATCTTTATCTACCTCTGGCCCTCATACATTCTTTTCACCATTGGGTGCATCATCAACCGTGTCGGCCTGATTCGGACTTCAATTCCTTCCCTTGACCTCCGCATCCTCCCGTCTATTACGACATTGCGGCTCATCTCCAACCAAATTCAACCTCCTCCTCCTCCTCCTCCTCTTCTATAGACTTTGGCGGGATCGCGTCAGCATGCTTGCTCTTCAGCTATATTCTCTCTCTTCGACTTTCGATATCGCGACTCGACCTCCATCACTTAGACCTCACTATTGATCTTTTGCGACAACTCCGCTCTGGTCCTATTCCGGCGACTGCCGCTCTCTCCCGACATGGCCAGTAGTCGCCTCGCTTCCCTTCCTCCGCCAATCCAGCATACCAATCTGGCGCGGTCTCGATCTCCGGCCCGACCTGTCCCCGATTTTGAACACATTGATCCCTTACTCGGGAGCCTTTCGCCCGAATCGACTCTCCAAGCGCTTACCTCCACCAACGCCGTACCCAAGAACGAACAAGTCGCCCACGATATACTGTCCCGAAGCATCGCTCAAGTCTCTCCAGCAGAGAGAGCCCTCGCAATTCGCGCCGCAGTTGTTGCTCAGAAGTTAAATCTGTGGTATAAAGAAATCCAATCATGGAGTTGGCCAAAACAGACCGATGATGAGAAAGGACGGGGGTTCATACCCCCTTCGGACGCTACCGACGAGGAATACTACGGTAGCTTGCCTGCCGCTGTGGTGGAAGAACACGAGAAGCGAATTGAGGAAATTCGAGATGGAATGGACGTGCTAGATATGGACGAGCTCAAAGAACACGTTCTCAACGCCCACATTCCAGCTCGGTCTCGGCCTTCGTCAGCAAACAGCAGCTTATCTGTTCCACCCCCACTGTCCTACGTCCAATTGAGTGATTTCACTACCGTGATTACTGCCACTATTCTCCGCGCTCTCCCTCTTCTATCGCGTCTCACGAACCTGCTTTCCATCTGGGCCGTTCGTCTGTTGGTCCTGCGACAAATTCCCGCGTTACTTCGCAGCTTGCGCCTCGCGCGCTCGGAATTGGAGGCTGCCCTGGACCTGTTAAAGTCTTCCAACCCTCCTAGTGAGAAAGACCCGTTGTTTTCCCGGTCCAACTACCATGCAAAGCGCGCCCAGCTGGAAGCCACCGTTGTGTCTGCTGGTCGAAGATTGGATTGCGTGCTTGATGCTCTAGATGAGTGCGAAGATTCTATCCCAGACAACTGGATTGATGATCTTGAAGGCATTGAATCAGAGTTCGGTGCTTGGACTATGGATGCAGAACAACGTACCGTTGCAAACGAGTGGCAGCGCATGGCTACACTTGCCCAGAAGGGTGTCAATTTTGAAATAGGCAGGGACACGCTGAAACAAATATCTACTGACACTCCTCACGATGGGAATGAGTCTATCAGTGCGTCTGGTCCGGTTGTACAAACAGGTCACTCCTTCCCTATGGAAACCATCGACGAAGAAGAAATCAATACACCTGTTGAGGCTACGCCCTCAGTCCAAGCGCGGAGCGACCTGGAAAGTGCTGGTTTATCTTCGGTCGTTGAGTCGACGCCTTCAGACGTTGGCTGCAGTATTTCACCTGCCCTCGCGGACGTGACCAACATGCCTGCTGGGCTGATTTCCAGCAACGTGACACCCAACATTTCACAGACGTCTATTGAATCGATGACTTGCCCGGTCCCTCTTGCCTCCTCTACAACCAGTGTGGAACAAGTAGAAAGTGCCCAACCCCCAGCAGTTGCACTTGTCTCCATTGGCGTGGGGAACCTCAAAGAGAAGCCCTGCATGCCAGGTCTTGAATGTGATCCTGACAATGAACATTTACATGATGAGTCAACTCACACGCAAGACCCATTGGATCGCTACATAGTACCGCAAATCGGGCTCCCTATGGCAGAGCGAACATCCTCAGCGTGCGAGGGAAGCGCCTGGCCTCAAGGGACTCGCTCCAATGAAAAAGAAATCGAGTTTAGATCTGACGAACGGGAGGACAATCCACTGTCCGTCAAGCAGGATATGTCATCACGCACAGAAGAATCCGGTTTACCTCCCGAGAGTCACAGGTCTCCCTATCTTTCGCTTCACGATGATAACCTGCAACCACCAAGCAGCCCGCAGACGGACACTGGGAGCGTAATCATACGGCGGGCCGACAGTGCATCCATGTCTCCTCAAAACGAGGGAGTACGCGACCTCGAATGCGAAGAAGCCAGTTTGCCTCATCCCACAAACTCAAATACTAGCCCCATGGCTCATCGAAGTCTGCCACTTTCATCGATTATCGACGAAGAACCCGCATTTTCCATTGGGATTGATCAGCTTGCACCAGTCGAAATCCCGACAACAAAGCCCTTTGATCGGACAAATTCAGTGACTGCCTCTGGCTCGGCTTCTGGCGGAACCTCAGCTGAATCGGTAGTTGCAAATAGCGACGAGCAGGACCCTGGCCAGTCTTCTCCCTTTGCTCAGAAAGAAACGAATGACGATCCCACTCCAAAGAAGCCTCTTGAGAGTCCGATCAAATTGTCTAAATCTCGACCTGGTCCCTTGATCTTCGAGAAGGATCACGTCGGCTCTCACTCTAGACGCATGTCGATCGCTTCTTTAATCTCAGACTATCCATCGCTTGTATCAAGCCCAGAGATGCGGGAACCACATACCTCTTCATCCAATGGGACGCCGTTGCTTCTCGAAACCCCTCCGCCATTTCAGGCAGGTTATCATTCCTCTGATCCTGTAGCACCGGGCAGCGACCATACGTTAAGAGAAGACCGCCTCTTCCGTCTCGACAGTCAGAAGGCGTCTCCGCGCACAGATTTCCCCCACAACAGAAATCTTAGTCTTCCCTTGCAGCGCTTTATCAATGAGCGTTTAGAGTTAACTTTTGGAGAAGAGAGCAGCGGGGGATTTGAAGGCGCTACAACTCGTGAAAGGGCTTCAGACATGTTTATTGACTTGCATTCTGGTCTGAAAAAAAAATCTCCTTTACCGCATCAGACTGGTGAATCCTTGACCTCAGGGAATAATACGCAACGTTCCGCCACGGAGTCACCCGACGTTACTCGTGAAGGGAGCGGCAAACAAGGAACGGATGGCCTGGCAAGGACACTTCGTGAAGCTTGGGAACATAGCAAAAATCCTGGCTCAGTCCTACAGGCAGCGCCTTTAGAGCATTCAAGCACGATGCGGCTGAAAAGACAATTGACATCACATCCTAGTCTGGAGAGTATCGGAGCATACAGGTCGGAAGCTCGATCTAACGATGATCCTTCATCGATCCCGGGCTTCCTCAAGACTGCGTCGCGGTCTTCTACTCCAACCACCCAGATGAGAAAACCCAGAGATCATTTGGATGAAAAAATATCCTCTATTTTGACTGCCATCGATGCTCGTATTCACTTAGTGTCCGCGGATGGCCGCGAGCACGATGGACAGTCGACAACAACATCATACCCCTTGAAGCAACGAGAGCGCTTTCGCTCCATTTCCCCCCAGGGCTCACCAGCTCGTAGCAGCACACCTACCCCGTCGTTGACCATAACGCCCGCTGTTTCGCGCCGGCGCTATTCTCATGCACACGCTCCAGAGGAGAGCTCCGTGAAGCTCTATCACCTGCACCGGGGCGGCAAATCTGCCCCAACCAAGCTTTTTGTACGGTCAGTGGGCGAGAACGGAGAACGCGTTATGGTTCGGGTTGGCGGTGGATGGGCAGACCTGGCAGAATACCTCAGAGAATTTGCCGTCCATCACGGACGCCGACATGTTTCGGACACGCCGCGGGTTGAGGTTCAGGGGCTTTCTACCCGTACGTCTCCCACGTCTCCACCCAGAAGTAGACTGGCACCTGCTGCTAATGGACGGAGATCCCCGTCACGGCCCCCATCCGTCCTCAGTAATCGACCATCGTCGTCTTTGGCTGTACGCAAAACTCGGCGTACCTCCAATGTGTCGGATATGACTGAGTTCCGCACCGCCAACACCGGCGATGCGCTGAGTACGTCGTATTCACCCATGTCGACTGTCTCTTCGCGGCGTCGACTGTCAGTGTCGTCTAATGCTTCGATGGGCGCGTCCTCAGCGAGCGAATTCCGGCATGGGTCATCGTATTCTCCTACCAACACCGCCGCAGGCAGTAACGCCCACTCTGTCCCTCTCGGCCTCGCAGGGCCGCGTCCAAGACACGTTTCGATCAGCGCCGAGAGTGAGGCATGGGTCGAGGACGTGCTCGGACAAGCTCGAAGGAGCTCATCCTTGCGCCCGTACACATACGGGCTCGCGCCTCAGGAGCCGGAGCCTGTTTCCGAACGGGCGCCTCTTATGATATCCAAATCTCGGAGTATCAGCGACTTAGGCACTGTCGGCTCTAGCCGACGTATCGCTCTTCGCGGACTCGGACGGCGTTAACTTGGCCCACTCCCTTTCATCCCTACTACCGCACATACACACTGACATACTGATCATCCGCCCTACCCCTTCCCGCCTCTTCTACCTCTACCTCTTTCGTGATTATCTGCTCTTTCTACTAGCACTGGCGTTGGCCAATACCTGGGTCTTTTACATGTTGGGTTTGGTGTCTCTAATAAGAGGCAGGTGCATCACAAAAAGTTAGGCATTGTTTGACTTCATTCCCATGATGTCTTGGTTGCATTTGCATTAGCAAGGCGAACAGGTCCTTTCGTTCTTTTCTTATCTTTGTGTGTCTCATCGACACATGCCAGCCTTCGTTTCTGATCTTGATATCGCCTCCTGGTTTGGTGCATCAGCAGCGGCTACTTTACTTCGATTCGTGTGATTTATTTCATTTTCACTTGTTTTACTTTACCTTTGGGAAGAATCCTATCTCGCGCGGGTCCTGGTTGATCCGCCATATCAGCTCTTGTCATCAGAGTTTCGGTGCTCGAATCGATGAATGATTATCATATTTGTGATTCATAATTTTCCTCTCGTAATCCACTTAGTATGTTGGGGCATGTTGATAAAGCCGTGCGCGCCGCCCCCCCCCCCCCCCCCGGGCCCCCAGCACCCCACAGTAGGCATTAGATCAAAGTACAGTGTCGTATCAACAGGACGTTTCAGATTTATCAGCGCCATGCTTACAGTTGAACGTTGAAACAGCCCGGGAAAATTGACCCAGCATGTGAGCTCAGCATGCCTTTTAAATGCTGGTGGAGTGTGGAGGAACAGTCAAAATGTCCCCTTGTCGCGTTCCGCCGGAATTTCCGCTCCTTCCTACTCTGCACCACCGCAGAGCAGTCCGCGTTGGAGTAAATGAAAGACATCGCCTACACGATTTGAGCCCATCACCGTCGTACGACTCCGCGCAGGGATCATTATTTTAAAGGTGAGAATCAAAGAGAAAGATAGTATCGAATACAACCAGTCCTATACAATTGCCACCCACAAGATTGTTATATCAAAGTAACACACAAAGAAAATGAGTCCAGGTATATGTAAGAAAGTAAAAAAAGAATCAACCTGCAAAGAGTGTAGTATCCTATGCCCCTAAATCCGGTTCCCATAGAAAGGAAACAAAACGCTAAACCCATGCAAAAAAAAAAAAATAGTAAAATAAAAAGGGTAAATCCGTTCAAACCCACTCGATAACATACATAAACGCTTCACCCAAGTAGCCGGTCAGCAAAAGCCCCTGGGCATACTCGATGAGTTCGTGATTGGGGAGGTCCAGGGCTTGAAATCGCTCCTTTTCGCCGGAGCCGCCGCGCACGCGGACCCGTTTGTCGATGACGGAGCGGAGCATTTCCTTGCCCGGTGTTATGAAGACGTAGCGCGCCTCTTTGTGGTTGTTTATATTCGATTCCGAGGGAGGGACGTAGATGATGGAATCTTGGCGCTCCGGGGAGATCCAGTTGACGCCGGTGGATTTGCTGGACAGCGGGGCGGTGTTGCCGGGGTTGGGACTATGTTGAGAGGGCGGGAGGGCATCTAGAATGGTGTAGCGGATGTCGGAATCGAGGGAGAAGAGGATGATGGTGTTGGATCTAGAGTTGAGCTTCATGCGAAAGGTGGTAAAGTTGCGAGGGTCGAGGTAGAAAGTGTAGCTCGTTATGATGTTGACGGGCTTTGTGCTATCGAGGTTGCGAATCTTCGAGAGAGCTTGGTCGCGGGTCGAGACAGGGCATTTAGGCTTCACTGCCAGAGATTTAGATTCTCTGAGCGAGACAGAAGGAATGCATAGTGCAAGGTGGGTGTTTATGCCGGATTTGTGGCACGGGTCGCTGCAGAAGCGAAATATCTTGCACGCTGTAGTCACTGTTAGCTTTGAGACTTTCATGCTCAGATAACACTTACTGTTGCAGAGTACGGTGGTGGAAATCCCACAGTTTTCACAAGCTGCTGGTTCATGTAGGCACCACTCTTTTCTCTCGGCCGCGAGTGTCTCCCGTCGACGATTGAGTTCTGATATTCTCTTCTCGGCGTATCTTATGCGCTTCCGGGAGTGGTGATCCTCCGATGTTCTGCTAGCCATGTGCACGAGTTGCTTGTACGCAAGGATGGCCTTGTCGACAGAGTCGAGGTGCTCCCACGAAACACAAAGCGCGCTGAGAGCATTGAATGTCTCCGGAGCCTCAGGTCCTTTAGCAGCAAGGAAGTCTTCGACCAAAGCTTCAAATAGGTCAGCCGCATCCCGGTTGAGGCCGGCATCCATATATGATCCTCCCAAGCGGTGAACAACCCTCAGTGCATCCGGATCCCGCGAACGTTGATAATGGTCGAGAATATCCTTGATCTCCGCCGGAAAGTCGAAGTTGTCGGAGCTTTGGAGAAATCGAACCACCGCCTCCCTCGTGATGGGGCTGACGATACCAAAGAACGATCTGCAGTGGGGAATGGTGCGCTCACAAATCGTCCGCGACTCCTTGTTCAGCCCGAGCTTCTGGTAAAGGAGAGACAGCTGGTTCATGGCGTTCAAAGTCGTTGCGTTCTGAAGTCCAAAGACAGTTTCAAGCGCAGGAACCGCCTTTTCAAGCAGAAGCAAGGCGGATTCGAGATCACCGAGAAGAACCTTCAAAGAAGCAAGATCTTGCATGCTGCTTAATGTGTCCGGAGCGTTGTGTCCGAGCGTCTTTAGTCGGCCTGCAAACGAGCGCTCATAGAGAGCCGACGCCTCTGTAGCATATCCATCCTTCTCGCAGAGCGCGCCCAGACCATGGAGGAGCGCGAAATTTCTGGGGTGGTCGCGACCATATGTGCGTTTGTAAAGTCCAAGGGCCTCAAAATAACATGATTCTGATTCTGGAGTCATATCAAGACCGTGATACGCCTGCCCCAAAGCATGTAGCATTGTTGCTCGTGATTGTTTGTCAGTATCCAAGGATGGTGTGTCTTCAAGAAGTTTTAAAGCATCATGATATTCAACCACCGCTGCTCGTCCATTCCCTTGCTTCAGCGCTGTCTCAGCACGCATCCTGGTGTTTAGCATACGGGACCAAGCATTCGCAGACGATAGCTCTTCTTTCATGTGTAAGAAGACCTGCGCAACCTCGTCTATCTTGATGATTCGCTGGCGACCAGAAGCATCATGAACGACAGCTCCACCGTTGATGTATTGAGTATGAATGAAAACATTTTGGGAGTTCTGTAACAGGGCGATATACTCAGCGTCTGTGCCAGACTCGTGTTTCGGCTCCGATGACTCTTGCGTGTGTGCATCTATAGAGTCTCTTTTGCTTGTGCGTCCTGTTGCTCGGCTTTCACTTCGAGTGTATTTCGTAACAAATGAGAAGCGTATCGTGTTCGCTTTCCGGATGAGTTTCTTGCCCCGGTTGCTGGCAGAGCGTGCTCGTGATACCCCTATTGACCGTAAGCACTCATTCTGGACCGCGACTTTCGCAAACAAACCCTTTGGCACTTTCCGCCCAAACAATCTTTGTAAGAAGGACTCTCTTCGAGACGATGCAGGCTTCGTTTTGTGGTCATCCGTGTCATTCATCATCTCATCTTCAATGGCAGTATGCTGTTCTTCATCCTCACATAGGTTTCTCTTGGCCTCAGTCAACGAAGCGTCATTCAGTCCTGAAATCATGGTTAGCTTAGTTTTCGTTCCCAAGTACTCAGACCATGTGAGTATACCATTCGAGGCAAAGCTCATTGCCGACTGATCTAATTGGGAATCATTAGAGCTTTCCATTGGGTGATATATGCCATTCGGTGCGTGGACTGTGTCGTTAGCAGTAATTCGAACCAAGCACATTGAACAATTTTACCTCGTTCCAAATCATAAAGGCCGGCGAAGCTGATCGCAATCAACTCATCTTCATCACTCGGTGATATCTCTAGTCCAAATCAGCATCGGAGGTTCTCGTATTCAGAGTGGAAGAAAAGCTGACGGACTTCGAAATGACCAGGAATCTCGCAACTTCTTCGCTTTTCTAGTGAATGACTGCTGATCCAGATTCGTGCCTGGCGAGACCGGAAATTTTGAGCCCATCGATGGCCTTTGAGCGAGGCTGGGACTCCGGCTGTGTACGTTTCCTCGCTCTCTCTGAACGTCGCGGGGGCTGATGTCGTCTCGGGGGTCGTTCAATATAGGTTGATATCTAGAAATGGCATTAGAATCTTCTTTGATACAGGTACGCCTGGGTCAAGACTGACGATACATTGCACTTCTCTCCGCAATGCTTGCAATTCACGTATATGGGAGCATCTGTAACAGCTTGTTAGCTGTGCTCTAAAGCCAAATCGCCAACAGGGTGAATATCTTACTTGGTTGTCGTTCTGGTTTCTCATCCTCTTCACCAAAGGTGAAGATCTGGTCACAATAATCGCAGAAGAACCGAATGGGGCGGCATTTGAGGGGTATTAGACGTTTTTCCATGCGATAGCCTTTAGTGATCAACCTGAGACAGCACGCACAATCAGTAAGCCGGTTAGAGAGAGCACAGGAGGCGGCAGAAGGTACCGATCTCGTGTCATGACATATACGGCAACTGCGGTTCCTGGGCAGTATTTCGTCAAGTAGTGTTGCTTGAGTTCATTGCTGTGTAACAATTAGATCCTGCTATACCGTCGATTTCGGAATGGGAAGTCGTACTCAGAGGAGAACGTCGCATCACAATCAGGACATTTGATGTCCACAGCACCGAATGTGGCGCCATCGCCGTCTCGAAACGGCGGAAATAAACTCAAAACTTCTTGAAAGCTCTCTACTCCCGGTTCTGAGTCATCCACAGCGTCTGCCCGGGTCGGATTTAGGTTAGTTGCTGTTGCGATCCAGACCGTCCGTCATGTAGTGTAGGTAGCCCCAGGGGGGGGAACAGCGCACCACTTGTGGATCCGCCAGCCAATGATAACAGGACATCTGAGGCCCTCAATATCCGAGTCTTTGTTCCAAATAGTCTGCTGGGAGCACCGTGGGTTGTATTGCTGAGGATGATTTCTTTCTCGTATTGTCGCTTCGCATCCGTCTGTGACACTGGCGGATCGATGATGTTGCTAATCGATAAGAGGTGGCGGTTAGTACTGCAGCAGATACTAGGATATGCACCTTACCTATGCACCGTCGTATTTGTGTAGGAAGCATAATCTAAAGGCATGTTGAGCAGAAGAGAGAGGTCAAGGAGATGCGCGAAGGTGGGAGAAGAAGACAGAGATGAAGAGCGTCGAGAAATGACGACTGTTTCGTGTTTGACAGACAGAGTTGTAAGAGAAAATCTAAGCTTCAGCGCCCAGTGGGTGAGGCGTCATTTTCAATGAACTGGAGGATGGACGTGCTGGCGCGCGCATACATACTCCATACATATGCAGGTCAAACTCGGTGGATTCGTCCTTCTTTCCAGTAGCAAACGGCAGGGCCGCATACTTGGGTGGTTTCAAGGAGGAATCGGGGAGAGGGTCGTCTCTAGCGTAGTCGGGGCTCATCATCCCTCGCATGGTCATGTGGGAACGAAGTTTCAACAAAGTTGAAGACGATGAGCTGTTCTGGATGTTGTTGTTGTTGTGGAGTGGTGAGAGAAGGAGAAGAGTAAAAGAGGTAAAAGGAGGGGGCGATTGTCCCCGTCTCCTTCTTGCATCATCAGTTTCTTGAACAACTTCGTTGCTTTTTTCTCCCTCTCGTATTCTAACCTCATACAGACTCTTGAAGCCAAGCATTTGGGCGATGCCTGTCTGTCCCTCGAGTTCCCCTCGTTTCGCTCCCTTTCAATAACAGAGTGCGGCCCCCCTTGCATTGAGCTTCTCCCTCTAGGAGCTGAGATTCAATCAGCTCAAATCTTACAGCATTCATCGTTCACCGCATGACTGGAACACATGTTCGAACGTATAACCGAGCCAGATAGATCATATGCTGGGACTGCCGTGGTCCAGTCCATCTGTCATATCTTGGCTGGGACTCGACGCCGGAAATCGAGCTCTTCTTCCTCGTTCTGCGATCGTCGCGTCAGAGTGCGCGTTTCTTCCTCCGAAAGAAGAGTGATACATCACAAATCCGGGAGGGCGGGCCAGTTTTTCCAATAATTGGCCGGATTATAGGATAGCTCCAGCAATAGTCGTGTCCGGGCTTGGAAGCTTTCCAGAATCCGCTGTGGTGATCAAGTGCAGCAGTGGTTGTCCATTACTCTCTATCTAATCGGTAGTGAACGGGCCCGATCGAAACCTCGAAATCTCATACCACATTCCGATATATGCCTAAGAACCACGAATTTTGCCTCATGAGACAAATGCGCGGGTATCTGGAGCTAGAGCCCGCGAAGAATGAATACCAAAGGATGCTAGAAGCCACCACAATTCCCATTCTCACAAGGTTTGTGAGTGGGACAATAGTCGCGGAATTGGTCTGGGTGCCCTTTTCCACAAAGATTCCAAGGCTCCAAATTTGTCAAATGGGGCAGATTTAGACTTTAGCCCTTATCGCGTCATGCCGCCTGGGTCATCCCTCAGCAACTTTTGATTTGAAGCTGTCATTGATGATCGAGCCAATCGCCTGCATACACCACGCAATTGTTCGACGGTAGATCTCGGTTGACTGTGGATCTAAGCACGTCTCGGGCCTGTAAGGATCAGGGCCGCCTCATTCAGTCTAAGCCATGCACCACAAGGATCAACACCTGTGTCCTACAGATCCCCCGGCCTACACGTATTGACTTCGAAGTACGCAGTCGATGAAGTTTGCGTGCAGGGATGCTGAGAATAATGACGAGTGACGCTCAGCATGGTATTACTTACCTTTCACTGCCTCAAAGATGAATAATCCATCTATCCTTCTTTGAAGGGAGTCGAGGGATGTATTGTCAATCATCTCCCCTCCCCCCGTCTTTCATTTCACAACCCACACACTGAACCCTGAACCTATATATGGGTACAGAAGCAGTAATCTATTGGAGTCTCGAGAAGGTGAAGGACGCTGATCCTTATATAGCACGGCTTAGATCCCGACTGTTTAACCCTTAGGGCGCATGCTTGCAAATTTAGACGTGGAGTGACCAAATTTGGACATTGACCGACTGAACTTCCTCACCACGGCGGCGCATTATCAGGCGACGAAACAGATATGGCGAACTAATCGGCCCAATGACGATTTGCCAACATCCCGGCCATCCGAGCGAAAGGCGTGTAGATGGTTTCAAAGTCTCATAGAGGAGTCAATCAGCATGGCAGTGAGATGGCATGGCTTGTTCGCAAGCTAGGTTACTCTACTCACAAGAATGGCTTGTCACTTTGGTTTCTTGCTGTTTGTCCTAGATCAGGGTACCATCAACCACAGCGTTTCGTAAAAGCGCATCAGGCACGCCTTTCCGCTATGATCATACATACATCATATCCGAGGATATCTTTGAGTTACGCTTCCGCGACGGCAACTTATTTCATCCCTCATCAGACTACAGCGGCATCCGCATTCTTCAGAGTATTGGTGATTCAGCGCACCCAGTCACGCTTAGGATAATTATGTCCAAGGAGATACATTATAAGGGCAAGCTCATACGTAAGCTCTCGCATCTCAAGCTTCTGGTGATTGCTACTTGGTAATGATCAAACAATCGGCAAGAAGCCGCATAAGCTGGTAGGGGTGGAGCAACGCGGCTAACTTGTACTCTGTACTTTCCATATCTTCTCGACGGGTGGAAGCCCGATATAGTCGCTTGGTAGAAGGCTCAGAGTGCCAACAGTAGGTATTCCTCTTTCTACATGGTCGACTGCAGAACAGGGGACATTTCAGGAAGTCTATCGTCCGCATCGTGAATTCTGAAGGCGGGAGACTGGACTGAAAGCTGACATCAAAGGCTTATAGGCTTTTTTCAACTATGACAGGTTCTTCGTTTCATGTTACCCAATCATTACGCTAAAGCAGATACTAAAGATTGGTGAACAAAGGAAGGCTAACCGAACTCATGAAGCCTTTCTTCATGAAGCTCTCAAGAAGCGGAGGTCTTCATTTAGTTGGGTCCCTTGCATCCTTTGTTGACTGGATGAAGTATAGTTATAAATATAGTTATGAATTCCAGGTTTGTACCTCGTCACTCCATGTTTCCCTTCTCCGCCGACTGACAACAACTCGCGAGATTGATAACCAACCAAGTCTTGTTGTACACGTACTTAAAGGATACACTCAAAATGTTACGGGTCAATTTTGGGGCAGCCTTCGTCGAGTCCAGGCTAGAATGGGCAGAAGAGGAGGAAAAGAAACATCGGACATCTCCCGATCACCACGTCGAATCCTTGGCCTGGTATATCCTGACGTTTCCGAGAGCAATAACGGAAGCCCTGCAGGGTTTGCGTCGGGCCCGGGACGGCGTGAAGACGGACGCTACGCGAGGGGATTACACCTTTGGCAAGGCGCCCATGCACCCCGTGCACCCGGATTCCTCCTACCCGTCGTGGCTGCTGGACCGGGAGTACGCATCGCAAATCACGCTCCCCAGCCACGCAATCGGGTGGGTAAACAAGAAGTCCGAAGCAGATGAGATGCGGAAGCGCATGGACACGAGCAGAGACGCCTTCCAGGATTGGCTGAGCAACGAGGATCAGCAATTCTTCCATATCTCCGGCAAGCCGGGATCAGGAAAGTCCAAACTTGTCCACGACATCTGCATCTACGATGAGGTGCGGACGCGTCTCCTGTTCTGGAGCCGAGAAAAGAGCCTATTGTTCGGGAGAGTGTTCTATAAGTTCAACAACACTCCCAATGGAAGTAGTTACTGGACCATGATCCAGGGAATTCTTTGGGCTCTGATCCGCGAAGACCACCATCTAGCATGTTTTCTGTTTCCTGGGAAGTGGGACTTTCTAGAGTCCGCGGCCGATCGATTTCCTGAGTACTGGTACGATCCTCTTTATTGTGACCTCGAGCACTTTCCTAACCTGACTTTTAGCCGGGACGAAATATTTGCGGCCTGGTGTAGCCTGGTTAGAACAGATAGTATCTATGAAAAGCGCAAGATTGCTATTTGCCTTGACGGCTGGGATAAGCTCAAAGAAGACGACCAACCCCAGATGATCAAGGCTCTAAAGGCCTGGGTGCAGGCTAGGCCGCAGGATGTCAAGATCTGTATTACCAGTCGCGGCGAGAAGTTGTTCCAAGAGGCCTTTGGGTCGTGTCCTGGTTTCATACTGCATGAAGTCAACTACGCGGACATGGTGGCGTTTGTTCGTAAGCAAGTCACAGACAAGCGACTCGTAACTGAGCAGCTGGATAAGATCGCAACTCCGGATGAACAAGAGACCCTGGCGCACGAAATCGCTCAGGCGGCTGATGGGAGCTTTCTATGGTTGTCCAAGATGGTAAAAGAGTTTGTGCGCGGCCTTGAATCTAGCTCCTTGTCTGACCAGCTCACGCGCTCTCGCCTGGAACAACTGAAAGAGGAACAAGCCAAGTGTTCTGAGTTCTACCGTAACCATCCGGAATTGGACTCAGACTTAGGGTTCAATCCTTGTTGGGGAGAAGACCCCTATTCCTGGGCAGGGACTACGTCCGAGCCTATGTAGCGCTTTGATGTAATAACTCAATGGCCATAAGATCCATTGATTGATCTTTGTCTTTACATTTCCATCTATCTTCCTTTACTTAACTTTCGTGTTTATCGTTACTTTCCTTAGTTACCGTAGAAGAGACATAGCAGGGTCTGGATCATTGTACCTTGCAATTTGTTCTATGGCCACAGTCTTTACTTTGCTCTGTAAGCCAGCCACTATCAGGTGTATACGTGACCAAGTATCCCTGCAAGCGAAATACTTGCAACTTTGATAGTATATGTGAGTAAACCCAAGGTCCATGCTGAATTAAGCTTACGGCATCCGCTTCACCCTTAACTTGAGAATCAGAACCTGATAATCCATGCACTAGACCAATGCATTTAAGATGATAACTTATCTGAACCAGAAAGCACAGCCGACTGGACCATCACTTGTAGCTCCTCAAACACCAAAAAGCTCACAGTTAGCTGTAATTGGAACTAAGGCAATGGGGCTCCTCCCCCGCAAAGCACGCACATGACTCTGCACAGCAATAACCTGCCCAGGATATCGGATATCCCCTCACCAGATCATTACCAACCTCATTCCCCCTGCCTCACCCCCGAGGACTCCAACAGCAAGACTCCCGTGATTTGAAATAGTTGTGGCATTTGACGTTGACGGACTCGCAGCTGATTCTTGAGCCCCATGCTTCATATGAGCTGTTTTGCTCTTGTTCCAGGAGTTCCTGGTAAGTAGGCTCAGAACTGTGGTTGGGACTTGGAAAGTTAAATTGAAGGTAGAGTTGATTATGAAGTGACAGTCTACAGGTCTCGCTTATCTCGTTTGACTTCAAAACATCGATTTGGCTGATTGACTACATCAAGAGAAATCTCATAAAGATTGCCGTATAGCACATCGTCAACTAGCGATACGTCTAGAAAAGCATGCAGAGCCAGTGGTATCAAATCACACAACGAACGCCAAGGCTGATAAGCAGACTCCAACATGCAAGTCGGCCAGATGACTGACAGAGATAGTTACATTGTACGTTGACCCAGTTCCCCAAAAACATCATAGGTATCGTGATGGCACACGCCTCAACTCTAGGAACGTTCGAAACACCACTAATGAGCCCATTTCCACCCCGAAGTCCTAGACTCCGGACTATTGATGACCGACGACAGAAGGCTGCCACTGGGCGACGAGGCGCCCCCTCGACTTTCCCGCTGGTTCCGGTGCTCCCGCATAAGCAAGGAGACGGCCGCGCTTGCGTTGATACCCTCGCCGCTGTCCGTGATCTTCAGGGCCCACTTCGCATCTTCTTCTTCGAAGCCTAGCTCTCGGACCATCATGTCCATGGCTTTGTCAGTAGGGTCACAGACTTGCGGATGCTGAAGAGCAGGTGCGGTGCTTTGTTGGTATAGTCCTGGTATCGTGGAGCTAGCCCTTGGCGGACTGGCTATAGACTCCGTCCGGACTGGCCCACTTGATCTGCCCTCTAGACGGCTGATTATAGTCTCATAATTCGAGATAGGTCGTTCTTCCGCGGGCTGAGAAGAAGTGGGCATGCTCGTTGGCTGCTGTTTCTGGAGCTTGAGCTGGGCTGAATAGGCCGCTTGTCTGCGACGTTGCATCTCAAGCAAAGAGTCGGTTTTTCCGGGGCTACCGCTGGTGGGAGAACGGTCGCGACCGGCAGAAGGACTGGGTGACTTGCTGGCGCCAGACGACCTACATGACGCCTCGGATAGGGTATTTTCCCGGGGCCGATAAGCTTTCGATACGGCCTCCCGCAGGAACGATGACCGGCTTGCGACAGTGTCTGAAGGCGCCCATCTCGCCAATCCCATAGATTGGGCTTTCTTGAAAGTAGTCACAACGGCAGCGTCCTCCGTCGTGATCGAGCCGAGGTTCAAAACTGCTGAAAGACCGAGCGTGAGAATATAATGAGTCCACTCCTCTAACCACCAACCATGTTAGCTCAGTTGAACAATCTCACAATTCTGAACAACATAGAAACACGTATTTTTCTTACCTAAAACTGCTCCCTCCTTTGCAGTAGCCTTTTCGCGCACGTTGTGTCCATCAAAGACTCCCACTTCTCGTGCCAATCTAGTTTTCCCGTGCATTGGCTGGAGCAATACGCCAAGACAGGTCCAAATCTCGGTCATACTATGCAGCTGCGCCTGCGTCAAGCCTCCGGCGTTGCCATGCCCAAAACCTGCGGGAGGCTCGAACAAGACACTCCCCATGTCATAGGGATCAGTGATGGACTGCGCCACAGAGACGCGCCGATCGGTGGCCATTGTCCCACCTTTAAGCCAATCCATTTGTCCGGCGATGTCGCCCTCTCTGTGCTTGCCGCAACCAAATATGCGGCAGAATGTCCAGACTCGCCAAAAGGCATCATCAACCTCGGTCGCACAAGCATCATCCAGGCCAGAAAGCCCCCGGATCGTCTCGGGTCGCAAGAAGGTTGAACAACGGGCCAGAATGATGGACTTCAATTGGGCAAGGGTGCAGATATCTTGCGCGTATTGTTGAAGATATAAGGCGGGCGTGTACTCAGGGACGGGAGCGTCGGGGTCAAGAAGGAACTGCCACTCTGTACCCCAAGGGGGACTCATCTCTCGTAGTTCCCAAGCCGGAGGCGACATGGCAAAAACAGCATTCTTGATCAAGTCCAATTCATGGTCTTTAAAGGTGCTGTAGAAGTCTCTGCAGACCAACGAAACATTGAAGAGGTCGTCGAGTGATTCCACTTGTCGCAAAATCGCCAAGATGATATCCTTGGACCAAATAGCGTGCATCTCTGCTGAGAGTTCTTGGCTGGTACAAGGGGTATCGGCTCGCTGTTTGATCTGCGATACAGCGGGACTCGCATCAAGCTCATATATAGTAGACGCTTGTGAGACCTCTCGGCGGTGAGAAGTATTCGTGTCCACATCACCATACTTACTATGAGACACAAAGTATTTCTCCGACGACCCCACGAGAGAATCGTCATCAAGTTTATTATATCTCAAGCCGTGATTGGTATTTTCGCTCGCTTCCTTTGCTGTGGAAGAAGGTGGCGCCGAGTTGATGAAACCAGGATTGTCAAGATCCTTTGTTTGAAGGGAAGGAAGTGTTGAACGCAGCTCCCGCTCGCTATTAATGGATGTAGATGTGGTTTTTGAAAGATCAATAGTGGAGCCAGGCAATTCGGCTACTTCACCTTTGTTCTCATCTCCCGTGAGACGAGACGATAGTGAAGTAGATTTCAATGCCGATGCGGTAGGAAAGGTGCTGGAAGTCCGAAGTGTTGGTGGAGTGGACCAGTGGTGGAGGCCCGGCAGACCGAAAGAAAAGGGGCCTTTGTTCTTGTGTTCCCCCTTTGTTTGATTCATCTCTTCGCAAGACTGGGCTCTAATGGCTTGCTGCACGTCATGAATACTCATAGGAGGCATTGGTGCTGGCCGAGTCGCGATCATGTCCATGTTTCCTCTACGTATCTGCAATGGTCCAGCAGAGTATTGAAGGTGGCTATGGGGGGATATTCGTTGTGTCTGCTGTGATTCAGCAAAACCAACCGAAGTTGGTTCCACCCCCGCGGCAGTCTGAGACAGCGTCGGACGATGATAGTTCTCCTGGATATCAGGTAGCGACGGGGACTTCAGAGATCTGTAATTGCCATGTCCAGTCTCGCGATTTTTGGGCAACTGGTGAGACTTGTGGCGAACTAATAGTGGTGGCAGTCTGAAAGACGTCTCTTTGGGTAGGTCCTTGTCTCTGGACTCCTTGACCGAGGAATGTCTTGACAAAGTGCGGGAAGGAGACTTCTTCAATGTTCTGCCATCGTCGAAGAATCCTGGAAGATCAGGTGATGTGGAATGTACCGAATATGGAGAGTTACACCTTGGAGATGAGATCCGGGAGCTTTGACTCGTGATCGAAGATGTGAGAGTATATCCGGACGATCGTTTATCTGTGGCCCCGTCCGACAACACAGACGGCAGTCTATCTTTTCGTTCCACTGACTCGGAAGACTTCAAGCTCGTCGGAGAATCCAGAGGACGAGTATGACTACTCCGTGCGATTGACGGGAGTTGAGCCGTGTTGCTTGTAGGCGACGTCAGGGAGAAGTGGGAAGCGAGTTCGGGGAAAAAGCGAGCCCAGCGCGTTCCCGACCACGCGGGCGCCTTGTCGGATATTGGGGAAATCGAAATGTCGTCGTCGTCGTCGTCGTCATCCTCCTCGATATCCGACCAGGATGCATTATCAGACTTTAACCCGTCCAGACCGTGGAGATCGTGAATATTTAGCGACATTTTAATTCTGGATGGCTGAGAGACGTGACTGGGTGAGCCTAGGGTGTCCATCTCGGAAAACTGGAATGCGCTTCGAGTCTTTAGTGTAACAGTCTCTCGAGCCCCGCTGGAGGTGATACCGGTCTCGGATTCTGGATGGAGTAGGTATTTTCGGAATGAGATTCAGACTCGCGGAGCGAATTGATGGCGTTGATCCACGCCACAGAACCTTAGAGGGTACGTTCTTCTAGTTGTTGCCCTTTAGGCATGGCTAATGCGACCGGTCGAAAGATGTCCTGTCGCACTGCACTGGTTTCAAGACCAAGTCCCTCGGGACACTCTCGGAAGTCAGGAGAATGTTTTTCGTTGGACGATTTGGGGACAGAAGATAGAAGATTCGTGATCGACGACGGAAAGGAGAGCAGGGAGGGCGGCTTCACAGGCTGAACGCACTCGACTTAAGATCTTTTTTGTCACAATCAATAGAGTCAGCTTACTATCGCAGTCGGTTAGTTCGGGGTAACAATAAATTGCGCCGGGACCGTGCACATTATCATCTAAGGCGCCATCGCCGAGAGTGAGACAAAGGAATCACGAGCGTACTGACCTTGCTACAGACACTGCTGACAGAAAGTCGGACAATTTCTTGGATGAGGGGAGACCTATTGATTGCGCGGCGATGGAGAGATTAAGAAGGCAAGAGTTAAGTCTAGTCTCCACGTGCCGGCAAGAACAACCCCCTTACTCGGTATCGTAAGTAAGGAGGAGTCTAGGAGTTGGGGAGAAGAGAGAAGTGCGGACAACATGACGCCAACTGAGATAATGAATAGGATGATAGGCAGGGAGCATACGCGAGACGAGCAATGGGAGCGACGGACTGTTGAACCGCGGGGGGCCAAAAAACAAAGCCAATGCAGTCAGATTGGTACGGTACGGTATCAGCCAGAAACCGTGGTAGATCATCGACTCATAGAATCTTCCTCTGGTTTCCCAGCTTGTGTGATTGTAAAGAGCACTTCTAGACAGCACCAAGTATAACTCACCCGATACAAGAAAGGGTTCATGCAGAATGCGACTGAATCAGAATGCCAGTGTTGGCTGCGCCATCTGCTCCGCCATCGGATCGCCATCCCTAGCCAGTCTAGATTTACCGTACTGTACCATACGGCGGGTATGATGCAGTAGCCACTTATCAGGCCGTGTCACCTCCAGTGGAGTCTCGTGCAACTGAGAGTCGGAGGAGATCTCAGCTTTTTAGTCTATGAAAGCACACAACTGACTTGCGCTTGACATACGGAATACGTACTGTCGTACATTAAATCCAACTGATATGCGAGTCGCTATTTCATGCAGGCGGAGCATTACTATTGGCGCATCAAACTCAAAGATCCATACTGACTTATTGAAAGCGTGACGCTTATACTTCCGGCCACTAGCATATGGACCTGCACGAAGTCATCAGGCACCGAATCAGCCCCCATTGAGAACACAACTGACTTTGACACAACAGCAATATCTTAAAGAGGGTAGAGTATGGCTCTAAGCCTTAAGACCTATCTCATGCAGGTCAGATCATACTGTAAGCACCTACGATGAGTTCATGCATCTCGCTTCTAGATGATGATCAAACCGCCACGCCGGTGAGCAGTTAAAATCCGACCGACACTGTTTCAGGACAGCGACTTGCTGGCTTTGATTCGATATAGTAAGGATCGACATCCAGTATCATAGCAAACATGATGGTTTGCATCGACAGACATATCTACTGGCATGGAGCCTGCCAGTTTCCCCTCTATAAATAGAGGGTCGCTCCACTTCACCAAACCGAATTCGGTCATGATCCAGGTACCCTCCCGCTCGGAACCAGACCTGGACCACTTCCCCTGCATGGCAGGAAGTGGTTTGCTTGGGACTCGAGTGCAGCAGGGCTGAATCATGCTGCCTCAGAGAGGCTATGGATTAACACTGGTACCTGCCAGGTGGAAATGAGGAGAACAACCGTTTTCCGCCCCCTCCTCCGGCTAAGCTTGGAGGCTAGGACAATGGTCTTGGATAGCTTCTCTACCATGGCACCTTTGACAATACCAGAAAGATGGGGGCCAGACAGGCTCACTGGTACGGAGATTCCGGACCAAGCCTTCAGCCGTGTATTGCGGGTCAAGGTGGTTGCATTGACATGCCGTTTCAACGGGGATTCCCGCACCCATCACTGCGGCGTCAAACAGAACGCGCAGTTTGACACTAAAGAACTACCCTGCAAATACAACCTAAGGGAAGTGCCTCTACGCTCTATAACTCACACAGTTTCTATAATCACCATAGACTAGTATGACAGCTCTAACCCACAACATGCCTTCCCTGTGTCAGACAGAATCACCACAGACATAGCCAATGATACTGTTTCAGACTGTCTCCTTAAAAAACCAACAGCCCCATATCGAACCACCCCTGCGTACTTCGAATCGCGCCGTATAAACGCGGTTCAAGTTGCACGCTCCAAGTTGGTCAATATGTGAAAGAGTGTCTCAAAGCCAGACTCAATCTAACCAGACATGAGACTCAGGTAGACCGCCCAGATAACACCAAACAAACTACCAACAAGCAATCGCTTGTCCGTAGGTACGACTGTGAAGTTCAAGATCGAGACAAACGGCCAGAGTTTGAAACCTGCAACCAAAATCGGCCAGAAATCCTAGTAAGGGAGGTCAGCAATTCAGCGCATCTCTGAAGTCACATTACTTCTCATTCCGAAGGGCCAAAAAAAGAGCATACATTCTGAATCTGCTGTGTGATCGTATCCCAGTCCTGACCACGCAGGAATCCCATCGTCGTAATGAAGGCGACAGTGTTCCACGCACCACCCACCACCTGATCGATGATAATCTTCAACACGGTGTTCGTCACGTTCAATTTGGGTTTCGCCTCTGCGGCACCCTCCGTTTTGGATTTCGGCGCATGGACCACCTTCTGGCCAGGGAATTTGGACTCGAGTCCTTCGAGCCAGAGGAAGGTCAGGGGTGAGAGGATGAACGCGGACGTTGTGAACTGCAGCAACGCTTGACTATCTAGAGTAAAAGGTCTCTGCAGGATGTAAGAGCGAGCGGCAGCCATGACAGGCTAAGACTCGGTACCGATGTTCAGAGCCCGTTCATGGCGTTGCCGATAGCCCCATGCCCCATGTTAGTTATGTTGCAACTACAGAATCAGGATCGTCTGGGGGGCACGGCAATCGGTGATGCACTGGACCCTTGAGCTTTGGGGCCATACATACCTCATCTTTGTAAGCACCGATCGCTTGTGCCAAGACATTGGAGCCGGCGTTGATCAGCGCGGCCTGTAAGGTCGCCTTGGCTATCGGAGGAAGCGCCATGATGATATCGAAGAAGGGGCTGAGAGTCTGAGGCTAATAAGGCGGATCGAAACCAGAGCTTATATCTGGGCCAGGTGGAGTCTCTTCAGGAGGATTTCCTAGCACTTGTACCGATTGGGATAGGTGGGAAATAGCCAGTCGCCTGGTTATTGTCAGCGGCCTTTGGTTGTGGTTGGAAGCAGAGTTTCACAGCATGAACTTGTACCTAATCCAGATGGTAGAGATAGGTCAGGTCGTGGGAGTAGAAGTTTGACAATGAACAAAGGAACCAAATTAATGAGGGGGTGCGTATTAATACTGGGTAGTGATGGAGTGGCGGTTGGGAATGGAGCTGTGGGGGTGGGAGAAAAAGGAAGGTTTACACGCCGCCAGCGGATCCACTCCACCTTACCTTAAACCACTAGAGTCAGGGTCTCTTCGATTGCAAATATCCGCGCAGTCTATCTTCAACTCTTTTGAACATGTAAGTCGCTTTTGCTTGTCATTCAACCTATAATGACAATGTCTCTCTGGCGCTGCAATTCCCACCACGAACAACTGTCCTAACCACAAACTTAGTCTCAAAATCACCAGGAAATTTTCTGACGGGTCAGATCATCCACACAGTCCAAATGCTTGCAAACTACCAGTGCGTTAGCAATGTCACCCAAGGGATGAGAGTTCCCTTGGCTTACGCTGCTCGGCTTGCTCAAACCTTGCATTTCGCCTCGGCTTTCTCATGGCGGGGAACACTTCGGTCCCTTGTTGCCTTTCTAATTTCAAATGCGCTTTGAGCATATCAAGAACAGCTAGTTGCACATCTGTCAGATCGTAATCGGATGATGACCTTGCACCTCAAACTTTTCTACCATACGGGCGGGCTTACCCGTATCTCTTGCAGTGGATTGCGATGTCACCCATGCAGGGCCACTTAGAACCAACCCGTCAACCCTGGTCATAATGCAGTTGGTTGTACCATACCTAATATCATTGGGACATGATCGGTAGTCTGCCTCCAACTCAACTATCGCCCGCTGCAGCTCATTGTTCACCTTCCTCGAGACGCTCTGAGTCTCAGAGACATTTGTGGCCCCGCAGCTGTACAGATCAAGTCGAAACGATGTCCTTTGCGCAGAAACCGGTATGCAGGTCAGCGTGTACCAGTAAGCTGCATCTCTCATCACCCGCACCGTGGTAATCGGAAAGATATCTACTTCTTCGGAACTCTTTCGCGAAAGCCCAAGTCTGTCCAGCAACCAAGAACGACGCTTGTGCTGCAATCCCCCACTTCCTAGCATCTCCCCGTTCATCACACGCTTCACTCTCACTACACGAAAGCCTTAGCAGAACTGGTTGGGTATTGAGAGAATAGAACTTACAGCACATCTTCCAATTGACTTCACCCTCGATTGTCTGTCCTCCTACCCACCTCGACTGAAGCCCTAAGCCACGGGGGCCCGCAAATCCATCTAGAAACTCTACCTCCGGCGGCCAAACCGTCTGCCTAGCGTCCAGATTCACGAACACAAAACCCGCCTGACTTGTAAAGGTGTGAACAGCGAAGAGTCCGTTCTGCGCGCGATCGAACCCCACCACCCCATCGAAATGAGGCGCCTTGATGAGCTGCCCGAGGCTGTTGTAGCTCCACCCATGATACCGGCAACCCAAGACGGTGGACGAGCCGCGATCTTTCCGGATGACCGGATACGCGCGATGGCGGCACACGTTATGGAAGGCCCGGAGATCGCCATCTTTACCTAGGATCAGAAAGATGGGTAGCCCGACAACGGTCGAGGTGTGGTAGTCGCCTGGTTTGGAGAATTGGCGGCGGTGCGAGACGCATAGCCAGTGCTAGACGTAAGGCGTAAGGCCATGGAGGAGAATGTGTGGAAAGTGAGATTGGGGAATTTACTTTACTGAAGATTGCGCGTCTTTCGAGTTCAAATGTGCTGGAGCTTGTCCACCAGTCGGTGGGAAAGTCTGGTTCTTTGCTTATTGTGATGGGTTCCTCGTGTTCTGAGAGTGGTTGAGGTGGTAGGAGCTTTGTTTGTTTGGCAGAATGGTCAAAGTAACCCTGGAGGAATGGACGAGGCAAGGTCTGGTACAGCAAAGCTAACGCAACTAACAGTCCGCCAGTAAAGGCGTGCTTAGTGTTAGTGAGGATTCGGAATGAGGTGCTTCCATTCTGACTCGGAGAAGCAGAGGTTGTTGAGTAGGCTGCAGTGGTGAGGTGCTATCTCCTCTTGGGCGCCGAAGGGCGATCTTATAGATGCTCAAGTCTCACCAGAATTTGCGCACTGGCACACAACTGCGCCGACCTGCATGAGGTACCTTTTCTGGCCAGTAAAAGTTGCCAGTGGGCCAGTAGGAGGCGTCAGCGCTGTGGTACGATTTGACCTCACTCTATTTTTCATCTCTCTCTGACTTACCGGATCTGGTGAGCCTACCCAGGTTGCAGAGATTCTACAGCGCAGATGATCTAGATCAGGCTTTCCTCAATGATTAGGCTTCGAGTATCAGGTTTTTATTAGGACTACTAACAAGAGCAACGGTCATGAGGCACTCTTCTTTGTTCTTGGACTCAAAACTAGTGTGATATACTCATTGCTAGACGAATCTAGTGTACATAGAATTCCAGTATCTTCATACCATCAAGTCACTGCCTCAGGCGATCACGGACATCCGTGATAATCATCACAGGTTCCTTTTGCGGTGCAGTCGCTTCCTTATCTTCTGCCTGCACCAGTTGATCAGCAGCGTACTGTTCACACACAAGCTCAAAGACACGACCCTGATAGACTGGGAATCATAAGTATCGCCGCAATGCAGAATCACCTCAGCATACTCACAAGATACACCGTTCTCCTTGTCCGGGTTCAGTATTCCTTCACTGTAAATGCCCTTGACAAGATTATCCTGCGCCTTCTCACACAGCTCGTAGTCTTCCAGCGCCACCTGCCGCACGAATTTAAAGTACTGCTCAAACTTCTCGCCAGACTCCATATGGTAATAGTCGAACTCCATCCTAGTCACGTTCGGATCATTCGTCGGACATACCCGGAACGATGACATTCCGCCGCCATACACATTCAAGGTGCAATTCGGGAAGAAGTAGAGAAAGAGGCCGTCGTCCGGTTTCTCGGGGTCAGCTATGTGCTGGGAGAAGTTTTGATGGTTATGCACCGCATACGACGTCGGAGGGTAGTAGACGGAGAAGGAGGGATGCGTGTATTGGCAATGCAGGCACTCTTGATACCCGTCCACCCTGGTTTGCCATCGATCAGCTAGTTCTCTGGCTCCGCCTCGCCGTGCTGCACAGTTTCATACATGGTTTTCCAGTTGAACCGGCCCTCATACTTGATGCTGTGCCTGTACGGAAGTTTGGTGAAGTTCACTTTCTGCAACAAAGGCTCCAGATCTGGGAAATACTCGTTGAAGTCCGGAGCCTCGTCTCCCAAGGCTGCGAAAACAAGGCCGGTGGGTGTGACATTGTGTCTTAGGGATTGTTCCTTGTGCAGCATCAGCATCATCAGCTCCAGGAACTCACAACTAGATGAGTACTCAGGCCTACAGTCTTCGCGCATTGCACCTGAATCTCGTGTGACCCAGGGAAATGGCCATTCCCAGAGCATCGAAAAGCAATCAGTGGGCGCTGAGCGATCTCGTAGTCGACTTTTGCGCCAACCTCACGGAATCGAGTAACGGGACCTAGAAGATACCAGGACTAGAGACGCGCTTTAGTCGTTGTTTGCCTGGAGAGCGGATCTGCTTGCCTTCAGGAAGACAGCTCTTCGTTCGAGTTGATAGAGCCCTGGACTACGATACCAGGACGCAGGTAGAGTGCGGGTTAGCTCAGGCATTGTCGAGATGTCGATATCAGTGTCAAAGTGGCATTAGCTATTTACAACGTTTCATGTGGTCCAATTGCCTTTCTTATAGTAGCCGGTACGATGCGCCTTGAAGATGCAATCTGCAGCCACAATAGGTTCGATTGGACAGGCGTATCGTTTCCTGAAATGGTTATGCGGTCCCGTGTGCTCTCCGGGTACAGGACTTATGTAGCTTATCATGAAGGCTCGAGTTGCTGCTGGTCAGATGAGAGCCGGGGTGACCAGTCAAAAGGGTTTAATGCAAGACGTGCAGCAGATACTCGGTGACCTCTGCAGCACCAAGGGTGGTGAGCGATTCAGATCGAGTATGTTTTGAGATCTATATGAGTGTCCTGGCAGGGGGACAAATAGTAGATGTGGTTGACATCGTCACCCAGGGTTATTCCTTGGGAGTATTCGAATTTAAAGACAACAATGCCTAACAGCTATGATTCTTCCAGATTTATTCCCACGGCTCAACACACTTGCCAGACCACAATGGCTGAGATCTTCAATGGCCGAAGTCAACAGTTCGTTATCTATTGGTTGCTGCCTGGATGCGGACCATCATTCTCGCCGGTGGCGATGGAATTTGTCAGGAGATACTGAGATGGTTAGTTATTCCTCTTCTTCCAAGTCTTTGTCCATGAGGGATATCCAATATTCAGTCCTCAATTTTCACCACGCGAGTCTGTTCGCATTGCCAGTTTTGAAAGGTAGTCGGTAAGCATCCGTTGACAGTCACATGGAAAATGCAAGGCGGTGGTGGGTCATCCGTTTGCGTCGTGACGTCCTGCCGTGACTCTATCCTTACTCTTCTTACTCTTCTCTTCCTCTCCGCAATCTTCCTCCGACCGGTGGCTGACTTCTGCTATACCTTTCACTTAGTCCCATCTCATTCTTTGAATCAATTCCACCACGGCATACGAGCAACATATTGCTAGTACAACGTACTCCTCTCCTCAAATCTGATGGTATAGCCTTGTGCGACCGACTATCACAATGGCAGGCCACCCAGTCAAGTACACGCCCCCGCCTTCGCCGCCTTCCCCGACAGCTTCCTACTACGATGTCAGCGATGACGAAGAAGACGATTACAACACCATCTCACACTCAACCTCTCGCCGAGGTGTCAAGCTCTTGTTCTCCAAGAGCAAAGTCAGTTGCCTCCACGCTCAAATGCCACTGCCTGTGTAGCTAACTAATCCCACCTTGCTCCGAGCATCATAGGTTTACGTCCACCCCACTCCCTCCTCCAAAGATAATATCCCGGGTTTCATCGCCTTGATTCAACAAAAGCCCCTTCCCTCTGCCTCCGGTACCTTTACAGCTACATCCCCTACGAAAGACATCTCTTCCTACCTGCTCGCTTGGGTCCCTGAATCCTCCCTCGGCGACGCCTACAGCACCTACGTCAAAGTCGACCTGTCCGACAGCGCCTCCCCTCCGCGCCAGAAATACCTTGTACCGGCCCTGCCCACCACCACCACCTACAAAGACCCCATCGGCCTGTATGCTTTTGCTGTGCCGTTGTCAGAGATATACTCGCTCCTTGTGCGACCGCCAAGCCTAGGATGGTGGTTCGGGAGTCTTGTGATCAACACCCGCGCCGGCGATAGCTTCCCCGCTCTATTCTTCCATGACAGCGAGTGCGAGTCGACGATTTTGCAGAAGAAGAAGCGAACCAGGGAGAGCTTCGACCCATTTGGGGAGGATGGCAGCGTGTTTTGGGGTGGGGACGAGGTGCTGCGATGGCTTCGGAAATACGTCGAGGTCCAGCGGTCTGCTCTAGACAGTAGCGTCTATTTGATAAATCCATCCGAGGAGGACCGCCTCTCTTTCGGGCAACAGCCGACCTCGGACGCGGCCAGGGGCTCTCAAGATCAGGCACTCGCTCCAGCGCAGCCCGGTGGGAGCAGACAGCCAGATGCCGGTATGGATCCGTTTGTGAAAACACTCAAGGAAGCCAGGTGGAAAGTCCTCGAGTCACTTAGCAAGATCACCACTTTTACCAGGCGAACCGCAAATGAATTAGCGGACAACCCCAGAATACCTCCCCAGGTTCGCCGGCTGATGAGGACGCCTGAGATACAGACTTTGCAGGACGAATTTGACAGTGCCAGACTTTATCTCGCTCGTTGGGCCATGAGCATCTCCGAACAGAGTGAACGAGAAAGGAATCAACGGATCTGGACCGCTCGGGATGTGCTTGGCATGGAGAACAGCTCTGTGGGCGATTTTGAGATACTGGAGCTGGAGACGGGGACTATGTCTATCCAAGAACGTCGAAAGATCGTGACTTTAACAGAGTGGGAGGGCTTTTTCGACCCGAATACGGGTCGGTTGCAGTTGACGGTCGAGGAGGTGAAAGAGAGGATATTCCATGGAGGGCTGGACCCAAACGACGGAGTCCGAAAAGAGGCATGGCTCTTTCTCCTCGGAGTGTACCCCTGGGACAGTTGCCGTGATGAACGGCAGGCTCTGATCAGCTCCAAACGAGACGAATACATTCGCCTAAAAGGCGCATGGTGGGAGAAGATGATTGAAGGAGGCTCCACGGCAGAAGAGTATGATTGGTGGAAGGAGCAAAGGAACAGAATAGGTAGGTGCTTGGAGAAACCTGGAATGTATCACTGCCCCATACTAATCCACCCCCAGAGAAAGATGTTCATCGGACAGACCGCACGATACCCCTGTTTGCCGGCGAAGATATTCCTCACCCGGATCCCGACTCACCTTTTGCTGAGACTGGAACGAATGTGCATCTAGAACAAATGAAAGATATGCTCCTAACATACAACGAGTATAACCCGGATCTTGGGTATGTCCAGGGCATGAGCGATCTTTTAGCTCCAATATATGCGGTCATGCAGGACGATGCCGTTGCATTTTGGGCCTTTGTCGGTTTCATGAATCGGATGGTAATATACCTAGTCTCATCCATCACGGTCTATACGTGCTTACATGCTGAACCAGGAACAAAACTTCCTCCGAGACCAATCCGGCATGCGCGCCCAGCTTACTACATTAGACCACCTTGTTCAGCTTATGGATCCTCAGCTCTATCTTCACCTACAATCTGCCGATAGTACCAATTTTTTCTTCTTCTTCCGTATGCTTCTGGTTTGGTACAAGCGCGAATTCGAATGGCCGGATGTCCTACGTCTGTGGGAGACACTTTGGACAGACTATCTGTCTAGTAGCTTCCACCTATTCATTGCGTTGGCAATTCTCGAGAAACACCGAGATGTTATCATGGACCATCTCAAGCAATTCGATGAGGTCTTGAAATACAGTATGTATCCCCTCGCCAACGTCTCTCGAATCCATCCTAATACCTTTTCCAGTCAACGAGCTCTCGAATACCATGGAACTCATCCCCATCCTCACCCGCGCCGAATCTCTCTTCCACCGCTTTGGACGAGCCGTCCAAGCTATCGACAAGAAGAACAACTTCCCTGCTCCATCTCCAGCAGCCTACCAACGCAAGCCCAACACAAGCCCCGCCACTAACGCCGAAAGTAACGACAGTACCAACAAGGGCAAATCTCCAGAACGCCCTCAAACCACCGGTTTCACTACCGGCAGCAGCGTCACCGCCGGGTCCAGCAGCCGAACAAGCGACAAAGACCCTAAGATCATCTCCCCCGAACTGCGACAACTCTTCGCCAAGGACATCCCATGGGCTCGCAAGCCTCGTCCCGGCTCACAACCTGGGCCACAACAGGAGGGAGCCGCGTCTTCTGAGCGACGTTCGTAGAAGTCAATCCGTCAGCTAGTAGCGAACTGGCCAACCCTCTCTATGTTTTTATGACTTGATATGATACCTGTGATTACCTGCCAATATATTTTCGCAAATTTTGTGATGCCCTGTGACTTCAACTCTTCCGCCTTCTGTCGTGAGTTATCTCGGGTCTGGTTTGGGCGTATTGTTCAGTCGGAGGGTAGGATTTTTGGATGGGCAAGCCTGATTATTATGTTTTACCTGAAAGAACAAATTCATATTCTCTACCACATTATTCCTACTTCTCCCTCTAGTATATCTTGGCCCTGCTAGCTATTGTATAGTCTTGACGGCATCGATAGCAAAGAAGACAAGGAAATCAGTCGCAAGCAACGAACTCCGCTCAAATCGAAAGAAGTTCAACCCAGACCTACCAAAACAGGCACAATCATTCCGGAGCGAAGACGATAAGAATGGTATTCTATGTGTCTCTACACACACTTGAATTTCAACAGGAAAAGGAAAGAAGAAAACCGCTATGCAACAAAAACCAAACACATAATGTATGCAACCCGACAGGGAACAAAAACCCGCTCTTGTCTTGTCGCGGAAACTAGAAACCAGTAGTAAGAACAAACCCAATCCAACTTTAAAGCACTGCATATCCCAACTAGAATAAATCTGAAAGCCCGAAAATAAAAGAAATAACTTGCTAGCGCTAGACTCTCTCTATCAAATGAACCAAGTCAAAGTAAACCACGCACCCAAAATTAAACGAACCAGTAGGACGTAGTTAGTACCTAGTAACGATCTCGTATCTTGGTCGTTATCCAATCAAGGATTATTCTTATTTCTTGTTTCTTGTTTCTTCTCTTCTGGGAATGCGTTTCCTGGTTGTTGTCGTCGTCTTCTTCTCTCCAATCTTTGGTTCTTTTTCGTTATCAGCTTTTCTAATGTATATTGATTGAGGAAAGAAAATATGTGTCTATCTAGGATCGAGCAGCGAGGCGAGCTTCCTCATCTGCGCGGTTGGATTTATACGATCGGGCGCCGTCGGCGTCGACCTCGTCGTTGTCATCGACGTCTTCCTCGTCATCATCATCATCGTCGTCATCGCTTTCCCAGTCCTCGGCTTCGAGGGAGCGGGCTCGGATCCCGAAGCTGAGGATGAAGCCGACGAAGGAGACGGCTGAGAAGACGCCGAAAGGCATTGCTTCGCCTTTAATCGGGAGCCGGGAGGCTAGACTGAATAAACTGCCGGAGATGAGGGGGCCGACGGCGCGGCCGGCGGCGGAGAGGGTCTGGGCGAGGCCGTTCAGGGAGCCGAGGACTGTGTGGTCTGGGGCGGAGTTTGTGATCTATTGCTTCTTTGTTAGAGGTGAACGCAATTGGAGATAGAGATTGAAGAATTGATGACGGATAAATGGGTTTGGGGTAAAAAAAAGGCTTTTGTGTGCATACCAGTAAAAGTGCGCTGGTCAGTCCGCCAACAGAGGCGACGGTCTTGACCAGCAAGACGAAGCATAACTCAATGGCCAGCAGGGCTGTCTTGCCGGTGATGCCGCCTTTGTCTGAGTCGTCGCCCTTGTATCCGATGAAAGGCATGAGGAGGAACGAGACCACGAATCCCAGCAGTCCGGCGCGGTACGACCAGCGATTACCCATCTTGTCGCGCAGCTTCCCGAAGATGCAGATCTGAAAGATGATCGTGACGAGCCCGGTGAAGCCCTGGGCGAGACCGATCTCAGACGGGGTGAGGGCTCGGCCCAAGGGAGGCGAGGCTTGTGAGAAGATGGGGAAGAGCGAGTTGTAGGAAACGTTGCACAGGGCGAAAACGAGATACGTCAGAAGAAGCAAGATCGTGTCGCGGTTCCAGATCTGGCTTTGCATCAACGATTCCGGGGGCGGACGAGGGGATTCAGAGACCTCGGAGGCCGAGTCTAACTCGCTATCGTGATCCTGACTGTCGTTAGACTGCGTCCGGAGATGGCGGTACGAGGCGTGGTGCGGCGGTTTCATCCATCCGGCGCGCTTAGCGGAGCTGGTCCATTCCCAGAGCCAGACGAACAGGGCCCGGACGCGCCGGCCGAAATTCGGGAGGGCATCCGCTTCGTCGAGGCTCTCGTCGAGAAAGAAAATCGAGACAACAAAGTCAACAACGAGAATCGCCGCGGAGAGAAGGTTGGGGCCGGCGTATGGGTATGGATTAGGCTGGCTCTTATCGAATGGGTTCTTGGGGAAGACCAGCAGTCCGCCAAGGAGGGGGCCTGTGACGCCTCCGATGCCGTAGAGGACGGGAAGATAGGCAAACGCCTTGGATTGGTTGCTTCGGTCGGTGATCTCCCCGAGACAGGTCGAGACCAGACCCTGGTTGCCGTTGACCGCGCCCATTAACGCCTGTACCGCGATAGCCTGGTATAGAGTCTTGCAGAATCCGAACGCGCAGAAGCAGACTGCCGTAAGGATAGTGCCCAGGAGAATGATCGGCTTCCGGCCCACGCGATCCGACAGCCAGCCCCAGAAATAGTTGGTCACAAGCTGCGCGATCGCAAACGCCGTGGCCAGCGCTCCAACATACATGCCCACTGTATTCGGTCGAGCCTCAGGAAATGACGACACCATCTCGGGTAGGTAAGGACTGATCGAATTGAAGGCCGTCTGCTCGCAGAGGGAAATGAAGGCTAGGATGGCCATCTGCCGCTTTGGGAGGGGCGACCCAGACCCGCGCTCGGAGCCATTGTCATTCTGTTGATGGTGCGAGTCTCCCCCAGAAGACCCCGATTGTCCAGAATTTGGTCTTCCGCGTGACTTCGGCGGTGGCGTGTCGAAGGTTTGGTAGTGTAGTGTAGAGGAGTGTCGCCGATTGAACGGACCCTGCTCGTCCGTCCTCATCGTTGCGAAAGAGGGACACAAGAGCGAACGGAATAGTATACGAATGAGCGATGGCGTGTATCCGGCCTATGTGCACCTTTCTTGCCTTTTGCAGTGATGATGGAGCTCAAGGGCCACACGTCGTTCGCAGTGCGGGGGGCGTCGGAGCCCCCAGAATATGACGCTTGGGCCGATTTGGAGTGGGTTAATGGCAAACGGGGGAAAGGATATCTCAGTTGGTATATATCGTGTCCCAGAAATAGAGGTGAGCAGGCGAGGAGCAGAAGGAGTAATGATGATGAGCGCAGTCAGCAAGACTAGTGCTCTCGAAGGTGTCGCGCGGAGTAATTCCACTCCACAAGATCATCGGCGAGGCCCTGCAGATGATGTAAGCCCTCTGCAGGCTTGTAGCTGAGTCATCCACTCCAATTTCTATGATCTTGGTCATGGTCACACTTAAGTTACCACGTGCATAAGCCAACAACAAACATGCCTTGATCTATGCTTTGGTGGCACACTTAGCCAGCGAGATGGGATCCTGCGTCGGAACTCATTCCCCATTGCCTGTGTTTACTTAGATCGGTCAATTTGCAGTAGGTCCGTCTATCCGGGTTGGCGGCTAGGTCGGTCTGGCTTATATATCTTCAAGTAGACAACCCTCCATTTGCAGCTTACGTAGGTCGATCTTGCGATCTCCTGGGTCCATTTTTATGCATCTACGTTTCTTTTCTCCAAGGTCGTATTGCTACTCTCCCTATTCAATGCGGAGTCAATTATACCAAAGATCCATTGTTTCGGAGAAGGCCTTGCAAAGGCATAAGTGCATACTCTGAGAGCATTGGTGTCCTAAATTTGGAACCATAATCATTCAAAAAAAAAGTAGCCATAATAATATCATCCGAGCGGTATAATGCAACTCGCATAATAAATCACTTCATCAGCAAATTGACAGCCCAAGGAACACTAAGTCCTCGCAAATCACCATAGTGCTGGCCCACACCCAGGAAAACGATGGGAATGCCCGTCGCATGAACCATGCTGACAAGAGTGCCCACCATGTCACCAACAGTATCGCATTTACTGATAATGAAGCCGTCAAGGTTTCTTCCCGTGCCAAAGGCCTGGTTGAAGTTGCGAGCCTGCATGACGCTGTCCGTACCGACGAGCGCCTCACCAACCATGAAAATCTTATCGGGCTTAGCAAACTTGGCGAATTTTTCCAAAGAGGACATCAGACGTTGGTCGTTGTGACGACGACCGGCGGTATCGATCAAAACAACATCGAAATTGTTGGCTGCACCGTATTCTACGGCATCCTTGGCCACGTTCGCTGCGTCCTTGCCGTAACCCTTCTCGTACAGTTCCACTTCACCGGCATTCTCACGCTGGCTGAGTTCCTTGAGATTTCGGGCATGAACACGGAGCTGCTCCACTGCTCCGGACCGGAAAGTGTCACAGGCCGCGATCAGAACACGATAGTTGTTCTGCAGCAAGAAGTAACAAATCTTTCCAAGGTTGGTGGATTTTCCAACACCATTGACCCCAACAATGGAAATGACATATGGGCGGGGAGTGGCTAGCTTGGCCGTAGGTGATGTGACGGCATCAATCTCACGAAGAAGGTCGAGAGAGGAGGTTGGTGTCAGGATCTTCCGTAGAGAGGATTCCATGGCCAAACGCAGGGCTGCATCTACACTTTGGAAGTTGCCCGTCTTCTTCCCGATGAGCTCCCGCTTGACACCGTCGCAAAGCCGGACTGCCGCTTCCCGCGCAACGTTCTTCTTCAGGAGATGATCTTCCATGGTCTTCAAAGGCTTGTCCAGATCAGCTTCCGTCAAAACTTTACCGCCGACAATGTTGCGTAGGAGGCCACCGATGGCATTGAAGCCCGAGCCAACGAGACCGGAAGAAGCAGCTTCCTTAGATTTCGCGCTCTCCGCACTCTCAAGAATCGAGTGGACTTCGTCTCCGAGATCCTTAAGCACGAACTGGCCTTTACCAGTTCTCCGGCCCCAGGATTCTTCAGAGACAGCCTCCACCGCCGGCACCTGTACCTCCTCACCGTCGGCCGGAGCCGAGTAGTCCAGGATGCGACCATCGTCTTCATCGGCGAAACCATCCGCATCCCACCGACGCATCTTCTTCCCACTCTTCGGTGTCCTTTCCTTCCGACCCTTCTCATCCCCGGATGAGGCATTGGCGCTGGAATTAGCGGCCTTGCGTCCGCGGCGCGACATACGGCCTCCGGGGCCTAGCTTGGCGGCAAGGAGGTGGCCGGCAACGGGCGTTGTCGACCTTGATGTATCTGGAGTCTGGGGTGGCGTACCCTCGTCTGAGGTGACCACGCCGAGCGCAGCTTGTTGCTGCGCTTTGCGAATTTTAGCAACATTCAAGAACCGGAGGCATGCGGTAGAAACATACCTTTAAGAAGGCCAGGGACCGATGGTGGTGGTGGGCCCCCATTGTCAGACGAAACAAGCGGATCTTTCTTGACAACCGCATTCGCCACATGACTCTCCGATGCGACAGGCCCCGAGCTGCCCTCAAGTTCTCGCACTTGTTGGTCAAAGTATTTGTCAAAGGGATATTCTATCACCCTTGCGCGAGCGCTTCGCAGTTGATCTTTGTACAAGTCAATATACAGGGTAGCGATATTGTCGAGGAGTTTGTCGATCCAGCCCAGTTGTAGGAGTGACTGGTAAACGGCCTGAGTCACAGTATGTTAGAGACGGGAAACCAACATTGCAGTAGACACAGCACGCACCACAAAGATAAGATTGAACTCTTTGACCCTCTTCCATTTTAAAGTATACTTCTCCTTTCTGAATGCCGGCGATGTGTTGTTTGGCCCTTGCAGCTGGGATTTCTCCTCGATGAAAACATCATTGATAAGGCTGTTGACCACGTGGGCGCCAACGGGGGCGTACGACTTTGACCAAAGGACTAAGCCGGAGGCGTCAAGAATCTCGAAGGCTTCCAACATTTTCGGAGGTGCTATAAGTTGTTTGCTGCGTGATGTAATAATCGAGTTGGAGGGTTGATGATGAGGTCCGCGCGGGTGGGGAATGTGTGGGCGTGGGCGGCAAGCTGATCTATCGGGGAGCGGAAGGGACGGCGGACTTCAGCCACGTATAAACACCTTCATCTCATCTCATCTCCCACTAAGCTCCAGCATTGTGCCAAATCCACTAGCTCTCTGCCGCTACGGCGCCCCACGAAACCCCAGTATCATCTTCATCGATAAAGCTCAGTCTTGAAGCCAGCCCATAGTTCTCGACAGCTTCCAGAAATATGTATCGCCAGTCGTTCGCTCCACCTCCAGCGCAGTCGCCTCCGCTTCATCACCCGGTGCCTCAGCATGTGTCGACAGTTCCTATGATGCGCTCGCCGCCGCCTCCGACATCTCAGCAATCTCAGTCTGCGGGCTATGGCAACCCATACCAGCCCGCACCTGCGCAAGGCGGCAGTGGGACCTATGGTCCGGGGTTCGGCCAGTTCATCAATGATCCAACGGCGCAGATGAGTTTTCAGGTCGGCAAGACGGCGATGATGGCTGGTCAGGAGTATATGGAGCAGAACGTAAGCAGTGCCAATTTCATCGAGTCACGCTGTGAAAGCGCATAGCTAATGTCCCCCATTAGTTAAATCGTTACGTCTCCATTCCTGCCCTCAAGCATTACTTCAACGTCTCCAACTCCTACGTCTTGAACAAATTGACTCTAGTTCTCTTCCCATGGCGACACAAGCCCTGGTCCCGTCAGCAGGCACGCCTCACAACGGCTGCAGCTGGCCCCAATGGCCAGATTTCCCAGCAGCAGTACTCCTCCATGTTCCTCCCTCCGCGTGATGATCTGAACTCGCCCGACATGTATATCCCTGTCATGGCGCTTGTTACCTACATTCTGCTCTCGGCCATGTTGGCAGGATTCCGCGGGAACTTCCATCCGGAACTCCTAGGATCGATCACGACAACAGCTATTGCGGTGATTTTGTTTGAGATCATGTGCTTGAAGCTGGCTATGTACATTCTCAGCATCAACAACGAGTCCCAGCTCCTGGACCTTGTTGCCTACTCCGGATACAAGTTTGTCGGAATCATTCTCACCCTCTTGACATCTGAGATCCTCACCCCGGGTAGAGGCACCGGTGGTTGGGTTGGCTGGGCCGTCTTTGTCTACACGTTCCTGGCGAATGCTTTCTTCCTGGTGAGTCAATCCATGCTAATACTCCATTGTCCACGCGCTAATCACTGATGTCTGTCAGCTTCGCTCCCTGAAATACGTTCTCCTCCCCGATTCAACCAGTGATGCCTCTATGCGTTCTGGGTCCATGCACACTGTTGCCCGCTCCCAGCGCAACCGTCGTACCCAGTTCCTGTTCGTTTATGCGTATATCATTCAGTTCATCTTCATGTGGGTGTTGAGTCGTGAGGGCCCGACCGCGACTGCTGCGGGGGTGGGCGCTGGCTCCTCGTGATAGGCTCGTCGGTCGACACCAAATAATGACATAGATGGACCTCACGAAAAGAAATCCAGGATGTCATGCTGACGCCTTAAGCATCTTCCCATGTAAAACTTTTTATCGCATGTTATGTTAGCATATAGTTAGATTCTTAGCAGCGTTGAAGCTTTCCTCGAAATTAAATTATAATTGTATTCAGTTGATCTATTACTTAACACCATGCACGACCAGCAAAAGAGCATTAAAGGGGAACATACGCTTGTGCGAGAGTGACGTTCTAGAGCTACGGCAGGAAGTGTTTGTGGAAGTGAAAATTAATGCATTTATTATCAAGATAACTATGGCAAGATTGAATCGAGACCTATTTTGCGAAGGTTAGAGACCAGTCAAAGCAAAACGAGTGAGAATCCAGAATCTGAATTTGAAGTGTTCCTCAGAGATCTTGGTGATGAGGGAAATATCATTGCCAGAAGGCATCAATTACTATCTAGGCGTGATATCATGTTTGTAATCACCGGAACTGGGGAGGGCAGACGAAAGCGAAAAAAATCCAACGTACCATATTGGCAAAATCTGGGAGGCAGAGGTGATGAGCGTATAATCTGCTGGTAACGTCTTTTCACAATGTTAGCAACGAGTCACACAAGAGATGAGTGAGCAACAGTGTGAAGTGGAAGAGATATCAGAATATGTAAGAAATGAATATCATGCTGCAGCGCTGTATAGAATACCCCGGCGAGGGTTTCACAGACACTGGGTCAATCGCAAATTACCGCATCATGTAAGGATAGGGCGAGTTGGGAGCGGAATAAAAAGAAAGTGTATGCATACCAGTAGAACACACGGTCAGCGTACACTGTCGAGTTAGTGTAGCTTGCCTGATGTAGCAGAGCTACAAAAGGCAAATGAGCGATCGTCATGAGCAGAACCACATTTGTTCTGAGGTTCCGAAAGTCTGGAACCTGTTGCAGAAAAGCAAAGCTGCGCAGAGAGACAGAAACACCAGCAAACAAATTGCGATGAAGAGGAAGCTTAAAAGGCGCGGTGGTCGGAACGGAAAATATCCGATGGCCGATGGAGCGCGCTAAGCCGCGGAAGCAGCCCTAGGCCGCACGCAAACACCCTGCGGCGACCTGCTACTGGCTGCTAAGCGAGACTCTTGTGGGCGAAGGGCCGCAACCACCGAAATTCGCTATCCAGTCAGCCTGTCGAGCGAGACGAGACTTGTGCGTTTAGGACGACCTTCGACAACCCCGACATTTCGACAACAAATCACCACCACCGTCCCACCCGGAGTCTGTCGACCGTGAGTCTTGTCGCCCCCTCCTTTCGTCCACCCCGTCACACGCAACATCAACTAAACTCGCCTCTTTTTTTGCTCTGAAACAGGAAGCCTTCGCCATGGCCGATATCGATGTCACGATTGCTCAATGGAAGCTGGTTGAGGTTGGCCGCGTTGTGCTGATCCGCAGCGGTCCCTACACCGGCAAGCTCGCTGCCATTGTCGAGATTGTCGATCACAGACGTGTACGTTCGTTCTATGCAAATTCGCGCGGAAATGGAGGAGGAATCCCGGCAAACTTGAAGTCGGGGAGGCGACATGCGGGATTGGGAAGTTTTTGGGAGGAAACATGAGAATTGACACGAGTTGCACCCGATTAGGTTCTGGTTGATGGTCCCTCCACCGAGGAGAAGAAGATCGTCCCCCGTCACGTCCTCCCTCTCGCCCACGCCACCCTCACCCACTTCGTCATTCCCCAGCTGCCCCGTGCCGCCGGTACTGGCCCCGTCAAGAAGCTCTGGCAGAAGAACGAGATCGATGGCAAGTGGGCTCAGAGCGGTTTCGCCAAGAAGACCGAGCGCGCCGAGCGCAGGAAGAACCTGACCGACTTCGAGCGCTTCAAGGTCCTCAGACTCCGCAAGCAGGTACGTGCGACATGTGATGGATTTGTGATTTGCGCATAGGGAGGGATGGAACCGAGAGTGGATTGGGCTTTTGTCTCGAGTGGTCGATTGCAAATGGTGTTATATGCGCGCTGGAAACCGGAAGGCTGACATGTTCGACTCCACAGGCTCGCTACGAGGTCCAGAAGGCTCACGCCAAGCTCAGAGCGGCTGCTCCCAAGGCATAGATGGTTATTGGGGCTCGGTGCAAAGTGTGACAGGGTGCCTTAGGACGGGGTTTATTTGCTGAGGGTTTAATTTATTTCAGCAAAAAATAACGCTGTATGCATTATTTGACAGCATAAAAATGATTCAAGAACCTTTGATATCCTGACATGGCTTGTTCTCGTACGTCATCGAAAGTTGAAAGCCGCCCGCGCGCCCGGAACGCCTTTCAGTGAGTATGTGACTATGATACAACTGGGTCTTTGACGACTTGACATCAGCGGGTCAACAACTCCTGAGAAGGAAATGGGCAATGAACACAATTTAGAACTTCAAAAAAAGAACCAAGAGGAATTTCATTGTAAATTTGTTAAATCCATGATCCAAGGCTAGATTCATGATCTGAGAATGGTAAAATAAATAGCATATAAAAGCGGTGACATGGAGCTTGGTTGTAGTGTATGATCTGTATGTATGTAGATGAGCCGCTGCTTGTGTGTCTGGGGGGAGGGTCCCCAATAAGCTCGCTAACGATTTTCGGCAGGATGACATTCACACAGCTTCACGACTTCCCAACTCCAACCAAGGCAAAAAAATCCCCTCCATCCACCACAGTCCTCTGTTCTGTGTCCAGGTATGTTAAAATGGAAACTGAAACCGCTCAGATGCATTTTCCGCTCGAATTTAGCGATTTTCTGCAATTTTGTGGGAAACCCAGGGTCTCTTGGCCCCAATTCGAGTCTCGTCCCAAATCACCACCTGTGCAGTCCCATTACCGTACGAATCGCTGACCTTTCAATTCCCCAAACACAGCCCACTTTAGGCTTACTCAATTTCACACAAAATGGCCGATCCCCGTATTGAAGAGCTTCCCGACGAGGAGGTCCCCAAGACCCAGGTTGAGGATGCCGGCAGCGACTCTGAGTCCGAGGCTGGCGATGAGCCCACCATCCCCGGTGGTGCCGCCGTCACCATCCACTCTCGCAACGAGAAGAAGGCTCGCAAGGCCATTGGCAAGCTCGGCCTGAAGCACGTCCCTGGCATCACTCGTGTCACTCTCCGCAGACCCAAGAACGTATGCAATGCGACCGCACCCTTACCCCGCTATCCGCGAATCGCTCAACAGGCGTCCTGCCCTGATTTTGGATGCTTGTCGACGAGCGGAGGAATGTGACAGCAGAGGCTAATCTATCTCCCAAACAGATCCTTTTCGTCATCAACCAGCCCGATGTCTACCGCTCCCCCACCAGCAACACCTGGATGTACGTGGTTTCTATCCTCTCAGACTATCGATGGATTATCAAGCTTACACAATGCCAACAGCATCTTCGGTGAGGCCAAGATCGAGGACCTGAACTCCCAGGCTCAGGCTTCCGCTGCTCAGCAGCTCGCCGAGGCCGCTGCCAACGAGCACGCCGGTCACGACCACGAGCACGACCACGCCCAGGGCAAGGCCCCCGAGGCTGAGGCCAAGAAGGAGGAGGAGGAGGATGACGGCGAGGAGGTTGATGAGACCGGCCTCGAGGCCAAGGACATCGAACTGGTTATGGCCCAGGCTAATGTGTCTCGCAAGAAGGCCGTCAAGGCTCTTCGGGAGAACGACAACGATATTGTCAACTCCATCATGGCTCTCAGCATATAAGCGTTGTCAACTTAATCGCACGCGTCAGTCGGTGAGATGTGTCGACCCTGCTGACAGGCTGGATTGTGGGTGCGAGACCAGATTGACATACCCTAGGGTGGATGTCCTGGCTGGCCCCATTGTGTAAATCAATTAGCCAAAAAAGCAGAATTGAATGATCCAGAGCATGACTTGAAGTGTCTATCCGTAGTGTGTAAAGATATGCATCTACATTTGAGATAAGATATGCTTGACGTAGTGACATCGGCCATTGCAGCCATACGCATGGCCTCCTGGTGCTGCAACCCGCGTTGTGCTGTGGCCGTTCGGAAGACGGGAAATTGGGTCACGTGACGGCATCCCCATTCCAAATCTTGCCGAGTCAACCCTCAACCTCCCGGATTCTCCAGCTTTGCACGTTGACCTCCCCTCTCCCTCCCACTCCCTCTCATAGCACATTTCAAAATGGCCGCCGTATGTTTTTACCGCCTCTCTCGATATTCTGTGCCAGTTTTCCGGTGGTCAACTCACTAATTTGGTCGAATTACAGCGTAGCGCCGCTCTCAAGATCGACTGGACCAAGGTGACCAGCTCGCTCGGTCTCCGCGGTCAGACCGCTGCCTCCCTCCAGGCTTTCAAGAAGCGTAACGACGACGCGCGCCGCAAGGTCCAGATTCTGTCCGAGCAGCCCCAGACCGTCGACTTCGCCCACTACCGCAAGGTCCTGAAGAACCAGGCCGTTGTCGACCAGCTCGAGAGCCACTTCAAGAGCTTCAAGCCCGCCACCTACGATGTCAACCGCCAGCTAAAGGCCATTGATGCCTTCGAGGCGCAGGCCGTCAAGAGCGCCGAGGAGACCAAGGGCAAGGTCGAGGTCGAACTCCGCAACCTCCAGAAGACCCTCGAGAACATCGAGACCGCCCGTCCCTTCGAGGACCTCACTGTCGTACGTTGCGACCGTCGGCCCCCATTCTATCCGGTTCATTCTGACCATTTTCTTTCGTATAGGACGAGGTCGCTGCTGCCCAGCCCGAGATCGACGAGAAGACCTCCTCCCTTGTCCAGAAGGGTCGCTGGATGCCGGCCGGCTACAAGGTGCGTTATCTCCCCCTTGATCAAACAGCAATGACAGTGGCTACGGCCGCTACGAATTGGAGAACCAGACTAATTCACTTTCCGAACTGTAGGAGCGCTTCGGCGAGATGTCCGTTGTTTAAACTGGCAGTATCCCTTGTATGCAACTCCCGTCCACTTTTTGCCCTTCAATCTTCAGATATAGTCACACAACCCACAAAGAAAGAAAGCTTTCCTTACCCCACATTTCTGTCAAGCATGTTGGCCAGCTAGGATACCCCTCCTGCCTTGTGTCTGGTCGTGTGATCTCTTCGTTGTAGGGTTATGTATAGAAACAATCCGTTCAATCTTATGGTTTCCCTATCCTTGTTTCTAAGACATGGGATGCTGTCTTTGTTCGTTGATACCACTAGGATTAAATCAGGTACATCATTTGTATCACTCTTGGACAAGACTTACATGGCATGGATATTCATGTTCATCTAAGTTCGAAGTAAAGCAGGTATAATTTGCATGAGTGATATAGATATAGATATAGGTCAGAAGGTGCATAAGAAACAGAGGAGCTGCTTATAGTGATTAGGATCTGGATCTGGCTCGGCACTTTTCGCATGATGGCGTTCACACCCTCATTTTGTCAGAACTTGTCGGGGGGCAGGTTGATCCTCTCCTCCAACATTGTCTGTCAGCATCCATGGATATGTACAGTAGTCTTCGCTGATTCTCCATGATTGATGCTTACCCTAATAGTAATGCAACCTTGTTCCCAGATACCGAACACCGAAGCTTGCGGCACCATACGCATGTGCCACTATTGCAGAACATATAGCCTCTACGAGCATAAGTATACCCATCCCTTGACAGCCCATGTAGGCTGAACGGTGGACCACGTGCAATTCCGCCCCGAAGTTTCGCCGACCGCCTCGTCACCCACGTTTCCTCCTCCCATCCGCTGAGGTGGAATTGTTATCCTGTACTATGGACAGGGGCATATATGCACACAATCCTTCCAAGTTGCATTCCTCATCCACTAGGATTAAGTCTGTCACCCATTGATGCACTAGCCCTCGTCAGTATCTGCACTTGACATCAGTCATCGGTTGACGTAATGTACGTCATGATTGAATATTAGTAGTTTGAACGTCCGAGTGAGTACTCCTCACGACAATGTACAGCAACACAGGCAGTGGCTTGATTAAGTCCACCTGAACGAGACGCCATCCAGAGAACCTACCGAGAGAGGTATAGCATCTCTTCATAGTACTTCCTATCTGATACAAACATACACCTCTCACAACGACATCAACGATATACTCGTATAACAGCACCAATGGCCCGCTTCACTCCGGTCTCAGCGGCATCCAAACTCGAATCTCTCCCTGTAGAGATCATCCAACAAATCTTCCTCCACTGCCTAGAGATCAATCTCCCGCGGGCATCTCTACGTCTGGCCAACGCGCTGTCCGATCCAGTTCTATACACCTGGATGATCCGGCTCGCATTCAGCAGCACCAATGCGAGCGCCGACAGGGACTTCTTCACGCAGGACTTCCTCCCGTGGCCGCTCGACTTCTTCGCCCTCTCTCCGCACCAGCGGCGAGACCTGCAAAGCCACCTCCTGTTCTGCCGCTGGTGCACGCTGCCCTTGATCCGCCAATGCCAGCGCGACTACATCCTGCATACGATCCGGCGGAAATGCCGGCCGGGGGTGGACTTCCACTTCAGCCCGGAAGACGAAGCCACCCTCCTCAACTTCGGGGAGCACTACGACGAGTATTTCAGTAAGAGCAGCAGCAGCAGCAGCAGCAACAACAGTAGCAGCGATAACCAGGATAAACCCGACCTCACCCTCCACGGATACCCTATCCCCGGCAGCGACAGCAGTCCGAAAGACCGCAAACCGCACAAAATCACGATCCACCTGCAAGACGGGGCGATCACCATCCGCCCACCAGGCGAGATCTACGCCTTCAACCTAACATCATTTCCGACGCCCACCATCTCCTCGCCGAACACCTTCCGCCTGCCGGCGTGCGGAACCGCCGGCCCCAGGGGAACGCTGCTGGCGCGAGTGCCCGAGAAACTGCTGCGGCCGCCGTGGACGCCGGCGAAGTTCGAGTTCCTGCAGCTCCTGGCCAAGGACGCGTACATCGACCGCACGCCGTCGCACACCCGCACGCGGCGCGTGCTGCGGCAGACGATCCGGGACCGCGACCCCGCGACGTTCCAGCGGCTCCTGCGCATGAGCGTGCGGGTGCCGTGGTATGATTTCCCCGTGCCGTGGCCCGTAGGCGGGAATCTGTTCTACGCGGCCCTGAAATATGCCCCGCCGCCCTGTGGGGAGGATGATGATGTCTTCGTCAAGACGCTGTATGATGAGCGGTGGAGGGATATTCCCCCTGATGACGCTCAGTTGATGTTCTATTTGTCCGAGAGGTTGTGTGAGCCGCCTAGTCGTCAACGAGCGCGAGAGGAAGCGAGTAGGCGTTCATTGGGATAGCACATCACATTACTTACGTCTTTACCTGAACAGGTTATCTGTTTATGATAAATGTTTCGAAGAAAAGAATCATATTAATTCAAGCAAGTAGAATCAACCAAGCAACAAACAGGATATCAATAAATCACTCATCCCCTAGACTGAACAGACAAAGGAAAAAACTCCGCGCAATCCATAAAGTCGTAACTCATACACCCATGAGGTCTCTTCCCAATCCCCATGGTATCTTGAATGGAAAAGTCAAAAGGTATCCAGATGGTATCTCCACTCCTCCTATCTTTTCCCACGACAAGAGTCAAGAGTCAGTCAAGCTAGACCCTAGACCTCCGACCCCTCGTGCGTCGACGGTTCCCGCAGTAGCCGCAGGTCAGGCAGGAGATGATCACGTCGAAGAGGGTGACGATGCCGTCGATGATGGCCTTGCAGACGGAGCCGATGGTGTTGACGATGCCCATTAGGCAGGCGCCAATGGCGTGGAAGACGCTTTGGATCTGGGGATTGTCAGTTAGCTTTATACTCTCTTATTGAAGATGGGATGGAGGCGGGGGGGGAAGCATACACAAGAGACGACGGCGCCCATTTTGAATTATGTATTTGGTGGTTGTTGTTCGGTAGAATGTATGTGTGTATGTGTGTATTCAGCGGTTGAGTTTGCAGTAGTGTTGTTCAAGTATCGAAGACCGGTATCGACGAGAACTTATTTAGCAGTCTTAGTCCCCTGAGACGAATAACTTGAAGAAGCAGTAGAGTGGACAGTGGGATCAGTAAAAGGACGCATTGTATGCTTTCTTTCTCTCTCTCTTGCTCTGTGGTGAGAATCAGTGCAGTATAAATATCCCGTGTCGTGCCTTAGAAGACTTGTCAAACTTCAAATGATGTATGTCTCAAACGAAAAGAAAAAAAGATTGACATGGCTTCCCCCACCACCCGCCGACGAACAACACGGGACAGACAGAAATTGCATGCGATGCCGTCATACCGTCATAGTGATTCTATGGCTCTATGCCTTGGTTGCAGTCACTGACCGTCTCAGGCCTCACGGAAAAGGAAAACCCTTGCGGATCGCTCCCGAAAAAGGTCTCGCCACTGATAGTAAGGTAAGGCTGGCTGGTTCGAGAACCACCTTTTTTTCCGTTACTTAGTATTTGTGGCTGCTTTTTGGTATGAGAAAGGGTTGATTGTGTTTGGAGGAAAGAGAATGTGACGTCATGGTGTCAGTCAGTCAAGCAGCCCAAAAATAACACGCACGGTTCGCATTCTACGGTACTTACCTTTTTTGTCTAGCTGTAGCTGTTGGGAAGGGATCGCACGTGATGAGCTGGCTGTTTATTTCCCCTCGTTGAACCAATGGTAATGACATACTCAGTTACTGACTTTCTACATCATGGATACCCTTTCACTCATACTCTCGGGCGTTAAACGGGGTGGGTCCACCTCGTCTGGGGTAAAGTTGATGGGTGTGGGTAAATATGACATACGTAGTACAACGTATTACCTTTAAGGTTCACTTGTCAGGGGTAGTTGATTAGGTATTTGGTTTGTTGAGGAAACTGGTGTCCGAGAATGATGTTGCGCTGCAAATCCCGTACGGAAGTGTTGCGTTGTTGGATGCCCGTGGGAGATGCTGATCGGCGCTGGAATGATGTCCCTGTTCTCTCCGATGATGTCAACGTAGGCGCTTTTGCCAGCCACTCAGCCCTATTGGGAACTTGCTGTCGGGTTCAGGTTGGAAACCCCTGCAGAGGTTCGGGGGCGATCCTGTGGTTCGGAGGAGGATTGTTGATGAGGTAGGTATGTTGATGTATGAGGCGGGATTGTCACCTTGTCCGTGGTGTTACTGTCCCTGATTGAACAGCAAACTTAAGCATGGCAGACAGGCATGCAGGGAGAGAGTTCTATGATTATATTGATTAATGTAATGTATATACTTATACTCGTATTATATGACTACAGTCCCTCCTTATCGTACAGTGGATACACCCTACCCTACCCTACATATTGCCCAACAGCCGCACAATCCCCTTCACCCTCCCGGCCAACGTAATCTGATACCCCGTCTCCACCACTCCCTTACACATCTCCCACGCCCCCGTGCCATTCTCGCGCGGCCCCTCGCCCTTATTGATCGGATAGTCCACGCGCGGTGGGATCCTCGTCGCCATCAACTTCGGAAACCGGTCCACGCACACGGCCTTGAGGTTGCTCACGCCGCGGAGGCCCTCCTCGCCCGCGAACCGGCCGTAGCCCGATCCCTTGACGCCGCCGAAGGGCAGCTGCACCGCGTAGTAGCTGCCGAAGTCGTTGACTGAGACCATGCCCGACCGGATCTCCTTGATGCACCGCACTATGTCCCGCTGGTTGTAGCCGAAGACGCTGGCCCCGAGGCCGTACTCGGTCGAGTTGGCGATCTCGATGGCGTGCGGCACCGAGGTTGCCCGCATCAGCACGAACACCGGCGCGAAGAGCTCCTCCTGCGCGATGCGCATCGCCGGCGTGACGTCCGCCAGCAACGTGGGTGTGAAGTAGTGACCTAGTGGGTGAATGGGGTGCGCGAACCGCTTCCCGCCGCAGACCAGCCGGGCGCCCTGTTTGACGGCGTCGTTGATCAGGGTTTCCAATCGGTCGAAAGAGGCTGGGGAGATCATGGCGCCAACGTCCGGGGCGCCCTGGGCAGATAGCAGGACGGATCCCAGGCGGAGGTTCGCGATGCGCGTGGAGACGATTTCGAGCAGGCGGTCGTAGGCGCCGGGGAGGGCGACGATGCGTTCGATGCCGATGCAGTTCTGGCCCGCGGACTGGAAGACGCCCCGCATGAGGATCGAGGCTATGGCGGGCAGCTCGCTCACCGTGCGCGCGTCGTCCAGGATGAGCGATGGGTCCTTGCCGCCCAATTCGACGGTGACCGGAGTCAGGGCCTTAGCGGCGGATTCGCAGACTTTGTGCGCCACGGGTCGGGAGCCGATGAAGGTGAGCTGGGAGATACCAGGGTGAGAAGTCAGGTAGTCACCCACACGGGGCAAGCAGACAACGCTCTGGACCAGCTCGCGGGGGTGGCCGCAGCTAGTCAGAGCGCCGCGGATGACCTCCAGGAAGAAGTTCGTGCACCAGGCGGTTTGCTCGGACGGTTTCACGACAATGCCGTTGCCTGCGAAGATGGCGCTGATCACCGGCGAGATGAAGTTGTGGAAGGGGTAGTTCCAGGAAACGCAGGCTGAGACCACCCCCAGCGGCTCGTAGGTCACCATGTTCTTCTTGTACATCATGAGGAAATTCGTAGGGCGCGATTCCGGCGTCAGGGCCTTTTCACCGTGGTCGAGGGTCCATTTGAGCTTCTCGGTGGTCACCAGGATTTCTCCGAACGAGGCATCGACTTTGGTCTTCCCAGAATCCAGGCAGCAGGCGGTCACAAGTTCGTCTTGGTGGTCGAGGACGTATCTGTTGTCAGACAAGCCGTCCGTTAGAAACCAGACTTCCCAGCAAGATTCGAGGGCATACATACTTCAGCAGAGTCCGCAAAACCTTCCTCCTGTCAGCGAAACTGGTCTTCGCCCATTCAACCTGTGCTTTCGTCGCAGCCTGGATCGCTCGATCGACATCGTCCGGGGTCGCAGGTTTGATACCAGAGCCGAGGACTCTTCCGTCGGCAGGACAATAGCTCATAATCAGGTTGTCGTTCCATTGCTAACCAAAAAAAAAAAATCGGGAATCAGTCTCCAAGCCCCTCGGGTCACACGCGACAAAGCACAGCAGTCAACTTACCCCCCGGACCTGCCCCTCAATCACTCTCCTCCCTTCTCCCTCAAGCTGATCCCACTTCTTCCCCTCCCAATTGGCCCGAACCTCCGCCGGAATCGGGACATTGAACGAGACAGCAGCCTCCTTCTGGCTGAGGATGTAGAGGTAACCAAGATACACCGCGCCGAGCGAGAGCAGCGCGGCGCCCAGTAGCGGCCCCTGGGTCTGAAGGTGTTCCACGACGGGCTGGAAAGCCGGTGGGATGAATTGAGCTAGCAGATCCATTGAGGCGGGAGCTTTCGCGCTGTGAACTGGCTCTCTTAGGTTGTGCCAGACACTTTTGCCGGATGAGTCCAGGCGGACGCAAACAAAAAACGAATTGGATGGGGGGAAGCAGTCTCCGACGAGGGGGGGGGAGAAAGAAAGTGGTTCGATTGTTTATCGCAGACTCCGATACGCGGGTGCACGGACCACTTATGGGGCTTTGCGGATTGCTGGTGGGTTCATCAGGGTTCAACTTGTGCATCGGAGGTTCAATTTTATGGATTTAGATATGATTGAGTGAGATATCGAGAGACTATGCTTTTGGACTTGCAAGTGGTAAATGAATCGGGTGAGGTGTGTAGTTTTCTCTTCTCGTGGCATGTAGAAGGCATCTAGCAATAATGGTGAAGTATATATTTAAGCCATGGCCGTTCAGAGGCCTCATCGGGCATGATCGACCACTACAATTCTTCAACGCCGATCATAGCATCAAGTCCCTCCCTTCCGCTTCCCCGTCCTCTTCACCAAATGGTCAATCACGCAACCCTCCTCCCAACGCGCAGACGACTGCCCCGTAATAGCCCGACAACGCGGGCAAGCCTTCCCATGCCGGATAAGCAGCTGATGCAGCGAATACTTCAAATGATCCGGGATGCGCACCTCCAGATGCCCGAACGCCGTCACCTCAGTCACCTTACTGGGCGGCACCCAGCCCAACCACTTGCAGATGCGAAAGATATGCGTATCGACCGCGAAGCACGGGCGCTGTAGACAGAACAGCAGCACACAGCCGGCCGTCTTGGGCCCAATCCCAGGGTACTTGACCAGCTCCGCCATCGCCTGCTCCGTACTGAGCGTATGCAGATGATTCAGCGACAGGAAATTCTGGTCCGCACACGCAATCTCATACTTCTTGTTATCCTCGGACTGGTTCAGAAGCGCATCCTGCTCATCCTTCCCGGCCGCCGACGACAGCTTCTCATCTGCAGCCGCCGCCGCCGCCCCACCGACCAAGACATCCCTCCGCGCCCTATTCTCCGCGTAGACCATATCGAGAATCGCCTTGATCTTCTTACTCTTCACATCCGCCAATCCACCGCTCTTGATCGCCTCGAAGACCTCCTTCACCGGCGCCCGCCGCACCGCGTCCCAGTCCACACTCCCCTTGCCGATCCCAGACTCGAGAATCCCGAACCGCTGTACCAGCCCGTTGAACGCTATGGCCGAGTTCCTCCCCGTCGTGGCGCCGCTGAGCAGTGTCCGGATGAGCGCGTCCAGCACGGACGGCACCTCGCCGCAGCCCGTCACGGTCAGCGACGGCTCCGGGATGGTGGCCGGCGCCACGATCTTGCCGTGGATCGAGGAGAGGAGGCGGTCGACTTCTTCGCATTCTTCCGGCGTCGGGTGTGGCCAGTCTGGGAACGGGCTCACGCCTGGTGTTAGGCCGTAGTTGTTTGCTTTCGCTTTCGTTTGCGCTTGCATGGGGTTCTTGGGGCTAGAGCTGGGGCTGGCGCTGTGTGGAAGGGCTTTGTCAACGGTGGTTTGCAGGTCCTGTGCGAGTGTGTTGAGGTCTTCCTCCTTCTTGATGGGTGAGTAGATGCGCTTCGCGGGCTTGACTCCGCTGTTGGCTTGGGGCTTCGCGCCTAGGTTGTGAGGGAGCTCGTTGAGGTCTTTTGGCTCGGTGGAAGGGGTGGTTTTCTTGCGTCGTTTGGGGGCAGGCTCTGGGATGCCATCTTCGAGCTTGGGGGAGATGATGCCGTTGCGTTGTTGCGGATACACTCTTTCTTGGCTGGGGGAGGTTTTGGAGAGATGAACGCTCGATAATGGGGACGACGCAGAGTTGCTGGCTTGCGCCTTCGATGCGACTAAGGCTGCCTGGCGCGCTGTGGAACGGGTTATGCGTGCCATTTTAAATGGTAGTGTATAGGAACTAGGAAGGGTATTCAGACTAAGACGAACAAACAAGAAGTTCTAGAGAAAGAATTGAACAAATATACAGAACTTCCGACGCGGAAGATGCATTAGGCTGAATCTATCTGTATGTACAAATTATATCATCGAAAATTGGACCATCGTCATGAGATGAGTCAAGGGAATTGTAGTTGGGTAAAGCCGTCGCCTGACGACACTCCTCGGTCACATGATTCAGTGGAGACCTTCCGTTCAGCCCTTTCAACAGTACGTCATCTCAGAAGAACATGTCTAAAAAGGTATTTGACAATGATGATAAGGGTATCCCAACCCTTCCCGCCATGCACTGGAACGTCAAGCAAATAGCCACCGCAAGTCTTTCAACCACCGTCTACAAAAACTCCAAGACTCCCATATCACAAAATGCCATCCATCGGTATCAAGCCAAGCCATAAACTCGTAATCATTGATGGTCGCCCATGTTGTGGATGCTGATATCCATGCGGTCCTTGACCTTGGGGTGCTCCTCCTGGGAGCGCTTGGGAGCGGAGATGATGCCCACCTTGGGCACTTCCGATTCACTGGGGTTGGCCGCGGGGACAATGTTGCCGCTGGCATCAAGCTTGACGCCGTTGGCAGCGATCTTGAAGTCCGTCTCACTGGCAAAGCCATGCGTGACAGCCTCCTTGGCGCGGTCCAGGGCCTTGATCTTGCGACCCTCGCCGCGGAGCTCCTCTAGGTGGTCGAAGTAGCCGTCAGAGACAGGGGTGATGTAGCTACCACAGAACACACCGACTTCAAAGTCATGGGGTTCAGCAAGGCCGTTCTCCTGAGCGATCTCGGCGCATGCGCCCTTCAGATCGTCCAAGGTCTGGTAAATCACGCTGTCCGCACCAATGTGCTTGGCAATAGCCTCGGCATTGCGACCGTGTGCAACCAGCTCGGTAGGCGATGCCAAATCGATACCGTAGATGTGAGCATGCCTGCCGTGGTGGTTAGCAGATAATTCATTCTCAGAAGGCAAAAGAAACTCACGTGATCTCGGGAGCGCAACTGGCAAAGTAGACCTTCTTGGCGCCGGCTTCCCGGGCCATGGTGACGATTTCCCGACTCGTCGTACCACGCACGATACTGTCATCCACCAGAAGGACATTTCGGTCCTTGAACTCGGCCTGCATGGCGTTCAGCTTGCGGCGTACACCCTTCTGTCTGGTCTTTTGCTCAGGCATAATGAAAGTCCGGAAGACGTAGCGGTTCTTGACGAAGCCTTGGCAGTAGGGCTTGTCAAGATAGCGCGCGACAGCAGCGGCGGAGGTGGTGGATGTCTCGGGAATGGGGATGACGACGTCGATGTCCTTGACCACTTCCGGTCCAAGGAGGTCGAGAATTCTCGCAGCAAGACGGTCGCCCATACGCTGACGGCTACGGTACACGCTAATTCCGTCGATGACAGAGTCGGGACGTGCGAAGTAGACGTATTCGAAGATATCAGGAGCATAGGCTTTCTTGGGTGCCACCTGGCGGAAGACGGGCTCGGCTCCCTTCTGGATGATGACCGCCTCACCCGGCTGGATGTCACGGATGTTGGTGAATCCAAGCTGGTGAAGAGCAACCGACTCGGAGGCCATCATGTAATCCATGCCGTCACAGTCTGCAGAGGGTCTGGAACCGAGGACAAGGGGACGGATACCGTAGGAGTCACGGAAACCAAGGATACCGAAGCCTGATGAGATCAGTAACAATCCTTCATGCGCAATCGACACCTAACATACCGGCGAGCAGAGCAGTGCAAGCGAAACCACCCTGGCATCTTTCGTACATGCGACTCAGACTGGCAAAGACATCCTCATTGTTGACACGGGCCTTCTTCGTCTCGCTCAACTCATCAGCCCAGATGTTCAGCATCAGTTCACTATCACTGTCTGTGTTGATGTGACGGTGAGCCTCGATGTCCAGATATTTCTTCAGCTCGGGAGCATTGATCAAATTGCCGTTGTGGGCCATGCAGATTCCGTATGGACTATTCACGTAGAAAGGCTGGGCCTCGGCATTTGCGCTGCTTCCGGCGGTAGGATATCTCAGATGTCCAATTCCCATCGAGCCCGGAAGATCTGCCACCCTGGCGCCGTCGTTGAAGACCTTGGCAGCCATACCGTTCGACTTGAGCTGATAAATACGACCGCCAGTGGCGCACGTGGCGATACCAGCTGCATCCTGACCTCTGTCTGTATAGTGAAGAACATTTATTAGCCTCGAGCACGCGGGGTTACTGTTGTTGCGGGGCTGCGGGGTGACTCACGCTGGAGCAGGTAGAGTGCCTCATGGAGATCGACGGCAGCGGAAGCCGACGGGTTCGCCTGGATCAGAGCAATGATACCACACATGTTGACGGTAGAGTATTCTGCATGAGAGAACAGAGCAGTCAGTGATTGTTTCTTGCGATTGAATTGCGGGCAAGAAAAATCAAGATTGGATAGCTTGAATCAGATCGGAAAATTATCCGCAATGATGCTTAGGAAGTCTAACATCTATAAAAAAAACCGAAATTCATCATAAAGCAGGAGAGGGACAGAATGTGCAGTGCCAGTCAACAAGTAATTAAGTCATATACTCACATCTGAAAGAGCAATTCAGAATAGTCTGGAGGTACACGCACAGTGTGGTGGTGGTGGTGGCGGGGTGGGAGAAACCGGAACTTCACGAGTGGGAAAAAAGTGGGATAGAATTGTAAATGTCTATGAAGACATAACAGGATTCATGTAAAGGAGAGTGAGGGGAGAGTAGGTGGCAACAATGCCCAAAATCACGTCCACGGAGGAAACAGTGAGCTGGATAACATGGTTAAAGAAGTTTTAGGAGGGAAAGAGGAGAAGGGGAGGAATGGGATCCCATCTTAAGAGAGTTGGTAGAATTTTGTCACGGTTCCCATTTTTTCTACCCCACTGCCATGCCAACCACTTTTACCAACCGAAAGGAGGGACAGAAAATTTGCGGGTGCCGCTAAACCCAAGTTGTAGACTGGGCAGTGAACACCGCCAGGGCCACCGGCTAACCACTTGTAGGAGTATATTCAAAGTATTGCCGATGCCGGAGCAGGCGGTCAACGATCTAAGTTTGTTCCCGGCTTCGGCCTGATCTAAGCCTAGTAGGGATTAGCGAGTACCCGCTTGCTCTGTCCAGTGCCCGCCAGTGCTACTGTTTACTCTTCTAGGAACTCTATACACCTTCAAACTCCCACTGATTTCCAGTCATCACGTTTGTGAAAAGAAACAGACCATCTCAAGATAGCCGCTGTACTCGAAGAGCTTAGCAGCATGTTCGCATTTTTCAGTTCTTCTGCTTTGTCAGCCCTCCTTCTAGCCACCATTCACTGTAGTGGTGCTCTGAATGCGCCGACTAAGCGATCATGTCCGGACCTTCACACATCTCTTGGTTGACTTCAGCAGGCTGCCAAATGCAAACATGCAGACTCTCGTGTTATCCCAAATGCTCAGTTACCTCACCGACACTTCTTCTCTATCATCTTCGTTGTCCCCTGACGCATTCTCCGGTCGTTCCCATCCAACTTTATACACCCGTGGGCTTCACTCATCTCTTCAACCCCATCACGCGGACAATTGGTATTCTCACCTTAGCTTCTCTATGTTATCTATCTGACTGCTGACGAGTTCCCTCATACTTTCAGTTGAGCAGCATGCTCGACTCCATAGGTGAAGACAACATGCCGTGGCAGGTTGACCGTCAAGCGATGCAAGAAGTCATGATCGTTGACGACTCAGCCTCCGAAGCGAGTAGTGTCACTCTAGGGGACGAGCCTGATGATGAATGGCTTCACTCGGAGTATGAGCAAGAAAGCCTACCAACCTCACCGGACATTCCCGACCATCAACCCTCGGTTGAAGAAGAAGGACGCGAGGTGATTGACCTCACAACCGGGGAGGGCTTCTGCGATGGTGACTATCTGACGGACGAAGCTTATGAGAGGCTACTCCGGAACTGGAACAAACGTGAAGAGCGAAGCTCCGCAGCGCAGGTTCCTGTCCGTACGAGGCCGGAGAAGCGTCGTCTCCCCGAGGTCTGCATGAATGAGATTGTGTACAGAGAAGGCCAATCCGTTGAGCTTCATGATGGCACTTTTCTGAGAATTGAAGTGATTCTTGCCGATCGCTCAGGCGACATCTTCTTCTGCGGCAGACGTCTTCTCAAAACCACGAACCACAAAGGAACGTATATACCAAGGTGGAGGAATGAGCTCGTCTGGATTACAAATGAGATGGCCGACATTCCATTTGACCTGGTGAAAACTTTTGTCGGGATTACGTTCACAAATCACTGTCATCTCAGTCAGGATGACCGAAAGAAGGCAAGGCCTTTCGACCTATTTTGTCGGCTGAAAGAGCATATCGGGGGCAAGAACCCTTCGTCAGTAGAGTATCTCACTCCCGAAGAAGCTGACGAAGGTTTCAAATACGATCCCCAGATGTTACGCTACGCCTGGCGTGGCCAGACATCGCTTTTTGGGGCCTTTGAACAGACTGGGGTAGTGGAGATTGATGATGACGAAACTGTCCTAGCACAGAACGATGCAGTTCGTGCTATGAAGCGACGTCGTCAGTATACTTTTGGCGATGCATTCTGTGGTGCTGGTGGGGTCTCCTGTGGTGCTCGTGCGGCTGGTCTGCGGCCCAAATGGGCCTGTGACAAATCCCCGCACGCCGCTGAGACCTACCAATTGAACTATTCAAATGCAGATGTCTGGAACTTGGACATCTTCGACTTCCTCGAAGCCAACAGTGATCCCAAAGTGGACATCATCCATGGGTCTCCGCCATGCCAAACGTTCTCACCAGCGAAGACAATCGAATGTGCTACTGATGATGCCAACAGCGCCTGTGTCTTCTCTTGCTCGAATTTGATTCAGAAAGCAAAGCCCCGCGTGCTCACAATGGAGGAGACGAGCGGATTAATCGAACGACATTCAGAAACAAGCAATCGAGTAGTGTTGGATTTTATCGAACTCGGATATGGCACGCGTTGGGGTATACTCAATTGCGTTAATTATGGTGTGCCACAGATGAGACGGAGGTCGGTAATTATTGCGTCTGGGTAAGTGATCCAAAGAGTCTCCTCGAAGCTAATTTCTGATAACTAATAATATTGAAAGACCAGGGGAAACGCTCCCTCCCTTCCCGAAGCCTACCCATGGTCTCCCAGGCTCGGGACTTCCTCTGTTCATTACCATAGACCAGACGATCTCGAGAATCCCGCTTGAAGCGGCGAATCATAATGTTGACCGCGCATCGGCTGGAGGAATTTGGCGCGCGCCGTTCGATGCAGATCAACAGGCCCGAACAATTACCTGTGGTGGTGGGGAAAACAATTACCACCCTTCTGGAGAGCGTGGCTATACCAATAGGGAATATGCATGCTTGCAGACATTCCCCGTTCGGTATCAGTTTGGACAGAAGGAAGTCCGAAAGCAGATCGGCAACGCGGTTCCTCCCAAGCTGGCCGAGGCGTTGTACAAGGAGATCATCAGGTCGCTTCATCAGACGGACGAGAAAGAGCTCGGAAGACGCCGCGGGTGGATTACAGATGTCGGCAGATAACTAGTGATGCTCCGCTCTGGGCGTGCTTTTTGTCGCTTGGAGATACTCATGCTCGATACACAGCCAATGAGAAGCTCAGCTGGACTTATAATTCTACAAACCAGATCTTGACTGGTTATGTTGATTGGATGTCTGGCAGGCTAGCTTGCGTTCGTTGTGAGATCACCCAGCATCTTCTTGTTCTATGCCCTTAGATGGTGGAGAGGTTCAATCTAGGGGATTTTGCGTGCGATACTTATGATTTGTTTTGTCCTTTGATAGCCCTGAATCAGATTGCTTATTTAGGTTTCGATCCTGGGTTAAATTTGAATTTGATATCAAGTGCTATTCACGGTCAAAATGTAAACCAAGGATGTTCTGTAAGCGTGCCAAGAGCCATATTTGAGGTTATAATCCATTCTAAAATGGCACCCATCAACAAAACTAGAACAGCATCTCGTTTTGGCGATCACAGATTGAAAGAGCCTGAGGCTGTTGTCCATCATCCCTTCGGGTTACTCGCCGTCTGTAGATTGAGAGACGTATTAAGTTTGACCATTTGTTGCATTTTCAAGCATAATATGCGAAGAATTATTCTTCAGAGCTCAGCAACAGAAATTCACAGGTTGTTGTACTTGGTTAGCAAAAAGGAGGATTCACTTGTCATGCTTGCATGAGGATGATTCTCAGACTGGAAAGAGGGGGCCGGGCCATATTCATCCTTCCCATCATATTCAGCATCAGCGGGCTCCCGAACAAAGATTCCAAGAGATAGGCCTCGAGATTGCAGTTGATCTGTCTGCCTAATATAGGTATCATGTCCATTACACTGGCGTTCCTTGCTTTCAAGTCTCATGTCAGCCACGCTGCTTAGGGTCGACTCACATTCACTCTCGCTTTCTATATCGCCTTCATCTTTTACTGTCTCGATTCCAGAATCTTACTTACAACACCTTTCTTGATTCAGAATCTATTACAACCTTAACAAACTTCTTGACCGTTTCCCTTCATCACCAAGCGTGACCACACACAATGCCCCGCTCTACACGCCATGCCTCGCGATTAATAACTCGCATGCAGGATGAACCCCAGTCTCCCGATCCAACTGTGGAAGATACTCCCACCTTCAAGAGTAGATTGGAAGAACTTCATTCTCTCTGCAAGAAGCTTTACCATAAGTACGACGCGCCGAGAGGCTCCTGGCGTCAAGGGGACCCACCCCCTGTCGCTGAACCCGAACACACCAAGGGCAGAGGTACCGGCAGCAAGGTCGGCCGCAGAGAGGCTATTGAGCTCTGGAGTACGTGGCCCTTGGTGTCTGGCATCTGGAACCCGATACAGGACGGATGGCCACCGTACGGAGTCCGACTGACAGACGCTTGGATGTACCTTGCGGCGAAGCACCTCAGTAATTCCGAGCGCCATAAGAAGTTTCCCGGCGACTTTGACCAGAATGGATTGATTCGACAGAGCAGATTGCCGAGCGGCCCTACCTACCTCGTCTCCGCACACGGGATGCTCGTGTATCCGATTTACAAGGGCTATTATGTTCTGTGTGGGGAAGCCGGAAGGAAATACTGTACCTGGCTGCTCCAGAGCCAGTCTGAAGCGGTGGGCAATAAGTTCAGCTTCAAATCGATCATCGTCGGACCAGTCATACCGCCGACTGGCACTCGCTCCACACATGTCTTTGAGTTGCAACGCCATGTCCCCCTCAGTAACTCCGGCACTGATGCTGCAGCGGGGCTCGTCAGCGAGGAACCGATCTGCTGGACAGTCTTTCTGAACGATATGGTCCTGAAGTATAACAGGCCCAATACCTATCGAATAGTGCCCTTCGCACAGCTGAAGCCACATCCCTCCTGTACAGGGTCTCCGCGCTCCGATAAGCTTGTCAACCGCCCAGGAGGTCTACCTACAGCGAGCAACCCCCCTGCGTCTACCGACGTTAGCAACCCAGCCAAGCAGATTGTCCCGGTGTCCAGCCCCCTCCGCGCTGCAACTCCTGTTGCCGCAAACGCTGATTGTCCTGGCAACCCCAATCCTGCACGAGAAGCTGTCGTTTCCACCAGCCAGGTTACTGTTGGGCCCAGGGTCGAGATCTTGGATGTAAAAAGAAACGGCAAGCGCTCCGGCATGGAAGATTCGTCACAGCCAGGCGAACCACCTAGCACTGATCACCGCCACCACGAACAACAACCCACCTCTGAAATCCAAGATATCGACGGCAACGATCGGAAGCGCCGCCGTACCGCCCAGGACCGACCATTCTTGTCCGGACTACGAGAGTCCATCGAGCTGGCCAAAAAGCGATGTGCTGCGTACATTGCCTCTGCTAAGGCGGCAGAGAAGCTCCATGAGCAATATTTAGAGTCGGTTCCCCAGCGGGAAGAGGATCACAACGCTTATGTTGAGTCTGCTCTCGGGGCGGTCAACCACATCGAGGAGTGTGCTGCCTGTCTCTGGAAGGAACTGGGCGACAGCGGTAATGATGAGGATCTTGGCAAAGGCGATGAATCTGCAGTTGGAGAGAAGCAGTCGACGGAAGAGGGCAGAATGGTAGGTGAGGTGAACGAGGACCATGAAGATTAGAAAGATGGGTCGAGGTGAGACGGGGCGAAGCTGATCAAGGCTGGATACTATGCCAGCCGGTCAGTCAGTCGGTCAGACAGTATGGCTTCCCGCGATGGGGCAAGTGGAGTCAGGAACTAAAGTGAGGGGAAACGACATCACATGATGGCCAGGTTTCGGTTTTCTCTTCCCAATTGATCGTGATGTATCCTTAAGAGCAAATAGTAGAATGATCCATTTATGCTGGTAACTGGACTTGAAGAACTGACTCAAAACTCGTCATGTTTCGTCCAAAATTGAGAATTCGACATGAGGACCGAGCGAGCAAAGCAACCCGCAAACAACAACAGGCCGAGGTGGAAATGCCGGCAATAGCCGCCTCCCCCATAAACAAGGCGGCCTCGGTCCGAATCCCCGGCGGTATACTCCAGTGTACGTACAATACAGTACAGGGACAGACAAGCAGACACTCTTGCCAGGGCTATCTCCTCTTCCTCCCTTTCTTTCTTATTCCTTTTCAATTCCCTTCCTCTATCCTTCTTCCTCTTCTATCCCAGTGACACTGCACTCAGTCTACGCTCATTGTCTGCATTGGGTATATCTCTGCCCCCAATTTCTTTCTCTTCTTTCTCCCTCTCTCTCTCCGTCATGTCTGCCTCTTGTTCAGCGTTGAGACGGCTGACCCACAGGTCTCCTCCCCGCACTTGGCTCTCCTCCCGCATCGCTTCCCTCTCCAGACCTGCCTCCTCCAGCATCGCCCACATCACAGCCAGAACACATCCTTCGACCCTTCGCCGTGTCTCTCGATTCTCAACCATGACATCTCTGCAACAGGCTCCGCCCACAATTCCCACCGACCGTCCTTATGATCCGGAAATCCAAGCGTTGAGCGACTACATCCACAACTACAAGGTGGACTCCGACTTGGCGGTACGCGGGGCTCACCTTCTCATGACACAAATATGCTGTAATTCCCCTTCAACTGCTTATCTTACTGACTGTATCTCCTTTCCATAGTATGATACTGCCCGCCTTGTCTTCCTCGATACTTTGGGATGTGGTCTGGAAGCTTTAAAGTTCAAGGAATGTACCAAATTGCTCGGCCCTGTGGTCGAGGGCACCATCGTGCCCAATGGCACCCGCGTTCCAGGCACCCCCTACCAGCTTGACCCTGTCAACGGTGCATTTAACATTGGGGCTATCATCCGCTGGCTCGACTACAATGACTGCTGGTTGGCTGCAGAATGGGGCCATCCTTCCGACAACCTGGGCGGTATTCTGGCGGTCGCAGACTGGATCTCGCGCACGAACCGTGCCGGCGGCAACCTCGCCAACGGCAAGATCTTCAAGGTCAAGGATGTGCTGGAGGCGATGATCAAGGCGCATGAGATCCAGGGTGTACTGGCGCTGGAGAACTCCTTCAACAAGGTCGGTCTGGATCACGTCGTGCTGGTCAAGGTCGCAACCACCGCAGTGGTCGCCAAGATGCTCGGACTCAATGAGCAGAAGACCGCGGACGCCATCACTCAGGCGTTTGTGGATGGTCAGTCTCTCCGCACGTACAGACACTCCCCCAACACCATGTCGCGGAAGTCGTGGGCCGCGGGTGATGCCTGTCAGCGGGCCGTGAACCTCGTGCTCAAGGTCCAGAAGGGCGAGGGTGGCTTGAAGACGGTCCTTTCCGCACCTGTTTGGGGATTCTATGACGTCTTGTTCAAGGGCAAGAAGTTCCAGTTCCAGCGTCCTTATGGCAGCTATGTTATGGAAAATGTCCTCTTCAAGGTGTCGTATCCTGGTAAGTTGCGCTTGACCCGCGGAAAGAATATCCGCTGACATTTCTCAGCCGAGTTCCACTCCCAGACTGCGATCGAGGCTGCCGAGATTGTGAACGCGAAGCTCAAGGCTATGGGCAAGAGCGCCAAGGACATCAAGGAGATTGTCAACCGCACTCATGAGGCGTGTGTGCGCATTATCGACAAGCAGTTCAAGGCGATGGACAACTTTGCCGATCGCGATCACTGTGTCCAGGTGAGATTATTGTCACCTGCTGATTTACCACATACTAACTAAGCCTAGTACATGGTTGCCACCATGTTGGCCTTCAACCGCCTGACTGCCAACGACTATGCGGATGGCTCTGAGGCGGCCACCTCTCCCCTGGTTGAGGACCTGCGGAAGCGCATCCGCTGTGTTGAGGATCCTCAGTTCACCACAGATTACCACGATCCGTCCAAGCGCACCATCCCTAATGCGCTGACTGTTACCTTGCACGATGGTACCGTCCTGGATGAGGTCGTGGTTGAGGCACCTCTGGGCCACCGTCTGCGCCGGGAGGAGGCCAAGCCTGAGATCTTGGACAAGTACAAGCGCCACTTGCAGGCACACTTTGATCAGGCCCGCATTGACGAGCTTGTCAAGGTCGGCTTGGACCAGGCGGCCCTTGAGAATTACGACGTGGATAAGTACGTGGATTTGTATGTCAAGGATAAGATAGTGGCAGCCTACTAGTAGCATGTTCAGCGATAATGTTAAGTACCCGTTTATGAGGGAAGAAGTCAATTAGCAATGTATGATTTCCAGCGCAAGTTTAGGGCCCCAGCGCAGAAAGTAGACTGGCATCCCACTGACCAAGGGTACAATATCAGCGCACAATATCGTTATCAGGCCCAACTCAGAGAAACCCCATAAGTCGTATCAAATACGGAATATGCCAAAATCACTATCAGTGTCCAGGACTTGCACGCCACGCCTTAGATAATGATCTCTATCGCAGTACTGCTTTGCTCAAAGATTAACGCCCATCCAGACGATGTTCTGAAAACCACCAACCTGTATAATCGAAGCAAAGCTACGCTACACCAGCTCCTGACCCACCGCTGCTGGCACCTGCGAGGCCCATTCTCCGCCCAAGCGATAGGAAATCGGCGATAAGAGACACAGCCCTTTCCCCTCCTCCCCTCCTTCCCTCCACCCACCAAGCACGCCCATCTGAGCTATCAAGCAAAGTATCCCCTCAGCCCAACACGAGCAACCTGGCCTACCTCGCCTATCTCCCGCGGACCAGAATCCAACACACAGATCAAAAGCCAACCACCCTACAAGAATTCTCCAGTCAATTTACCAAGACCGCGTGCGAGCAACGATAAGCAGCGCAGACCAAGTCAAGTCCCCACCGAGATAACGCAAAAACCCAAAAACCTGGGGTAATGCAGCTGAGACGATCTTGGCGAGGGCATCCATCTCGGCACGGGAAACTGTAACGGCTAGTAGCGTTGCCGACGCAGCCAATTGTAGAGTGTCGCTTGCGCTTGGGCGAATGAATCTTTTGATATGCATAGATGGGCGAGCGTGCTTATCACGGGGTTTTAGGAGTGGGTATGAGGGGATTGGATGCTGGGGATACATATGTTGACGTGTGTTGTCTGGGGGGTTGTTGATAGGGATTATCTTTAAGTAGGTGTGTGTATCTCTGGAGAGTAGTGGGTTCTTGTTGTATTGCTGTCGCTGGCATTCCTCTATTCTATTCTACTCTCTTGGGGTATTGGTTTGTCTGTCTATAGAGAGCTGCGAGAAGAATGACTGGAGCCATGGATGAGAAGAAAGAACAGTATGAGATTGGCAGGGAGTTGGACCGAGAGAGTGTGCGGAATGGGATTACGGAGTTCTCGGTGGAGGCGGAGAGGAAGTTGGTGAGGAAGATCGATATGATGTGTGTTTTCGTTCTTGGACTGCGAGTGGGAAGCTGGTACTAAAGCTGCTGCTGATCCAGGATCCTACCTATCATGCTCGTGGCGTACATGATGTCCTTCATGGACAAGCAGACGTTGAGCTATGCGGCCATCATGGGCATCATGGAGGATCTCCATCTGACCGGGTCGGAGTATAGTTGGAGTTCGGCCATCTTCTACTTCGGGTATCTTGCTTTCAGGTGAGAAAGACGATTGTAGTGTGTTGATGCAGTGGCTAACTTTGGGGCAGTTACCCGGCCTCCTTGCTGATGGTCCGGTTTCCGCTGGGGAAGTATCTCGCGTGTACTTAGTATGTGGTTTTCTTTCTTTCGGGTCTGGGGCTGTACTGACGGACAGCAACAGTATCGTCTGGGCGGTTGTCCTCGCCTGTCACGCGGCCACGACCAATATCACCGGGCTGATGGTGGCTCGTTTTTTCCTCGGCTGCACCGAAGCCAGCGTCTCCCCCGGGTTCAGTCTGCTCACTTCGCTCTGGTATCGGACCTCCGAGCAACCGCTCCGTCACGGAATCTGGTTCTGCGGCAACTCGTTGTCTTTGATCTTGGGTGGGGCAGTAGCAGTGGGGATCTGGCACATTGAGACGAGTCTGGCATCGTGGAAGGTAGGGTTGCGAGTCTCTATCTTCGGTGTTGGTGTCTAACGATATCACTCAATCAGTGACTATACATCATCTTCGGCCTCATCACCTTCACCTGGGGAGTGGTCATGCTCTTCCGACTTCCTGACTCGCCAAATAACGCCACATTCCTCACGCCAGAGGAGAAAGCCATCGCCATCGCGCGACTGAAGTCGAACCGAGCGGGATACAAGACCAACAAGATCGACCGCAGTCAGATACTGGAGGCATTCACTGATCCCAAGACGTGGTTCTTGGGCGTGTCGATTCTGGGCTGCAATATTCCGAACGGAGGGTACACTACGGTTAGACAATCCGACGAAACCTGCATTCTGCATGGTTGCTAAAGTTGCGGGGGTAGTTCTCGGGCCTGATCCTCAAGGGCTTTGGATACGATACCCTCTACACGCTCCTCCTCGGTATTCCAGGTGGATTCATATCTTTCCTCGTAGTATTGGCATCGTAAGTACTCGCCTCCCCTATTTACACCAGCTAACTCACAACTCGATTCGGTAAGATGCTACGCCTCCTCCAAGAGAACAAACAGCCGGTGCATGGTCTCAATCATTCTATCATGTTCAAGGTAATTCACTCCCAGCCAATTCCATCCACTCTCCAGCCCCTGAAAAATTGACCTCCTACACAACCACCTCAAGCTATCCCGCCAGGACATAGCCTTGCTAAATTTTCAAAGCATCCTAGGAACAGCCCTCGTCTCCGCCACCCACCACAACGCCTCCCGCTATATCGGCCTCATCCTCATGAGCTTCTACGCCGTCACCATGCCGCTCTCCATGGCGATCATCAGCGCCAACATCGGCGGCGTGACCAAACGCAGCACCGTCAGCGCGATCTACTTCATTCTGTACTGCGCAGGCAACATCATCGGCCCGCAGTTGTTTTTTGAGGAGCAGGCGCCCGTTTATCAGGTTCGTTGGCCTATCTTTTTATACTGTGGTAGTTGTGTGGGTGCAGAACACGCTTTTGGGTGTATGGCTGATGATGCGATAGAGCGGGTTCATCGCGATCTACGTGTGTCTGGCCGTTGTGGTTGCTGTTTTGGTAGGATTGGTGGTGTATCTGCGGTGGGAGAATCAGAGGCGAGATGCGTTGATGGGGGTGGAGGTGGAGGTAGATATAGAGAACACGGAAGAAGAGTTGGTGGATGTGACAGATCAGAAGAATCCGCGTTTTAGGTATGTTTATTGATAAGGCTGTTTTGAGTTTTACCTTACTCGAGATGCACGTTTGGGATCATGGAGAGGTGGTAGCGGTGCTTTCCAGTACGATGATTATGTTCAACCTTTTCAAATTACAATCATTCCAAATTCTTAAATACCATATCCATGCTTATAACTGGTAAACGAATAATCCTACCCAACTACACAACTGCACAGCCTAGTCCCTCTCAACCTCAAAATCCTTCTGCACCTGCTCCGCAAACTCATCATCCACCAACACCTGACACGCCACCACCGCCATCCCCGCCGCGCATGAAATGCCCCGCTGGTACGCCTCAAGCGAGCCTGCGCCCTTGGTGAAGCCGGGGGTGTGGTTGACGCCATCGGTGGGGATCGTAAAGATACCATGGAAGCCGGGGACGGCGTAGGAGACGTTGCCTAAATTGATCAGTTGGGGAACCAAACATATGGAAATCAAGTAAGCATAGACCGAACACGCACCCTGATCCGTCGACGCGCCGGTGATAGCGCTCTTCTGCCCCGAGTTATCGAATAGCGTAAGATGTCCCATCGCGCGCATCGCAGCCACATAGCTCTCGCAGATAGGAATATTGGTCTTGAGATCCGCATACGATGGACCCCTATCAAGCAAGTCAGAATCCCGCACACACTACCCTCGCCCTCTCCCCAACTAATCCAAATACAAATGGGGAGGAAAACAAACCACTCAAACGCAACCTCACACCCGGTCGCCAAAGCGGCAGCCTCAAAACACTTCACCACGCGCTCCGACAAGCCGCTGAGCGACTTCACCGTCGGCGACCGAATATAATAATCCACCGCCGCACTCCGCGGGATAACATTCGGCCTCTCCCCACCGTCAACAATCACACCGTGAATGCGCTGCGAGGGGAGGATCTGCTGACGCAGCAGCGAGACATTGATGTACGCGGCGACGACGGCGTCCAGCGCGTTGACGCCCTCCCACGGCGCCGCCGCCGCGTGCGCCGGCTTGCCCGTGAACCTCACCCGCAGCTTGTCGTTGGCGAGATACCCGCCCGGCAGCACTGTGGCCAGCGTCAGGAGATCCGGGTTCCCCGGTGCCATGGGCACTGGGTGCACCATTAGGCAGGCTGCTACGTTCTTGTAGGCGCCTCGCTTTAGGAGCTGGACCTTGCCGCCGCCCGATTCTTCGGCGGGTGTTCCTAGGAGTTTGATGGTGAAGTTTGTGGGCGGGGAGAAGTCTTCTGGGGTGTTAGGAGCTGGGGTTGCTGCCTGCGCGCGCATCGTGTGGCACGTCGCTAGGAAGGCGGCGATGGAGCTCGTCGCGATCAGGTTGTGTCCGCATGCGTGCCCGATGCCGGGGAGGGCATCGTATTCTGCATTGAAGGCTACCACTCGTCCTGCCCGGGGGTTACCGTGGGTGTAAGTGATTTCGAAGGCGGTCGGGATGTCGTAGGCGGAGCGGTGGATTTCGAAGTCGAAGTCGGTGGTCGTGGTGAGGGTCTCGAAGAGAGTGCAGATTGCGTCGTGGGCGCGGTGCTCTTCGTAGGCCAGCTCAGGGTTGGACCAGATCTGTTGGCTTGGGTTAGATAGGCGTTGCAGTATGTGTTGCAAGTGACTGTGACCGGGGGGTTACTTCTTGGTTGATGGTTTGTAGTTGGGCGTCATAGTTGCGCAGGGCTTCTTGCACGCTTGCGATGAAGCGTTCTTGGTTACTTTTGGAGGTCATCTTGGCTGACTTGACGCCTGGGTGATATGTGTCTGTGATGAAAAGGCATGATGGGCGTCATCTTGCTATTAATATGTGTACGACTCCAACTGTGAGACTTCTTTTGTTGATGCGGAGAAGCAAGCCGCAGTGCATGCATGCCCGGCTTATCAGGCATTCTCCCGCTTATCGATCGGCTGCATTGTCGAAGACGCGTGGGTCTGCGTCTTGATTGGCGCGATCCTGCAGTCGGTCACCTGACTGGTGCCGATCCAGCCAATCGCGTTGCGTGCCTCGGCACTTCTCCACGGCCCGGCTAATCTTCCGCTCAGTCTGGATTTAGAGAGTATCGACACTATCGACTCTCTTCCCCTCATCTTGCAGTCTGCCTTTTGCCGGCCATTAGCTTATCTGCTGGGAACGTCGCTTACATCTGACAATACTCCTGTCATACGAGCCTACATGACCCTGACACATCCCCACAACACACCACTCAATCGCGAGCAAGCAATCAAGTGGAGTGCTGCCGGAGCAGTAGCACTGTCGAGATGCATAAGCTCGGCAAGAAGACTCGCTCTAGGACCGGTAAGGATCCACTCGCACGCCCCGTAAATCGCAGTCTTAGATGCACTGGATTGCTCATGTTACACAGGCTGTCGCACGTGTCGAATCCGCAAGGTCAAATGCGACGAGGAGAAATTGGCCGTCCCCGACCAGTCTGAACCACAATGCAGGCGTTGCACTGCCGCCCGCATCCTGTGCGAATGGAAAGGTGGTCCCATCCCCCGAACCCCTGCCTGGGGATCTGCTTCCTCTTCCACGGTCCAGGACGTGCAGACGACAAAGCGGGTGGTTGAATCGGACTATGCCACACGCAAGAGCCCAGAAAGGCTCCCTCCGTCCCTTCAGATACTCACATTGACCTCGCCGGGGGGTACTGTCCAAGCTGCAAACTCGCTGATGCTGTCTGGCTTTGACCGCTCGTGCATCTCATATCTCCAAAATTCCGCGCTGGTCGTGCTTCTTGGCAAGCACTGGCCGTGGTCTGCCATGTCGTACGCGTACCACAAGATTGCCGTCAAGGAACCCATGGTGATGAGCATGCTGTTGGCGAGTACGTCCAGCGAGATCCGTCGCTCGCAGCTTTATGACAGTGACAACGCAGGTGCGGTCGAGGCGCTGGCGGATTTGGGCGGTCGCACGCACTATGGCCGGGCCCTGGCTGGTCTTCGCGGGGCATTGAGACCGGAGGTCGAAAAATCGTCGGACCAGCTGGAAGCCATTTTCATTACCCTCTGGCTGATGATTGACTACGAGAACCGCTTCGGGAGCGGCACCGCAGCCATCAATGTCCATATCAGAGGGATTGAGAGTCTGCTGTTTGACCACGTCGTTCCTCTGTTGAAGCCTGCGTCTTCTACCGCAGCGATCACTGATGGGAGTGGAGGCGTCTTGCCGTGGGATGCATTGATTGCGAATGAAGGCAGCTCGCAGCAGACCGTGCGGGCCTCAGGTTCTTCTCCCGAGCTGACGACCAGCAAACTCCGTCACACCGCAGTACCACTCTTCCTGCTGTGGACGCTATACTTCTTCACCCCGGGCGCTCTCTTCTCCGGGCCCGGCGCTGCCCGACTGGACGCCGACCTATTCCGGTTCTTCATCCAGGACGAGGCCGAACAGGCGGGCCTGACCCTGCCCGAGCTCTACCGCATCGGCCGCCAGTCGCCCCGTCGGTTCTGGGGCGACTCCTACCCGGCCACGGCTCAGCTGGACGATGTCGAGAATCTGCCAGCGTTGACCCTATACCACAAAAGCCATGTAATGCAGTTCAAGATCACCGAGCTGTGGCGCCAAGGCCAGCAGGCTCTAGAACCGTCCTATCGTCGGCTTGTCGACGAAATCACCCTAATTCTAGACGTAAGTGTTTGGCCCAGAAAAGATTTGGTAGACCTGTGTTTTGGCCTTTGCCCTTCCCACAGCAACATAATCAAAGCTAATCATCTTTGAACACAGGAGAACGATTCCCTCATCAACACCGCTCTAACCGCGTCATCCTGCGACATCTCCACCCCGAGTCGCCGTGTGATGGAAACCGTCTTCTGGGCCACGATCACCTTTTTCGGGACTATTGTGTACTTCCACCTCTGTTTCAAGGATACCCCCGCCAGCCGATGTCACTGCACGTCGCTCCTCCCATTGGACAAGAGCGTCAGCCAGGTATTGGAGCTTGCACTCAAACTCCACCGCAGCCGGCCGCATCTGATGGTGCGCATCATCTGGCCGCTCTTCATTGCGGGGATCGCAACGCCGGATCGCATCTACCAAGACTGGGTGTCGATCCGGCTGCATGAGTTGGGCCGGTATGGCTTGAACTATAGTCGGGTGAGCCAGCGGTTTGATGAGATTATCCAAGGGAGTGATCCGTTTGCTACTGCTGCAGAGGGGCGAGAGAAGATGCGGATTGGGTCAGAGGGGTCGGGGCTAGCGGGCGAATGAGTGAGCCGTGAAAACGGCAGGAATACGGGGGCGCCTTCAGAAAAGGTTCTAGAAGGTGCACCTACTTTCTTTCGCTTGGCGATGATGCATGAGGTGGTCATGATGCATGATTTATTCTGGGGATGTTCGTCAAGGGGTCACCCCAACGACTAAACCTACACTGGAGCCAACCCAGCGAATAAACCTTGTACGAAAGAGAGAGCGGGGGCTAAGATGCAGAAGCAAACGAGTAAACCGAAAAAAAGAGACATCATATCCCAGCACCGCCAGCCAACCAGCACCAAAAACGCCAGGTCACCTTAAAACGTCTGGTTACACCTTACTCTTGGCAGAAAGACTCGGCAAGCAGCCTCCAAGACGGAAACTCGGCAAAAAGAAAACCGTCAAGACCCATGCTTCAGCGACGCCTGACATATTGGACACCTATACCGATGCTGCTCGACCCATAATACCAGACAAGAGGCATGGAAGACATGATTACAGCGGTTCAGCACCAACACATCATCGCCACCGGGCTGTTTAGTCTGTTGCGCGTCGTTCATATCCGAGGAGGACGACAGCGATACCGGCAACGACCCTCGGCGCCAATCACCCAATCCCATTTCCAGGTCTGAATTGGCCAGTGGCCCCCGATTACTACACCGCGGGTCGATCCAGGCCGGTTTGGGGTCTGCCAGCGGAAGGTTGCTGGTGTCGGTGGTTGCTTTCTCGTCCACTTTGAGCCTCTCAAGACAGATGGCACTATACCCCACAAGTCGGCATAAAATTAGCATAATTTCTCTCGCATTGAGTGGCGAAACTCCCCCGCCCCCCTCCGATGAGGATTAATAATGCCAAAACTCCCAAGGATGAGTGATGGGTAATTCGCCAAGAAATCCGCCAAGGAATCCCATCCCTCTCCTCTCTTAAAATCTCCTAAAACCTCCGAGCGCCGGTGGGAGGGAGAGGGGGAATGACAAAAATTCCCCGCCAAGAAAAAAGCCAGAAAATAATCCGCCAAGAAAAGAAACAAGGTTGGGATCAACACCTAAGTGGGCGAATAGAAACGCACCAGGATTCCTGGGCAAAATGCCATGGCTCGTTTGTGCCCGAATGGGTTTGTTCCTCGAGCCAGCGTTCCACGTTGATGGGAACTGGGACGGCGACTGTCGTGGAGGTGGGGACTTGTTGCATCGAGGGACTGCCGGTCAGGGTTTGGAGGGCGCTGTCGCGGCGGGAAGCCTCGGAGTCTGGGTTTGTGGGGGATGCGCCCGCGGCGGCGGCGGCGGCGGCGGCGAGACGACGGCGTCGGTGCCAGGTCACGGCTCTTGTGTATTCGTTGTCAGTATTCTTGTCTTCTAAATTGTTATTGCTCTGAATGAGGTCACAATTCGGTGAATCCTCCATCCATCTCAAACGATGAGGACGCGGAAGGACAAGAGCACCCAAGATCTTGGCGCCATGATAACCGGAACGAGATAAGATCTTGGCAAGGTTTCTTCTGAGGGGGGGAAGAGGGAACTGAGTTTCTGGGACTTGGGGTGGGTAGGGCTGGGCGGGAGCAGATGATGAAGACAACGACGAAGACGACGAAAGTCTGCAAACGAGAACACGCACGGCCGCGGAGAAACCACCTTCAGAACAGCTACCGAACTTACATTGGTAGGATACTGATGGCGATGAACAAAGCCACGGCTCCGAGGATCACGCCGACGATTTCGCCACCCGGGGGTGGGTCGTGGGGGTCTGGGTCCGTCATAGAGTTGAGTTGCGTTGCTGTTGACGGTGATTTGGATCCTTGTCAATGCATGCGCTACAATGAATCAGGGATGCCCACGTGAAGGCGATGGCAGGATGGAGGGATGCAAACTGCGTGAGATGTATACTATTCTGTGGGAATAGTCAGACCGACACGCAGCAAGCAAGCAAGCAAGCAGGAGAGCAGAAGCATGAGACAAGTCGCAAAGTGAAAAGGAAACCTCACTAATGCATCTCATGCCAGAGAGAGAGACAGAGAGGGGAGAGGGAGAGGATGAGTAGGAAAGCAATGAGCGAAAACCGGGACAGCCGACCGGGGGTGGGACACTTTAAAGGGCCCTTTTTTTATTTAATTTCTTTCTTTACTGGCTGGGTAATGCTTTGTTGTTTCAGTTGGGACGCCTTCTCTCCTCTCTGGCAGTCTCTCTTTTCTCAGGCCGTCATCCACGGCAACACGCAGGAAAACCGAAAACGAACCAACACGAGAGTTGATGCATGATCTATCGTCTTCTTCCCCCGCCAAGGGCAGCCAGACTCTCTTCTCTTCTCCGCGCTGCGGAACCGGCTTGGCAACCCATCCTTTCCATCCATGTTTCCAGCGGAACGATCCTACATTGACTAATCACAGTGCCCTATTCCCCAGACTTGCCAAACCATGGATGAAGAAAAGAGCAATTGTCTGCGTCATGGTTCTGGGCGGCAAATCCTCTTCTGACTCGAGCCCATCACCGTCAAGATACCCTTGGCGGGGGTCTGGGCATGACCGAACAATTCACGGCCGAAGCGAGATAGGCCGAGACCTGGCATGCTGGATCTACTCGGACATAAGATATAAAGGCATAGACATGACCCCCTCGCCTTACGCTGGGTTCCTCGGTTCAGGAACTCAGATGATTAGATCCCAAGATCTAATTGAAATCTAGAATCGGGCAAAATCTTGGATATTGCTCTCTCTCTCTCTCTGTCTCTATATGGGTTAGAGTCAATCGATGACATACTTCACTTGCACACTGATAGATCAATCTTCTTGTCTCGGTTACTTGTGCTACTTTCTTGGACGATAAATCTATGACCCACGCAGGATGAAATCGAAATCCAGCGACAAGTCGCCGGGCTCGCGTCTTTCTCAACCGGCGCATTCGTTGCCCTGGGAGACTATTCTACAGGAACTCCATGTGAACCCGGATCAAGGGCTCTCCAGTGCTGAGGCTACGAAACGACTGCAGCAGGATGGACCGAATGAGTTGGAAGATGACGAGGGGGTGTCGCTGTTGGGGATTGTGATCCGACAGATTGCTAATGCCATGATGCTGGTACGTTCTTTCTATCCTGTCTTCTAAGGACTTATGCCTCCCCTACAACGCGTCCAATTCGAAACTAACAAGGTAATAGGTCCTCATCATCGCAATGGCCGTCAGCTTCGGCATTCAATCCTGGATCGAAGGCGGGGTCATCGCCGCAGTCATCGGGCTGAACATCGTGGTGGGCGTGTACCAGGACTTCGCGGCGGAAAAGACAATGGGGTCGTTGCGGTCGTTGAGCTCGCCGACGGGAACCGTGACGCGCGACGGAAAGACCAAGACAGTACCTGCTAAGGAGTTGGTGGTAGGCGATGTGGTCGAGTTGAAGGTGGGCGATACGGTGCCTGCTGATGTGCGGTAAGCAACTTTTTCTCTTTTTCTATCTTGACTGTCTATTTTGATTAGAAGAGAGTGGTCCTCTAACTGGGGAGCTTTTCCTCAGTGAGGGGGGCTGCATCTTGAGTCAAGTGCAGTTGTTGGATGGACTCGCAGTATCTGGTTTGGGAGGGTGTACATCTCAAGTAACTGGGATATGTACTTCTTGAACTAAGGCTGTGTATTGTATTCCTCCCCCTCATGCACCGCCCCTCAACCCCAAATCCCCAACCCCAGCCAGTTCTAAACCTCTTTATACTCCCCACTAACAATCCCAACAAAGCCTCATCGAAACAATGAACCTCGAAACCGACGAAGCCCTCCTAACCGGCGAATCGCTCCCGATCGCCAAAACGCCCTCGCAAGTCTACGACATCGAAACGGGGCCCGGCGACCGGCTCAACATCGCCTACAGCTCGACGACCATCACGCGGGGGCGCGGACGCGGCATCATCACCAGCACGGGCATGACGACGGAGATCGGGCTGATCGCCGCGGCGCTACACTCCAAGCCATCCAACCACAAACGCCGGCAACCGCGCACCAACCCGGAGGATGACACGCCCAAGAAGCGCGAGAAGGTGATCAACCCGCTCGCGAACTTCGGCCTGTCCGTTACGGCGTACGTGCTCAACTTCCTGGGGTTGAACACGGGGACGCCCCTGCAGCGGAAGCTCTCGGCGCTGGCGCTGGTGCTGTTCGGGATCGCGGTCGTGTTTGCCCTCGTCGTGATGGGGGCCAACGGCATGCGGAACGATCGCGAGGTCATCATCTATGCGGTTGCGACCGGGTTGGCGATGATCCCTGCTTGCTTGGTGGTGGTGTTGACCATCACCATGGCTGCCGGGACGAGGTCCATGGTGCAGAGGAATGTGGTCGTGCGGCGGTTGGAGAGTCTTGAAATGTTGGGTGCTGTGCAGGATGTTTGTTCCGATAAGACGGGGACGTTGACGCAGGGGAAGATGGTGGTTAAGAGAGCGTGGGTTGCTGGGGTTGGGGGGTTGGTGGTTATGGGCGAGGGCGGCGATGTTTTGGACCCTGAGATTGGGGGTGGGGTGCGACTGTCGTCTGCCATAGGGAAGGGTGGTTCGGATGCTGGAGTCAGCGGACCAGAGGACGAAGAAAAGAAGCAAGAAGGAGGAGCTGAGCCATGGGAGTCTCGCAGGGAGGGACTGCTGAACGCCGAGCCTTCGGGAGCCCTGCTGCAACGGTATCTCAATGTCGCTGCCATGGCCAATCTTGCCCACGTGCACTACTCCGAAGAGAGTCAGGAATGGCAGGCCCGTGGCGAGCCCACCGATATCGCCATCCAGGTCTTTGCCATGCGCTTCCAGTGGGGCAGGGAGCGATGGACGAGCGGCCGCAACCCCGTCTGGACGCAGAAGGCTGAGTACCCCTTCGACTCGACCGTCAAGAAGATGTCGGTCATCTTCGAGAATACGGAGACCTCTGCGCAGATGGTATTTTCCAAGGGCGCCGTAGAACGGGTGCTGGAGGCGTGTACGCAGGCTGTATGGACAGCCGGGGAAGAAGCCAGTCCGCTAGACGACGACAAGAGACAGGAGATCCTCCAGAAGATGGAGGAGCTGGCCAAGGAGGGCCTCCGTGTGCTGGCGCTGGCATGCCGCCCCATCCAGACCGATGAGGTTCCGGCGCGCGAAGAGGTCGAGAAAGACCTCATCTTCTGCGGGCTGATCGGGCTGTACGACCCGCCGCGACCCGAGACCGCCGGCGCTATCGAGGAGTGTCGTCGCGCCGGTATTACGGTGCACATGGTCACAGGCGACCACCCAGGCACTGCGCGCGCCATCGCCGCCCAAGTCGGCATCATCCCGCGTGACATGGGCAGCGTGGCCCAGGACGTCGCGGACGCGATGGTGATGACGGCCAGTCAATTCGACCGCCTGAGTGACGAGCAGATCGACGAACTCCCGACCTTGCCCTTGGTGATCGCGCGCTGCGCCCCGACCACCAAGGTGCGCATGATTGATGCGCTGCACCGCCGTGGCCGGTACGCGGCGATGACGGGCGACGGGGTCAACGACTCGCCGTCGCTGAAGCGGGCCGACGTGGGCATCGCCATGGGCCAGTCCGGCTCGGACGTGGCCAAGGATGCCTCGGAGCTGGTGCTGACGGACGACAACTTCGCCTCAATCATTAATGGTATTGAGGAAGGACGACGGATCTTCGACAACATCCAGAAGTTCGTCCTGCATCTGCTCGCCGAGAACGTCGGGCTGGCGTTGACTCTGCTTATCGGGCTGGCGTTCAAGGACGAGAACGGGCAGTCGGTGTTCCCGATCGCTCCTGTAGAAATCCTCTGGATCATCATGGTGACCTCTGGTCTCCCAGACATGGGACTGGGCATGGAAGTCGCCGCGCCGGATATCATGGATCGACCTCCTCAAAGCGTAAGTTTACCTAACCCCCCCCCCCGATCCCTAACCCTGCATCAATACTAACGCCCGCGAACAGAAACAAGGCATCTTCACCTGGGAAGTAATCATCGACACCCTGGTCTACGGCGTCTGGATGGCGGCGCTCTCGCTCTCGGCCTTCTCACTGGTACTGTTCGCCTGGGGCAACGGCAACCTAGCCACAGGTTGCAACAGCGACCACTCGTCAGCGTGCGACACGGTGTACCGCGCGCGCGCCACCACCTTCGTGTGCATGACCTGGTTCGCGCTGTTCCTGGCATGGGAGATGGTCAACCTCCGCCGCAGCTTCTTCAGCCTCCCCGCCACCACCACCGAATCCGAATCTGGTACGAAGAGTCTCCTCGCGAGGATCAGAGCATGGTTCGCCTCGCTCCGCCGCAACCGGTTCCTCTTCACGGGCATCATGATCGGCTTCGTGACCACGTTTCCGATCCTGTACATCCCCGTCATCAACGATGTGGTGTTCAAGCACATCGGGATCTCGTGGGAGTGGGGCGTGGTTTTTGTCGAGGCGGGGCTGTTCTTTGTGGGCGTTGAGGGGTGGAAGTGGGCGAAGCGGGTGTATTTCCGGCGTGAGGCGCGGAAGAGGCAGAGGAGTGGGAATGGGAATGGGGGGTTGGTGGAGCGCGAAGAGAAGCGGGATTTCAGTCGGTATACGACGATGAGTCGGGATGAGGTGGTGCAGAAGGAGGTGTCGATGGTTTGAAGGAGGATTGTTAGAGGGATAGATTAGAATGCGTATTGTTTGGTTGTTTATAGTATTTTATTGCTAGAGTGGAGTGACGCAGTGGGATGAATATATTCATGAACATTTTCAGAGTGTTTCTATCGTAAGGTAGACTTGAATACTTGAAATCACATTCCTGAGACCCACCCTATAAACAAGCAACGCAACGCAACGCAAACAGACTCTAAAAAAAAGCACTCACAACCCAGCCGCGACCTGCGCAGACTCCTTCTCGACCTTCGCGACCTCATCAACCACCTCGACGACCTTCTCCGCGGGCGCCTCCAAGCCCTCCCTCTCAAAGCTCTTCATAGGATAGTAGCCCCAACGGTCGAACATCTCGCGATCCTCATCCCATCCATTACAATCAGTCGTCAACATTTTTTCGCCGGTAAACACCGCATTGGCGCCGGCCTGAAAACAAGCGATCTGCTGCTCCTCACTCAACGAGATGCGCCCCGCGGCCAACCTGACAATCGTCGCAGGGAGCACAACCCGCGCAGTGGCAACGGTCCTCAACAACTTATCAAAGGCAATCATCTTCCTCTCGCCCAGGGGCGTACCGGGAATGGGGACGAGGGCATTGACCGGGAAACTCTCGGGATGTTTGGGCAAATTGGCGACGGTATAGATCAAGCCCACGCGGTCCTCATCCTTCTCCCCGAGGCCCAGAATGCCGCCACTGCAGACATTGATGCCGGCGTCGCGCACATTCGCCAAGGTGCGCAGGCGCTCATCGTAGCTGCGAGTCGTGATGATGGAGGGGTAGAACTCGCGCGAGGTGTCGAGGTTATGGTTGTAGGCGGTCAGGCCCGCGTCCTTGAGCTCCTTGGCCTGGGACTCGTCGATCATGCCGAGGGTGACGCAGACCTCCATGCCCAGGTCGCGCACGCCGGAGACCATGGCCTTGACGTTCTTGAGGCTGGTCTTGCGGCCGCGCATGTCGCGCCAGGCGGCGCCCATGCAGAACCGCGTGCTGCCGTTGGCTTTGGCGGTGCGGGCGGCGCGGAGCACCTCGTCTACTGGCGACATCTTCGTCGCTTTCAGGCCTGTGTTGTGCCGCGTCGACTGCGCGCAGTAGCTGCAGTCTTCGCTGCAGCCGCCGGTTTTGATGTTCATGAGCGTGCACATCTGGATTGCGGCTGGGTCGTGGTATTTTCTGTGAATGAGGGACTACCCTGGGTATTAGTCTGGGGGGTCTTCAGTGGGTATTCGTGTATCTTGAACTGAGTGTATCCAGGGGGCTGAAAGGAAGGGGGGTCCGGGGGTTCTCCCCCGGATACGCTCATTCTCTGGTTTTAGGATTGAGTGTATCCAGGGAGCTGAAAGGAAGGGGGGTCCGGGGGTTCTCCCCCGGGACGTCTTTGTTGTTTTTGTAGTTTTCGTAGTTGTTGTAGTTTATTATATGTTGATGGGTTGGGATGGGGAGGGTGCGCTTACAGCAGCGTAAGTTAGTTGGTTCAAGGGGGTGTCGTAGATCTGCTGGATCTCGTCTTTGGTCCAGTTGGTGCGCGGGCTGGTGGCGTCTGTCGCGGCCTGCAGCACGGCGGGCACGCGGTGGGCGAGGGCGGCGGCATTGGGGGGGGTGGATTGCACGGTGCCGTAGGCGCGGCGGAGCGATGTCCTTGGGAGGAGGTGGCGGAGAGACATGGTGAGTATGGGTGGTTTGGGAGAGATGGAGGGAGGAGGGAGGAGAAGAAAGATGGACAGAAGAAGAAGAGGCGATGGATGACTCGACAGACTACTAGTCCGGGGTTCGGAGTTGTTTGTAGGGAGGGCACTGACTGCTGCAGCGATAGCAAGGTACTTAGTGACTGACTTTACTTACTTACCAGTCAGAACCCCGCCGAATAATCTTACAAGCAAGCTTTACACATCCTCGGGTCTGAGGGGCAGGAGGGGCAGGCAGCAGGAGTGGTTACTGGTTCAGATTGCCGCAGTGGGCAGGCAAGCAGAGCAGCCAGTATCTCACCGGTCGTGTTGACCCCAACCACTGAGGGTTCAACCCGTGCAATTGACTTCCAACCGGAGGCGCAGATCCAACGCACCAGCAGGCCAGATTGCTCCGACCGGGTCCACTGCGCGCGGCGCTGCCCCTCGGGCTAAAGGAGATCCGCGGATTGAGACGGTGCGATTGTGATTTCGATTAGTCTATTTGGTTGGTCAGGTACGGGGGGCACTAGAGAGATTACTATGGGGAAAGTGGGAAAGTGATGGCAATTGAGTTCAGTTCATTCAAAACAGCGAGATGCTGATTGGTGGATACGAGTGACCGGTGAGGGGATGACTAATCTGCTGCGCATCCCACCGGTCAGCATGCAAGAGCAAATTAATTGATTGTAATTGTAATTGAAAGCTAGTCAGGATGAAGGACATTAATGGACAGTGAAGAAATGAAAGAGATTATATGCAGACAGTAATGTACGGCTATATACAATTTTTGCACCAGGCCATCGGCTGAATTCTCCTCCGGAGAAACTACAGCAACGCCCCCCGCAAGACCTCCTCAATTGCCCGGAGCGACTCGGCCTTGGAGGTGACGCTGGACATGAGATACAGCACATTGCCGAGCACGCGCGAATGCACGGCGAACTGGTCCCCGCCCGCTGCTAGCCGGTGCTGCAGCCCCTGGGCCGCCGTGGACGTGTAGCCACCGGTGCCGTGCTGATCGTGGAGCGCGATGCTCAGCACGGTGCCCAGCGCAAACACGCCCTCAACCGAGGCCGCCTGCGACAGATCCCGCACCAGCCCGTGCGACCAGACGCTCCAGGTTAGAGGACCCGCCGGAGCTGCAGCTGCAGGAGCCGCCGCCGCCACCGCCCAATCGCGTTGGAAGCCCTGCCACGACCCCTCGCGCTCCATCCGCATCATCGTCCGCAGCGAGTCGACCGCCACCTGGCAGCCGACCGCGTGCGCCGTGTAGCTGTGGCCGTGTAGCAGCGCGTCGCTCTTGTCCGGACTCAAAAACGCCTGGAAGATCGCCTCGCTGGCCAGCGTGGTGCACAGCGGCACCAGCCCGCCCGTCAGCAGCTTGGCGTTCACGGCGATGTCGGGGTGCACCTGCAGGAAGGAGGCGGCCGATCGGCGGCCTAGACGGTACAGCCCGGTGAAGACCTCGTCGAAGATGATGGGCAGGCCCGACCAGTCGTTTTCTCCGGCGGGAGTAGTCTGGGGGGCGAAGAGTTCTGGGGTTTGGCGGACAACGTCGGCCAGACAGCGCTGGAACAGGGGGTCACTAAGCGTACACCATAGTCAGCCACACACACAACCCAGACACTAAGGAAGGGATCACAGACCAGAACAACATGCCCCCAGCACCCAGGATAACAGGCTCCATGATTAGCGCGCCAAACTTGACGCCCTCCTCCTGCACCAGCCGCTCAATGGTGCGGCGAATATACTCGCGATAGCGCCTGCCAGCCTCCGAGTCCAGTCTGGCCTCGAGATCAAACACGTCCGTCAACTCGCCAAAGCGCAGCTCGTCCATCTCCTCTGCCAGCGCCGTCTCCTGGGGCATAGCAACCCTCCACACGCCGTCCTTCATGCGCACCTGGGGGAAATCAAACCAGAAGCCACGACCACGGTACCACTCGACCTTCTTGTTGAACGTCGACGGCTCCGAGCAATCCATAACCCCGATCGTATCACCATGATAGCTGCCCTTCAGCCCGAGGATGCGAACAGTCTCACGGCCCGCATCCCAACCGTACCGCGCACATGCAGCCCGCAAGCCCATCTTGACGGCGACCTCCATACCGGTACTGCCATTATCGGTGTAGAAGACGCGCTGGAGTCGCGGGTTCGCCTGACTCTCGAGCAGGGTCTCGGCCAGCGCCAGCGCCGGCTCATGGATATTGCCAGGGAACATGACATGGCCGTAGCGGCCGGCGGCGTAGGCCGCGGACAGGGCCAGATCGGGGTTGCCGTGGCCGAGGCCCTGCGTCCACCAGGAGGCGGAGCCGTCGAAGGTGGCGCGTAGACCGGCCGTATCCCCATCCCCATCTTTTCGAGAAGATCGACTCTGAAAGAAATCCCCACACGCCGAATCCACAACCGTGATATCCCCCGCCTTCAAGCCCAAGTGCTGAGTAAACGGATACCAGATGACGCGCTCCGCCTTCTCCGCCATGGCATCCAGCCGCTCCCACCGACGAACATGCATCTCCTCAAGCTGCTCAACCACACCCCCCAGCACGCCCTCCCGCCGCGCCCGCGCATAGTACGCGCTCATCGCCTCGCCGTCCTCCTCCGGCGCAGCCACTCGGGCCGGCGGCGCCGGCACCGCGACCAGCGGGATGGCCTTTTTCGCGAAGAAGCTGCGCAGGTACGCGTGGTTCTGGTAGTAGTCGTCTTTGAACAGCAGCACGGCGTGGACGTCATACCCGCGCAGGACCAGCGACTCGTAGGCCGAGATGGACGCCGAGATGCCGCCTAGCCTCGCGTCTGCGATCAGGATCACGGGGAGTCGGAGCGGGCGGTACAGGTCTGCTTGGCTGGTGCCGTTGGGGCCGGGCGAGTGCACGCCGCCTGCTGTTTCGAGGAGAGCGTGCTTGCGTGCTTGCTCTTGGGGGGAAGGCTGAGCCCAGGTGGTCAGGGTTTCGTGGATGGCGGTTAGGAGGGCGGTGTCGGATGGAGGCTTGATTCCACCCATAGGGTTAGTCTTGAGTGAGGTTTTTATGGCCGGAGGGGGACATACAGGGACGCTCTTCTGCGCAGCGGCGATGTGCGGGCTAACCGGCTCGTCGAATTGGAAGAGACATTTCGTGAGGGTGTGTGGTGCGTAGCGCTGGATGTGTCTGTATATTACCCATGGGTTAGTCTCGGTTTTAAACATGAAGGTTAATTATGTAGAAAGCAGCACAAACCGATCATCAGCCTCATCCAATGGCCCCGTTGACACGGGCTTTATGAAGCCGACAGACCCCTGCAGCGCATTGCACAGCAGCGTCGAGACGATCGTCTTGCCGACGTCGGTGTTGGCGCCGTAGACCTGGTGGGCGCGCAGCGAGCGCCAGAGCGCGGCGGGCGGCATTCTGGTAGATAATTGATACAATGTTCGATGCAATCAATGCAATGCCTACACGCACGAGACTTTCCGTAACTTGTATGTCGTGCTTCTGGGGGAGTTCTTTGTCTTTGACCCGGTGGGAGGAAATGGAAGTGGGGAAGCGGAAAGACTATCAGGAACGAACGATAAGCAAGCAACTTAATGCAGTGACGAAATGAAAAGACAGTAAAGCTCCGAACCGAGGATGAAATGCCGCGTGCGGTGGAGCTAGCCCGTCTCAACAGTCGAGTCAACGGTTTAGGAGATGGTTTTTTTTGGCTAATGTGTTTATGCGTGCTTGAACAGTCCCTCCCTCGGCTGAGGGTACTTTAGTTAGGCTAATCAGTGCAGTGGGCAGGGCGATGACTCTTCCCTCCCCTGACTGCCATTGCATTGGTCTATCGCTCCCTAACCCTAGTTCGTGAGCGATAGTGCTCAACTCCACCCTCGGTGTAAATCAGCGCAATTAAACAACCGTCTTAGCCTCCAACTGTTCCCCAGTGCCAAAGTACCGAGTAAACAGACAAATAAATTAAATTAAACAAAGCTCATATAGCCCACCGATGTACCACCCCAAACTCTAGAACATATCGCATCTTCTAGTATAGAACTGTATATAGATTACTAGACACACACACACATACACACACACACACACACACACACACACACACACACA